AAGTTAAAAGCTAAATTCGATTCAAAACTTCCCTGAGTCTCCCCTAATACTATGCTGCAGGATAGTGCCAAAAGCTCTCCTCAAGAGCATGAATCTTCTCACTCATTCATACAACAATTCACTCGTGATGCTGCGTCTCACTCTCACCATCTCACGAGATGGTGGATTCCATTGAAAATAGCACAACGCAACCGTGGCCCACTTTGCAAGATGGGTAAACACACTCAATATAGTTTTCATGTTCAGACTCAAGCGAGAGTGAGACAGATGCAGAATCACTTTCGCGATCACCACACACAATCATCTCATCTCGCTCCATCTCGTTCGCACACTCGCCAAATGTGGCCATAGAATTAAACCTATGTAGTGACGAAGCATGGCCGAAAGCTCAGATAAGAGATGGAGTCACCGGGTAGTTTTGTCAAATGCTATGCTGCGCTATAATCACACAATATTTCACTCCCTCACCACGAGTCAAGAAGAAAAAAAAGCTCGCCCAAGGATTCACGAGAAACTGTCTCAAGTTCACACGAGACCTCAATTGTGAGAGCTTTTTTAGTTCACGGTTAGTAGGTGACCTACTGACACGCTGGCCCAGCCCCAGAGCCCAACCCCTGAGCACAGCTGCAGCCCCTGAAATGTCCCTCTCCCCACCAAAGCTCCCGACAAGGCAACACTCAAGTGGAATTTTAATGAGATTCTACATGTCACAATTGACCTCCCCAACAATTTTCGGCTGGAAATTTCCTTTCCCTTCTCGCGCGCGCGAAATTGTTTAAAAAAATGTATATAAATAATTTGTCATGGCTGTTTCATCACAAAATCCCATCCAAACTAATTATAATCTCACTAAATAGTGGAAAAAAAATGTGAAACACACACACATGCTAAATTTTACCAGTGCATTCAATCGGCGATGTACATAAATTAGAGAAGAAAAAAAATTCTGTTACAAGGTCTGAATTTCATTTGATATGGAAAATATATACAGAAAAACTAGCCGAAAAAAATAATAATTTACTATGTATGTCTCTGTGGATGATCGACAGGAGTGCACTTGATAACAATCCCAAAAGCTCTCGAGAAAAGTCATACATTTTAACCCAGATTCTCAAACGTACCTCATCGCAAAATGAGAGTGAGAGTATAGAAATAATACCTGGCGCCTCCATTGCGGCAATTATGATGAAAATTGCAAAAGGTGTAAAATTGGGACACGAGAAGTGGCTCAAAATTTGCATAAATTCGTTATTATCAATTAATTAAAGCTTCTATTCTAGGGATGTTCAAGCGCACCCTATCAAATATGACAAATCTCAATTCATTGCACAGTCATGCTACGCACATATAATCCAATTTTCTGCCATAAAAATTCACATATTACATTATATTAGAATTCTATTGACCCAGTTATACATTTTCAGAGTATAAATTTATTGTTTGTTTCTCAACACATCGTGTTTTTCTTCACAGGTCCAATCAAAGCTCCTCATAAAACACAGATGAAATGCCATGGAAAACACACACCAAATCATTATTATTCTCAATACCGCAATCAAAGATAACACCTTCCTTCCTCAATGCGCCCTGCAAACATTACAAGATGGTTAGCCTGTTGGGCAAAGAGCAAAACTCTTGCATGGCAAAGTAAACATGAAACAATTTGTAATTGTTCCAAGATGAGCGAGAGAAGAGGCAAGAAAAAAAATCACCTAAAGTGCGAGTCGTGAATTTGAGAAGAAAAGTGAATAATGACTATGGAGAGATCTCGCGATCTCAAGCGGTTTACCTTGAAATTGCCGCATGTTAAATCACAATGTTGGAGCCGCTTCATGAGCTTCACTGACAGTGAATTTAGCTTTTTCCCTCCATCAACCGCTTTTGGCCATCTTTTTCCACCACAAAAGCTCAAAGATCCATCAACTGTGGCCGATCGATGAAAAAGTCCGCCTTTAAAATACCATATCATCAAAATGTTAAGAACCCCTGTAAGAATTCCCAACGAGTGTTGTTGAAATTAGTAAATAAACCATCGCTTTCGATTGCACTTGAGCTTGTATTTGAATCTATGCCATGTGTGTTGAAGCTCTCTCACACATTCGCCCTCATCTCTCAAGTCACGTTCTATCGGCCATTCTATAGAATGTCCCACTGACACCAAAGTACGTCCCCCCTCAAGAAAAACCACACGAAAACGAACGTGGCGACGAAGCAGAAGAACCAACGATGAATCGAAGATGGGTCATTTCTCACGCCATCAGCGGACAGTGAATGGTTTCCATGCAGGAAAAGAAGATCCCACAGTTGTGTTTTGCCTCCTGAAACATTCCCTCTTGCGCATGAAAAACTCCAGTGATTCACTATTTCGCCACACGATCGCCATTTTGGCATTGGCTCTTGAGATATCGCAGCTATGGCACTTGAGCCGACCGAAAAAGGTTACAATTCAGATCATACGACAAACTTCCTGAAAAGCGCAATTAAAAATATTCCCAGGAAAACAATAAACGTATGTCTAAGCACAAATAATGCGTTTGCACTGGACAACAAAACTATAGTCTTCTAATCTTGGTTGCAGTTGTAAAAATATTTAGCGATGCTATCTTATTGCAATAGATCTTTAAACCGAGTATAATGCATATTGGCTCAGTTTTAAAACCGAGGCGTGAAACCTGTTAAAAAGGAAAACGTGTCATCGAATATTTTCTATCCCTATTCTATTTTCTTATCTCTTACAACTCGGCATAAATAAGAATCACAGCGCCTCTAAACTCCCACTTCCTAACTCATTCCGCTGGCAAGTGTGTGCTTGTATTGGTCGACGAGTGAACTTGTGACGAAAATGAAAATGGAAACGGAAATGTTTAAAAGTTCATAGAAAAAGTGAAAATTTTTCAGGTGGATTTCACGATGAAATCGCCGTCACATGAATTTTTGTTGCTTGCAGCTTTCCTCATACAAATTTTCACTGTAATATGGAATAGAAAACCCATTGAGCAATTTGCAGGTTTCACTGTGCCTCTTCCCAGGAGTGAAAGAACAAGATCACCAGTTGGAATTGTGGCATCAAATTTCTCAGAATGATTCTCCCCCAGTGCGCGGTTTAATATTTCTCACTCACACGAGACTTGCCACCGATTCACTCTCGCCGCCTAGAATTTCACTCACTCCATCTCATTCTGCCCATGTTTATGATCATTTGTTGGACTTTGGCGTCCCCCAGCATGTATTTGTGAATTAACTTCATTATTGTGTATTTCCCTGTTTCCACCATAGTTCGATGTTGCCAAATTAATTCCATCTTGAATAAATTTGCAAACTTTCGTGTGCCTCGTTTTTTTTTGTTTGATATCTTCTCCTTAGTATTTGTATGGCATGTGTGGCAAATTTATGGACATTCTCTCTCCCATCAGAAATCCCCCTGAAAAGCGAGAGGAAGTGTTTAATTATTGCCAAATCCACAGAGACTCATCATGGCACTCCAAATTTTTCCCTTTTGCAAGAAAACACCACAAGTTTCCCAACAGACATGAAGAAAAAGAAACATTGGCAAATGCTCGCATATCGATATTGTAATATTGCAATTGTCGACAAGGTTAAAGTCATGAAGAAGCCAACGATTTCTCACTGAATTTCTCAAGCCGGCAAAAGAAAGTGCGGCCAAGCGAGCAAAAACAGCCTAATCCGTATCGCAGGTCTCATAAATAATCAACAATAGACGCGCGCGTCTGAGGCCAAAAAACCGTCAGACGTAATTTGTTTACTTTCCCACAAACGTAATCGAATGCAATTCAAAAGAAAGCGATAAACAAAACGAAGAATTAAATCAACAGGTTCACCAATCTGATAAGACACTTTTCTCAAGACATGTATTATTCAAAAAATAACAACAGGTAAGAATACAAATCATTGCAACTTAATTCTGGTAAGATGAATCACAATACTTCCCCAATTCGGGAAATTCAATATGATATCATTGTGTAATATTGCGAAAAGATGATTATTAATGATGACTTCTCAGAAAACTCCTATATTTCATGGCTTGCGTACTAAACTACTAAAATTCATGCATGTCCAGAAAGATGTCTTAATAGCAGGTCTTGCAAGAAAATGTCTTAGAAATGTTGAAAAAATTCAATTCGAGCAGATGATTTCGTAGAGGAATTCTAGAAGTCTCGGCCAGTGAGAAGAGAAGACATTTAAGACCTCAATTGCAATAGCACGATAGGATAAATCAATTTAATTGCACTATGATGTCTCTAATCGGACTGACTGAACTGAATAGGTCGCCCAGCACAGAAACCAAAAAAAAAGAAGCAGCGAAGAACGATCAGCGAAGCAAGAGAGGAAGTGTCTAACAGGACTTTTGGTGCCCAACAGAAGAGTGGAATATATGAATCCCATCTGAAATGGGATCACCAGGGAGCTGGGCCACAACCACACTCACTGCGAAGATTGTGGGAAAGGGAGTCCGAATGGGAAGCAAAAACGCGCGCGCCAAGAGACCAATACAGACTTTGTTGCGTAATGATATTCATCACTCCTCATCGCGTCGTCCCACTCGCACTCTGGGCCCCCGAATCGGCCACTCAATCATCACCGAGACTCACTGATTCCTGCTGGCCAGGCTCTGTCCCTGTCGCGCGACAGAGGATCGCCGCTGGCGCATGAGAGGGTGTGAGAGTGACATTTGGGCAAAAGAGAGACACTTTTTGGCGTCCCAATTGTTGCATAATTCTCCAACAAAAGTGCCCAAAACCACGAGCTCTCTGTCTCAGTCACACCACCTGTCCCCACATGGGGATCTCCTTGTCTCGCTGTCGACTGGGTTAAATGTGGCAACCACGGATCGCGAGAGTGAATTGTTTTTTCCATTCTCGAGATGAAGGAGTTGAGAAAAAACACTGCGCAGCGTGGAATAAGGCGAAATGTTGGCTGAAGACGAAGCCACCCAGCATCCATCTGTGAACCTGGAAAGGGAGATTAGGCGCAGGACTCACCTTCAGAAGCCTCCTCGAAGGCTATCACGTCCGCCTTGTCCACGTCCAGGGAGTCCAGGGACGGCTGGGAGGACTGGTCAGGCATCAGGGTGCATCCGGACTCGTCCACGGGCGCTTCGAGGTCATGATTGAGCGGCAGCTCCACAATCACTCCACTTTTCTCACAAACACCCCCACCATCGAGGAGGCAGTCACTCCCGGAAGCGCTGGAGTTGCTACTCGTGGCAATGCGCGTCGTGGCCGTACTTCCCGTTGGAGTCTCCTCGTCGGGCATCTTTCCCCTCGCCGTGGCCTCCAGAGTCAAACACTTGGCAAGTTCCTAGGACACAACACTTTGGGGGCGACAGGATGCAGGGCAGATGCCAGTCTCGCTTTCTGTAACCAAATCCACCCCTCACGCGTGCACTGTCGTGTCACACACGAGCACCATGGCCAGGATGCCGAAGGAGCGCTCCCGGAGAGCCAGTGAAAATGAAAACCCAGTGAAAATTAGGTCTGTAGGCCAGCACTTACACTCCCGTGTTCGACATTATTCTAGATTGGAATTCATGACGGCGGAGAGCGCCACATTCGCTCACACACTACTGCCATACTAACACACAATCGCCGTTCATGAACATGACATTGAACCCCTCAGTTCTCTCTCTGTGTGCGTGCACAGCTCGCTGGGATGCGAGGAAAAGGAAGCCCCAGTGATCAGATGTGGTGCCTTTTCCCCATCAAGTCACGCCACACCGCGCACCCAGTCACTCTTTTCACGTTCACTCACGCCCACACTCGTGATTGCACCGGCAATTGGACGACAACAGTCGCGGAAGAGACTGTTTTTTCACGATATCTCGAGAGCTCAAAATTGCCGCTGTCCATTAATTCCGTCTCACACCATCGTCTCCTCTATCGCGCGCGCCGCCCTCTGTGCTCAATTCGCCACACTCGCGTCCTCGCATGCCAATTCAGGCGGCCAATGACGTCACGGGCGCGAAACAAAATGCATCCCCAAGAATCTGGGCCAGCAAACTGCGCGGGACTGAAATATCTCGTTATATGTTCGTATTTTGCAAATGATTGGTGGTATGAGAGTGAAATGTGAAATATGAAATGTGTATCTATTGTCGCTGCAATTCATGAACTTGACCGAACACAAAGGAGTAAGGAAGCGCGATAAATTATTGATGTTAAATGTGGTAAATACCTTAATTAAAGTACACAAATATAGTGAAAAATAGCTTATTTATTCCCAAAACACAGTTTTGGCAATTATTCCCGAGTCCGCAGTAAAGGGCGCCTTCAGGAGCGAATTGAACGAATTTTGCTGAAATCCCCGCCAATATGATCGCATTTTCTCACTTATTGCCTTGATTTGTTAGCATTTCACGGGAAATGATCAGTCTCTGCACCTGACTCGTGCCCTCGTAGATTTGATAGATTTTGGCATCCCTCATCAATTTCTCCACTGGATACTCAGAATTGAAGCCATTCCCGCCGAAAATTTGCACGGCATCTGACGCGATCTTATTTGCCATGTCGGCGGCATGGCATTTCGCAATGGAGGCATAGTAAGTATTCCGGCGTCCTTGATCCACTTCCCAGGCTGATCGCCAGTACGCCATCCGGCCGGTCTCCACGCCAATGGCCATATCGGCGAGCATAAAGGACACCGCTTGATGATGGGCAATCGGCACGCCGAACGTCTTCCGCTCCATGGCGTACTTCGTGGCCTCATCCAGACAGCGCTGGGCCAGGCCAACCGCTCCGGACGCCACTGGAGGGCGGGTTTTATCAAAAGTACCCATAGCTACTTTGAATCCCGCTCCCTCGCCTATCAGCACGTTCTCTTTGGGCACTCTCACGTCCTCGAAGGTGATTCCTCGCGTGTCTGACGCTCTCTGGCCCATGTTGATTTCCTGGAAAGATCATAAATTAAGAAATTTTGATCCCACGAGCTGGAAATGCTGTGCAAAAAACCTTTCTTCCAGGCGTGACTCCCGGGAAATCGCGCTCAACGATGAATCCAGTGAAGGCTTTACTGGCTGGAGCCTTGGGATCGGAATTTGTGCGGGCCAGAACAAAGTACCAATTCGCCACGCCGCCGTTGGTAATCCACATCTTCTGGCCATTGAGGATGTACTCATCTCCCTTACGCTCTGCCCTTGTTTTCACTCCATTCACATCACTTCCTGCTCCTGGTTCGGTGACCGCATATGCCGCCACCAGAGGCTCATCCAGCAATCTGCCCAGATACTTCTTCTTCTGCTCAGCATTGCCGGCAATCAGCACTGGTGTCTGAGCAAGGGTGCTGGCTTCCATGGCTGTGAAGATACCTGTACAGCCATAAGCCAGCTCCTCGTTTACAATGCACGTTGTCAGGACATTGAGTCCCATTCCGCCGATGTCCTGAGGTATATGAAGGTTCACCAGACCCAATCCGTGGGCCTTTTTTATAATGTCCCACGGATACTCGCCGGTGCGATCATGATGTGGGGCCACTGGGATGATTTCTTCACGAGCGAACTTCCGGGCCGTCTGCTGGAACTCATACTGGACATCAGACAACCGGAAACTGGGCCCCAACGCCTCTGGAGCTTGGGTACTAAACCTCCGGCCCGGGAGAACTGTTGAGCGGACAATCTAAAAGTTATAAAGTAACAACTATAATTATTATATAGGTCATTAATGTCATTAATTATATTATCACTTTAAGAGTAGTTAATGGCATTCGGGAAAGAACCGAGAAAAATCCGTCTCCAATTATCTCTTAGCCGATTACTCCAAAGTGTAAAAAAGTACGCAGTTGATAAGAAATTTTACGTAAATTAATCCATTAGGCTCATGAAGGTAGACTATCGTAAAAGGCATTTTGACCTCAGCGATACGGTCCAAAGTGCAGAAGCGCCGATCCGGTGAAAGCAAGTCACGCAAGTGACTGGGACATCTCCTCTCGAGATATTCAAAAGAAAACAATTGAATGCATGTTTATCAACTCACCTGCCTCAGGAGTTGAGCCATTCCTCAGGATTTACTATGCAGAACTACGATTTACTTTCAGACTACAGACTTTGAGATGTCGTCCGTTCGACTTTGTGACACACACTGAACTCGTCTGGCGTCTAGAAATTGCGGTGAATTTACAGAATAAATTTTGATTGCAAAACAAGGCCTTCCTGCCACACAGCACTCCTCCCAAGACGCTTTTTGTCCACATTCCGGAGTTTTGAGGTGCAGCAAAGTTGCCAAAAGCGCCATCTGTAGTGATAAGAAAAACACATTCAACATGAAATATAAAATCATAGCCAACCTGAACTCCAAAGAACATCTGTGAGTCTCCTCAAAAAGAAATAGTTCTTGACAGAATCTTTATTTACATCTGATTTTGTCCCCACGATACAGTATCTTAAATAGCTACTATCTATCCAGATTATTTAGTACGTTTAATAATATGTATTATGATTTTCTTTATTTATTTCTAATTCCTTTTTTCTCTTCTAAATTAATGTATGAATGGAAGGTGATATTTTTTCATATATAAATTAAAAATGTAGAAAAAGACTCTGAAATCATAAGTATCCACTTTTACAGTAATTATTACTATAATTTCTCTTCATTAGACTCTCCAACAAATAATTTTGGGTACATTTTTATAAGGATGTTTTTGCCATGACTATTATCATATATATTTCTTTAAATAATTTTTGCGATGCAACTATTTATGCATGACAACTGTGTCTTCACTCCTTGTCAAGGCAATATCTAATATATTCTTTTGATTTCATATATAACTAGGAGCAGTATAAAACATGGCACAAATTCTAAGTCCTATAAAAATTAAATCAATGTTAGACTCTATGCAAAAGGTCTCGCCTATGTCATGTTATGTAAGGTGAGCATACGTTTAAATAAGGTTAGTAAGGAAATCAAAAGGTTTCTTATAAGCTCAAATAGTTCTCTTACTTTTTGTGTATTTATATTTCTTTTCTTTTTTTTGATAAAGAAGCTACAATACTCTGAACTCTTTCCCTCATTCTCTATAAATTTTATTTATCCATTCTAAATTTTCAAAAAGATTGCGTTTTATGCAAAAAGATTTATCCTATTTACGAGAATGCAATTTACTGAGACATCTTGTGAGGGTGAGAAATTTAACTAAAAAACATATGTGTTAATAAACTACTCAGTGTAATCTTGCTTTATGCTCCGTTTTTGTGAGTCCCGTTGAAAAATTCAGCAAGGCAAATGCCTCTTTCGAGATTCTCTTGGTGGTTTTTGCATAGGAAATGAAGATGACATATTGAATTGTCTTTCTGAGAGTATCAATTTTTGATTTATACTGAATCTTTTTCACAATTTATTCATACGATTGTCATTTACGAAGTAATGTAGGTCAGCGTACACAACATTGAACACCAATGACAATTTACTGGTAAACAATTTAAGAGCTGTGATCTTAATTTTAATATTTATCGATGATTTTTTCTTCTTCCAAACTCTACTCATCAAACATTATTTTTCTCTTATTTTTTTTGTCTTCTAATCAGTTTTCAAAGAAAATTCTTTATCATTCCAGGGAGCAGAAAGTGAAGCAAGAGTTGAAACCAAAATTCGAAGCATGTGCGTGAATCGATAGTGTTCCTATTGTACAGTTACTATACAATATAAATATAACTTATTCAATATGTTATTTCTAATTTACAAACATTGCGATATTTATTGTAACCCTCTTTCTTTTTCATATATAATCTGTTATCGATAGGAGAAGCATTCATTTTTTTACCAGTCATTTTCTTGAGTAATCAACATTTACGTAGAAAACAGTGTGAATACATCAACGTCCCTCTTTTCATCCGATGAGTAAAAATCTACGAATGTTGCAGAAATCAACCGTAGATGAGATTTTGCCTCGCAACTAAAGAGATGCCTTAACTGCCAACGTAAAGTTCCCTAGAATAACAGCCATAACATTAGTTTTGTGATGCAGAAAATACAGAAAAAGCACAAAATGCCTTACTCGAAGTTACGGGTTATTCAGAATTTGCGCTGCCTCGAATATGAGAATTGCTTGTGGATATTCAGAAAACAGTTGATAGTTCTTCCAGCCACTCAGCCAAGAAAACAAGATCATGCCCATATCTTAAAAACTACCTCGGGGGACCAATTATGACACATCAAAAAACAGTGAGGGGCATTTTCTCTATATATTTGCCAAAATTTATGGCTGAATATAAATAAATTATAAGGAGAAAAGAGAAAAAAACGTTATTCATAATATGATAATAATATGGGAGGAAACAATAGTTTTCTGTATATGCGCGATAGTATACAATATATAATAAAAAACTGGATTCAATAAGCTCCGTGTCATACTTTCGTAATTATTGGGTATTACTCGTATTACTGCTTCTTTTTCCTTACTCTACACAACTCCTCTCTCTCTCTCTCCCTCTTTCTTTCTCTCTTTCTCTTCCTTTCATGCAATTCAGATAATCGCAATTGCTGCAAATTGATTAACTGACGCCCTCACATAATTTCTTCTGACAGAAGAAACTCACTTAAAAAAAAGTATTTTTAGTAGTCTCATGCATAGAATTCACGATTATTAGAATTTTTAGCATAAGAGTTCACTGCGGGCGATCTCTTTGGCTCATCGAGGGCGTAAGAACCTTCATCCTTTTTCCTCATTCGATACACGATGAACATCACTACAAGAATTGCACATAGAAGTCCCACGACGGCTCCACCAATAACAGCTGGAAGGAAGATGCAAAGATATCTTAGTACCCAGTTCTTTCACTTGAATCGCAATCGTACTTAGAAGTAAGAGCATTCAAATATAATTGACTCACCTGCTAGTATTCCTGGCTGAGCAAAGAAGGACGCTGTTCGATCTTCCGGCTTTGTATTCATGATGAACACCTCGTTATTGCTTTCACTATGCGAGTCTGGACGATCAGTACTGTGACTGTGATCAATATCTGTCAGATCAATTTCTGGGTCCTCGTGTGGTCGGTTCACTTTATCCTTTCTATTGGTTCTCGGGTCATCGACTGCACAAAGAAAATGTAAAAGCTTAATCACATTTGTCGCAAAAAGCTCATAGCATCAGAGTGATAGAGAATTTCAGTTTATAATGAGTGTTTTTTCTTCCTTTCTTGATTTTGCTCTGCGCAAGTTTCCGAGCGTGAACCAAAAAAATAAATCACAAAATGTAATAATGTAAATTGATGTGAATAAAATGCGAATGAGTAAATGAAATATGTACAAATTTTTCGTCACAATTGTTAAATACAGTGAAGAGAGAATGTTATGAAATACGGCACGCGTTTTAGCCATTTTATCAGCTCGCCAAAATCAAGAGCCCAGCTGCGGTGAAAACTTATGCTCTCGAAAATCAAGATATGAATGTAAATATGAGAAATTGATAATAAAGAAAAAATAATAATAAAACCAAGCCATGCACTGACTGTCAATGTCTTCGTCGTCACTTGTGTTGGGGTAGAGTGGTTTGGGTTTCTTCTCCTCATGTTTCTCATCCAAATCCATCTCAATATCATCATCTCCATCACCTGATCCATCCTCAGAGTCCAGAGACGAACCTCTCTGTCTATCCTTATTCCTATTTGTGTTGAGATTTAATTGGTGGCGATGCGACGTAGAGTCCTCGTCGTCCGGACCAAGACCAGATCCAGAATAGTCAGGCTCCTTCTCTAGATCATCGCGAATCTGCAAATTGTTCATCACATTTCACACGTTTGGCGCATGAGAGACAATATATTACTGCCAACCCTCCATTAATTTCCACTCCTTACCTCGCCTCGACCGCCAGATCCCTCGAGACTCTCGTCGTCAATGTAAATTTCATCCTTGGGTGTGCCACTGTTACTTATTGTACTGCTCGTCAAGGCTGACGCTGCATCAGCCTGGGTCTGGGAGAGAACACAGAAAATATCCATGCATTATTCCTCAGTCGTCTTCGCATTAAGGATAAAGTTCCTCTTCAACCAGAAGGTCAATAGTATATATGGGCCAAATGTGTGAATATATTCAGGCCACGCTTATTTAAACGTGTCAACTACACACTCTAATCGAAAAACTAAACACATTGAACAACATTGCTTCAGTCTATCACACTTTGAACCCTCTAAACTAATTATAAAATATTTCATGTCGCTAAAATTTTCCTATGCTTCCAACTTGTCAGTCATTTACCAACTTTTACCAAACAAATAGTCATTGTTTCTCTCTGTGTAGTGCCTAGAACAATACTAGATACGCCCAGTTTCGTCATTGTTGATATCAACCATCTAATTTTGCGGGAAGGTATTTTTTCTCCCATAAGACTTAGGGTGGTAAAAAACTATGACGTAGTTTCCTATTTCTCGTCCTTGTGCAAACAACCTTGAAATCTGGACCAAATCCCACATTGAAGGATGCAATATGGATTGTTAGGCACTTTCAAAGCTTTGCATTTTAGGTAGTTTTCACAATAGCTCTAATTACCTTGCCTAGAACATCGCATACTCCATCTTAGTAAGACAATAATCTTAATAAATCTAAGAAATTTTTACAATACTAGGATTTCTGCAAATAATCTCAACTACACAAGAATATTCACAGAGAGTCCAATCAATATTCCCTTCCAGGACACACAACACCAACAATTGGGAGCTTCTTTTCGCACTGTCACCGCTTTTGCAAATTTGCAATCTACTGTGTCACATTTCAACTTTTATTTTTAATCAAGATGTGCAAGAAAACTGCAGGAAGATATAAAAATCAATAGCCTCGAACTGCGCTGACTCACAAACTTCTCGCTCTTCCCCTTCCCAACACTTACATTATGTACGTAATTCCAATAGGTAATTTATTCTATCCAACTCTTGCTTCTTATAACCTGCCTTACAGTAATTCAATTTGTATGGCAGAATTTCTTCTCTTCCAACAATTGAACCTATGACCTATAAGGGCACGAGAGCTGTACATGTTAATGTCTCTATTAAAAGGTACTAATGTCACTTGGCTATTCAGAATGACGTTCCTTTCCACGAATTCACTGATTATTCTCAATCTAAAGTAGCGTATTAAGCATTTTGTTGAAAAAATTCTTAGATATTTCCCGTGACTTTTTGCTCCGACTGATAAGGACGTGTTTTTGCAAACACAAAATCACGAGATTCATGTAAAAATCATAATTATGTATGGGATGCTCGTTAACGCCATGAGACATCTCTTCATTGAATTGATCTCAAAAATGGAACTCTGTATATTCATGCGGATGCTGCCTTTAGTCATTCTTCTATATTTATAAAAAGAAGGAAGATTTCCGTCCGTCGAATTCAGTCGAGTTTACATATAAACAAAGGTTGACTGAATGTAATCTGGGGGTTCATGAGGAGCTTTTGCGTCTTTCATAGAATTGATTTTTTAAAAGTTACATATTAAGGATATTAACAAACAAAAAATCTATCCCGGAAATGATGGAGCAAGTCATATTCTAAAAATTTTTGGCCGTCATTTCTCAATCAAGCATTATAGCGAGAGACGTCAGGCTGCGCCCTTTAAATTTAAAAGGGCGAAATTTCCAATTAGAAAAGCCACAGAACAATGTAAATTGTCCAGACCACACGAAAATACCACGAATTTTCCATGACTATGCAGTAAATCTTTGGCTAGTAAGCAACCAATAAGCATTTATCGAGTCACAGTATAATTGCATATTATGGATCAAGTGATTACTCCTACTCAGCACCTGCATTGAGGGAGCAGCAGTAGAAATTTTTACCTTCTCTGTTGCAGCAAAACAAATTGTGCTGCCATACAGAATTGCTAGAATGAGCCAGCATTGATTTAATCGCCTCATTTCTCTTCGCATGTGTACAAATTCTTATTCTAATCACACAGTCCTCTTGTCCACTGCTCACGAGTCTACGAAACGATGTATGCCCAAAAACTCTATACCGGGAGTGAATGGGGAAGTAAATAGTGAAATTATATCTGGCAGCAGGATTCCAGTACTATAAAATAACAAATGACGGCATTCACGATTTCTGCATTCCACAATTGAAAGTCGCAATTCCGCGGCAATTTGCACAATTTTTCACTGCTTTTCAACACGTGGCGCCACTTAGAGACGTTTTGCACGCATTTTTTGACTCTTGCGAGCTAGAATTCACTGTGATAAGCACAAATGTCGAGTATATTTTGCGAGGACTACACTCTCATCTTGACAATTGCAGCACCTTTCTAGCAGAATCAACAAAATGGCTGGTTGGATGCCCAAAGAAAGAAGAAGAAGATCAGTTTACTGCAGAATTGCAGCACTTTCTCGCATTTCTGGTTGACCCTGTTGCCGAAAGAGAGCACTCCTGCTTCAGGAGGAAAATTCTGTAACAAAACTGCTAGAACGCGATACTTTTCAATTACAAAATAAGAACACTGTCATCGATTGCATAAAACATTTACGACCACAAGTCAGAACTTTAATGGCAATTGTGTGTGTCGACAAATGTAAATGGATACGTATATTTGGGGAGAAGAAATTATTGTTCGACGATTCAAAAAGGGGATGTAGCTCAGCTGGTAGAGCGTTCGCTTTGCATGTGAAAGGTCCCGGGTTCAATCCCCGGCATCTCCACAATTTTTTTCAAATTTCATTCAACGAATTATTTCTCAAACCAACGTTCATCCTTGACTGTGAACTTTCCACGAAATACAACATTCAAATATTTTTTTTAAGCTCCATAAGCACACATCTGTTCTCTTAATATTCTCTTATTTGTAATCAAATTTTTGGCTGACGAAAAAAGCTCTCAAGGTCGAACTACAATCGCTTTGATAAAGAAATTTGATGTGTTCCTCCTCAGTATCAATTGAACTGGCAAGCAGTCGTGATGTTGCTAAAATCTAGTCTCTTTTTGCGCAACAGCGTCAGCAAAATTTTCCTAATTAGAGGAATTCAAAAAGTGGTAATTTTTCCGCCTGTTCTCAATTTACCATATAAAAACTGCGATTAAATTGAATTGAAAAAGACGCAATTTTCTCATCTCTCCCGGATTCTAAAATAAAAGTGTGTGAACCATTGCCACACACTTTCTTCATTGATCATCGCTATATTATTTTATTTAACTCTTCTCAAGTTTAGAATGAGTGTCGTGACTTTTCCATTCCCATGTAGCACACATCAACAAAGGAGGGCCAATATGCTGCAGCAACTGCGGCGACACTTGAAGTGGACTCTATTCGACAGTACGATGAAATCCCTGGCCCAAGTCGTATCAACTTTGTGACCAGCTTTATGCCCGGCGGAAAGTTTTACAAGAAGGATTTCTTTGACTTCCTAGCGGCAGTCAGGCATGAATACGGAGACATTTCAAAACTGCCTGGAATCTTTGGCAGACGAGATGCCATCCTGGTTTACGATCCTGAAGCCTACAAGACGGTCTTTCAGACCCAGGGAGCTTATCCGATAAGGCGAGGCCTCGACACGATGGTTTACTATCGAAGTGTGCACAAGAAGGACTTTTATCAGGGCGTCGTTGGAATTGCAGTAGAGTAAGAAGAAGACAGCATTTTCCAAAACTTTCCCTATAATTTAAATACTTCTACCTGCAGTCAGGGACCTTCTTGGTGGGATTTCCGGCAGAAAGTGAATGCAGCCATGATGAAGCCCCAAATCACGAGAAAGTACGTCCCGGCTGTTGACGAAGTGACTCAGGACTTTGTGAAGAGACTGCACTCTTTGAGAGATAAGAATACAATGGAAACGCCCGCGGACTTCTATGCTGAATTAAATATGTGGGCTCTTGAGTCAATTGCGCAAATCACGATGGACACACGCCTTGGTATCTTTGAGAACACCTCCAATGAAAATATGCATACAATCATGAAGGTGAGAAATGACAAGAGTGTTTTAAGAAAACTACACAACCAAATATTCCCTTTTCCAGGATCTTAAAGTGTTCTTTGAGTACACATTCAAATTGAACTTCATGCCATCTCTTTGGAAATACTTCCCAACGTCGAATTATCGTAAACTAACTCAGAGCACAGATAATCTTCTCCAGTGAGTATTCCTGATGTCTCATAAAGTATGCTCACTTTAAAATATTTTTCAAAAATATTCATCTTCAAGAGCTATTGAACACTACGTCAATATTGGCATTAAAAAAGTGAAGGAAAGCTCTGATGACGCTGAGAATGAGGGAGTTCTGAAGAAACTGCTGGAAATTGATCCCAAAGTGGCTACAATTATGGTTATGGATTCTCTCTTTGCAGGAGTTGACACGGTAACTTATTACTTTATGGTTTAACTCGGGAGTGAAATGATTTGTTCAATCTTATCTCCAGACCTCAAGTGCTGCCTTTGCTGTCTTGTATTGTTTGGCCAAAAATCCCGATAAGCAAGAGAAATTGAGGGAAGCGGTGCTGAAGATTTTGCCTGAGAAATCTTCTCCTTTGACCACTGAAAACATGAGCAACATGCCCTACTTGAGGGCGTGCATAAAAGAAGCACTGAGGGTGTATCCTGTGACTTTTGGCAACTTCCGCACCACTGGACAGGACATTACTCTCATGGGATACCACATTCCAAAGGGCGTAAGAACATTTTAACAATTTCTATTTAAATCTTTCCGCTGACAGTCAGGAAAATCTTCCAGACTGACGTCGTGATGGGCAACCAAGTGTCTCAAATGGAGGAGAAATATTTCGATAGAGCATCGGAATTTTTACCAGAGCGATGGATTCGTCCGGAAAACAGCAAGATCACATGTCCAGTAACGGCTTCAACGCATCCCTTCACGTATCTTCCCTTTGGCTTCGGCACCAGAATGTGCGTAGGCCGTCGCTTCGCTGAGATGGAAGTCGAATCGCTCGTGTGTCGCCTCTTGAGGATGTATCATATTGAGTGGAGACATCCGGAACCCAAAATTGCCAGCATGGCTATCAATATGCCCGTCAGTGATCTGAAATTCCGAATGACTGACATTGAGAAGTGAGCTTTGAGAGAAAATGAATGAAAACTCTCACCTCTTCCTTGGTGCTGTCGCGTATCCTGACTCTGAGGAATACAGCTGAATAAATTGAATGCCTTCGCTTCATGTCGAGCTTTCAGCTTGTCCTGCAAGCCCGCTAGAGAGATCAAGACTGCCTCTTCAGTGCGAATCGTCCGGGAGCCTTGTTTTGGTGCTGTATTGATATAGTGATCAAACAGCAATTCGGCCGCGGTGGTGCTCAGTTGGTTGTCATTCTCCAAGGCGTATTCTATGCCCATCACGCCTCCAAACACCACAAGAGCATGATTGAAAGACAATTCCTGCACATCCTGAATCTTCGTTCCTCTGTCCGAAGTGCCAATTGTCAAATCGTATCCATCCTCGTAGGGAGATTGGCTGAAGACCTGGGAAATCGTTTCAGCTATCCTGACGCTGTAACCCCAATAAACTCCAGTCTCCTGTCTCGGAAGCGCAGGAGAGACAACAGCTGCTCGAACCTTTTTTCCTTCCTTCTGATCAGACAATTTCACCGTCACTCTTATCCCAGGTGTCAGGGTTTCCTCCACATAAGCATCCTTCCTTAGACCAATGTTAACATTGCTTCCTTTGCCGGTCTTTGTGGGCTTTTCCGTGACAACTCCTTCTCGGAACATGAAGTCGTTGTTTTGGCGCAAATGATGAGGTGCATCCAGAGGATTCAGTAGCCCACAGAACTTCAAATCCCTGTGCAGGGGAAAGAAGAACTTTCGTAGGTACTGTGGACACTCCAGATACTGCAGAATCCTTGCCATTTGAGAGCAGCACCCTTTTCTCGCCGTCTGATCTTCTCCATCAGAAGACGCTGTGCTCGCCGAGTCATCGTATATTACAATCTCATCCACATTGTATATACAAGCCGCCCGTGCTATCTGTCCTGCCAGGTACGTCTTCAGCTCCAAGGAATGAGCGTTTTCCAGAATCGATCCCGGAACTGCGATACTAATTGTAGAAACTTCAGAAACTTCACTTATTTCTGCTTCTGCTTGCTTTTTCTTCTTCTTCGCACTCTTGTGGTTCTGTTGCACTGCTTTTGACTTCTTTGAAATCTTGTTTTCTTCCATTTTTCGTAGATAAAAGGTGTAATTTCTTTTAGAGAGGAAACCAAAACAATGCCGGCCACGCGCGATGTCCAGAAATGTGCGCCTCCCATACGACTGCAGCGTCACCTTGCGGAAATCAGTGACGTCAAAATCCCAGTGCGCTGTCAAACAGGTCCTCCCCGGAAAAAGCCAATTTAGAGGGAAAATCCGTAAGTTTTCTTTTCATTTCCACTCACAGATAGAAGATTTTGTATCAATTGTGAAAATTCTATCGAAAATTTACATCACAACTAGAATTCTTGGGCGGAAAACCGCCTCGAAGATGGGGCTTCTTCTTCTTCTTCCACTGACATGGCTCCCAATTTCAACCCATTGCCATTTCCGCCCATTTCTTACTATCTCTCTTCCTGTCTTTCCAGGGAAGTCGCCATCGGGAAAGATGATTGGCGGATTGTTTGTGTACAATCACAAAGGAGAGGTGCTGATCTCCCGGGTGTACAGAGATGACATCGGCAGGAATGCTGTGGATGCATTTAGAGTGAATGTCATTCATGCCAGGCAACAAGTGCGCTCTCCGGTCACAAATATCGCCCGGACAAGCTTTTTCCACATCAAGGTAGACTTCCTGACTGTGGCACATTGTTCTGAGAACCAGCAATCTCATGATTTTGTCTGATCCTCTTGTTTTCAGCGTGCAAACATTTGGCTGGCTGCCGTGACCAAGCAGAATGTGAATGCAGCCATGGTCTTTGAGTTTCTGCTCAAAATCATCGATGTCATGCAATCGTACTTCGGGAAGATCTCAGAGGAGAACATCAAGAACAACTTTGTTCTCATTTACGAACTATTAGATGAGATTCTGGACTTTGGCTATCCCCAGAACACCGATACGGGCGTCCTGAAGACTTTCATTACGCAGCAGGGCATTAAGTCGGCCACGAAGGAGGAACAGGCCCAGATCACATCCCAAGTGACTGGGCAGATTGGCTGGCGCCGTGAGGGTATCAAATATCGTCGCAATGAACTGTTCCTCGACGTCCTCGAGTATGTGAATCTCCTGATGAGCCCGCAGGGGCAAGTGCTCTCCGCCCACGTGGCCGGCAAGGTGGTGATGAAGTCCTACCTCTCTGGCATGCCCGAGTGCAAGTTCGGCATCAACGATAAGATCGTGATGGAGGCGAAGGGACGCGGCGGCATCTCGGGCAACTCTGAATCTGAAACCTCACGCTCTGGGAAGCCCGTGGTGGTGATTGACGATTGTCAGTTTCATCAGTGCGTCAAGTTGAGCAAATTCGAAACTGAACACTCCATCAGCTTCATTCCGCCGGACGGAGAGTTTGAACTGATGCGCTATCGCACGACTAAGGACATCTCGCTGCCCTTCCGCGTGATTCCGCTGGTGCGCGAAGTGGGGCGCACCAAGATGGAGGTGAAGGTGGTGCTCAAGTCGAATTTCAAGCCAGCTCTCCTGGGCCAGAAGATTGAGGTGAAGATTCCCACGCCCCTCAACACTTCGGGAGTGCAACTGATCTGTCTGAAGGGCAAGGCAAAGTACAAGGCGTCGGAGAATGCAATTGTGTGGAAGTGAGTATGAGCAATTTCACCCCTAAAATGAATATCAAATTGATGCTCGATTCATTTGTCAGGATCAAGAGAATGGCTGGGATGAAGGAGACGCAATTGTCGGCGGAGATTGAATTGCTGGAGACGGATACCAAAAAGAAATGGACCAGACCGCCCATTTCAATGAACTTCGAAGTCCCATTCGCACCTTCCGGATTCAAGGTGAGATTGTGGTGGATTTTCCCAGGATTTGAATGATTAACACCGAATTGCCTTGCAGGTGCGCTATCTGAAAGTCTTTGAGCCCAAACTGAACTACTCGGATCACGATGTGGTGAAGTGGGTGCGCTACATTGGACGCAGTGGGCTGTATGAGACTAGATGCTAAGAGCTAAGGTATTTGCGATGAGAGTGGCAAAGGAGCATAAATATTATATTGTGTGTATAGATGAAATCTCATTCCAATCTTTATTAGCCATAATGAGAGATATTATGTTACACATATGCAATGACACTATTATAAAATCCTCATTTGCTTCGTATTCCATAAAAAAGAAACCATATGAAATTCAATGGTAAAGATAATAATGACAAGAGATGTAAGGTAAATTCATGAATTATCTGTTAAAATAAATCGTTAAAGCGGATAATTTCAATATATTTTCTGCCGCTTGGGGATTTTGCTTGGGTCACAGCTATGTACACTGGATGGAAAATGTCCAGGGAAAACTGCGAGAAAAGTGCCTCACAGCGAGCGTTCTGCGAAACATCTCATCAATGGTGTCCGATGTCAAAGAAATGTCAGTGAAGAATGTGTGAAATTTTCGTAATGAATTAGTTTTTCTTTACAATTTGTGGACAAATAACAGTTGAAAATACAATATTAGTGATAGAATACGTTCAACTTTGTGTGATATATAAGGTAATTGATGATCTATGCTGGGGCATTGTGAATTTTGTGCTGAACAGAAAATTTCACCCCATTCCACTTTTATTCAATGACGCTGCTGTACATAGAATTTGCTGTATATCCAAATTTCTCCATTTATCCAGGGGTGGTTTTGCGCGATCCTCCGCTGGGTGGGTGAGGCCGTACATTAGTGCATATATTAAATATCTATTAGTAATTTGGCAGGGCGCGATGGTGTGTGCAGAAAAGTTGTCGCTTCAAAGTTCTCACTGTGCTTTCGTTCTCTCTCGGAATTTTCTTATGTGCATGCTCACCACATAATATGCTAATGGCACATAGAGGCGGAGAGAATGTAGGGCCCCTCACAAAAGGACAATACAAGGGGATCCGAGCTCCTTTCTCGCAGTCGCCGAGAGTCTTGTCCTGTGGGTGGGCCGAAGACAGAGCCTCTGGGAATTTCGCGGGGAAGGCAGGAGAGCCTTTTAAATTAGGCCCTCACCAAGGCTGTGACCCGGATGAGCTTTGTCTATTTGGACCACTGTTGTAGTCACCTAATTAGGACCTATGCTACATGACATCTAATGCCTTTGTCTCTTGTTCTCTTCTTTCCAGAAAAAAAATCTATTATTACCCAGCGATATGGTTTCATCAACTTTTTTATTAGCTTTTTGAAGAGGCCAGTGCTATGGCGTCCCAGGCAATGTATTGTCTTAGTGTTCAAATTGGTGAGTATTAATCTCCTCTCCCCATCCTGAGCAGCATTTTCTGGGAACCAGCGAATTCACCTGAAAAGAAGAGCACTTGAGTCAATAAATGCTCAAGAGCGATTTATATCTTGGCAGTGGAAAGAATATCGCTAGGTTCATCATCTACTATCATATTTGTATTTTGATTTATAGTCTTGGTCTTAATATTTTAAGTGTTTAATGAGAAACGTATTAAAATTTTATCTTGGAAGTAAAATTCCAATTTGACTGTCACACTTTCATGATCAAGTAGGAAGTTTGAAAGGATTGTAAGGAGTTAAACTATGATTTGAACGTACATGTTTGATTCTAAATTAAAAACATTTTAAATATTTTGTAAATCCAACAGCACTCATTACATAAAGAATTGGAAGTAAAATCAATAAACCCTGAAATCATTCGCACAGAATCTTGTCAGTTCCAGGAAATTCTCACGAACTCAAGTCAGTAGCGAGGATGAGCCATTTAATCTACTCGTTTCCCCCAATTTGTTACAGACCGATTTTGCTGAATTTTTATGAATATTGGTTTGTCGTAGATTTGCTTTTTTGAATTTCTGTGAAGGTGAAACCGCATCGAGTTACAGATACGATTATGGATGATGAACGTGGCGATACCGCTCTGTCCTCAGAATAAGCCACTCCACAACATGATTCGCAATACTAGGCCAGCAAATTGGGCAAATAGAGAGAATCCATGCATTATAAAGTTGTGATGATATAAAAGGAGGCAGAAAAAAGCAGCATGAACTGTATGAATGTGAAGTCACAGTGGAAAGTTTAAGCAATTTCTCAAGTATAATATTTGAAACTTTTGAATTAGGTAGAGAGAGGAGGCAGTATACATTTGTACACTTGCATTTCCAAATGAAAGTCGTACCGGGAGAGAGGATATACAATATCGTATATCGTTACGTGGGTATGGGTAATATTTTATTGCCTTAAGCGGATATTTATTGCAAGAAATTTGCTTTCAAGTCCTTATTGAATGTAAGTGATATAAAGTTAGCAATTGTAGCAGAAGGTTTTCCTTCAAATTTATTTCCACACTCGCGGGTGGGGTGGAAATTTGAAATTGTTGCGATAGCTCCAAACAAACAGGACGACAAAATGCCTATGAATGGATGTGGAAATATGACACAAATTGGAAAGGGGAGTTTAGATGGTGAGATTCTCTTTTTCTAGCCTGAGTTGCCACAATTTTTTTTTTATCATAGAATTATGCGATACATAGATGAGAAGAGCGTCTGGTTGAAAGTATAGCACTTTTGATATACTCCTGGTGACTCCTGTATGCGGTGTTTTGACCACGACTGTATCCACACACACAGAGGTATATAAATTTTCAGCGCAGCCGTATTAAATAACATCTCATGTACATTCAATATATTATTCATTTATCAAGAATAATATTAGGAATTAATTTAAATAATACAAAAAGTCAGAGACGTTTCGTCATTTTTTTTCGCCTTCCGCACCGCAACAAAACCTTTCTGCCCACTTTGAAGGGCGGAAAAGGGAAGGGAAGTAGGGAAACGCTGATGGTGGTTCAGGTTTAGAGGGTAACAATAAAAAATATTGCTCAACTTCATAATTCATGTGGGATTTAACGTAATATAAATTTGCATTAGGACTTGTGGAGGAAGTAATTGCAAATTTCATCCTTTTGCCACACACAAAGAGTGGAAGTGTTGGACTTGAAGTCTTGGGAGGTGAATCGATTTAAGGGTGTCAAAATCTTGAGGCTGAAAAGTCACACAAATCCTCAATCTGCACACCTCTCTGGGGAAATTTCTTAGTCCACGTCTCGCAAAAGGAGTCTCTATTCGATATCAATAAGCACAGAGTGTGGCTTTGCATGCTCTTGGGTATTCAAATGGGGGCTCGTGGAAAAAAGTGCACAATTTCTGGACGGGCGGAGGGTGGGAAATATGTGTGTGTGTGTGTGTGTATAACTGAGAAAAGTTGTTTTTAACCCCAAAAGTATAATTTAAATTTTCAACATACAGCGAACAGGAGAGGAGATTGTCTTTGTGGAGGAAGAGAAAGAGAGCAAGACAGTATAATTGAGGTAGTCTGCTTCTTGATGTAGTTTGTCTATACATCTGGAAACTTAAATTAGACTATAAGAACTTTGTCTCATATTCTCGGCTCAGGCCATTGTGTGTGTGTGTGTGTGTATAGTATAAATAATCCATAAACAAGGAAACACAAAATTTTAATTAGTCTCGCAAATGTACAATTGTTTAACGGTGGGTCGGGTGAATTAGGAGTTTTGGGCGCCTCAACGAAAACCGAGATGGTGGCATTTCGGGCCACGAATTGTGTATGTGTGTTGTGTGGATTCTTTGACTTTCTTCCGAGGGTGCATTGTAAATTTTATCATTTTGTGTAAACTAGTTGAAAGTTTGTTTTCTATATCAAGATGTTACTTATATACATATGTATTTGCGGGATAGGGAAAAAGAGAGAGATGGAGAGAGTTTCCTGAGTTGAATGTAAAGCGTATTTAATTAATCCAATTACCAAAATTCTCTTTCACGATGTTTTGTTGTGCCTTGCAAGAGTCCTCATGGGCAGGGGATTTTCCGGCTGAAGTGCACACACAACTCTAAAGGATTCTCCAATTTATTGCCATTCATCCCGACGCACAACCATTGGCAATAACAATTTGTAATGATGTCTTTTGCATCTCATGGAAATTTGCATTAAATAGAATGTGCATATGTTCAACTGCTGTTCTTTCTAGGTAGATTTCCTAATGATGATGTTCTGACATTTACTAAAATTAATAAAATAATTTGTTTTTTTTTTGCAAAAAAAGCAACAAGGTTAAACATAATTATTCGGACCAAGAAATATATTCTGTAACTTTGAAATTTTTCGTTTCTATTAATTTTCTTGTTATTCCTTTGGTTGGTGTCTTGGATCTTGATATCTGGATTTCCAAATGATTCCTTTCAAACGTTGCAAATTCCTGGCTCGAAGCTTTGACGGAGTTCTCTAGAATTTATACTGTAAAGCACCTCTTGGTATCCCAAATGGGGTGCGAAGCGCCTCGATGGGCTATAATGCAAATTACATGACTTTGTAACAGGGACAAAATTGCAATATAGAGAGGTTCAGGAAAACAGTAAGAAGCATGAGAGAATGAGGTAATAGGTAAAATCTCCTCGATGGTATAAAAGCAGAGCAAATATATTCCGAGTGAATAGCCCAACAATGGCAAGATAAATGGAATATGTTTTCAAGAACACCTTTCTCGGGCTATATCGACTGAGACGGGGTGTCTCAATTAAAAAGGCATGAAGAAATATTGCCCATTTGCTGGTTGTTGTCGAGTGTATTTTGGCACGGGAGCCAAACATGCTCAGCTCAGCCCTAATGATTGCCTATTTTCCACCCTGTTTTGTAGGTTCACGTGAAGATGATTTAGCCAATGACATTGATGCGAAAACCATGAACGACAAGTCATCGTGTGAAGCGTCATTTCCGATGTCGAGTGGAAACAAGGAGTCACCGAGCATTTCTCAAGCTCATCCAAATAATATAATTTTACTGCGTGGAGCGCGTTCTGACAATGGCCATATTATTCTGCACAACAATCAGGACCTGATGAGTTTGATAAGTGATGAGGAGAAGCACGTCTTGATCCAGCATCAGAGGCTGAAAGCGAAGAAGGCTGAAGGAGCCCTGATGCTCCAGCCAAGTGTTCAGGCGAAGGCGAGCGAGGGTGAGACGATCCTCTTGCAGGCGGCCAACTTGAAGAAGAACACCACAACTGGCCATCTCGCCGAGGGGCAATTCCTAATACAACATCGCGTCGGTACGCGAGGTCTCTCAGATGGCCCTATTTTATTGCAAACGCTGAAGCGTCTGGAGAAATCGCAATCGATATTCTTGTTTCGTAATAACAGTACAGCGCTCACGTCTTCAGTGAGGATATCATCTAAGAAATCCGCCACAAACACCACTAATTCGCTGAAAGTCAGTCAAATGAAGCAGCCGAAGAAGGAGCCCATCGGTGAGGAAGAGGCCGCTAAATTGGACCAGGTTAATCACAAGCATCTGCCATTTGGAAGTGGTGAGTTAATCAATTTGCCAATATTTTAAATAACGAACCCATACTGAGTAGCTAAATATACAGTCTCGAGGAATTACACAAAACTATAGATATATGTGTAGTGCTCTCGTGAAGTGAAGAACAAGTTTTCTAACATGCACTCTGGCTGAACGTGTCCTGCATGAAGGGATATTCAATTAGGGAAGGCTTACGTAGAGAGATTCTTAATTTTTGGGGTGGAGAGCAACTGAAATAACACACAAATTGATGTCTTATAGATACATCATTACGGAATTTGTGGAAGAGTTGGGCAAAAATGGAGTAAATTGCCATGAGGAAGTTATTCGCTAAATTGGAGGATGTTAAGCATGTTGGGAGGGTAAAGCGTACACTTTTTAGACACTTCAAAGAAGGGTATATACAAAAACATTGTAGAGACTTCAACTGAGCCCTGTGTTATGCTAACTTTTTGTATTTTCAACGTAGATTTTTGAGTTGTGCAAAAACTTAACTGTGAATTCAATGTATGTACTTTTAACTGATATTTGAGTATGCTTGCTAAATTATTATTTCCATGTCGCCACACCCTATTATTTATGCCTCAACTGTATTTTATATCTTTATTTTTTAATGAAGAGCAGAACCATGAGTTGAGCTTTCTGCCAAACTTTTCAAGGACTCTTCCGCTGTCTCAAATGCACACTTCCGCTAAGGAGGCAATAAGTCAATTCTAATAATGTGATTTTTTGAAAGCTCTCAAAAGGAATATCGCCAAATGAAAGGGTATATCCTTGACGTGTCTGTGAGAATTGCATTTTCTGGAAAGAGATTGACACCATACATCATGCTATGCTATGTGTGTTTCTAGCGTACAGCTCGCTCCCTTAAATTTTTCTATTTGGCCAGGCTTTTGGGGCGTATTAAAAGGAGAGGATATATAGCACAATTGTAAAGTCTTGTCAAACATAAGTCCATCAGCATGGTACGTGGTCTATTTTCTGTTTATGAGGGTTTACTGACTCACAAGTGAAGAAGGACAAGGAATTATAGAAACATGCGCCTCAGTTGCACGCCTTGAACATCGGGTGCTCCTGTGCTGGCCCACCGCGTCCGCGGTACGGTCGTCTCTGTCGCTGTGCGACTGTGTGCTGTACGGACGGCATTTTTCCGCTGGTGTGTTGGGGCGAACGTAGAAACACAAGCGCCCAAAGGCACGCAATATCTTGGTACCTCCAGTAGTACTTTTCACTACACTGACCGGAAAAGTTGTAACTCTTTACGCTATACTTTTATAGTCACCTTTTCTTTCCTTTTTTCCTTTCTCTCAGTGCCGATACGCGTGATTTCATACTGGACTAAATAGAATAAGCCTTGATTGACGAAGTTGAATACATCGCACAAGAGATTTCCGTGCTTTAGAAGTCTTGTCTCTCCTTCCTATTCTTGCTCCTTCTTTCGCCCTCTGTCCTGTGAAATATCCTCTCTCCTGACTATATAAAAATACAGAGAAAAGACAACTCTCTATGTGTGCAATCTCGTATGTATATAAAGGAGTTCCTCTTTTTTTTGAATAATTGCAATGTAAGGTGTGTACACAATGTCATTTGTGTACTAGAAAGCAGCCTCTGAAATATTAACAAGAATGATGTGTTGAAATTGCACTAAATATTGTGTCGTATGTAAAACATGTTCCTATTTATAGGGATGAAAATATTAATTTGCAGTTTTGATGTTAGTTCTTCTCTCTCCCCCCTTTTTCCAAATGGCAATTTTGTAAAGTTTGTTTTTTCCACTCATTTTCATGTAACTTTTTCGCGTGCAATGTGTTTTAGAGAGCATATTTATGTTAAACTCTGTGTCTATTGTAGCAATTTAGATGTTAGATGAAGCTTTCGGTATATTTCCATATTATGTGTGTGCAAGTTTTCTGTGAAATGAGAAAAAAAAATAAATGTACGAGCGAGTGGAATAAATATATAGGTGTAATTTCCACCGTAAAATACAATATCATATATAGAAAGACTCATGAAATTCTTGATCTATTTTCGCTGTAGAATTTTTTCATTATGCATTCCTGGCAAATTTGTCTACACTTACAACACACTCGTGTACTCGTTGTTGATGAAATTGATTAGTTGGAGAGAGAGAGAGAGAGATTCTCAAAGTGCTCGTGTTAAAAGTCCTTCGAGAAGGCAGCATATAATTTGCAGTATATATCGGAAGTTTATGTCATATGATATCAAATTGAATTTAGTCGGAGAGGTAATTTGAATCTATTGATAATTTATAGATTCACATAAAACCACGAGGCAATAAATGTTGAAATATTTCAACGACAATACGTCAACTACTTTATTACCGCTGTAATTTGTGGTTTTTACACAATAATGTGTTTGTGGAATTTTTATGTTTAATTTACCCTGATTTGGTGGAGCACATTTTCGCTAACACTTCAGAATAACATTAGAGAATATACGTAAAAGATATCCTTGCAAAAGTGCCACTATTTACACATGATTTATTGTTGTTTTATGCACGAGAATAACTTCTTTTTTGTGGGGAAAATTGTGAAGTTTCATCCATCAGATCTCGAGAGATAGTCGCATAATGTTGGAAATGTGATAGTTAACCCTCAAAGGACTTTGGGAAAATCATTTAAAAGTATCTGGGGATGTTCTTGAACTTAAATATACACAGTTAATATGATTATGTGGCTTTCGTGGAACTTTTCAATAATATAATGGTAACAAGAGTAACGCGTGATCCGTTAACGTGATTGGAGTTCAGGAAAATCTACCATGTTTGCATTTATTACAAACATAGTGAAATTCCTGAGGCTAAAGACTTATTTTGCCTTTAACACGTCGTTTTAACGTTATTTTATGGTATTATTGATTACGTTGTTCTTGAACCCTATCGATATCGCCGTGATAATATTGATTGCAAATACAAAAAAATCATATAAAGTATTTAATTAAGTTTTCAGCACGGTGCGATCGTTGAGTCACGTTTTTTGTAATCTAAGCCGCATATGCCTTGTTTTTCAGTGTAATAATTGAGATATTTGTAAAGAAACTTCACGGAAACCGAGATTTAGATCGAAAAGGCTGTTATAGTTCTGCGAGGGTAGCTTCAGGTATACGCAATGACCCTCTGTGGATGAGTTGTGTGAGATTTTTCTTCTTATCTGGAAAAATAATTACACCTCCGCCCCCGGAAAGGCTTTTTATTGCCGCCAAGATAAGAGCTTTTAAGTGTGAATATGTAGACAGTACACGGTGTAGAGAAGCAAGAGAGAGACCATATTTGCTGGGTGGGATGATAAAGTCTCTTTTGGGCGTGAGTGTGACTCGTGTTGAGATAAAGCAAAACGTTTTCAATAAAGTCACTTCAGCAAATTCTCACTCACTCGCAAAGTGATATCTTGGCTCCAAAATATCGCCATAGTATTAGTAACATTTGTTACTCATAAGTCGTATATTTTAGCAAAAGTTCATAGCAAGTACTTAGAGAGCAGCTTTTAGTTCATTCAGTTCAGTTCTCTTGGTTTAACAGCACTTCACGTCTTTGGGATCTAAAGTTTTTCCTGCCTCCTCATTAACACGGTTTTTGATGTGGAGAGTGGAAATGCGAACGGGGCTTTTATGTAATTTTTCGTGAAATGATATCACATGGCACTTAAAGGAAAACTATAATAGTGTATGAAAGACAGCACTTTAAGTCCTCGCGTACGTTTCACGGATGCACATATGAAGGGGGAAATGCCCTACAGTGTACAATAATAGAGACTGATATTGTGAAATTTATACATTATAAAATTAATACATCGCCTCGGTAATACCAACAATATTTAATTATTTGATAAAAATCTATGGTTTAAATATTGCGAATTGTTTACTCACAAAGTGTTTCCTTAGTGGAATATCAATGTGGCGGCGCGGATTACATTATTATAATGAGAATGCAAAACTGAATACCATAGTCTGACATAATGATTTGTTTAAGTGCAACACTGTAGAGGAACATTTTCTCCTTTCGTTGTATCAAATTTTGATGTCTGCCGATGCGAAGGTGATAAAAGCATTCTTCCTGGACATAGCGAGTGCTATATATCAAAACATAACTTACATAACATACAGAGAGTGATGAATTTTTAAACCACATTTTAAATACCAAGTGCATTTTTATATATAGTATAAACCTACGAAAAAATAACTTGTAAATTATTCATGAGATAAAATATTGCTTCCTGGAGCTACAATACAATTTTCACTGTTGATTGCAACCGTGGCGTCGTGTAACTAACGTCCCCTTTAAATACAATATAAGTTCAGTGTGAGAGGCGAAATCGGTATAGTTATAATGTCAGGATTCAGATCACTCTTGCCATCAACGCCTCATCCAAGTCGTAGTGGTCCAATATTTAATCCTCTAAATAATCATGGAATTATTTACTCGACACACTCTATTCATGGGCAACTCGCCCATAATCCTGGCCATCATCCACTCCATCATCACCAACTACAATCTCAAAATCATCACTTGATGGCGAATGACTTGCTGACCGGACACCAAATTTCTGTGCGACATCCCAATAATAATTCCGGCCAATTGATACATCATGCTGGAATGAGAATGTTGCCGGCAAATATAATTCCCCTTAATAACAGTAAGACACTGAATAATAACACTTATTTCTAATGATACTCATTTATCATACAGATTAACATTGTTTCAATACCCTTGCACTCTTATTCAATCAACTTTTATCGTCTCTTAGGGCCAAGAGGGGGTGGATCAGAGATTTTTTTTCATCACTCGTACGTTAATGTTTATATTTAAGGCTTCATTAGAATTTACAATGCAGGAAAATAACCTATTAATTCTCTAATGAAATTTCTCTATTATGTGAAATAAGTGTGAAATACGTAAAAATTAAGCCATGAATTTCACAATTTTTCTCACTTTTTGAATATCAAGTTTCAATCCAAAGAGGTTTGAAATCTCAAGTAATCATGGATTAAATGATTGATATTGCGTCTAGCGTTACTTATCACTTTGATCCACCCTCTTAAACATACCAGATTATCTTAAACATCCGAAGGACATCTCGGGAATACAATTATTATATCATGAGAGCTTGCAATAATTTGCCGCATGCCTGCAAATAGCATTTAATTTTTGCAATATACAGCGAAATTCTAATTTCGTGTGATACATTGCAATATTTTAATTGGTGTACTAATAATTTCTTTCATAATGGAATATAAGTAATTTACTGTGTGGGACACCGTATGTCAATTATTTTATTTGGCCATGTTCATTTTTATTGGCGCCCCCGCCCTTTCCCCGCGAAGCCCCCCTGTGCATACGGGATGAATCACACATTATTGTACAACAAACCCATGATTTTGTTTAATTCCCCACATTTTATTGTTTATATTTTATTTTCACATTACCTTTCCACCCCATTGTGCCGTAGAGGTGGCTTTTTTGTGCGTTATTAATTAGTTTTGCCAGCCCCACACATCGTGTGAAAACTGTCAATATATACCGACATGTTGCAGTACATACGTATTTACATTTGATGGGCTTTCGCCTATCTAGAAATTAATAACTTGTAAAACTAAATGATTTATGGAAAAAGTGCTCATGTACCTGCTTAAATGTTTGCCTATCTGATAATGTTTTTTTTTTCTCTCCCCATATTGTTTTTGCCGGGAGGGCGGAAATGTATGCATGGAATATTTATGTGTAGAATATGCTTCTGTGTAATGTGCTTAAATATGTGGAAATGCCAGTGAAGAATAATTTCTGTGATGATTTTGATGAGCGTGTGAGGCAATAAACATCTCATTTTGCATTAGACATATGCACTATATCATCGTGAATTGTGCTTTCTGGATGATATACAACAATTATTGTGGGCTGTGGAATATCTGTGTCCATACAAATGAGATTGCTTGTAGATAAGGGATGCTGATGACGGATTTAGTGTATCGCGCGGGGATGAAGCGATGGTGCCGATGCGGAACATAAAAATATAGTAACACCAGGTTGAACTGGGAAATTATGGGAAAATTCTTTTATTTATTTTCCACATATATTGATTTTGTTTATTCACTATGTAATATATTGGGGTGGAAAGGGGGAGACCATAGGTGATATACAATGCATTTATCGTGGCATGGAGAGAGAATTATTTGCGGGGAGGGCAGAGAAGGGCCCTCCATGGAGAGCAATAGATTTGTTTATGGTCTCTAGCCAAGAATATTTTCCCGAGGCTCAGCCTCGCAAATTAATTGTTCATTTTGCTGAGCGACGGTCTTTCAAAATTCCAACCCATTTTCTCCGTGACACGATGGGAAGAGGAACGGCCGGAGGCGTTTTATTGTGGGATTTGTGAATTGAGATTGCGAAGAGAGAGAGTTACCATAATTCGAACTTATATGATTACCACGTATATACCCTTATTTGTTCTTAGTACGCTTTACGAGTTAGATGGTTGACTGGAATAAATTTAAGAGGGGCAAAGTGACAGATATTGGGACGCACATGTGACCCATACCGCAGTTTGTATGCCAAAAATCGCTCCGCAACTTGTATAGCATAAGCATAGAATTTCTTTGCCACCCTTTCCAATGGGACAAACGCACATGTTCAGCCGACAAAATTGATAAAATAATGATAAGACGAGCGCATGCAACATGAAGACAAGAAGAAGTGAAAAAAGCCTTACGTAATTCGGCGAATTTCTCATCTCTCAATTCAATTCAACTTGTAGATGGTGAGCCAATCAAGTTGCCGGAAAACTTGGAAAGTCTACCAAGGGCTGATCATTTTCCCACACAGCGACATCGTTGGAATACGAATGAGGTGCGTTTTCGGACCGTGTCATAAAAATGACTGAGAGAGAGTCCTAAATGTGGTAATTTTTCAGGAGATTGCTGCAATACTAATCAACTTTGAGAGGCATTCCGAATGGCAGTCGAAAGAAGTGAAGACACGGTGAGATCACGCAATTTGCTTATCACTGTTTACAGAATTTGTAGTGAAGAATTCTTTGCAATTCTCATCGTAAAAACATAAAAGTCATGTTGTATAAATTGTTGAGAGGTTTTTGGGGCGTAAGATAAGATATTGTTGACAAATATTTCGCAATGATTATGAGTTCTTCTTGGATTTCCTTACAGGCCCAAGAGTGGATCCATGCTGCTGTATTCGCGGAAGAAGGTGCGATACCGCCGCGATGGTTACTGTTGGAAGAAGAGGAAAGATGGGAAAACAACAAGAGAGGATCACATGAAACTCAAGGTTCAAGGAACTGAGGTGAGACTCCATATCTGAGGCATGGAATTAAGAATATCTTGAGAACAAGATTGTCTCTTTGGCAGTGCATCTACGGATGTTACGTTCACTCAGCCATCCTTCCGACCTTTCATCGGAGATGCTATTGGTTGCTTCAAGTAAGTTCAATCATCTGCATCGCTAAAAACAATTTCAATTTGAAATTCATTGTGCGTAGAGTATTAAGGGTCAAATCTGATGCCTAAAATCTCCGAGATTAGAAATAAGGCAAGAGGATTTGAAGAGGTCTTAAATGGGTAAATAAACATGATTATTAGATTAGTTTTATGGGTTTTGTATGAAGGAACTGTATGCTTTTGTATCTTAAGCCTGCAATACGATAATAAAAGGGAGTCAAATCGATTGTTGTAATAATACATGATGGCAATTCTTCTGTTTTTTTCTCTCTTGTAGAATCCAGATATCGTTCTGGTGCATTATCTAAATGTTCCATATCCAGATGATAATAAGATGGCTGTTATAGCGCCCAGTTTGGCTCTTTGGGGTGACAAGAAGGAGTGGACGAAGGAGGAACTAGTCAGTCAGTTGAAGCCTATGTGTAAGTTTAATTATTACCTCTCACTTAGCACTTTAGAAACTATAAATTGTCACTTCCCGGCTCTATCCAGTTTTCAGTGAGGATGAACCAGATACAACCAACGATATTGAATTGTCCACGGCTGAAACTGTTGAGTCTATTGTTGTGCAATTGATGGAGAAGCAGAGATCGGCCAGACAAGCGGCTTTGGTAAAGATGTGTAAAAAATATATTAGGACATGTGACTATTTCACATGCTCTTTCTCTTGTAGGTTAAACAATTAGAGTGTGGCTGTTCCAATTCCGCTTGTTCAGATGGAAAGACATGCTCTCATCCGATGAGGCGCATAACTGTTGTGAAGAATGCTAATGAAAAGCGCTTGGATAATTGCAATCAGGTAGGCGCGTAGCGGAGGAAAAAGAAAAGCTTGGCCGATTATTCAATGGGTTCTTTTCTTACTTGCAGTGGAACGATCGTTGGAAGAATCACGGACAATTGAGTGAAGTTGATGCGGCAAAGTGTGTGACCAATTCAATCCACTATCAAGTGCGGGATGCATCGTCAAATGCATCTGGCGGCCTGTCAATGGCGCCAAATCATTCTCTGAAACCTAAAAGTAATACTAATAGCAACATTGTAAGAAATTCAGCTTTACATGAATCGCCAAATCTTAATGAAATACCCATAAATACGCATAATAATAGCAATAGCATTAATAATCGACAAGGTAATCACAATTTATTGAATTTAGCAAATCGCATTGTGACTATAACTAGTCATAACAATATCCCTAATCATCGGTCAGTGTCCATCGTGTCCCAATCAAATAACAATTCGGCACTCAATGCGGACATGAGTATTATGTCGACTAACTTGCAAATGGAGCGACAGGAGCAACACCTCCAAATGGATAGCCACGCTGCCACTAGTCTTGTCAGCTCCACGCGAATGAGCGTCAATACATCTACGGCCACTCCTCCGTTGGTGCTCAACTTATCCCAGGTGAGAATTGGGACGGGAATTCATTAATCGGACTAAATAAAGCTCATTCCCTTGCAGATTCAGAATCCGAATGGTAGTCTTCTAATTCTCAACGGTCAGCAGCAGCCGCTTGTGTGCCAAACACAGTATTTGAAGGGGAAGAACGAGAAGACGGAAGTGAAGTGTGAGATGAGTCAGAAAGTGCTGAAGGAGGAAATTGCTGGCTCTGTTGCCAAGCATCAATCAATGGAGAGCAGTCATGGTGTGAAATCTGATAAGAAGTCAGACGAGGCAAAAGACACTGACTCACTGTCGTACTTCAACGAGACGCTGGATTTGTCCCAGGAGGACATACAGAAGACGCTGAGTGCCAACATGCCACTGTCCAATCACAATACCGACGAGACGATGAACAGTGATATCAATCCTATGGACTTCATGGATAATGTGTGCGTGGGAAATCCGCCGTCTGTCCACGATGATGATGTGTTTGTGAATTTGGATGCTTTCGATATGCTGGTGGAGTTTCCCGATTTGGAGTTGGATGGGAAGAACAATTTGTCTGATGCGGGAATTGAATCGACTGTTAACTGTGATAAGCTGACAACGAGTACTCACGATGAGGGGAAGAGTGGCAATTCTCAGCTCTTTGACATCACAGATTATAGCCCTGAGTGGGCTTATCCCGATGGTGGGGTGAAGATCCTCATCACTGGTCCCTGGGACATCAATTGCTCCTACACAGTCTTGTTTGACTCCTTCCCCGTGCCCACGACCATTGTCCAAAGCGGCGTGCTCAGGTGCTACTGCCCGGCGCATGATGTGGGCCTGGTGTCACTGCAAGTGGCGTGTGATGGATATGTCATCTCCAATTCGGTGATATTTGAGTACAAATCACAACCAAAGGTGGATGTTATCTGCGAAGGAACACACGATGGGCTCTACAAGTTCAATTTGCTGCATCGCTTGGAGGCTTTAGACGCGAAGATGCACACCAGGAACAGTCTTAAGGAATTGGTGAGTTGTGACGATTTCCAAGAGAGGATTCCGAAATGAATTCTCAATTTCTTTTCAGCTGGACGATTCTGTGCTGCTGAAACAGCCTAACTTTGAGGAGCGGCTTGTGAACTACTGTCAATCTCTGTCCCTTCGTCAGTGGAATGATAATCTCTTCGGCTGGCACATTGGCCATAAGAATATGACTCTACTGCACTTAGCATCCGCTCTTGGGTACTCGAGGCTCATCCTCACGATGCTCACATGGCGCGAAGAGAATTCCAGCATAATTTTGGAGGCTGAAATTGACGCTTTGCGCCAAGATGACGATGGATTCACACCTCTGATGTGGGCCTGTGCTCGAGGGCACAACGACACCGCTGTTATGCTGTATCATTGGAATCACAATGCAATCAATTTGAAGAATAGATTCCAAATGTCGGCTCTGGACTTGGCAAAGTCTAATGGATTCAGCCATTTGATGTCAGTGCTTGAGCAACTGGAGATTGATCGTGTGAATGGGAAGTTCTTAAACACTCCCGTGAAAAATGTTATGCACAATGATGGATTTAAACATGAGTATGGAGAGAAATTGAGCAGCGATAAGACATCAGTGTCTCCTGTTTCACCTGATGAGAAGAGCAGTGATTATGGAAGTGAGAGTGGTGGTAAAAATGACATGGATGTTAAGAATCGGAGTCATGACGGCGTGTTTCTACGGCCAGTTGCAATATCCAGCTCTAGTTCACCCATTCTCAAGTTTTCGAAGAGACCATCTGTTGATAGTGGGATCGGCATTGATTTGAAGAGCAACTTTCGCAGTTTTGGAAAGTGTCTATCGCAGAAGCCATTGAGGTGCGTTTGTGTGAATATGACCAGGATGTGTTTAAGGATTTTCTAATTGATAATCTATTATCAGTTCCAGGCTAGACAGGAGCATGTCTCTTCCTATATCCAGTCTGCCTCAGTCCTATGGATCCCTGGACGTGCCGGAGAACTCTTCACTGTCTATTGAGACATCAATGGAGGGCAGTTCGATGCTGTCATCCAACAATTTGCTCTCACCATTGCGCAAAATGGACTTTGCACTATGTAAGTTTTCTGGTTTTCACTCTAAATCTCAGCATACATGATTGATTTTACATACAGAAATTACGACATACAAACTTTTCATATACATTTTTTGATTTTGAATTTTTTTGATGAGCGAATGCCACGAAAAATCTCTTTAGAGAATTTTTGTTGTTTCAATTTTACTCTATAAACACATTTTATACTGGAGTGATTTTGTTTGAATCTTGTTTTTGAGAGGGATTTTAGCTGCTATTCTATTTCATAGCGTTTTTTTATGAGAGAATAACTTGTTTTTCTTTCTTGAATACTTAGTGTGACAACATGTGAAGCATTCGAAGGTTTTACTAGTTTTGATTCTGAGACGGTTGTCATGTCGGGAACAGCCGAGTGTAGATGGATTTTTTTTTATTGATTTTTCCACACATTTTCAGTGGGAAAAGGGGAAATCCACATGTTTTGTTTGTTTTCCAAAGATAAATTCTTTTTTATGTAATATATTATATTCCACTATATTATACGAGACCATGTCTTTGAAAATTGGCTTTTATCGCTCTCTCTCTCTCTATCTAAATATATTTTTAATTACTCTCTACCAATTTGAACATTCTGAAATTTGTTCTTATATGATTTTTCTTCATGTATGTTTGCCAAAAATGCATACATGCACCCATCCATACACAAGAAAATGAAATTTCTTCTAGTTATCCTTCTTTTGTAATCCTTTCTTTTTATCTTTTAAAAATGTCTGATTATTTAACAGCAATGCTTTTTTACTTAATTAAAATGGAAGATACATTAAAATTTATATACCTCAAAAAATGACTTATAAAGGAATGCTTTAATACACCGGTTACTGAAGTATGTCATAAAAATACATACATATATGTATATCTTCAATGTTACATTTAATCTATTTTACTTCTTTCTTTTTAAAAAATATAGAACATTAATGTATAATGCTGTGAAGACAATTGTCGCCATTGACTATTGCGAAAGACAAGAAGCAAAAGAAGAGAAGAGAACGGAAATAAGGAGGAATGCTTATACATTTTTGTGATATAATTTTTTAAAATATGTTTCTTTTAGCCTTTTAGTCGAGAGTATGATTTTTAAAGGAATATACCAAACTGTTTCTTTTGCATATTTCGATGTGTGTGCCAACGAATGTACGAATATGCGAATTTATAGGCGAGATTTCAGCGGGTGATTCCAGTCCTATGGGACAGCAGGATTCCGTCCAGAACGACGATGAAAATGATGAACGTCATCTGGACAATGATAGTATGAGTCAAGAGGGTGGGGTTGTAGGTCAGTAGGTTGTCTTATTATTTCTTTGTCTTATTTAAATATTATATTTTTAGTTTTATATATATTTTTTGGAATATATATATATTTCTGTACATTAAATGTGAAAGAAGTAATGCATTATGTGACGATCAGTAATACCAGTAATTATATTTGTAATTTAACAAAATACTAGATGCCGCGCTAACAAAGTCCACCCCCAAAGAACATGTGTAACATTTTCTTTTTGACTCTCTCTCTCTCTTTCTCTCTCCCTTATTTAAAACAAAATACAACTATCCAAACTCTATATAAATGTTGCAAGTAACACACGAAATACATACCATATCAATTATTATTATGTATTCCTCTCAAGATTGTATAGTTTCAATGGTAAAAACATGCCCCGAAAAGACCGTGAAAATAACATATATGTATATAATGTGCGTAAATGCAATTATCAGTTGACTTCTGTAACGTGTCATTTGAAGCATGAATTGTGCAAATTTGCCTCCTCAATCACGCTACTTGGCCTTATGGCTTGCATGTGGGATGCTTTTGCAAATTGTGGCCAAAGTTTGGGACTGTTTACGTATTGCCTATATTTAACAATTTTACACAGGAGTTGTGAATTTTTGCAGAAAGTTTAATGGCCATATTTTGCTCATTCACATAATCAATGTTTTTTTTCTTCTTCTTTCTCTCCCTCTATTAAGCGAAGGAGAAGGGCAAACTTTCTGCAAAATGCCACCCGCCTTTAGACACACATTGTGGAATGGAAAATTATTTAGTTTTGCTTCTTATTTTCTTGCTTTATGGTCACTCTAAATGCAATTTGTAATTATCTGTCATTGAGAATATGTTCTAATCTTAAGGATTATTTAATTTTCTGTGTATTCTGTTGATTCACTCAAGCGTGAAAATAATTGTAATGGTTCTGTTCTCTGCTCTTTAGGGGAGTCTGATGCTAAAGTTTTGACTCTTGCTGAGCAGATAATAGCGGCTATACCGGAGAGAATCAAGGTACGTTCGCTCTTAGCATACAAGAATTCATATTTTCAACAATCTTTTTGTTTCACAGAACGAATCTGATGAGATGATGTCGATTGGAAGTCCTCTGTCTGAGTCTCTGAGTGTGGAGACTCCCAGTATGGGTGTTTTGGGTGATAATCTCATTGATCCTCTGCTGGACTCCTTGCCCAACTCTCACTACGATCAGGAGTTCAATTTTGAGTTCTCAGACCACAATTATCGCTATCATGACGTGGGAACGCCCTGTTCCAGTCTCAGTCCGGCAAGTTCTGGCCCACTGCCCAGTCCAGCCAGCTACTCCATTCCTCCAGATCCGCTGGTCAACACTCCAAGTCCCCCGCCAACCACTCAGGACTTCACGGAATTCCTCCAGGCATCCAGTGCCACGCCCAAGCCATTTGAGGCGGACTTCTCCAATCTCACGCTCACGGACAGCGAACAGAGAGAGCTCTACGAGGCGGCCAAATGCATCCAGAAGGCCTACCGCTCCTACAAGGGCAGGAAGAAGCTAGAGGAGCAGGACAAGGAGAGGACGGCCGCTATAGTCATCCAGAATTACTATAGGAGATACAAGCAAGTGAGTTTATTGCTCACGTACAAGTGCGCGGTCGCCTTGCTAATTTCCTTTTATTTAGTACGTGTACTACCGCCAAATGACACACGCGGCATTAATAATCCAGAACGGGTATCGCTCATATTGCGAGAATAAGCGCTTCAAAAAGGCACAGCACCAGAATATGCAGACAACAGCCGGTGATGCGGCTCCGCAATCTTCGCAGTGTTTGGAGAATTTCTACAAAAACTACCAATCGGAGCAGGCACACTTCCAGTGCTCGACAACGCCTAAGGAGTTGAGTCCGTCGGGTCCATTGAAGTAAGTATAGTTGGACTGGGGATTCCTATTACGGGTTCTCATGAGAATTTGACTTATAGGCGAACGTACTCGCAGAGGACACAAAATCAAGCGGCAAGAAAGATTCAGCAGTTTATGAGACAATCAAAAATGAAGTGAGTACACATAGAATCACTTTATGCGCTTTATTTTCGCGGAAATTCTTATTTTTTTTTTTATCTCTAAAATATAATGAATACTATAATCTTCATGGAGTTCTAACACAGTCTAAAAGACTCACCCATAAAGAATTGCTTGTTCTTTACTAAGAAAGATGGTTAGACATATTGGCCGGAAGTTTCAACCAAAACTCAGAAGTCGATATTAAGTGTAAGAACTGAAAATAACTTTAAATGATTAGTAGAAATTTTTCAATGCTCAAGTCAAGCTTTACTGTCACAATTTTAAGGCCAATCATAAAATTGGATTTATTGTTTCATTGCTCCTTTCAATCCCAAAGCATTGTTTTTGTGTTTCATATAAATTGAAAGTGTAATTTTCATCAAATATCTACGATTCATTTAGTGTTGTTGAACTCTTGTGACACCTGCACTAACCAATTATCTCATGTCATTAACGCTATCCTTACTAAAGTATTTGGGAAGATCACTTTTCCTACGTGGTAAGAATTTGCTCAAGATATTTCTCATTGACCAGAAGGATAAAAATTGTTCTATACTTAATTTATTTGTGATTATAACATTGGTCTTTGCTTTGTCTATTTTAGACTTCAGAAAGAACGAGCCGAAAGAGAGAGGCTTGTCCGCCAACCCAGGTTGGGGGACTTCCCCCAAAACTCGCAGTATCTCGCTGCTCTCGACCATCAATCCAGCGAGCAAAGATGAGCAGTTTAGAATGTGTTGCTAAGATGCAAAGTTCTACTAATTAGATTTTCTAGGATACACTAATAATCCTTGTGAGGGGAGAGAGAAAGTGAGAAAGATATTTGGTATGATAAAAAGCTTTGAGAAGCAGTTAATTACTGATGCTTAACTCAATGAATAATTTTCTTCACACCCTCTTTAACATTCTCCTTTGTATATAACAAGTATATATAGTTACCTAAATATGATAAGGGAAAGAAAGAAATTATTTTTTTAAACAAAACCTGCAAAAGTATTGCAGTTCTGCTTTGAAGCCATGGAAATTGCTCGGAGGAAGCGGAATAATGAATCATGAGAAAGTATGTTGTATTGATATTCTGATACAAGATACAATGATGGAGATATTCAGAGATTTGTAAATATGCTTATACGGTAATATATTTAAAAAATAACTTGGTCGATTAAAGTCGGTATATAACAGAATACCTGAAAAACATATTGTGATAAATATGATAAGTACTTACAATTAATAAAAGTACCTATGGGCAAACTATAATAGAGAACGACGGGAGAATGTGAGAGAGATAAAAATTATATTCAAATATTCTTATGTATAAGGACTGTTAAAACAATTTCATCAAACTAATGAGTATTTATACAACGTGGGCGCTATTTCTATTCAAGTCCATACATGCATTACAATACCAAAAAAAGGAGAAAAAAAGAACTTAAGCACGAGATTTTGCCCATGATTTTTCAGTTGGAATTCTCAACTTCTTGGGACATAAATTCATTGAGAATTACAAAGTCAGAAGATGAGATTGATATTTGTAGTGAAAAAACGTCCATAAAAGTACTAAATTTTACCATAATAATTGCTGATGCGAAGAAGAAGGAGATTGAAGAGAAATTTAAGAAAATGTTGAACAATATGAACTTGAGAGGCAATCAAATGTAGAAAAAAAATCATAAAGCAGACATATACTTTGGGTATAATCTACAAATTGGTAGTTTAATCGTCCTCTAAGGATAGTTTCTTAGGAATATAATCAACTTTTTATTAGGGCATTTTCTTGGCTTTTCGAACAAGTGCAAGGAAAGAGGTGGTTTTTATCTTATATAACTCTACAGACTTTTTTATTCTCTTCGACTTTGACGGAAAAAGAGAGAAAATCATTGCAATCAAATTGCAGTGAATTGTATATTTCTATCTGAAGTATAATTCTAATCATTTCCCTGCGATAATGGCAACGAAAAGAGAAGCAGAGATAAAACTGCATCTTCTCAACTTAGTTTAGTTGTTTTTTCTAATGAAACTTTCTTATTATACTCTATAAGCTACATTATATGAAAAAGATTGTCCAATGATCTTCTTTCTAAGACCTTTGACAAGGAATTTATTTGGCATTTTCCTAGCCTATTCCTCAAAATGTAGTGTACATGAGAGACCCTTACTTTATGGATAGAATTAATAAAACTATTATTGTAGATAAATATTATATATTCAATATTGAATATTTTTCTCTATTGCATTGTAATTTAATACTTATGAGTTCATGTGGTGAAATCAACGCCTAGTCGGGTGGAGAAATACAAGAATAATCCTAGAGAGTTCCTGTTCACGTTGTCATTCAGGATTTGGGGCTTGAGGCATAAGTATTATTATAGCAAAATGATAGATGAAGGTATTTTCTTTCTGTTCTTATTTTTTCTAATAACCAGTATTGAATAAATGTACATAAAAAAGGGCAAAAGAAGAAAGAAAATAAGATTCCAGAGAGAAAATTTGTCACTGTTAAGCCAGAACGTTTTATTGTAATAGGAAAGTGAGGAAATAATTAATATATCAACAATACTAATTACTTATTTGACTCGTAAATCTAAGAGTTATCGTGCTTCTGCCATTATTCCTCGGGCAAATCTCTCCCCTTTTTGTTTGTTATTGCATGCAGAGCAAACTCTGCATTTCCATTCTTAATTTTGTTACACTATTTGTAAAACTCCCGATACCTTTATTACCTTTATGGCTTACATTATTATGTAAACATCTATGTTTCACTGCCATATATTTACTTGAGGATTTAAAATCCTGAATATACTCTTCTGTATTTGAATTACACAAGTCACAGATTGAGATTTTGAGAAAGAGAAAATAGTACATTTTTCGATATCAATAATAAAAAAAAATAGAAGTGAAGTGAAAAATTAGATCTTAGATCACGAATTCATTGTATTGACATATCAAATTTTCTTATTTTATACTATAACAAAAAAATTACAAGTCAAGATGGTGAGAAGATAAATGAGATACTTATTTTTCTATAAGTGCACTTCAAATTTTAATGCTTGTACATAGAAGATGATGAAGAAACTATGACATGTGTTTAAAGTAATATTTTTTAAATGATCATCCAATGTAACATAGCAAAGAAAGAAAAAAAAATATGATGAAAACTTTCCCCAAATATTCTCCAGAAAAGAAAAGTGAAAATACAATTTTAAAACGTTATTCTTATACAAATTGAGAGGAGATGACGAAAAAATATGATATTTGAGAGCTTTCAAAATTGCTTTAGAAGAGAAGAGAGTCAGATTTTGGGGTGGAAATTTGTAAATATAGGAGTTCATCTTTTTAAACCTATAGAATAGTTGGATTTCTTCTGTGCTGTCCGATAAATATTGCATAATGTTAAGATTATATTGATCAACTATCCATTAATACTTAGGTAGTCAAGTTGGAAGTACAAGAAATTCATTCCTAGTCTGCATCACTTTTTCGGAAATATTACAACTTTTTCATTCTTGCTCAAAAATTTGACATTTAGATGATCGGAAGGTCTGTAAAATGGAAAACTAGTAATAATCAGAGGCGGAATCGCAGACGCTAAAGTCAGAGTTTGACTCTGGTGAAGGACAAAGTAGGTTCAGAAACTGGGAAAATATGATAATTGACCACAAAATGAACCAGAAATTTGATTGATTCTGTGATCAGCGTTGGCAAAGCAATTGATTTTGAATGAAATTCTATCGGAATCTGACATTTATTGAATAACGCATTTTCAGTTTTGCGTAATCTCATGTCTTTTGACTTGCCCAAGGCGAGAGTCTGGCCTGGACACTTTGTGATTCCCCTTCTGGTGTTGATGATTTTGAAACTGGCCAAATTTGGCTGCCGCCATTTCTCGTCTCGTTAACATCAATAATAATAATTTTCACCCTTATTCTTCTCAACATCGTGTTATTGCTCGTTTTCTTGTCGACGCGGTGCAAACACGATGAGAATGAGTAATTCATTTAATGAATTGTAGTAAAACGACTTTGGGCAGCTGAAGCGTGAAATTGTTTTGTTATGTTTTTCCTCTTTACATATTCAAATACCTGGTTGTGACGGTGATGGAGTTAATTTATTGCTAGAGATGTTATGAGAATTTTCTTTGGATAAAAGACACTTCCAATTGAATTATATAGGAGTGATAGAAGAGAGGAGAAAACTTGATTTTATAATAACCAAATCAGACGGAAACTCTTATAGACTTGTACTTTTTCTTCAAAACTCTAACGATAAACCCTTTTAAAAGTAATCTTTCTTACTATTCTATACTACTATACATGATTATCTTGTAAGATAAGCACCCAGAATTTTAAATATTTTCACATCATATGAAAAAATTGACTTCTTAAGCCATTGCGGAGATGTTTATGACTATGTATATAACGTCTATTGAATCTTTTTTCTACATAAACAAATTATACCTTCTGAATAAAATGAGTCATAGTTTAGTCACTAACTTAGTAACACTACTTGATGCAAGCATTACATTATTGAAGAGAAAAAAAAATACACATACGCAGATACATCGCAAAAATTTACAAAATATATATATTGCATTGAATATTTATTATTGAGAAGTGAGGAGAAGCATGGTTAATTCAGAAAAAAAATCTTTGAAACTATTTAAAAAAAAAAAACTATGATGATTCTTGTAGGAATGAGAATTATGATTATACAGAAAATATAACAATAATAAAACTGTTTCACAACCACACGGAATCTCTTATTTCTTATCACGGCCGTCGAGTTATCGCGGAAAGGCAAATAATCCCGAGATTTGTGGCTTCACGTCGTCACGATAAGTGCGCTGTGTCATAAATGATTGCAGTAAAGTGAGGGCTCTCCAGGCTCACCTGGCGTTTCCTTCCTCCACAACTCGCCAGGCAGAGAGAGACAGAGAAAAAAGACACGGAAGTAACCATAGAGTAGCATATATTTTTTTCTATGAAACTTCCTTCTCGTGGATTTCATCCACCTTACATAAATACAGTAGTTTTACCAGTAAAGATAAATTCATAGGTACCATGAAATACTATTGCCTGTAGACTTCACGAGTGGAATGTTAATGTAAAAGTTCCTAAAAACTACAATTAGTTGCAATATGCATTCGATTGAATTGATCGATTCCTTTTAGAGTTAAAAATTCAAGACAATTATTGCACGTCTTAATAAAATAGGCCTAGCAAGATTTTCACAAATTCTAAGTACTACAAATTATTCATTAGTTAAAAAAAATCAATTACATTTGATAACTTACTAAACCTACACGATATTCAAAGAATGATATTTTTCCAGACGAAATGGCACAACAAAATAACCTACATATTTAAAAATCTTCTGATTGTCCTCAAGTTACAATTCCCCGTTCGTTGGTGTGTCCAGATCTCGTCTGGATATGGGCAAGGACGAGCCTTCTTTCTGCATATAACTGAACAAATCCGACACGTAGCGCACGACAAGAACGGCACAGGACACGCCAATCAGCGCTCCTCCCAGCACATCTGACCAGTGGTGCTTGTAGTCAGACACGCGGCTCAGCGCCGTGAACCAGAACATCATCAGGAAACCGAACTGCAGGACGTGTCGCACGAGCTTCGAGCCTGACCACGTCATACGCGCCTGGAGGTAAATCGACAGGTAGATTAGAGTGTAGGCAGAGAAGCTGGCGTGGCCACTGGGGAAGGAGAGGCGCATCTCCTTCAGCAGACGCTCCGTTTGGTCGTTGAAACAGTGAAAGTCCTCAATATAGAGGCCATGATTCGCAGGATCATCGCACGTGCTGCCATCAGCTCTAATTGGTTGACAAAGCTGCAAGAAAGTAGGGATTTTCATCATCAAGAAATTTGCTTCTTATAATGAATTAATGTTTTGCTTATTTTCTCACTAAATGTACATCATAATTTACTATAAAACACGGCTTACTTGTACAATACATTCCAAGATTCCGAATTATTATGAAAATAAATTATGTTAGGTAAAATAATTAGGAATTCCACCTTTTTTATACGAAATTTGATAGCTCAAATGTGTAATAAAGTCTATTTGCATATCAACTTTTTCATAATAAGAGAAAATACCAACTGATTTGATTGTTTCCGTGTAGTGAATAAAATTCAATTTGAATGTTTCGTGTCTTGAGAAGCGTGATGTTCATTGATGCTTCATATTCTGTTAATTAAATTAAACTGAATTGATGGAGGGGCACTTTATGTGAGACACTCTGTGTTTTTGCTTCACGAAGAGAAAATGCTACAATTGCGGTGAAAGCATGTCGTGAAAATTACTTACGCTGTAGAAATGTGGCCTAAGACGTCCGATTGAGTACTTGGCAATGTCGGTAGTCAATTGACTACAAGCTGCCCCGAAGCCAAAGATGCCAATCTTGATGTAGCACTGCTTGACCCACTCTGGCACATCCCAGTTGAATATCCTCACGTTGCTTGGTCTGTATCCATTCCTGGACGCTATAATGGTCTCCGTGAGAATCATCTGGCACGGCGGGAGAGAAAGGGTGGCTCGTTAATCACCGTAGATGCTGAGATAAGGCACGATGAGTACTCACAATGGATATGGGCAGAATGAGGCCTATGATGTACAACATCCAGTTCCTCACGGTGGACTCGTGGAAGGGATGCCGCAGGGACAAGTCATCGCAGAAGAAGCCGCGCTGGTAGGGCTCGCCCCAGAGGAAGAACACGAGAATTGGGAAACCCACTGAAATAACAAATATTCAGTCATTCAAGAAGTGGATACACAAAAGTGATTTATGGAGGTTGATCTCTCAAATAATTCAGCAATCACAAGTGAAAAAGACGAGATAGAGAAAATATTAGTTGAGAAAAACATATGGCTCAATTACTCGCCACTAAACTTTTCCCCCAGTGATTCTGAGAGGAGAAAAAATGCTCTCTTTCTCTGGCATCTCAAGAGGTTTTGCATACACAATATTATGAATTCATGGTGTCACTCCCTCAAGAGTGGAAGCCACTTTTTGCCAAGCACGCCCAACAGAAGCCCCAATTATTCAGCGCGACTCAAACACACTCTCAAATTCATGGCGTGATCTTTGCACACTTTATATGGCAAAAGACGTTTTCACTCACCGCAGAATAGAAGCAGAAAGTCGAAGCCGATCTTCAACAGAATCCTCTTGGACTGATCCATCGTCCGGTTGTTCTCTGTGACACTCTGGAACGACTGAACGTGGCCTGGGCGCGGATTGGCAGTGGTACTCGCACAGGTATTCCTCAGAGGCGTTCTCTCACTCTCAGCAGAGCCAATGTCACCTGTCATTCCCCGCTGATGAATCACTGCCTTCGTCACACCGACGAGATTTACGTCCTCACTTACTCACTGGCCTTCCCATTCAATCTGCGGGATCGATAAGCGACACTTCATCAATGGGAAGCGCAGAAGGAAATCATCAGCTGCCTTTAGACCTTCTCAAGGAGTTCTCGAGTTCACTGTGTGCACGGCGAAGAGAGAAGGAGAAAACTAGTTTTATGGGTAAAGTTTGCTTGTATTGTTGATATATTTTTATAGATGTTTTATCGCCTCTCTCGTTTTTTTCTGCTCTATCATGCATTTTTTCGCATCGCACATTCTTTTAATAGCCGTACAAACAAATTAGCAATGAATGAAATGTAGAAAAGAATTTTAATTAGTATAATCTTGGAGAATAATTCTTTTCTACCTTACAATAGTGAATCTCATTTTGCTGCTCTCTTTGCATCGCAAGTGAGAGAGAATGGTTCTACAATCGTTGTCATGGAGAAATTCACACAGACTTGACCTTTTGATTTTCACACGGGATAAGAAAATAATCGATGGAAGAATAGCTTCCCTAACTCCTCAAATTTTCATTTAATATCTTTAATATACACGGAAGGGAGAAATTATGCCACGCGCCTATTTTATTTGAAAGATAAACATTCAAGTGTGACAAAAATTAACCTGATAAGTCTATTTTTATAACCAAATTTGCAACTAAACGGCGATAATGTGCAATATAATAAGATAAGGCATACTTTAGATCCTGATAAGAGTGTAAATATGCAAATGGAAGGAGACGGGACATTAGAGTAAGCGGTGTAAGCCGAGTTTAAGTTAAAAATTTAAATCTTTCTCTACAATTTGTCCAGTTGAGAAAGTATTCTTAATATATTTCACGAGTCCCTCATTGTTTGTCTAAAAAAAATAATTGGGCTAAAATATAGTCACATTTTTTGATAAAAAACAGATGTGATTTTCAAAGATGAAGAGTTGATTCAGTAATAAAAAAAAACATGGAATATCACCGTATGTTTCTTATCAATTGAAGTATTTCCACTTAAAAATAGCAAATTGTCGATGTGGTTTTATCAATTGCTCGAATATTGCGTGAGAATACTGAGAAATGAATGAGAACAGGTCAGATCTCTAACACTTAACTTGTGTTGACTGCAAAGTGAGCACACCGCGAAGACATGCAGCCTTGTGTTCTGTTTTTCTTGGCAGATTCCAAGAGAAGGTTCACATATTGCGGAAGGATGCGCCGAGAGATGTGCTCTATCGCGTTTATTTTTTCAATATCAACCATCAGAGATTTATATTGAAATTCAATATAATGTTTATTGCTGCTATATGTAATTTACGCTTGTATACATAACACAGCTCATCTTCTCGTGTGGGTGGGGGAAATCCAATTTTCTCACGAGCCTCCCACTGGGATTTTGCACACTTCTCGCGTCATTGCGGGGAGAAAGTCACACTTATGCGAGCTTTTATGGGATTCTCCTCACGCCTCCCGATGAGCGTCCCGCGGGGCGCGCGATAAAGAGAGTGGCACTGACCGCATTACAGCTCTGACAGACACGAAAAGCGCGATTAAATGGGTAAATATAGGCGGAGAAATAAGTCATGAACGCGATAAAATTAGAAAGAAAGCTGGCACCGTGACTTACCGGAACCATCTGCCACCTTGCAGGGAGTGCGATTTGGGGTCCAGAGCCGAGTTTTTCAGGCCCAAACAGTGTCCGAGTGGAGTCTGTTCAGCACAGCAATCAACAGTCAAAACGCGTTCCGATGTCAACCAGTGTGAGGACAGCGAAGAACTGCTTCGTGGATCATCGATGGGCGGCGAGCATGCGACAGAGTATCATCTGTAGAGCTTGCGCTACACATAGCGACTCTCTATGTACATCAAATGTTGTTTCCGCGCTGTGGCGAAAAAAAATCACGTATTGTGGCCGAAATGCAGATTTATTGGCATTTAATTATAGCGTGGATTGGGTCTTTCTCACTTGAACTACCGTCACGGAATTGTGAGCATCGTCGAACTTGGCCGTTATGGTGGCCTCGGAGAATTGAAAGGAGAAGATTTGGGACTTGTGCTTCGTCCTCAGGTAAGCCGACCGCGGATCTGAGGCTATCAGTTGCCTCACAGACTCCGACTTTACATTCAACTCCGTCATCTGCTCGATGGCCTTATCGCTGAACGACACAGATAGAGTGTTTGCATTGGAAACCCAATTCGGAACTCTGACCATCGGTTTGTTGCTAACGGCTTGTGATGTGGACGCCAGACTGTCACACGTGGTCTCCTGACCATCAGGTGCCTCTCTGGCATTTATAAACTCCAGGTCAAAGTACTCAGGATCTGCAAGAGGCGAAGAGAACAGCTCAAAACCACCTTCTTCTTCGCAATCCAAATGAGCCACTCACGTGAAATCTCTTTGGATGGCGTGTCATATTGAGGAACGTATGGCTTAATATCAAACACCGGACTTCCGTCCACCATGTCGATGCCCCTGAAGAATATCCTGGAGCCCTCGATCTTGGTCACCTCCACCAGCGATAGTCCCAGCGGACAGGGACGATGAGGCGACCGCGAGCTGAAGACACCAATGCGATTCCCCTCCAGTCGCGGCGGAGCCACCTTGGCCTTGGCATGGCAAGGGTTCTTGTGGAAATAATAAATCACCCAGATGTGCGAGAAGTCCTCCAGACCCTCAAGAGAGTGTTCAGGATTGTTGAATGTGTCAAAGGTGAGATCAATAACGCCCTCAATCTGTGTGGAGATGCTTGCTTGCCTGGGAACTCCTCTCTTCTCGGGAAACGGTGTCTTTATGGTGCCTATGGGGGAGAATTTGATGTCTTGCGACGTTGTAGTCTCCAGATCCTCCTGGATGGCATTGTTCTGGGCATTTTCAGCCAGATTTCTGCAATTCTGACACTTGAAATCACTCAAGACTTGCCGCACAGACTCAATCTCCTTCTTCTGTGTATAATTCAGAGTTGTTATTTGCTTCCTGCGGAAAAAATAGAGCATTATGAACCGGGAATTCAGTAAGATGCCGCTAATATACCTCAGATTCTTGATTTCCTTCCTTGCAACCTTGAGCTGTTCCTTCAGGCTCTCCATCTCCGTCAAGACAGACATACTGAGTTTGACCCTTTGAAAGACAGAATGAGGGAAGTTGTATGCTTTCTGGGTTGTTAATCTATCATTCTCACCTGCTAAATATGATTTAACAACTAATTGTACTGATTTTTTTCTACAAAACACAATAAAGTGAGACGTCTTGAAGACGATTCATTACACTTTGCATGACAGGCAAGTGATTTCGTGCGCATGATTCCGAATTTTTCTGAACTTTTCGAATTAACCTCAAACAAAAGGCCTATTCAGAGAAAATTCCCGCCAAAATTCCCAATCTGCATTCTGCCTTGGAATTGCTGAAAACGTGCAAGAAAACACCAAAGCTCTACTGTTCATGACTTACAATTAATTTATTTTATCAATAATATTACATTACCTAAGTTAAAATTTTGTTTATTACTCGTTTTCACTTGTATTTATATTAGTTTTTCACTTAAAATTACAGCCTTTCATGTTGTTCTTAACTATTTAACCTTTTTCTCTTTTAGTTCCTATAGTTTATTCTTCTATCTTTACACTGTCTCTGCTTCTTTTTTTCTCACACCATCTCTCTCTCTCAGCTTTTCCTTTAATATAATATCCCGTAATGGTCTGCGAATTTATTTAGTGTTTATTAAGTACATATTTTTCTTTTCTTCTTTAGATATAATAATAATAATTCACATTATGCTAACTGTCTGACACATTGCAACTCCCTTGGGGAAATTATAATAGTTCGATCTTGATGATCTAATAAATACTTTTTAAATTCTCGAAAATTGTGTCTTTGCCATTTAATTTTTTCTTTCAAAATTTTATTTTTTTTTCATTCCTAAGACCATTTCTTGGGGGAAGAATTTGTAGTGTTTCTTTTCATTATTCACTTATTAAAATTATATTAATATCGTTATCGCCGAGATGCGCTCTAAATATATCTTTTCTTGCTTTTTAGAGAATATTCCTTTATGAATATTTTTAATATTTTTTTTCATCTACATTCCTTGTTTGTATATTATTTATTTGTTTAGTCTATCACATATACGAATAAAGTTATACTTTTTTCTTATTCTTTTAATATAGATGTTTTTTTTTCTTCCTTCCAGTTCAATATGTATAATATTTTATTCGGAGTCATGACCAATTTTACTTCTTGGTATTGATAAAAAACATTTAAGTTTTCGAGACAAACTCTCCATTTACCGTCTGCTTGGCTTCAAAAATTTATGTTTAGGGTTTCTCTTGTTTGTTTTTATATTTTAAATATGTATATAACAATATAATCATTTCAGAAAGTGAAATGATAACAAGATTTTTACTTTACTATTTCCATCCATCATCGTCCAAAGTCATCGTTAAGTAACTGTCTCACTGTATCGCGGAGTTTTGTTCTACAAATCGATTCAAACTGAAGCAATTATCACTCTTGCAGCAAATATCCTCAATCGTCGAATATTTAATATTCCTATTCTCAAGTTCCTTAGGCCAGAGAACAATTCAAGAGGAGGCGCACTGCGGAACGACAATTGCTTCATTTGCATCTCAGGTGTTATTTCCATTTAAATTATTGTATGAAAAAATGTCTCCATGCTCGTAATCAATCCATCGAACAGTCTCACTCAATTTGGATCGCAACAAAGTGTCCTTTTATTCCTAAAAAATTGCCAATACTCCTTTCGGATAGTGTTGTTATCCAGCCTCGAAATCAATGAGATCTTCAATTGAAAATCCCATCAATTCATCAGGAGTATATTTCATTCCTTCGCACACAACCGCTAAACAGTAATTTTATATTTATTTTATAAATATTTTCTATATATTCATCAATGTTTTCTGAATTTTTTCTCACTTCACTTTTTTTTTTAAATATATAATTTGTGTGTGCTTTGATTTCTCCGCACTTGTTGAGAGACATTCTGTACTTTTTTGATTATAAAAATTTATATAATTTGATATCGACATCTACATTGTTTTTTTTCTTCATTCGTCCTTCCTTGTAATATAATTTATTTTTATATATATGAATAACTAATTTAAAACAATATATGAAACCATTTCTATCTCTTTATTAATTGTAGGTTTTATGCATGCACTAATCCAACTTATTACTCAAGTCATTCACTAATTATTGTTCTTCTATTATAATTTATATTAGATTTTCCACCTTTGCTTTCATTTCTTCGCCATTTTTCACTATAAATAAATTATTCCATATAACAGAGTTTTATAAATATTGTACGTCTTCGTACATAATAATACAAAAAAATAATAATGAAGAGAAAAAATATGATCAAGTCTTTCCGAGATGCTTTCTCTATGTTTGTTTTTCACCTAGGTTTTGGCAGTTCATGTCCGTTCTGTACATGAAATCAAGTTGAAGTGTTAAATAAAACCCATAACAAGTCATAACATAGAAGGTAAAACAATAAATAATCTCATTTCAGTGACTTCTTATTTGTTATTAGTTGCAATTTTCACCTTTTCCGTTTTTTATCTTACTAAATTATTGTCATTTCATTAAAAACATATCTTCTTTTCACTTTTTTATTACCAATGCGGCGTGGAGTTTTTTCTTCTATTTCATTTTTTATTCATTGAAAGTAAAGAAATTATAATTAACAAAACTGTCTTCAATGACGCGACATTTTTAACGTATTTCAGTAGTCATTGCCGGATAACAAAACTTCAATAAAAAATGACACAGGTTTATACTTAAAGAGGAAAAACATTAACTTAGCATTGCATTTTCCTATAATTACTTGCATTACACTATGAATTGTTTCATTTCTTTTTACTCTTTTTCATTAATATATTTTAGTTCAAAATATCACCAAGTTATTTTTCTTTTATTTCAAAAAATTTTTTTTATATACCATCTGTCTTCATTTCCATCTTTTTTTGCTATAATTTCTCTTTACTCACGACTTGTATTGCTTTTTAATCTAAAATTTCCTTTTCTCTGAAATATGTTTTGGTATGACATTCTCACCTATAATTCCATTATATTCATCTTGTTTCTATGATTAATATCTATTTTGACTTTTCATTCATTTATTAATAGAAATATTTTTTTCAATATAATAATATTTTACTGTGTATATATTTTTCATGGTAAATATGAATTTTGCAACTATGATTCTGAGATAAATATCTCCACATAATAGTTTAGAATTGGAAATAAAGGTCAATAATTCAGAGGTCTTAAGATACAATTAGTCTAGTAGTATATTCTTAAGTTGTTTTAAATAATTGTTTTCTTCTTTTCATTCTTGATATTTTTAAATACTAGGAGATTTTTCTATTTGCTCTCTTTCATCCTTAATTGAAGTTGTTCTCCCCTCTATTTATCAATACAGACTACAAGATTTATAAATTAGAGTGAAATAAATATTTTAGTCAGTGGAATACAAGAGTGTATTCTGAGTAAAACTTTGTGTATAAATATTCCTTTTTAGAATTACTCCTAATAAATATTTCGCTCATTTTATATTAGGTCGTTTTTTTTCGGAGTGATTCAGTTTTAAGAATTTCAGTGCATTTCAACCATGCATGAAGAAAAAGTTGGACGTCTTGAGTAAACTTCGCTCGTGAAAAGTAAAAAAATATCAAAAGTAAATTTCTGTTACATTGTGTCCCAATGCACCTATTTCTTCCTATTCCTGTGAGTGTCCAATGAAAGATCTTAAAAAGAAACTGTGAAGAACTGCCATTTATCTTGATTCAAAGCTTATTCAGAATGTCAAACTTTTCCCTCTCGCAAAGACAAGAAACACACTAAACTTTTCCGCTATACTGAACCACAGTCCACTTTTTTCTCCCTCATTGAAGTATGAACACGATTACATTTTCACTTGCAGAAGGACCATCTAATCATGTTCATGCCTATTGACAGCAAAAGAACAATCAATTGACATAATAGAAAACATAACTAAAAATGATTTAGCAGGATTTACTTGCTGTAGGATGTAAATTGTGAGAGGTTTGTCGTGAGATAATAGAAAAAAGCCTGGCAAAATGCATTTGAGCGTATCAAGACAAATAAATCCCAAACTTCCTGATGTTGATAACTAACAAGCGTAATCAAAAAGGAGTTCCATACACTTGCTAAAGGCACCACATTGTTTTTTTTGTCTATCCTTAAGTAGCTTCAACATCTTGCTATCATTTCCGCATTTGAACGAATCCGTTTGTTATTTTTTTTTCTCTACTTTTCACTCATTGAACCAATTTTATCAAAAATTAGAGGCAAGTCAGACTAAATGTTGAACCTCCAACACTTTATATCCCACATAACAATACTTTATCACTGTTTCTGCTTGTTCTCTCTGCACCTATTTAAAAAAATGTTCTCCTTTCCAAAAAGTAAACCTAAGTGTTTATGTGCTGCGTTTATATTTTGGTTTATCATCAGTTAAGTTATTTGCTTCCTTCTGTTTCATCTTCCTTCCAACAATTTCGCCATGTACAGACATACACAATATTTATGCAGTAATTAATGTCTAAAGGTTTTTCGTCTCCTTTCAATTAAAATTGACACTTAATTGTATTATAGTTGTGAATCATATATCAATATATCAATAGTGTTTTTTTTGCCACATCAGTTGACTTCCAAAATACACACAGTTGAAATGCAGATGTTGAAAAATAGACGAAAAAAACTTGTCGATGTTGCGAAGAACATTGTGATGTTCTGTAGATTTTCTTTTTTTTTTTAAATTCAATCTACAATCAAACATTCCAACTGTATGTATTTATAGAACGTATTTTTACCCTAAAAATTTTGGAGAAAGAATTTAGTAGGATCATTCGTTAGTTTTACAGTAAATATCTTGGTTATTCTGATGCATTTTTTGTCTTTTTTTTGATATACGGCTGTTTAGTTATTTTCTCTATCATTCTCTCTTCTTCATCATCAGTAAAAGTGTTTAATATTCTTGTTTGTCTTCTTCTCTAGAATATATATATATATTCTATATATATGATTCTTGTGAATTACACATTCTCTCTTTTAAAATATATACTTATATATGCGTACCTTTATAGAATAGTTGCTTATATATGCTTTAACAATTTGTAGCTTTCAATAGATTTTTCTCCTTCATCCATCTTGAATCATTCCTATATGTTGAGTTTAATCATTGAGTTTTTATACTTATTTTTTTATCTTTTTGTATATTTTATATTATCTATATATTGTATATATATAAATATTATTATTAATTTCCAAAATGAAATTTTAAATAATTTTTCCATCATAACATAAATCCAATTGAATATTAATCAGAAGAATCAGAAATGTTTCACAACATTTTCTTCCTTTCTGTCTATTCGTCCTCTTCTTCTTCTTCTCATTTCTTTGGTGCAACCGTCTTAACTAAACATCCTTCATCCGATTTCTACAATGTAATTTTTTCTTGCCTTCCATTTAAATAACATCCTTTTTCCCATCATCTCATACTCGTCCCAGAATGTTGGGCACACATCTTGCGAAATTTCGAGTTTAATGTAATAAAGTCAGCTATTGCTCGAAATTCATGGTTTGACTAAAATATAATCCGTGCAGGGCTTCACCAAACACGCAATTTACGGGGTATCAATTAATTGATGTTGATACAAATATCACTGGTTTTCGAACTATTTTCCTTTAACATGGATAGATACCTGAAAGGAAACCAAGAGAACAAATCACAATTAATATCACACGCCAATCATTTTTCCCACAATCAAATGGTAGAATAACATGTGTTTCTTTTTCTTTTCCTCTTCAAATGAACAACAATAAATTTGACAGGGAAAGAAAATAAAAGAGGCGATAGAGGTTACATTAATGGCAATAAAGGAAAGGCAAAAGTAGATCTCCATTAGTTTCTCTCTCTCTCTCTCTCTCTTACCTTGGTAGTTTTGAGGCCAAATAGTGGGAACATTCTGTAACATTTCGAAAAGAAAGAAAGTACAACGTGAAAAAGTAATTTCCATCTGAAGATCAACACTAGCACAAATTGAAAGCAAAGTGTAAGGTGCTTCCTTATTTAATCTTTTTTAGAGAATAAATTGTCTTGACTCTTTTTTTTAGGAGGAAAAGTACAAAAGATTTAATTATTATGCCCCCAAAATGTGAATCACCAGCTACGCAAAAGAAAACCAATTGTCACATAGTCAAATGAGATGGAGAAAGCAATAAATTAAAAAAAGGAGGAAAGATCTTAACAAGGTACAGATGTTAAAATACCAACAACAAAAACATAGAAAAAAAAGAATTATAAACAATATACTTCTTTTGTTTTAGATAGATATTGTTCTCATCTATACAAGATCAATATATTTTTTGGTGAATTTGTAAACACGAACTTTATTGAAAAGTCGAAATCTAATCTACTATAAAATAAACACTGTATTTTCTTTTACCTGTGAACAAATTCATCCGATGAAATGCCCTTTTTTCATCAAATATATACGAAACTTTTCAAATAAACAAAGAAAATAAAGGCTAAATAATACTTTTGTGATACATACTTTGAATCATCTTGAGCACACACTTCTTTTGGCGATGATCGATTTGTTTCAGCAAGTAATTTTGTGGTTTAGAAAGTATACAAAAAAGTAACTAATCAACGAATTACAGAAAAATAATTAAGGATGTCAAAAATTAGTATCCCAATAGTGAGTATTTTTTGCAAAATTAACAAATAAACCAAAACCTTCAAAGCATATCTCGCATTTCAATTTGTTTTTAAACCTCTCTTTTCTCTTGCCCAACATCAACACTATATATTTACAGTGCAATATTTGAAAAAAGAAACAGCAAAACAAGTGTAGATAAAAATAATTCAATTGAAATTACTCTTCTCTCTCTCAGTCTGTTTGAAAAATCCGCCAAAAAATATCCTTTAGAGTGTGTCTTTGGGAAGAAATCAAGTGTGTTCATCGTCCAATAATATCATCTACTTTAGCGTTGCTACGGAAAAATAAAATCAGAAAAATATCTTTAAATTTCTAAATATAAAAGAAAAAAAAATCATTGTAAAATATATAATGAAGTAAAAAAACTGTAAATTCTACACATACACATAATTAAACACTATAAGTCAGCAATAGATCTCAACTATTCCTGACTAAGAAAATCGTCTGGTGTTATCAAATGTATTGCTTTCAGGATAATGTGAGAAGATGTAAATATGAACTCAGAAGTTTCCTTCTTGACTCTTTTCTGTTTTTGTTCATTAATTCGTAAATGGAGCAATGTAGAAAAAATAAGGAAGCACGATAAATAGTAACCACACAAAATACATACTATTGGACAAGTATTATTTACCATTGGCACACTATAGTATTGATAAAATGGTTGGTACGGCATCGATGGCGGATATAAAGTTGGCACACCTATAAGATCCAAAAAACAATGTTTTACAGCATTAATTGCATATCGTGATCCACAAGCAGTGCAAAACAACAACTACCTGGAGGGTACACAGCGGCAAATTGATCGATCGGCATATTGCTCATGGGTGTTGGGGGTGTTGCTGCGTAGTAAATAGCGCCATTTGTTGTGCACACTGACTGCTTCTTAATAGCAGGCGCAATATTCAGCTTGCGATCGCGCAGCACAACACACTCACCCTACGAAGAGAGAAGATAGCATCATCATTACATTTGTGTCTTACATCTCGCAGAGGATCAACTGTATGGACCACATCCAGATCCTAAGCCCAAAGACGTTTAGGTACAAATCCATCATCTAACTTATGGTACAATTGTAAATAAAACACACATAATGTACTGTATACATTTAACCCACCCGGAAATTCCTAATACTTACATCACTCTGTAGCCGCTGAGCTTCCTGTTCTGTCTCAAAAGTCACAAATCCGTAACCTTTGCTTACACCAGCGCGATCAACAATGATTTTCGTGGACTTGACATTCCCATAGGCTGAGAACACTCGACAAAGCTCAGACTCTGTTGTATCGCCACTGCAAGAGAGACGAAAAAACAACAACAATAAACATTATAGTTGCAAAGTTGCAACATTGCAACATTGTCATGTGCATTCTCACATTACCTTATGCCACCCACAAAGATCCTATTTGGAATCAGAGTCCCATACTTTGGAGCAGTTGAGAGCTGTGCGTCGAGCTGTGGATTTGGGGCTGCCATTTCTCCTCTTTTCTCTCCCTTCGCTCGCTTTTGTTGTGTGGCTTAAACACTCTTGGCAAGTCTGTGGCGGATATTCACACGTACAAAGAAGATAAATAGAAAATTTTAATGACTATTAATTAAATACAAGCACGGATGAGTAGTTTTGTTCGTCCACATTATTTCAGCTGATAGGGCGGCTCAGACACCACGCAAAAAACCATTTCGTGAACTCTATCTACTGTGATATGTGTGTTTATTGTGAAAGAAAAACCAGTAGAGCTCTCCTGTTTTTGCTTATTTTTCACACCGCCTCGTGCATACACATACATTGTTTCCAAAATAGCAATTTTACACGCCACGCGATGCTCCCCACGAGCCACAGTCAGTTGTTATTCAAAGGATATTGTACAATTTTCCGTAATATTTCCGTTACCACCGCGCGCTCAGGTTCACTGAATATATAAAAATAATGTCGAAAGACACAATATATTGAATGAAGCCCTCAAAACAGAGAATGAGCGAGAGATAAGCTGGTTAACTTTACACTCTCAACTGCAATTACGTTTCCTAAAAGCCCCGTCACAACTTTGTGCCTCTATTTACTGGGCAGATCACAGAGAGAACACAGAAATAGAATTGTCTGTCCGCCTCCCTAACAACGTCGCAGTGTCAACAGCATTGTATCTACAATACAGCTCGAATGCAATAAATTTCCTACCCTTCGATAATCAAGCCTTCTCCGCCGATGTCCAGTTGACAAGAGTCTCGTGCGTGTCTGGGGCTCCTGAGAAGAAATTACTTCTCACAGATCAGATTTTCCCGAAGTTTTCCTCCTGCTACTCTTCTTCTATTTAGCAATATAATCTGGGGTTCGCTGTATGGTGTGGAAACTGGGGAAATTCAGTGGTTCGCCAAGGAATGCGCCGCGCGACGTTTTTATTTAGCTGATCACACTTGTCTTTTTTTCCTCACTATACTTTTTCCTCTGATTATTACAAACCACCACAGTATTATTATTATTCTTCTGCACACAAAAAACACGCTCTATCACACAAGTACACACACTTCTCTCGGGATTTTTCTATGCTTCCTTTTCGATTCTATTATTCGATGACCACATATAACTCTGCTATATCTGGGCTTCACAGATTTTTCATCAAGTTTTAAACTAATTATTAGTGAACTGCTCTTTCATCTCACAATAACACTGATCCAATTTCATCCCCCTGTTTTTCTGCTTTCTCTTTTCCTGCAAATATACAAGAAAAGACACATAAAAAATTGACATTACATTCTCCTTTTCCTTTCAACAATCCATCTCACTGACAAATTCATTAAAAACTCCTCTCATCCACTCACTAATTGTTCCACAACTATTTATATACACACATTTGCAATAAAGAACGCGAGGGGTCAAGTGAAGATCGCAATAAATTATGTATCATGTGTGAGCAACATTTTTAGCATTGTATTCGCAAAAATGTTTACACTGAACCCAATATTATGCATGTATAAGCGCGGTTTAGTCTGACTAGAGACATAGAGTCTAAAACTGATACCAGCAGTGCAAATTTCTTTCACGAAAATCCATTTTTCATTAATTAAGCCAAACCCGAGCGAAAATCATTCTCTCTCACTCTCGTGCTTCTCAAACTTGTATCTGACAGCCTCAATTTTAGAAACATTTCCTGACCCACACAGACTGAAGTTATTGAAGTGATGCCAGCAAACTTTCTACACTCAATGCATGTGCCTTGTTTATTCTAATTAATACTCTCTATGGTGCTTCAATTGCTTTTACTGTGCAAACAACTGATCACACTTACTGAATTGCTAGAAAAACATGTGCGCCTAGTGTAAATACCTCGAAAGTCCCGCCTTCGCGAAGGCTCCGCCTACCAAAGTGTAAATCAGTAAATTTAATTAATTAATATACACCTAGAGCTATTGTTATGAGGCACTTCACTATCAATTAAACCACTAATCTTTACATAAGTTTCCCACTTATCTTCAAGATAACCGAAACAAATTCCACCTCAGCTGGTGGAAAACAGTCGCTTTTAGACTGAAATACACCAATTTCAAGTGCTTTCGGTGCTCTGACAACTCTCAATAATCTCTAACATTGATATTAACGTGAAAATGCGTCCAGATGTTACGGACACGGGGCATAGAAACAGATTGAGTGCATAATAAAAATAATAATTTACTTCAAAGATTTGCTTCAAAATGAAATAATTAATATTGATAGTGATCAAAAATAAATCTATCATCTCCGAATCACAGTGCTGCGATTTTAGTTGCAGATGTTTTTTTTCAGAAATTTAGCAATTATGAAAAAAATGGCGCAGAATCAGTGATAATTCCATGATTTGTTAAAAAAAATATTACAACAACAGGAAATCTGCTCTCCCCTAATATTCAGGAAAGATCAGAAGAATCACTGAATTGCCCAAAAATTCTTTCACATCGACAACTTCGGTTCTTCGCCAGATTCCACTAATCTTGACCCAATGAAGAAACGCATGACCCACATTTTGCGCCACTTCCCTTTCCCCCTTTTCACTGCCAATCATCTCACAATCACTGACCCGAGCAGAACGACGAAAAAACCCACCCAGCACTTCAAGTCTCTCACTCTGTGTTAAAAGAAATTTAGCATTATTGAGCGCTTTGAGAGAGAGTAAAGTAGTACAAATATTTCCGCTATACATTAAAGTGAAACGTGAAAGCTCATCGCCACGAAATGCAGTATACGGAATATAGGCCACGCGACTCTGGCGCCCCTGGTGGCACATCGTGCAGGCGCTAATGTTAATTTTCTCAATTTTCACTACGCGCCCCAATGAACAATTCTCCTCCTGGGCGTTATGAAAAACCGAGAAAAACCCACTCCGGAAGCCCGTCACTGGCGTGCGAAAGCCCGTCAATTGTCCACCACAGAAGGCTCACTCGATGGGTGTCATGAGAGGGGGCAGAGTTCACCAGTGCTGTGCTGGGCAAAGGTTCACCGGGGGCGCTGCGGAGACGCCGGAGCGCCCACTCATGCTCGCGAAGTATGCCAAGTGAGGGTGAAAAAACAATTTTCCTGAGGCACTGCCACAGTTTTTTGTCCACTTTTCTCGGGGCTCCTGAGGCGCACTCACCGTTAAACCTGCTTAGCCAACTATCAGAAGCGCCTTGGGGACCAGCATCCAGCGTATCCTTGCGAGTTGCCCGCTAAATAATTCAGTTTCTTCGTTGAAAACAAATTTGCAAATTCACAGCACACAGTCCCGAAATAAGTGAAAATTCACAATATGGCCGACTACGAGAACGATGCGATTGCGAGTGTGTGAGTGCGCGGGTTGCCCGATGGCTGTACATCTCTTTGGCGCATCCAGAGCCTCTGTGCGGCAATCAGTAGCATTAGAGCTCCGCCATTCTTTTCAGCGCTGTGAGGAAAAATAGTTTTTCACGTCTCCTCTTGTTTCTCAGTGGATTTCCACTGATTTCTGTCTGTAGACTTGCTGCGGCTGTTGTTGTACTTGGTTAAAATTGTAAAGAAGCATGGCTTCGCCAGATGAAGTGCACCAATTGCTGGTGAAGTCAAAAGTATGTATTGCTCATCATTTTTTTCCATGAAGTGGCCTTTGTTGTTCGCTAATTTATCTACTTTATCTCCGGAAAGTATCGCAATGTGAACGTCGCCAAGAAGGATGTGCTGCAGGTGATGCGTATTTATCATGGACTGACATATGTGGCTGAGGACTATGGTGAGAGAAATGGAGAATTGTGAAATCACGAATGATAACAAGATAATTGACACTTCCGGGAACTTTTTGCAGTCTTCAACGATGGGAGCAGTAAAGTGTTGGTCAGACTCCAGGGCACAATTCCCGTGAGCTATAAACGTATGAGTCATAAGTGCCTGTTATCTCTTCAGAACTTCAAATAACATTGCCTTCTTATCTGCAGAGAACACGTATCACATCCCGATTTGCATAATTCTCATGGACACTCATCCCAACAATGCTCCAATGTGCTATGTAAAACCTACTCCGGAGATGCACATCAAGGTTTCCCAGTTCGTGGATCACAATGGGAAGGTGTATTTGCCTTATCTTCACGATTGGCAGCCGGTAAAGAGCACTTTAGGCTAGGATACAGTCATATTCTTAATTTGAATTTTGAATCCTCTGTTCTTTAGAGTTCCTCTGATCTCGAGGGCTTGATTCAGGTGATGATTATCACATTCGGAGACTTTATGCCGGTGTACAGCAAGCCCAAAGCCAATACAGCGCCGTATCCAACTAACTTCAACATGCCTCAGCCTCAGGCGAATGTGGGTGGTGCCTATCCGCCTTACCCAACAGGATACCCTCCGTATCCGGCTGCCGGCGGATCCAGCAACTTTGTGCCATACCCGCCGACCACCGCAGCCACCAATCCCACATCTTATCCCATTGATATGCCTATGCCCAACACTACTTATCCATCGCCATACGCAAACAACGCTTCGGGACAGGGAACGATCACTGATGAGCACATCAGGGCGTCTCTTCTGAGTGCCGTGGAGGAGAAAATGTGGCGACGTATCGTGGAGAGGGTAAACCAGCGTCAAGCTGAGTTGGATACGCTCAAAAGAACAAAGCAGGAACTACAGGAAGGTCGCAGCAAGATTGAGGAAATTATTTCGTCACTGGAGAAGGAGGAGGCCGACCTCAAGCGGCACCTCTCAGTGCTGAATGACAAGAATGGGGAAATGGACAAGTCTCTGGAGGCATTTGAGCGCAAGGATGGAATTGACGTGGACGAGGCAGTGAGCACAACTGCTCCGCTCTATCGTCAGCTTCTGAATGCCTTCGCCGATGAGGCTGCCACGGAGGATGCAATCTACTATCTGGGTGAGGCGCTGAGAAACGGTGTCATAGATCTTGAAGTGTTCCTGAAGCACGTCCGGCAGTTGTCCCGGAAGCAGTTTGTGCTGCGGATTCTCATGCAAAAGTGCCGCCAGAAAGCCGGTCTGGCAGGATAAATGTATTTTCTGTATTAAAATATTGCTGTATCTCAAGACATCTCAAGATATTTTATTGAAAAGTTCAGGCTTAAACGTAAATTCCAACTGAGAGCATCAGGAATAGCACGCCAAAGCCCAGGAATATTGAAGCAAACAGACTGATAAGAAGTTCCTTGAAAATCACACCATCCTTGGACTGTTTTGCGGAATGTCCATTGCCGGCAAAAGATTCCTTGGGTCGGGAGACCTCAAAGACGAAGAACCAGGCCGTGAAGAAGGTTCCAATGGCCAGAAGAACTGTGGCCAGGTGGGGAAACACTGTTGGGTTGATTGGGGACAAGTATCTAGTCATGGATTCCATTCTGCAAGTTAATCGTGATCCTTAGTCAGGGAAAAACACCACTTACGCAATATTACACCAGAAATTTACCTGGATATGCGGCAAACCGGGGATTTCCTGGACAAACAATTACGTGGCCGGAAAAGTGACACTAACACTGAACATAACCTCACACTCTCAAAAACAAAACAAGCAGATTCAATCAAATTTTCCCAGTGAATTTCCTCTGAAAATGTCCGTGCATTTTGCAAAAATAGTGCAGCAAGCGAGACTCACCTTCGACCAGCGCAATGTCATCCAGTTCGCGTCAAATTTCTCCTGCCTGCAAAGGCTGATGGATGAATTGAAACTGGAGGACATTCAAGTGAGTCCGGAAGTTGTGTCAAAGCGCTCCTTCAACGTCCCCGAGAAGGCCCCGTGCACCTTCATTCACATCTACGAGTGTCCTGTGTTCTCCATGAGTGTCTTCATCCTGGCAGAGAATTACACAATGCCACTGCACGATCATCCGCTAATGCATGGCATTCTGAAGTGCATCTCCGGCTGTGTTCGCGTTCAGAGCTTCAGCAGTATAAAGGACGAGCCGCCAAGCGGCAGTGTTGCTGTGCAGATGAGCCAACCGAAGCAGCTGGACGCCAGCTCACCTGCAGCTATCCTGACGCCGAAAGAAAACAACTTCCATGAGATCACGGCTATTCCTGGCGGTGGACCTGGAGCGTTCTTTGACATCCTCAGTCCGCCATATGACTCTCCGTTGCCTGCCTTTGGGAAGCGAAAGTGCTCTTTCTACAGGAAAACCCAAGGATTAGCCGGGGATTTGATACTGGAGAGAATTCCCACTCCGCTGCATTACTATTGTGACAACGTTCTATACGATCCTCCCCAGTTTTTAAAAGATAACCAGGCATAGTTTATTATTGTTGCGCCTGTTGTATTAGCATTAAAGTTGATATTAAAAAAATATAAGAGTTGTTTAGAAAAAGTTCTGCAAGTATAAATTTAAAGGCCATGCGTAGTTGTCGGAGAATCCCGCGAGAGGCGCTCAAGACGCTTCGAGGGTTGTTGGTTGTCATTTTTGCCAGGCGCAGTGAAAAGTCGCATTGATTTTTTCCTGTTGTATTTCCCAAATTCATCAAGCAGAGATGGCCAGCGTAGTCGGAAAGTCCTCATCACTTGTCAGCAGTGAGTATTTCACAGAGTGTCATTCATATTTTTGCAGAAATTCACAGATTCCGGCAATGTTATGTAACCCTCCTTCTCCTCCATGACAGGAACACTGGCTCAGGCTCGTCCCAAGTTCAACACGTTCCTGAAGTACGCCAAGGTAGAGCTCACCCCACCCACGCCAGGTGACATCCCTGCGATCCGCCAGGGCATTGCCCGCCTAATCTCTGGCGCCCGGACAGGTGCTTGGCGCAACGTGAGCGTCCGGGAAGGGTGGCTCAACACCCTGATCACTGCCGAGGTGATCTTCTGGTTCTACATTGGCGAGTGCATCGGTAAGCGTCACATTGTGGGATACGATGTATAAAGAGTCCCCAGATGTCCGGTTAAACCATAGAGCAAACAATGTAATGGGAAATAAATATTGAAGTCTCCAATTGAATCTGGGAGTTGTAGTTGATCCTTTACTAAAAATTCATATATTTCATGTTTCCTATAGTCATTAGACTATATAGTTACATTCAAAGGATGTGGTTCAGGGTTGTTGAGATTTTCGTCAATCTTTCGCTTGATTGCTGTCTTCGAGGTCTTCTTGGGCTCACTGCCAATCGACCCCAAACATTTTTGTGCTCCACATTGGCATATCATTCCAGCCGCTCCGCGTTTCTCCCACTGATAATTGAAAGTCAGTTCCGTGCCCTGCAAGGAGAAATCCCTTGAATTACTGTTTTTTAGCTAAAGAATTTATTCTTACCTCAGGAATGTCCTTAATTGCGAATATGCCGATCTTTATGACTCCATTCACTGACCACTTCTGCGTTATGCAGTTTGGATCGCATGAGTGGTTGATGAATCGTGAGTGATTGCCTTTGTGCTCAGCATCGATGGTGAGATCCTTGGTGAGAGTGAGCAAGTAGTAGACATTGCTTCGCTCCTCTTGCTTCTTCCTAATTCTTCTCTCCGCCTCCTCGGCATTAATGATTTCACCCACGTATTCCACGACAAAGTCCCCCTCCTGGAGCGCCTGCTTGGTAACTAGACCCCATCCACAACGCGGCGTGCGGATAACTTGTGTCGCTGCATACTGGCGACGACTGATGCTACGATTCTGGCACTCACTGCCCGCTCCGCAACTACTATTTGTGCATTCAATCAACGAGATGCGATTCACACACGACGACATTGGTCCACATTTATCCACTAACTCAACAGTATTGCAGAAGCAGCGCGTGTCCACCATCTCCTCCTCCACGATCAAGTCCCTCGCCTTCACCGGCGCCACCAGCTGATTGTTCAGCAGCTTCTTGTACATAGGTGGCCGCTCATGTTTGTGATTTGTGATGTCCATGTGTACATTCGTCATTCGCGACAGCTGAGTTGCCTCGTTGAGCGCGCGATAGAAGCTCTTATTCAGACCACCCGGCGATTCGGAAGTCTTGCTATGGCACTCACCGTCGTCTTCTTGGTATTGGAACATCCTCTTCCTGGGCAACCACGCCCAGTTGTGAGATCCCAAGAAGTAAGTGCAGATTTCCCCGCGACGATGACGCGCGTTCTGCACGATTTGCGGAGCACAACTGGCAGTGACAATCAATGCTGGCCACCAGCGATGACTGCCTTGCTTCGCCCATACCAGATTTCCATACACCAATGTCCTGCCGGACTCACAGTCGTCGCACAGGTAAGGGTCATCAGTGGCGCTGGCCAGAGCACAAGACTCGTGAACGGCACCTGGACAGTTATCGCAGCATATCAGTGTGCCACCCTTCACGCAGATGAAGCACCAATTGACGTTGATCTGCTTGGATGTGAGTGGCCAATGCCGTGGGCAAATCAGTCGGTGGGAAGAGAGAACCTCACTGCCCGCCGGAATGCACTGTGACGCGTTGTGATACGTAGTCGGACAGAGAATGCACTTCAGTAGCCGCATTTTCTTGTCAATCGAGTGCTGTGAGGGATCATCAGATGAACAGATGTGGCACATGTGCTGAGGACAGATGAAAGTGTCCTTCCCATTCGATTGTGTTATCCTGACCTGAGGCCATCCTTTGAGGCAATGGCGGTGGAAAGACCTAGAGCAGAGTCTCTCACTGCACGTTAGCACCTCATCCTTAATGGGCTTCGTGCAGGCGAAGCAGATCTTCTCTCCATCTGAGCATTCACAGCACAATCCCTGGCTGTTGACGCTCTCAGACTCAATCTCCTCTTCAGCAAGAGATTTGCCGGAGCGATTGGATCGATTTGCCACATTCACCTTGATCCTTGTGCACTTGGCATGATAAGTATCTCCACAGCGGCCACTGCATCTGATCAGTGGTGCAGTTGAGCTGCCACAGAACCTACAAACAGCTCTGCTGCACTTCTTCAGAATCATCGCCAAATCCTCCTGGATTTGCTCTTTTGCATAACTGAAGAACTCCTTCACATCTGCAACCCGAGGTGGCGGCTTAACAGTAGGTTCCGGCGTGACTCTGATCGGTGTTGCTGTCCCGTTGGACATGAGATCAAGCGTTGGAGTGGGACTCACGCTTCCTGTGCTGATTCCGCTCTCCGACAATTCAGTGGATTTCTTCCGATCGTCCAATTTCAACTTCTTCCTGCCGAACCAGGGGTCACTTTGGCGCTTCCTCTTTAAGTTCTCAGTCGCTAAAGTCTTCCTGAAAGGCATAAAGATTTGTCACACCAACATCCCCACCTGAGAATCCTTCATACTTACTGCTTCTCAATCGCTTTTGTGAACATCTGAATTCTCTCCTCAATTGGATACTGCAGGCAATCCTCTGCCTCCCTCACAGCAACCTCCCATCGCGCAATCCTCTTACTAAACCCACTGATTTTTGCCTTTGACGCATTCTGTAGCGCTAAATCCTTATCCTTTCTAACAAATTTTCTGACATTCGACTTGCTTATCAAGCCATTGCGTCCCAAATCACCGAAGAATTTCACGTGATACTTTGAATTTTCGTCAGTCGACAGAGATTCCATCAGAATGCTGGGCCAAAAGATGTCCGTCTTGGAAAGGGAAGCCCAAAGAAGGCTTCCAGGCGGAAATTCTTCAGCATTCTTATGCATTTCCGATTTCTCAGGCTGCTCAATTAAGCTGGTCAGCAACACTCGTGGATTTTTTGAGAGGACGAACAGTGGGATTTCGGCCTCAATGCAATTCATTTTCCTAGTTCTCACACACTACGGAGAAAAACAAAGAAAAACCTATGGTTGCTGCTGTGTTGCCGGACACTTTTAAGGTTATGTCACGAAACGTTTGCCCTGGATAATTGCCAGCCCAGCACGTAATTGTTGGGGGATGAAATTACCTTGTAATCCTCAGGATAAAGGTCTTTGGATGCTCTATTGGCTTTTGTCAAGATTTTTATGTCCTTCTGGCGCGTTCGCGCCAAGAGAAGGATAGCGTCAGGCCGCAGCGAAATCACTGTTCCGTGCTTCACTCAGACTGTGCACAAATCCCTGCTCTTCCACTACGTCCTTGTGAAGCCTGGATATTAGGTAGCAATAAAACTGAAAGATTCGCATTGAATATGCTCAAATAATTGCACAAAAGCTAATTCTCCGCCGCCTTTGACAAAACACACTTTTTCTCACATATTCACCACTTTGGTGTTGCCAGCCGACATTTACAAGAGGAGGGGGTAGAAAATCTGCAGGACATTTAAATTTCCTCCACTCAACGGTTCCAATGCACTCATTCAGGGATTTCCGTCGAAAAGTACAAAAATGTTTGTAGAAATTGCAGTTCTCAGTATTTCGAGCCACGATGTCCATGACACAATTCTTGAATTTGAATAATTTTCACAAGAATTGCGTTTGGACAATCAGAGCTAAAAATGTACAATAATAAAGCCACGGCTGCCTAAAGGCCTTTGGGATTCTCCTGCAAAGAAATGTAATCAGAGAAAAATGTGTGTATCGAAATAGTTCAGAATAATTGCTGTATTTCTAACACATCTGTGAAAAACATTTCATAAATCTACGAATGAGTTAACATTTTTAAAATGTATCAAAGAGAAATTTTTGTTCATTTAGAAATTGAAAATTTTGATTGTGCAACGATTTTTCCCTATATCATTTACATACACCGTTTTACTGAAAAGGAAATGAATGTTGGTACATTTAAATAGGATTAAAAATTTAATTTTCCAAGTCCTGAATATGCGAAGAAGCTTCATTTTTGTTCATTTCCTCCGCAGATCAATTCATAGATTTTGTAATACACTTTGCCAAAATATCAGAAAAGAATCAGTAATTCATTTAGGAGTTTAATAAATTGATAATGAAATTCGAGAGAACCGGCCGGCGAGTTGGAAAAAATCTCTATTCTAATGAAAATTGTCGGCATTCTTTGAGAAACTCTTCACATTTAGGTAATTCAATGACTTCTATTGATTATTTCTCTCCATTCTCCCCTCTTTTCCACAATTGTGTGCTCTCAACTCCCCCAAGAAGAAACACTGTGCAGTGATTTTGTCTTCAGGGAAGGTCTCCAAGCATTAGAAAAGGAGCTGAGAGACATTCGCCATCCACACCCACTCATTATGCATTTTTCCCCCATTTAATAACTTGGATCATCAATACAATGCAATGCGGTGGGCATATTAAAGGGGAAAATACACTTGGGCTCTGTTCAATTTGCATTGCAATTACCGAAATATTATGAGATTAGGCGGCAGCATTTTGATAGGACAATGGCCCACCCACAACACCTCATTTGTGCCAAAAAGCCAAGCGCACTTGGAAGCCATTCACAGTCTAGCTCTCTGCTTTATGTGCAGATATGTATGTTTTTGGCAAAATAGAATCAGAGAGAAAGAGACTTGTTTATGCGAAGAGGTAACTTTTCTGATTGAAACCCCTGAAAGAGTCTGAATGGAGCAAAAAGACATGGGCTATTGATATAATTTCTATGCATTTGCCAATTTACTTATGTAACACAAAAGAAATTGAAAAAAATATGAATGAAATTGGTGTGATATTAAAATTTCCTAAACTATCCCAATATTGGAATTTGAGTGCCCTGCAATGTAAACCTGCGAGCTTGATCAGTATTGTTAGATAATAATTTAGAGAGGAAAAATTACGTAATATTTATTGTGCAACTGAGGGGTGAAAATGGCCATCTTCCAACACAACGAGAGAATGCACAGAAAACTATTTCGAATATCTCACATCAATTTCACCTATCAAACTATCTGCAATTGCAGAGAAAGCTTCCAAAATCCGTCCATCGGACGGCATAGGTGTATTTTTACTCGGCGGTTCTTGCACTTTCAAGTGCAAATCAATAGTTTAGATGGATGTATTGTGAGGTGGTCTTTTTTGTTATTAAATGAAACAGAGAAGCGACTTTTTTCACATGAAAATAATACTATTGGTGGCAATCTGTATGATAAATCAATATGCAATTCGTTTTTCTGTTACATAAGTATGAAAAGAATATAATTTTCCACTCACTTTTCATCCCGTCACTGGTTTACCAACAAAATGGAGTGCATGGAGTGTCCAAATGTTATCTGGGAGCACACAGAAGAAACTGCGGGGTGTTACCAAGCTTTTTTTCCTGTCGGCACGAGCGTGAGAAAACCATTTTCACACTGAGAATCGAAACGAACTCATTAAATTATGTATAAAACTCGAAAATGTGGTAAAAAACGTTTTTCCTCTGCGACGGGAATAGATTCGGCGGTACTGGAGAATTGGGAGAAAAACGGGAATATTTCCAATTAATGCGCTTTAGCAGACGGGATTACATAATAATATTTTTAATGGAATTTTTTTAACACCACTGTTAAGAGGCAGCTCGAGAGTATACCGAAATGTTTGAGATTCTCTCTGATACTGATACAGAACAACTTTCTCACTAGGTATTTCATATTAGGTTTTCCACCCTTTTGCGCTTTGAACCTAAACGCTGAGACATTTACTCTCTTGAGCAATTCGAAGAGATTGGAGAGGGCAAACAAGTGCATATTGCCCCAATTTTGTGACACCACGCAGAGAGATACTCTTCGAGCCATGGAGTCGGCGCAAATACCCGATGTTGTCATGGCGATTTTTGACTATATGTGGTGGTGATTTTATGATCCAATAATGTTTTGTTATATGATGTTAACAAAAAAAATATTATTGTACAAATATCTATTGAAATAAAATATATTCCTGAAATGCTTCACACTGAAATTGATCCTTTAGGAGCACTGATGGCGTGGTGAGATTACATAATGTCTACATAGAGAACACTTTCTTGGCGGAGAATCAGAGATTTTTCTGCAAGAAATCCCTCTCCAGCGCCTTATATACATGCTATACATAAGCACCCACTCTTATGTGGAATTATTCCATGTACAATTTTCGGTAGACGCTTAAATCAGACAGACATGTCTAACGTTCTGCTGTTTTTCCTTCTCTGCATTCTGCAAAAAAGTAGGCTTGCAGTGACAATAAAACACGTCCTCAAAATATGTGTATTTTAACAAATATTTAGTCAATTATACAGAAGAATTTATTTAGATAAAGATTAGACTCAATCTTTTTTCAAACTCGTCATATACATACATATTTCCGTGCCTTCAATTCTTTTTCTCTGATAGACTACAGAACTGCTCTTCTTCCAATTACAATTCCTCATCGAGTTGAGGCCAAAAGAATCCCCCATGGAATGCGTTACAAATTTGAAATGTCCACCCTTTTAATGACAGCCTGAGTGGTGAATACCAAGGCGACCATATTGGAAAAATTTGTTTATTTCATCTCTCGTGATTTTTGCAAGTGGACTTTTCTCCCTCATTTGCAGGGGTTTTGAGAGCGTGTTTTTCCTCACCAGATGCATTGTGATACGTCTCAGGCTCCCATGCAGTAGACTACGAGTGGATATTGTGTGAAATTGGTTGATTGAGGTGGAAAAGTGCGTGTAAAGTGAGTGGCGAATTGACGGTGAATGCGCCGAGATATTTTTAACGGATGCGCCTGAAGACAATCATTGGCGGCTGGCGGCGGCAAAGTCAACCTGGGTTGGTTTTCTTGTTTTTTTCGCATTATAAAGTGCCTATGGTGGATAATTATACTAAACTATAGTCAGGAAAAGCCTACAAATCATTTAGATTGGTTATCATTCAATGACATGTTGAGAGAGTGTCAGTGTGATTTTCTCATTCCATATTGTTCATTATATTCATTACGTTCTATATAGACACGTCGTATATGCTATATGAAGAAGGTGCGATTGTGTTTCTGTGTTTCTCAGTCAAGCATTCGTCTTTTGCTCTTTCACAGCGAACGTACGTCTGGCAATTAGCGCTCTGACTCGCCAATATTCCTCGTCCAAGTGCACGCAAGTGGACAGTGAAGATGTGCAAACATCAGTAGTGCAGTGAAGAAATAGCAGAGAGGAGTGAAAAATAGTAGTTTGCCGATAGGATTCACTCACGATGGTGTTCGAGAGCCTCGTCACGGACCTCCTTAATCGATTTCTCGGCGAGTATGTGGAGAATTTGGACACGAAGCAGCTGAAAATCGGAATATGGGGCGGTAAGACTCCTTGACATTCCCCAAATTGACCATTGATTGGATCAGAATTAACCCACCGCGAACAGTGTGTCTATTGCGGTTGTCTGCCGATGTGTTGGGGAGGAGAAAACACAGTGAAAGAATTGATGATCTCACCCAGTCACTCCCATTTCAATAAAATTATTTATATTTCACTCCTCAGTGAAAGAGCGAAGCTTTGGAATTGATAAACTTTGGGGAAATCCTGAGCAATCACTGAAAGCCATGCAATATCCACTGCAATCAGTTGTTGAGATTCAGGCTCAGACAAAGAGCGCCTGATAAGGCAATTGAGCGGCGAAGTAGCGCCGATAAGGTTGTACGCATGTATTGGATGTGTTGTCTGAAATGTTTTTTCGATTGTTGCCGAAATGATCTAATTGTAAGTCGAATAATAGAGTCAAGGTCAGAGGGTAAATGTGATTATTTTTAGATGGTCCAAAAGAGTGGGATCATCAACGAAATATTCATCGCGTTTTTCGCGTGTTCACAATTTAAAATATGCTTTTTTACTTCTCTTTTTCGTGCCTTCGTTTGCGCTTCGTTTCATTTTATTATCTTTGCATAATGAAGCATGTTTTATCATTTTTGGGTATAAAATTAAAACGAGTAAGGGAAATGAAAGTCGTCGAAGTCACAAAAAACAAAACAGAAGGCGAATCACAGAATGTTGTGACCCTAGAATGTCTCGCTTTGCTGGTTAAAATGAGACTGTGATCTAAGAATTTCGCGATGCCGCTTGAGATCATGCAAAATAAAACCGCAGATAAGGTCTGTTGTCCAACTGGTAATTCGAAACCACTCTCATTTCCATTTTAGGTGACGTAGTTCTGAATAATCTGAAGCTGAAGGAAAATGCACTGGAGGAATTGGATTTACCTATACAAGTGCCTTATGGTTACTTAGGAAAGCTGACTCTGAAGATTCCCTGGAAGAATCTCTACACGGCTCCTGTTGAAGCTTGCATCGAGGACTTGTACATATTCGCCAAGCCGACAAAGGCTGTGCCGTATAATGTTGAGAAGGAAGAGAAAGCTTTGCTGGAGGCGAAGAAGGCAGAGCTGAAGAGGATTCAGGATGCTAAGGCGAATCGCGAGGCGGCTGATAAGTTAAAAGCTGACAAGAGCTTCACTGAGAAACTCGTGATGCAAATAGTGAATAATTTGCAAATTCGCATTTCCAACATTCACATTCGCTATGAGGATCACTCAGTTGGTGGCCAGAGATTCGCTTTTGGTATCACACTGAAGAGCTTCTCAGTGAATACGACAGATGAGAATTGGAGCAAGAGTTACCTCAAGGAAGTGGTTTCAAAGGTGTTCAAGATGGCAGAGCTGGAGGGACTCGCGGTGTATTTCAACTGTGGCAGTGAGACTTTCGATGGCGTCGATGATGTTGGGCTGAAGGAGAAATTCCAGCGCACAATTGCAACGAAGGCAATCCAACCGGAGGAATTTAAGTATATTTTCGGTCCAATAAGTTCCAATGCGAGATTGAAGTTGAATATGGCACCAGAAGAGGATAAGCCAAAGTTCTCAATTCCCAAAGTTGAGGTCTTCCTCAGTCTGCAGCAGTTCACGGTGGGGATTTCTAAGAGTCAGTACCAGAACGCGATTGAATTGGCGGAGTCTTTGGACAGGAGCATGAAGGGAGCGCCATTTAGGAAGTTCAGGCCATTTGATACTCCTATAAAAGGCAATGCAAAGGTGTGGTGGCATTTTGCGTACAACTGCATTGTAGAAACGTATATTCAGAGACGGAAGAGGGATTGGCTCTGGGAGAATATGAGAGATCATTGTGTGAGATGCCGAGAGTACTCAGACACGTACAAATGTCGGAAGATGGCTAAGAAACCAGACGCGCAGACTGTGGAAAAGTGTGAGAAGCTGGAGGAGAAAATTGACCTCTTCAATTTGATGAGAATTCAAGAGGTTGTGGATATAGAAGTGGCCAAGATTGTTAAAGTTCAGGAGCCTCCGGCCAAGTCTTCCTGGTTTGGTTCGTGGTTTGGTGGCGGAGCGAAGCAAGAAGAAAAGGAGAAGAGTTCAGCTATTCTAAATCAGTTCAACGCTGCAATGACCAATGAAGAGAAGGCAAAATTGTACAATGCGATTGGATACAGTGAAAATGCCATGCCGACTGAACTGCCGGAGGATTATGTAGCCATGCGTCTTCATTTTGAGATGAACACTCTCGAAGTGGCCATTATGAATGATCAGAGTGAAAAGTGTGACAGCAAGAGATCGAGAATTTTGATGTTGCAACTCAGGGAAGTGCACTGCAAGATTGATCAGCGACCAGCAGCTTCAGCAATCAAGTTGAAGATGGATTTAAAAACATTCTCTGTGTTTGGCGTGCAACAGGGCGACGCGACACCAAACATTATCAAGTCAAAGTGTGAAGAAGAAGGTAATCAACTGTCGTTGGACTTTGAAACTAATCCTCTGGATCATAAGTGCGATCAGAGGATAAAATTGCGGACAAAACCGCTGAAGATCACGTACGACGGTGAAACTATTCTACAGTTGCTGGACGTGTTCAAGCCGCCAAAAGATATGAACATTTCCCAGATTCAGGATGCAGCATCTGACAAGTTGAGCAACGTTAAGGAGAGATCAGCCACAGGGCTTGAATACATGATTGAGACACATACAAGGCTAGATATTGATATTGTCTTTATGCCAGTGTATCTCATTGTGCCCTACAAAGGGGTTTATCTGAAGGACAAGCACTCAGCTTTGATTGTGAGTTTGGGAACTGTGACTCTCCTGTCGGCGCCTCGTGCGCTGGACACTAAAGATGTACGATCAATGTTCCAAAGTGGGATTAAGATGGAGGATATCCTGCAAGAGATGATGGAGCAGAGCTATGATGTCTTCAATTTGAAAATTGAGAATCTGCAGGTGAGTCTTTATCACGATGATCTTATAAATGTGTTCTTAACTGAGTTTGTAATTATTTCAGGTTCTTTTTGTTGAGCCGAGAGACAACTGGCGAGACGTTTTATTGAGCGGTGAGAGAACGGATATGCACTTTGTGGAACCTACAAACTTAACTCTCTCTGCCCATTCATGTGTCATTGATGATGATCCTCGTCTGCCAAAGATAAAAATCTCAGGAGAGCTGCCATACTTTGGGGTCAGCATGTCACAGCAACGATTCCTAGACATGGTGGATCTGCTAATGAGTATTCCGTTGCCTCAAGATGAGGAAACAGTACCAAAACTCCCTGAGAAAGGAAGTCTGTACCAATCAACGGCATCTCTGGCAGCCAAGTTCCTCGATGCTGAGAAAGTGAGAGGCAAAAAGAAACTGGAACAATCTGGCGAGATAACAGAGGAAATCCAGCAATTTACAAATTTGATCGTGAATTTCATCATCAACGAGATATCAATTGTGCTTTTTGAGAATCACCATGAGAGCTCTATGTCCACACCGAGCAATTATGAAACACCGACAGCTGATGAGTTCACATCTGTGCTGTCCACGCCGGTGAGATCACCTGGTGAGAAGAGAAAGATCATCTCATTCAAGGTGATGCACATTGGTGCGTCTCTATTGCAGAGAACATACGATATGAAAGTAAATCTGCGTCTTGGTGGCATTGCTCTGGTGCACTATATGTACAGTAGTAATGTGGAGAGAGAGATTGATGTTATTTCAACACCAGGATTTATTAATGGTTCTGAATATCTCCTCACCATTGATTATCTCAATGTGAACAAAGAATCTCCGGAATTTGTGACGAAATACTCGTCTGTTGAGCAATTGATTGAGATCAAGTTCTCAATGTTGATTCTTCTGCTTCACCAGGAGGGAATTATTGACTTCCTGGGCTTGGTTGATGAGTTGAAGAGGAAATTATTGGCTATAACAGCGTCCAAGAGTGAAGCAGCAGAGGAATTGAGAAAAGTCGACAGGATAGCTTCTGCTGGTAGTCCATTGAGGCTTGAGAGTGGTCTTCCGACGATCTTTGAGGAAGAAGGTGGCAAACAAGTGGAGCAGACCAAGAAGAGACGGCAGAAAGTTGTGGATAGTATCAAAGTGAAAGTGGTGGCAAATCTGGAGAGTGTCACTGTGAAGATTGAGAGTGAGAAAAGGCCGATAACAACGCTACAGATTGAAAATCTGAGTGCCAGCACAATAATCAAATCGTCATACACGGAATTATGTGTGAAATTGAAGAACATTGCCATAACGGACAAGAATCCTGCATCAATCCATACAACAATTCTCTCAGTGATGGGAGATGATGCCATAAATTGTCGTGTCGTGTTGTTCAATCTCGATGAAACCAGCAACTACAACTCTGATGACATCAAAATTGAGGTCTCAATGGGAGGAATGAAAGTGGTGTTCCTGAACTGGTACATTCAGTCCGTTCTTAACTTCCTGGACAACTTCCAGGCAGCACAAGAGAAGATTGCCGAAGCCGGAGCGGCAGCAGCTGATGCAGCGAAACAGAATGTCGTTGATGCATATTCAAAAGCAACGAGAATGAATCTAAACGTGAGAGTGAAGGCACCTATTATTATCCTTCCTGAAGATTCTCAATCAGTGAAGGCTCTGTGTCTTGATCTTGGATATCTTATCGTGACGAATAACTGTTACGAGTTGCCGGCTGTGAATGAGGAGAACACCAAAGCCGTGATTGATGATATGAAGCTGGATCTGAAGGACTTGAAGGTGTCGAAAGTGAATTTGTATCAGGATAACAACTTTGAGGCTTCCCATGGAGAAATATCCTTTACTTCTGCTGACACGGAGGGCGCTATTCTTACGCCAGCAACTTTTTCACTCAATATCATAAGGAATCTGTCGGCGAGTTGGTACAAAGAGAAACCAGAAATTGAAATATCTGGTAAGATGAACTCAATCGTAATCAATTTGGATGCGAACGATTACAGACTCGTGATGGATATCCTGGGAAAGAATATGCAAGAGGGTGAATTGGAGCGCAAAGCTCCACCTTCGAAGGTTGAGCCAGTGAGTAAGGATGTGACTCATGAAGTGAAGGTGCATCAGGAATTGGTGAAGACACCACAGCCCAGTGAGAGTTGCAGTGATCAGACATTTGATGAGGCGAAGAGCAAGATAACAACATTCCTCAAGTTCGCCTTTCAAATGGATAGCTTGATCATCAATCTTTCAACGGATGGAGACAAAGGATTGGCTTCTTTCGGCATTTATGTTCTCTCGGTGAAAGGGAACAAATTGGCTGATGGATCGTTGAATACTTCAGTGGTTCTCTGCGATATCCAATGGGATGACATTCGCCCACAGAGAGAGAACATGATCACTCGCTTCATGGGCAGGAAAACTGGAGGAGATGAAAGTAATGAAAAGTCCATGATTGACATCACAGCCAGCATCAAAGACAACTCAATCTTTGCTGAATTGAGAATTCGTGGCTTTGATCTTATCATCTCAATGGACTACATTATGAAGTTGATGAATTTCTTGAATGCACCCAACAATTCTGGCAATGAGAAGGCTGCTCCGGATCCTAAGAAGTTAGAAATGCAAACACCTAAAACTCCCAAAGACACCCAAGTTGTTCCACCAACACCGGCGAATCAGAACAGCAAGATCACCGTGAACTTTGCCATTGAACAACCTGATATTATTCTTGTTGAGAAGATGGATGATATTAACTGCCACGCGTTGATTCTGAATTGCGAGGCTGGGCTGAAATTCCGTCAGCATGGCGAGAAGCAAGTGATCAGAGGTGATATCAACAACTTCAACATTCACATGTGTGAGTTTAATCCATCGCGACGAGCATTAACTCGCTATTACGTCCTGAAGCCGGTGAATATCAGTCTTTCGGGATCAACTCCGGACACTGAAGGACTCCATGTGGCTCTCACTGTGTCCAGCATTGAGATTTGCATCTCCCCTGGCACCATTCAGCTGGTCAATCGTATTCTAGTGACGATGAATGAGCAGGAAAAGTCGGCTGGGTGTCAGGAGGTGGCTGAGAAGAATTACTCCGATCTGTGGGATGTAAAGAACTTCACAGAATCTGAATTTTGGTACACTCAAATTGAAGAAGCGACTGAGGCAATTGAGAGTCCCACTGAGGATTACGCTCCAATTGTGAATCCAAAGAATGAAGTCTGCACTATTGAAGTGCCGTCGTTCATTATTAAAGTGGAATCTGGCTTTGGATACTACACAATTCCAATGCTGCGAATTGATAGCAATGTGTTCATGAAAGTATGCAACTGGAGTTCAGATTTATCGGCTGAAGGAACTCTACAGCTGGGCATGTCTTACTACAATAGTAGTTTAGCTCTGTGGGAGCCTCTGATTGAACCGAATGAACGTGAGCTGCCTAATGGATTGATAGAGTCTGGATCGTGGGAGTTGCAGTTTAGTGCTAAAATGTGTCAAGAAAGACAGGAGAGTTTCGATGAGACTCTGGAAGAGAGGCAGCCATTAACGAAGATTTGCGTGAATGCAACGGAAACTCTGGAATTAACTGTAACGAAGACATGTTTGGAGGTTTTGCAGAACTTAGGCAAGGGCTTTAGTGAGGCTATAAACTCCCAATTGACCTCCATTCAGCAAACAGCGCCATATGTTATCCAGAACGATACAGGATTTGATATAACATTTAATCTTCAGCGAGGAGGATTCAATCTCCATTCTTCTCATCTACCTCAGTCTCTAGAGAAGAATGGCGATGACTTGGCTGTTCGAGGAATAGTTTTCCATACCAACAACAAGGATGAATCCAATGTTAGTCCAGAAAATGTGACAACTTGCAAGTTATCGCCGGGAGCTTGTGTGTATTTGCAGTTGAAGAACGAAATGACTGAAGACTCTGTGGATTCGATCATACAGAAGGAGAAGTATCTCCATGTGAGGATTGGTGACATCGACAAGGAGCTCATTCTGCCGGTGTACAAGGCTGACAAGAGATACTTCCCGCTCTACAGGGACACGAACAGTGAGCCTTGGGGGATTATATCGAACATCAAAGTGGAGTATGGAAGCACCATTGTGACCATCCATGGGGTTGTTCAGATTCACAATCACTTCTCAGCTGTTATGAGTCTCTTCAGGCGAGTCAATGGCTCATTTCATCTAGTTGGCGAAATACCACCTAACAAGGTGTTCAATGTTCCTCTCCATGCTATTTATGCGAACAACAAGGAGTTGCACTTCTCGCTGCCAAACTACAAACCGTCGATACAGGGCATCAACTGGAAGGATTCACCCAGTGACTTTGAGTACCGCAAGACACTTCAGTGCGATCCAGAGGTGAACTACGAGCCCTTCTACATAAATGTAGGTTTATACAATGATTTGTACACTCTATCAATACTTTCTACATATTATTTTATGTTTTCGCAGGCTGTGCGAACGCGCAAGGATGTTTACTATGAAGTAACTTCAAAGATCACAATGCTGAGTGTTTGTTACATCATACATCTGCGTCCACCTGTCCTCCTGAGGAACACACTTCCAATTCCCGTCATAATATCAGTGGCTGGATGTAGTGTTGTGCGCGATCAAGCAATTGTTGTTCCGCGAGATGAAACAAAGGAGGAGAATATGAGTCTTTCAGTGTCTCAGAAGGAGTGTGAAGACTTCTTGGACTATGGGGAGAAGGTTGTTCAGCCAGGAGAGATGATTCATTTGCCAACAATTCAATTGGCAGCAGCACATGGAGAGTCGTACAGCAACATTGTCGTGAGAATTAGCCAATATCTTGACAAAGATTGGTCATGCACAACTGAAATTCCTGCCAATCCACCGGAATTTGCTGTCTGGACATTCAGAGCATTTGATTCTGCTGTGGAAATGTCCTTTGAATTGGGTGTTCACTTCCAAAATCGCGAGGGAAGTCTTCATCTCTCGATTTACTGCCCATTCTGGATGGTCAACAAGACGGGATTGATGCTGAGCTACAGGGTGAGTTGAATTAAATGAGAAATGCTCTCATTGTGAATATCCTGCAAATGTGTTGTGATTTAAAATATGTGCAATTTAATGCAGAAATCCCGAAAAACCGAAAGAAATGAATTGTCTGGTAGTCCTTCGTCAAAGGTATTTCCCAACGTTCAATTTGTGTTTGTGTTTATTTTAGTTTGGCATGTTGAACAAACTAATTTGAGTTGAATTGGAAAATTAATGACACTAACCGAAGGAATAATCACAAAATTTATATATTAATTTCATTAATTCTTTAATTACAGATTTTATTTTTTAGATGAAAAAAATTTTTTACCCTGAAATATTCTAAAGGATTTTCTGTGTTTTTCAGGGCGTTGATGAATCCATCAACATTTTGTACCATCCTCCAGAGTACAACGGACCGATTCTCTTCTCTTTCCGCGAGAAGGTGTTCTTTGGGAAGAATCGTGCCTCGATCAGGATTGATACTGGCGACTGGAGTGACAAATTCCCTCTTGATGTGGCCGGATCTAGTGGTGTTGTGCAATGTCGAGCAAAAGATACGACATATCAGATTGCCGTGCACAATGCCTTGACGAAGTACTCTCTAACGAAACAAATCACCTTCTTGCCAAACTTCATTCTGGTGAACAAGGCGCCAGTGGATGTTGAGGTGCAGGAGGAGAATCGTCCTGGAGATCATTGGCTGCGAGTGTCGTCACAGGAGTGCATTCCACTTTGGCCGAAAGTGGAATCCAATCCAATGTTGAGGATTCGAGTTGAGGGCATTGTGACACCTCCGTTTCGCTACACCGAAGTTCAGTGTTCACTGCTGAAGTTGCAGAACAACAAGTATGGTGGGATTTATGTGGACGTGAGTGTGACTGAAGGTGGAACCTTCGTGCAATTCACTGAATACTTCCCTGGAAATGCTCCGGCTTTAATTGTGAATCACACGGACGCGGTGATGAGTTTCTGGGAGAAAGGAAATGTGAATGAGAGGGTGTTGAAGCCCAATGAAAAGACGCTCTACACATGGGCAGATCCAGCAAGTGAGAGGATAATCTATTGGAACAATGGAGCAAAGGATAAAATTGAGAATGATCTGCAGAGAGATGGAGTGGGATCATTTGTTAGCAGTGAGGATAGTTCAAAAGTTTACTGGTGGGTGTCCTTCCTGGATGGCGTGCAGCGAACTCTGCTCTTCACGAAGAGCGAAGCGATTGCCAATGAGACTCAATCTGATCATCGCATGGATAAGATTAATCAGGAGATTGAGCTGAATATTCACGGCATTGGATTGTCGATAGTGAACAATATGAAGTCAACAGATGTGATTTACATTGGAATCGCCAGTTCGGGTGTGATTTGGGAGGAGTGGAAGAAGTCTCACTTTAAGCAGATGAAGATTAAATTCAACACTCTGGTGGAGGAGAAATATCAGGAATTCCTCCGAGATCAGGTTGTTGGGGAGACAAGGAAAAAGTACTTCGTCGAGGGTGAGAAAACTGAGGTGAACTTCAATGAGATGAAGATACAAAAGTCCAACTTGAGAGCCATTCGAAGGGTTTTCTATCCTGGTTTGTGGTTCAACATGAAAACCTCACCGTTCCAGACACAAATGCACGCGAAAATCAACAGGATTCAAATTGACAATCAAACTCCTGACTGTATCTTCCCAGTGATCTTGGCTCCAGTGCCACCGCCAAAGAGTGTCGCCGCCACGCATGAGTTAAAACCGTTTGTAGAGGCGTCGATTGTTGAACGTGTGATTCCCTTCTCGACAGTGAAGCAATTTAAGTACTGGAAGATTCTGATGCAAGAATTCCACGTGAGGATAGATCTGGGTGTGATTAATGAAGTGTTTGACATGATCACAACTGAGGATTCTGAAGAGGAGGTGGTGAAGATATTTGCTCAGGAGTTGGCGAGACTCAAGGAGCCACTATCTTCCTTTGTTGATGTCCAGTCATCGCAGGAGCAGAAGAATTTCTATGATCAACTGCATTTGGGACCGCTGAAGGTGCACGTTTCATTTTCCATGTCCGGCTCGGACACGAGGAATATGCCAGGAATTCTCTCGACTTTGCTGCAAAGTGTTGGCGTCACTCTCACGGATGTGAATGATGTGGTGTTCCGCCTGGCATTCTTCGATCGGGAGTATGTCTTCCTCACACAGAAGCAGCTCATGTCAGAGTGTATGGCTCACTATACGGGCCAAGCTGTGAGTGCTCTTGTCTTATTGGAATCCACGATTCTTTACTAATTATTTTATTACTCATTTATAGGTGAAGCAACTCTACGTTCTCGTCCTGGGCTTGGATGTCATCGGGAATCCCTTCGGTTTGGTGGTTGGCATCAAGAAGGGTGTGGAGGATCTTTTCTATGAACCCTTCCAGGGTCTCATTCAAGGTCCTGGTGAGTTCGCCCAAGGCTTAGTGCTCGGTGTACGGAGTCTCTTCGGCCACACTGTGGGAGGCGCGGCTGGAGCGGTGTCTAAGATTACTGGAGCTGTGGGAAAAGGCTTAGCAGCGCTGACCTTCGACAAGGAGTACCAGAAGAAGAGGAGAAATCAGATCAACAGAAAGCCGGCCAATCTGCAGGAGGGTTTGGCGAGGAGCGGCAAAGGTCTAGTGATGGGTGTTGTAGATGGAGTGACTGGTGTGTTCTCCAAGCCTATCAGTGGAGCTCGATCGGACGGCGTTGAGGGCTTCTTCAAGGGCCTGGGCAAGGGTGCAGTCGGCTTAGTGACGAGACCAACAGCTGGAGTTGTTGATTTCGCCAGTGGGAGTTTCGAGGCGGTCAAGAGGGCGACTGAAATGTCTGAGGATGTGACAAGACTTCGTCCTCCACGATTCTTGAAAGCAGATGCAGTTGTTCAGCCGTACAGCCGAAGGACAGCTGAAGGAAATAAGCTTCTGAAGTGAGTTTCTAAGCGTATTTATAATAAATATATTGTTTTATTTACTAATTGTATTTGTCTTTCTAGGGAGATTGATAAGGGAAAGTATGCAGACACCGATTCCTTTGTCCACAGCGAGACAATCATCGATCAGAAAGATGTGTTTGTCGTCTCTGATCAGCGTGTTTTGTATTGTGTACGCAATGATTTATTTGGCGGATGGCAAATTGAGTGGACTCATCGTTGGGAGGAGATTTCGTCTGTTCAGTCGACACCGCAAGGAGTGGAGTTGCGCCTCGTGAAGGAGCAGAAGAAGGGCTTCAGTGGGCTGTTTGGTGGATCAGAGCACCATAGGAAAATCCTCATAATCCCACGGGTGGCCAGAAGGGAGCAACTTGTGACCATAATGAGGGATATCAAGGAGCAGAAGAAGTAATCCACGCCATCGCTTATCTATTCACGCTATTCCACTAGTCAAGGAATTTAATGGGCTTCAGGATTAATGAGATTCCTCATATCTTACGTAAATCTTCTAAATAGTCTTTCTCGTGCTACGTCTTGCATTTTTCTATACACGTTTTCCACTATTGAAACCCCAAAAGATATACATATATACTATAAATGGGAGGAATAACATTTTGTACACTTTCTCAAATACTAGGAGTTCTTGTAAAGTGAGTTACTGTGAGCTGAGTGTATTAATAAAGCCTTTATTTTATGTCGTGGTTTTCTTGGTGAGCAAAATTGATGGTTGATTGAGACGTTGAAATTCAAATGCGTCGATTGGTCGACTGGTCGATGGATTTCGACGTCACTTTGACTGACTGCAACTTTAGTTTGGTGAGAGTTTACAAAATGCAGTCTGTGCATTTCCAAGTGCTTTCTCCTGCTTTTCCTTTTTAATTTCTGCCATAAATTCTATTTTGCCACCTTCTTTCCACCCTTTTTTCTTGCCTGACGTTCCGTACGAGTGACACGCACAAAAATCCCCGTGAAATATTCATTAATAAGGTGTTTGGCCACAAAACAAAATGCCGCATTGGCTTTCGTGAAAAAAGAGCTGCAGCAGTGTTTTTTTGCTCCACTCTCTCCCCAACTTTGTGTGTGCTGGCGAAGAAAGTGAAAAAGAGTCAATAAATCGCAAACAATTAAATGGCAATATAGAAGAGCACATCCGGTGGACGGGAAAATCTCCATCTGCATGCGAAGTGAATCTCAATTGAATTTCAATGTCCGGAACTAAAAATGCCCAACAACTGCTATCGACGTCGTGGGAGTTTATCAGGTAATTTATTCAATCTCTCGTCTCACATTTCACACACTGCCCAAGAGGATGTCCACACACGTTTCGCTGCTGGTCAGAACAATTGGCCAGAATCAGCGCTTTTGTGCCGCGCTGCTGATGCCATGAAAAGGTCGCACAAATGTGGGAGGCAAAAGGGTGACGAATGGAGAAAAATTTTGTATTCCATTTCACTGGAATGCAAGCGAAGTGCTTTTGATCTCATGGACACGCTTTGCAGTCGCATTCACGTTGGTTAATGAGGGTTTCCTCCACTGTCTGTTCGCCTGCATTGGCTCAACATAATTTGCCTACACTTGCAGCTCTCTTGAGCGCTTTTGTGGTCTGGTTTGCCCCCTACTCAGCTCTTAGGCTGAGGAACCACAACAAAGGCAATTGCCGAATATACACGCTCCTCGATTCACTGCCTTTCCACTTTCAAAGCGATGCTCTGACGCCAGGAAATGTGTGAACGACTCTGATTTGCGCTAGTCAAGTAAGAATAGTGAGAAGTTCTAATAAGGTATCCAATTATGCTAATATATAGAGCATTTCTGACAAGACGAGAACAGTTTGAATCCAAGAAAAATTCTCCCTGCTGAAAATCCTAAATGTCACGCCTATTGTGATGCTCCGCCTACTTCACTTGTTGCTTCTGTCCTTTTAAATCCTATACATATTGTAATTTGAAGCAGAATAATGTAAATGTGGTACTTATGTTATCACATTAAAGAGCGGATAATAGATTCTGAGGAAAGTGAGGACACATTAGGAGAAAGATTGTTCAGTCATTAAATCGCATTTCTCTACCTAAAGATCAGGTTAAAATTCCAGAAAAAGTAGGTTTCTCTTTACCAACGTGTATTATCCTATTAATTTCGAATTAAGGCCCTCAATTGACCCACAATTTGCTGCTTAGTCGAGACTTTGAGATTTGTGCAAAACTTCCCAAAGGTGAGGTCAATCTAATAATGATTCTCCTCTATTTCTCCGGCAACACAAATGCGAATTGAGAGAATCTCTTTCACCTCATCATGTCTTGTTGGGGTTTTGAGGCAGCAATGGTGTGGAGGAGAGCAATTTATTCTAAACAGATATCCGTGTGCCTGACGATTAATTTCATACATACGTTTTCAGACAATTGTTGGTGTGAAGCATGTAATTTAGTTGTATTCTCAGTGTAAAAGTGCAGTTTATCTCTGACTTTTTTTTACGAGAAAGTCCACATAACTTCCTCCTGGGAGCAACATTATCATTATATCCATTATGAGATACACGAAGTGCCGCTTGGGAGATAAAATGGGGAGTTCATAGACCGTGGATATGCTAAAGGTTGCTCAATTTTCCACTTATTTTAAGCTACGAATCTCTATTCTGCGGTGGACGCCACTCACCTGTAATATGGAACTATGAAGAGTCATGAAATTGAGTTCACCGCACAAGTCTCGAAATAGCTCGTGAGGAGAGCAAGAGAGAGTGAGCGGATTTGAATGAATTTCTTGGACACTTTTAGCCTATAAATGATGTTTATTTTAGCGGGCGGGAAAAAGTATCAACTGTGATGTTGCAAAAAGTAGCCACACAATCTCGAGAGGAAAACGACGCATAAGTGAGAAGAGAGTGAGAGAAATGGGGCATTAGGAAGACGAATAGTGCTGGAAACGAAAATAAACTTCCTGGCTTGTTGGCTGGCAGTGTTGCGGGAATGGGCTTCTTTTTTTCTCAATGTGAGACCACATCAACTTCTTTCTCCAACACGCTTCAGTTGGTTGATATTCTCGGGCCCGAGCTGCCAGGAGAAATTCATCATTTGCATGTGAAGAAGTTGCTGTAATTCAAAAGTGTGAGATTTTTTTATGAGGAAAAATAGAACAATGGAGCGAAGAAGTCATATTACGTTATGAGATAAAGTGTGTGGCCAAAGAGAGAGTTTTTGCTTAGCTGTTTAGAGAGGAGTTACAGTGTAGTCTTGACTTGCATGTGTTGGGCAGAAGCAGTGGAGACGCCAAGCTTCACACGATATAAAATTGATAAAGAGTGTTCAGTCAGTTTGTGCCACTCTCGACAGATATGTCGCTGTACATTTCTCTCCGGACGGCCTTTTCCCCATTGTGTTCATCATCATTATTGAGACAAATCAATTGGACTACGGAGTGAAGAATTGCTGAGGAAACTGGACCTTGACATTGGCCCAGAGAGTGTCTATTAATCTTGCTGCGAGTGTAAAGATCTCTTCAAGAACAATGGGTTGGAAAAGTGTCAAGAAATCGTCAAAACTCTTATCAGTGAACCTCTCGAAAATTGTGTGGTGCACGTAAATCGATGGATTGCGTTATTGGAACAAATAATTTGTGCAAATTATCACTTAATTTACAATAATTAATTTAGCAATTTATTGAAAAATGTTTCGTGCAATCAAGCGAAAATGGAAAACAAGCAGAGAAAGGTTCGTAATATCAATTTTTTTTAATGTCCTCTGCTGAGAATTGAGGTTGACGCAAAACAGTTGTGTTTATATTGTCTTTAAAATAGCTTCTCTAAAAATTGGCACACGCACAAGTCTTGTGGTGTTATGAAATTTGTAACCTTTTCTTGATTTATGACTTTCCGATGCCCCTTCGTGAGTTGGGAAAGAGTTTTTTTTTCTATAATTTTATCACAACTATATTCCGCGTAGGAGAGACTTGCAAGACTCTGGCGATAAGTTACCTCATTGATTAAATATGTGTGACAGAGAGAGGGTTTTATCTCGGTCTTAAGCATTTTCCAGCAAATTCCTGGGCCAAAATGAGGAAGACCTTTCGCGTGAACGTGGAAACAAACGAATTAGTGAGCTGGCGAGCTGATAAAAATGCCACTAAACTCAATATTTTTTCCTCCTGTGAAATCATAATGGCCAATTAGAAATTTAATTTGGTCAAGAGTGCGGCAAAAAAATCTATTTCGTCTCAAGCTAACAAGTTTGTTGTGATGTCGAGAACGCAAAAAGTAGCATGAAATTCTTCTGCTTTATTTGATCTTGACATGCGTCTAAGCTGAATTGTTGATCTTCGCATGGTTTTTTTATTATTTTTTCTCCGTGTCTGCTAAAATTAAGAGAATGATTTTTTTGTCATTCATTATACCTGATTTTCCTTCACATTTTCACTTATGTTTCCAATCGTGGTCAAGAGTAATTATGAAGTTTATCCAAAGAAATCGCTGGCAGAGAAGCTCTCACGTGAGTAACTGCCGTAACCACCCCATCCGTGTCTCCTGTGTCCCCATCCGCCATAATATCCTCCGTATCCACCGTAGCCCCCGTACCCATGTCCTCTGTAACCGTATCCCCACGCAGCCTCGGCGGCTTTCAGGTCGACTCCTTCCTCGGCAGCGGTGTCCTCAGCTCCCTGATTAGCGAAAGACAATATTTTAGTGAGGAGCCTTGTGATCTTAAACTTGTTTCAATGAAGAAATGTGAAGAGTCATATTACGTGTAAGAGGAACGCTTAAATTGAATGCTTTAAGTGTTTTTAGAGTTTCTTGCGTAAGTTTATGTCATGTTGTAAAGATCATGGCATTTTTCCCACTATTAATCAATTTGTCTTTTTTCATTATTTTGGGAAAAATTATTATGATTGTTGTAGAAATAAGATTTGATTTGAAGTCACGCATTTGGTTTTTTTTACAATTATAAGCGAGATTTTTCTCATCACAATATATGACTTATTTCGCTGTTCTTCACTGTATCTTAATTCACAACAAGTTTAGAGGCGTGAAATCTCTTATCGAATATAAAACGCACTAGAATTTCGATCAGATAAGAGAGATCTCTTAAGTGACCTTTTAAAATTCGCCACTTGAACAACTGTACAATTACAAGCCATTTACATTTATAAAGCGTAAAGCGAGTGATTAATTAAAATTTTATAGCCTTCATGGGCGTCATATGATGCAAAACAACTTTCCTTTGCCGAAAACCCGATAAATATTCGCACACCCTAGTAATACATATATTGTTCACTCACTTCGACTGGGGCGAAACTTAGGGGCTTTTTGGGCTCCTCCTTTGCCACGGGAATGGAGTGGGCGATGGCAAAAAGAACACAGAGGCACAAGAACAGCTTCATGGTTGACTTGTAAAAGGATTAAGAGCGTTCTGAGATGTTTTCACTGGGCAGTCTGTCTAACATTTGGGGATAAATTGGCTTCTTTTGTCATTTTATATAAAGAACGATGAACATGGGGGAGAAGGCACGTTTCAGAATTATCCCCACCTGATTTAGTGGATTGCCTTGAAGGAAGTTCACGGTGTTGTTGAAGTATTGTCGCAGAATCTAATGAATCTGTCTGCACATCATGTGGGATTTTCCGCTTCTGTGGATGTTTTTTTACCAATGAATTCAAGCTTTGTGTGTAGAGAATATAAAATTTTCATTTATTTGTGTGATTTTTTCAAGTCATTTTCACAATAAAATACTTTAGTTTCTCTTGTTGTTCCTCTGCATCATATCCGATGGTGTTTGTGTGGATGTTTTGAAGATTTTTCGGAAGGACAGAGGAAATTCTTCATGTTTATTGGATTAAAATATATTCACTTCAGCTGGATTTATTTGCCAACTACCGGTTGAGAGGGTACATGAAAAGAGGCGAGAGAGAAACAGATAAAAAAAAGTCGATAATTCATAAAGTAAGCAGTCAAAGAATACAGATGGGGGGTTTTATGGACAAAAAATGTGAAGAGGTGAGTTCATTGACTGTTGGGGAATTGTGTCTGGTTTGATTGATTCTCACCTCCGACATTGACTGAGACACCTTTGGCTGCAACCACGGCGGGTTCAGCCACAACAGGAGGCGATGCCACAGCCACAGTCGCCACGGGTTTCTGCACAGTGACTGTGTAGGGTGTCCACACAGGCCTGTAGTATGTGTAGTTCACGGGCACGTAGTCATACTGAACGACAGGAGCTGCCTTCACTACGGCTACCTTTGGCCAGAAGAAGAGCTTCGGCCAGAGGAAGAGCTCAGACGTCTCCAAGTCACTCTTCTCGTCATTCTCACTCTCCTCGGCGGCTGGTCGGCAGAACACTGAACAAATTGTCACAGACACGAGGAAGAGAACAATCTGGTGAAAGGGAAAAATTGAATGTTTTTAACAATTGCATTGCACTTTTCCTATACCGAAGAGAACACTCACAAATTTCGCCGCACGAGACATTGTATTCGAGTGAGAATCTACACGGAGTGGAAATTAGAGATGAACTTTATGGTATCGACGTGTTAATCCAAATGGGCATTCCTCTATCAATGCGTCTCTGTATTATATGGTTTTTTGGGAAATGGTGTGGAGACCATGTGGATCACCTTGAGGTTTTGGAAGAGCTTTTTGAAAAGTGGTATTAAAAATTTATTTTTTTTTACCTCCACGGAATGCCCAGCGAGTCTGGTTTTAATCTCACAAAATGACTCTTCATATATTTTCGCGTAGAATGTCAATTTATCGGTGAATTAGTAATGCTTTAGGATAAGCACAAAGTCCACTGAAATGTGGGGTTCAAAAAGTCATCTTGAGAGCACTTTGCAGAATTTTGTTTTTTTTTTTCGGGAGGAATTTTGTGGTGAGAAAAAACCTCCCGGAAGAAGTGGGAGGGTAAAGTCAATGACTAATAAATAATTCCACAAATGAGAGTGTGTTATCGTTAAACGCATTTCTGGATTAAATAACAAGGCACTATCATCAACTGCCGTGTGTGCGCAATTCGGCTGAATATGCGGAAGATCATAAAACATAATTTACCCAAAAAGTATCACTCGCGAAGCATTTGAATTGATATGTAAATTTATTAGCGGAATATTTGTGATGGACATTAGCATGAGGCAAACAGCTATGAAAATCACGAGGAGAAGATGTCTTTTGGGTAGGAAAGAACAATTTAGCAATGCATTAATTCTGGCGCTTCTCCTGTCGGTTCTAGGCCACCTGTGAGGAACGACGGAGCTGGCAAGAGTGGCGAATATGATTTGTCATCTCAGATCTCACATCAGCCACGATACATTGGCGTCCAACACGGAAATATCTTTCTCAGTCCGCGTCCACAGTCGCCGCAGGTGGAGAGACTGCCAGACGACGATGTAGAGAAGGTATGCAACATCTGGCTGGTGAACATTACCGTATGGATATATTGTGTACATGTTGCATCTTTCAGGTGGAAAATTCTTCAATTCCATATCAGGAGAGAATTAGTGAACTGGAAGATGCCGTTTGTCGTCTGCAAAAAATTGTCTATCAGGTATAGTGGATAGTCTCCTCTCTCACTGTCGCTGCCCATAAATTGTGTAGAAAGACAGAAAGTTTTGGGGTTGAATGACACAGTGTGACTAACTGGGAAATTTTCCCCCTGGAAAAGTGATATGACAGCATAAATAGGGGGGACTTTCGACAGTTTTCACAATGCGGATGGCAATATGGAGGGATGATGCTGAAGATTTGAGCCTCCGTTTAACATTAATACAATTTATGGGGGGTTGTAAAGGGTGGTCTGGGGATTAATACATCGTAAACTAGGACTCTTATTGCAAAAAGGGGTGGTGTAGGGTTAACTGAAATAATCAAATGGGATGAATATATTAGGACTTTCTGAAAACTCAGCAATAGGGTGTCCTATTTTGTAAATAATGATGAACAATGACGAATAATTTTTTGAATTCGTGTCGGAAAACAATTTATGTGGAAATTTTTCTTTTAATCATTACAAATTAAAAACAAATAAAGCTAGAAATCTTTACTGTTAATTATGTAAAATGAGACACCCTAGGTCACTGAGAAGAGAGCGTCTGAAAGTCTCAGTTTCCTGAAATCTGATAGTATTATTATTGAAGTTTTAATTAATGTGAATTCTACTCAGACATGGTCTTTACCTCCATAGTATATTTTACTTCTCTCTTAATATTTTACACAAATATTGAATTTTGCGCCTCTGTTGTTGACTTTGGTGTGCTTTTTTCTGTCTCTTCTAGAGTCAAACCGGCTTTTCGACTGCGGAGAAAGAATTGTTGGAGCAAATCGATGAGTAAGAATATTTTTGGAATATCACGTGAATGGCTTTTGACCTTACTGCAACTTTTTTTTTTGTTTCTGTGTGCAGCATGAGGAAAACCCAATTGGCCAAAGACAGGAGGACAATGCAGATTTGCCTGGAGCACAGAGCGCTTCAGGAGAGATTTATGAGGCAAGAGCGGGTGTTGCAGTGTCTGCAGAATGAGAATAGATCGCTGCACAAGAGAATTCTGCAATATGAACACTGTCTGGATGATGTGTCGAAGAGGGTGATTGACGCTATAATAGCTGAGGATCGTCTTCGGGCGGAGTTTGCGGTGTTGAAGAACAGGATCAGGGATTTGGAGGTGAAGAATGCGGCGATTGGGTCAATGGGCAGTCCGGCTCGAGGGCGAGATGAGGGATACTGCACGATGAGCTCAGGACCACTGCCATCGACGTTGGAGAATCTGCCTGAGGAGCCTGAGCAGTGGATTCTGTCGGATGGTGGACACTCGGCCGACATGGAGGATTGGAGCTTGTCGCAGGAGGAACTGGTGGCTCAACTGGAGGAGGACTCCAATGAGTGGACATGGGGGAATCCTCACCTAACGCTGCTGGATGATGAGGTGAGTGTCTCTTTTTAGCACGTTCATGCTAAATATCACAGTAATTATTTGTCTCGCCAGATTGTTTACTCGGAAAGTGAGGAATTGCCGTGCAAAGATTTCACATCCGATTTCTACAAGCTCGTCAGTATTCAGTCGGAGAGCTGCAAAAGTCTCACGCTGGAAGACAGCGATGGCAAGATTGACTCGGACTCTGATGTGGCCGAGCGCGGATCGTCAATGAGTGAATTGGGTCAGGAGCAGATGTTTAGTTGCTCGTCAAGTGATGAGTCAACAACAGAGGTGCACTTCTCTCCGAAGCCAGCGAGTGATGTTCAGGAGCAAAAGAGGCACTACTTTCTTCCCAAGCAGTGGAAGAGGAGCTCTGGATGGCGAAAGGTCTCCGTACAAACCAATGTGAGTTTATATTGTTGCCTATTTCAACACTCTTTCTTAATCGTGTTCTCTCATTGCTCAGGAATCTACCAACGTTGAGGATGAATGACCTGCTTCCGTATAGATTTTTTTTACAAATCATACTCAAAGATTCAAGGAGTTGGAAGAAATGAAAAGACTTTCTTGATTAATTATATTAGAGTTACATTGCGTAGTAAGTTAATGGTTTCGAGACGAAATGTATTCTTAAAAAAAAACAGAACTGTAGACACTAGTGGTGAGAAGGGGTATAATCACTGCCTAAAGAAGACTTTTTGAGAGATGTTGGAGAAATTTATGAAATAGAAAGACTGGTTTTGCCTTTGATTACACAGTACATTATCCAGAAAGAAAAAAGTATAAGAATAGTAATGATAAATCTAAAAATAGTGAGCTAATCATCTCCATAAAAAATCAATCAAATGCAATTTAAAATAAATAAAATCACATTGAGATAAAATTTCAATAAGGCAAAGCTTTAGTCAATAAATATTAACTATTAAAATATAAAATAATATAAATTATTGGGACAATATTTGATTGAGAAGGTAGAATGTGGCGGGAATTCTAAAAAGAAAATTTCTTCACTGGCTAATTATTATATTGTGAAATTATAACCACTAACTGATGAAGCATTTATAAAATGTACAATTTACGAATTAGAAATTGCGAAGAGGTAATTTTTGTATAGGATTTTGAAGAGAAGAAGAAATTATTGTATTACAATTCTTCATTAGTATTTATAGCGACACTTCAGACTAATGTATTATGCAATTTAACTAATTTATATTTTCTAGTATCTTTTTTATAAGGAAATACCCTTTATTTTCAATTTTTCTTCACGTCCTTCAAATTTTTACGCCCAATTTATAAATTAGGAAATTGTGATATGAAAAAGAAGATAAACTTTCTCTCATTAACTGAAAATGAATATTCACCAATCTTTCGCCCTTTTATAGTGGATCCAATGTTTGATCCCATGTAGTCACGGTGACTTTGAATTTACTAAGCCGAAAACCAAAATTTTGTAAGAAACAAAAGGGAAGTGAAAATAAAACGAGTAAATTATTAAAATTCAATCCATTTTAATTGCTGTCGACAATGAATCTCTGAGAATGGCAAAGTAAGTCAATAATTGGTAATTAATTAAAAAAAAAGTTTATTGGACGTAACATCTATCAAGTACAACTTGTGATGATTTCCTGCGTGTTCTCTGTTTTATTTAGTATGATGCGGTATGTGAAGTTTTAATAATGCTTTATGGCTGATTCCAGGTTCTTCGTCTTGTGTCTCTTCATATTGTTAGGCTGTGTGTAATCAGAAAGTGAATTGTTTTATGTTTATTGTGTCATTTTGTAAAGTATGTTTTTGTGTGTGAAGGCCTTAAAAATTAGCGGTATTTTTCTCCAAAGCTCTTTTAAGCATACCTGCAAAGAAAGGAAAAAAAGAACCCTTTGAGTGACCGTTTGCTTTAACATGGTGAAAAAGCACCCTAAATTGCATGCATGTACAAGAGTGTTTACTCGCAGATGGCTCTGGGGTGGAGGTCGCGAAAGATAATCGGTCTACCGCCATTTCTGACGCGCTCATTCTGATAACACATCGCTTTGGATTACGCAGAATCGAAAGTTTATTTACCACAAAAAATAGTCTTGTATATAATGGTGATAAGGTAGAAATTTATAGGTAACTTGTGCTAGTGTGTAATGTAAGAAGCTGCCAAGCGAACAGGTAGAGACTTCTTATCACGGTTAGATTTGCTTTGGTTATCGTGGCTCAAAAATGCGCAATTAAGGTGTTATTTCTCGTACACGCCCAAGTGATGGAGCGTTCTCAGGAGAAATTCGTATAAAAATTATATAGTTAGGTAACCGCGAATGGGAACATTACGCAGCATGCAAATTGGGAGAGCTTATCAAAGAGCAATAATGCTTAGTAATTAGACCTTCTTCTCTCGTTGCGGATGTGATTTCCAAGGCAGCAGGCGAAGATGAGGGCCACGAGCTGCAAAGAGTTTGGACAAATAGATAAGTTTAGAATTGCACTCTCTCACGGGAGACAGTTTATAATTGCTCACCTGAATGAGAGCAACACCGAGAGCCACCCAAGCGATGATGTGCTTGGACATGTCCACCCAATCTTCCAAGGCAGCGATGCAGCCGGTCTGGAAAGCATTGCCGGCATTGCACTGGGACACGCCGGATTCGCAGCAGGATGGGGGAATGGGCCCGATCTGAGGAGTCCAGTCAGCGGGACCGCGAGGACCGCAGCACTGTAGATTCATCTGCACGGTGTCGACCAGCTCACGGTTGACTTGCACGTTGTCCTGCTCGAGGAATATCCTGTCGAAGGTCTTGGTCATCACGGAGGCAATGTCACCGGCGAAGGCGAACGTGATGGCGGCAATAACGATTTGTCCAATGATCAGAATCAGCATAAAGGCAGCGTACTGAAAGAGAGATATTCAGGTCAATATTTCTGGTCTTTCCAGGCGCATCATCGTCAGTGCGTATACTCACGGTCATTGTGAGGCAGTGGGACTCCCTGATGGCGCCGCAACAGCCGAAGAAGGCTATCACGAACACCACCGATCCCAGGATAATGAGCAGGATGGGCGCGGCGATGGCATTGTAGTCTCCAAAGAGCTTCTCCAGGTCAGCAGCATTGACGAGGACGATGATACCTATTGTCAGCAGGGCAATGCCACATAGCTGAGCATGGGAACAATGAAATCATTATCATTATTAAACATTGCGTGTAATTTTGCGCAGGGATCATGTATGAAGATGATTTTCTTACGGTATTGCGACCCTGACCAGTTTGCGTCTTGGCTCTGGATAAGAATCTTGAAGTCAAGATTAAGAAGAAATATCCTAGCTATGCCCTTTTCTTTGTTTTAGGTTCTATTCATTGACTTGAGGAGGCAGGATATTGATCAGAGTTGCTATTCAGTATTATTTGCATAACATCGCGATTATTACAGTCGTCATATATAGTGAATTAGATGATAAAACACGCCTAATCCCAGTGTGAACATCCGCTACAGATTGTCCACGAATTATTATTACCTTCCCAGATGTGCCTATTACAATGTCTTGAGGCTTAACTGAGAAGATTAAGTTTAGAGCTAAAATGTGCATTTGTAGTTTCACAACATACTCTTCTTCGTACCTCGCCTGGTAATCAAAATCCCCGCTCTCAGCTCTAAAAAAAAATATAGTCTATGGTGCCATTTTCTCATCACAGATGAAATTGCCGTGCCCGAGATTACAAAGTGGATTATTTTTAGCCAAACTCTTAATTCCGCGCCGTGCCGAAGTGTTGGTCAGCCAAACCCCTGAATTCCAAGACACGCCGGACAGACTCTCAGCATCACCTAAGACGAATACTAATCCCGAGTTGCATGACGGCAGAGGCGCAATTACATAGATTTTCTGAGAAATTGTTCTCCATTTCGCGGTGTGTTGGTGCGCGCGGGATCTCAAGCCATGGACACATATCGATACATCGAACTTTAATGCTCCGCGGGCCACATTATCCGTGACTCTGGTGTTCATGTATTGAGTATGTATATTGCGATGTGAATCCCCCCGGTAATTATCGCATAGCATGAGTCATAGAGAGTGATGACAATGAATACTGTTGATCATGGGAGTGAAAAGGTATTCGGTGGCCTTCCCAGAAGTGCTGTGCCGATGACAAAAATGCCACAATTAATTATCTAGAAACACTCTAGAGTTGATAAGAAATCTCAAAAATAGATCGAATGTGCATTTGAAAATGTCTATATCATTAAACAAAAAGGCATATGGTAAAAATTGCCTTCACATCATCAAAAACCACCTTTATTCCAACTCATATGACTTCAACTTTCCTGTTGAGCACAAAACTCTTATTTGTTGTCTCCCACATTGTAAAAAGAGCGCGCGAGTGTAGTGGTTTCGGAGGCGGAGGGGCGTGAAAAATGGACGAAATGCCACAATACTTACCGCACACAGCAAATTGAATATGAAGAGGACATATTTCACAAGGCTCATCCCACAATTCATCTTGAGTGATTTTTTGGCGGCTTTCAGCAAAAACTAATTCTATAGATTTGTCACAAAATCCAAAGGAAACCTCTCACTCGGTACGTATTCCACGGCGGTCACAGTCGAACTGGAACAATTTGGTGGTGTGTTGTGTGTTTATAAAAGTGACTCTACGCGCTCGAGGCTTATCAAGGCATTCTATGAGTGTTTCTCAAACTCTCGCGCCTCACATATTTTCCACACAGCAAAGCCGTGCTTTTCCACCGTCACCATTGGTTGATTATGCGATGGAAATCTCCCTCTGGACAGCTGATAAGGGAGGATTTTCGATTAGGTGTTTTAGGGTGAATAGTTTGGGAGCAACCCAAATATTCCCTAAGCCCAGCATTAGCCCTGAAACCCAATCTCATGCCCAAATCACTGCACTTTCGCCAAAATCACCACCACAAGATCCCTCTAAACCACTTCCCATGCAAGATTATGCAATTGATCTGTGGACACCATTTAGGATTACTCATGCTTCGTACTTATTATCATTTGGCAGGCAAGGTGTGTAATTTTCTGCTCTTATCAGATTCTATACTTGACTTTTCAGTGCGGCGTTATCGTAAAATGCTCAACCATATCGATTTTATATACACAGACCTAGGAAAAAGCCCCAAAATGAGTTGTCATGTGGTGTAAATTGTGGGTGATACGAAGTGAGAATATAGAACAGCAAGTGAGTCGCGGGAGAGGAACATTTTGAGAATCTCACAATATGCCGTCACTGTGCTGACGATTCTGATGACTCAATATTATTATAGTAACTCACATTATTGGCTTTTCCAGAAGATGTCTGATTTAGATACACATTCCAGCTCTCCTACGTGCTTATTTATTTATTCGAAAAATATGCAATTAATTCAAATTCGGCTTGCCAAGAAATTACAAACACTCTCATATCAAATATCGATCTAGGAAAGAGTTTAGAGAAGCAACAAGTTGAATTCTGCGAACACTGCAAACTCTGCAAACAATGAGTGAAGCTCTGCAGGATTTAATTCTTTAAGTATCCATATAGGGCGTCATGCTCCAAATTAATTGCAGATGAGTCAATATGGAATTTCACACACATTGTGTAATTTCATGAGCTTAAATGACAGTACTTGAAAACTGATTGCACAAATCCCTTGACAATGCTTTTGGAGTGGAGCATTATTAAGCTCTTCCTGTGCTTCCTTATGGCCTTTGAATGTTTGCCAGACAATTCTTTTCTATTCTTTCTTTTACTAATTTTCTTAGAAGTTTTCTGGACCCCTGAACTTTTAATTGTGTGGCATGAAATGTCATTGATTAGAACTCAACACAATAATGCTTCTTTTATGCAATCTATATATCCACCAGATTGATTTTATAAATTTGAGACACTGTATTGTGAATCCTCGTTATCAAAACCGTCTTAAAAATAACTCAAAATGCCAAGGAAAACAGAGATAATTCAGTGAAAAGGCACTCCCTGGATGTTCTGACTTACGGAAACATTTTTATCTCGATGATGCATTCATGAATGTATCTCGGTATTTAATGGCAGTCTGTGCAATAATTTATTATTGTTAACCTATTAATTTTCTACGTGATAGCATGAATCAATTGGTAAACACGCAAATTCTATAGATTCCTTTTATTGTATGTATATAAAATGCATTGCATGAAATAAATAATTTTTAGTGTTTCTGTTTTACAAACAATAGGTACACATTTTCTTCGTTTTCATTGCGGTTCTTTTCTACTATAAAATAAATGTATATAAAAGACTGTTCAGAACAGTATTAAGTAACGTCTTAACATATTGGCTTTCAACTGTGATGTCTTCTTGTTCTGTCTCAGCTGCTAGAGAGCCTCTTGGCTTGAGCCTTCTTCAGATCCGCGTGCAGGCTCTCATGCAGGCTGGATGTGTTGCTCTTGGTCGTGGCTGTGGGTGCTGATGGGTTCTTGTTCCCTGTATCGATTTGAGCATTGAATGGCAAGAGTTCTGTGTTTCGCGGCGTGACGCGACTCTCCATGTCGCCCCTCTGCTCCTGCTCCTTCAGCAGCAGCGCCAACTGAACACTCATGAAGACTCCCATGACCTGAAAGATGAGAGCAAACATGAGAAAGTGTGTTGCGCGAGGAAAGTCTTTAGCATCTTCCCACTAATTGACGTAAATTTCATCTTAGCGCATTGATATCAATTAATGAAGCTGACGAGGAGTGTTCAGAAAAAAACACTCGAGGGAAATTTCATTGGAGTGATTCACGAAGTTATATGAAAGATTACACTGTACTCTGTGTGTAGATGAGTTCCCAGATTACCAGGGCCTCTTTATGAGTGGGGAATTTTTCAGCGGAAAGTGAGCTTTGGCCTTCGATTGGCGATAAAACTGGGAAGAGCAGGAGAGATGCCTCAATTTGTGTATATACTTATTGAGGATTGCTCGCCTGGCGATCCAGACTCTTGACACTGAAAAAATTTGCATCTTAATTTCTAAATTTAGTAGGGATATATTTGAAATAAATAAGAGCTATTATTGGTAGGGACTCAATAGGTTTTTGAATAAATTCAATGACAAGATCTTAAATCTTAGTGCCGGAAGCAAATTGTTCTTCACGAAAATAAACTGAGGCTCGTGTGAGGATTAAGTCTGCTCTTTTCTTCGCTTCTCTCGTCATTTTAGGGAAAGAAAATAAACAGACCTGGGCCAGTGCGAAGATGAGAGCGGCTACGGACACGCAGAGAAGCCTCCATCTCGTTTCGCTTGTGAGAGGCAATAAACAGCCGCGCTGGTAGGAAGATGAGCAGCGTGGGTCCGAGGGATCGTCCGGGCGGCGACAGCACGACCATGGGATGGACGTGCGGATGTAATCCGTGATCCCGTGCACGCCGCAACACTGCATCTCGGCCTGGAGGCGATTCCACAAGTGGCTGTGATCGTTGAGCGAATTGGCTTCGGAGAGGAAGTCCTGGAAGGCGTTTTCAACGGGCAAGGAGGCCGTCGCCTGGATGTCTTTCCTGGTGGTCAGAGACCAGATGGTGATGAAGATGCTGAGCAGGATGAGGCCAAGAAGGGCGGTGCCAAAGAGATAGAGACGGCAGCGATTTCTCTTCGCGATGGCATTCCAGCCTGTCCAGGCCACGACGATGGCCACCAAGCCGAGGCATAGCGTAGCGGCGCTGGGGCCCCAGGCACCGCCCTCAACCAGGAGGCTGTAGCCTAGATGGTGGTAGAGAACGTAGCCTCCGAAGACGACAAGAACTGCTCCGCAGACCTGCAAAGATGGCATCTCATGAGATTGGCGAGAAATATGGGGGCTCTAAAAGTGACTAATGGCCAGATAAGACATTCTATCAGGCGCCCCAAGATTACTTCCAACGTTTCCAACATATTTTCATGAAAGAATATCTTTAAAGAGCCACATCGCAAGCTGATCTCACACTATGATACATTGTAATGGGCACAAAATGCACTCACCGCTAAGAAAATTGCGTAACTATAGAGAAAATACGCGAGACATTTGATTCTGTTCGCCAGTTTCATCTTTTGTGACACCTTTCTCTCACTCTTGAGTCAAACTTGGCCAGGGAAATTCACTTTTTTCAATCCCACATGACGGAAAACCATCGCACTTTGATTCTACATGATCAGATATTTTACACACTGCACAAAGAATGAAGAACAAGAGGCGAAGGTGCTCGTCAACACATGAGTATTTTTATAGAGAATTTGATACACCTTTTATTGTATTGTCGACACATTCACGCTTTTACCTGGCGTTCACGCTGATGAGGAGCATATCAAGTGGTTTGAGGTGCGATCGCCGCGTCACTGCCTATCTCTGTCCCACCTTTGCTTGCCCGGAGAACTCAGCACCACCACAAAATTAAATCTCAACCTCCTTGAGCCGCTTTGCAATGCTCGGAGTTTTGTTTTACTTCTTCTTCACATAAAATCGGCTGTTTGGATGTATTGAATATTACAAAATTACTTGAATCATAACTCTGGTCGGCTGGCTTTGGTTTATAAGGGAGAACATTGCTACGCAGCGCATCCGCGGTTCCGTAGTGTAGCGGTTATCACGTCTGCTTTACACGCAGAAGGTCTCCAGTTCGATCCTGGACGGAACCAAAATCTTTTTGCATAAGTTTTCCATCACAACTTACTGCTGTCCTGTTAATATTTGCTAATAATATCCAATAGTACAATTTTTATTGATAAATTATTGTTTAACCTCTAATAAACAACATATTTCTTTAATTTCCAACTGCTTTCAGCTATAAATTTGAACACTGATAAGGTTTTGGAAAGTATCCGTCGGCGCTGCAGTCTGAGAAGGGGCGAAATGTGAATCCCGGTTGTCGTTACTCAGACATACCCGTACTAAGTTTTCTATGGAGTTTCTATTTGGTGTAAATAAGGAAAATTGTATTTATAGGATGAAAATTTAGGACTGCAATTATTAGGAGTGTGCAGTCTTTATTTAATATAAACTCCCATCAAAGTTGCAAAGTTGTAGTGAAGAAAAACGTGGTTAGCACGTTTCATAATCCCTTATGGTACACACTTATCGTATGGGGTTTGGAAATTGGAAGTTCTTCAGCCGGGCAATCATTCCCAGGTGCAAAATGGTTAGAATCACATTGATTGAGTTTTCCCTGATAGTTTTCCTAATTCCGCTGAAATTACTCGCCTGTGAAGAGATTCTGGGATGTGGAGGTTTCATCAAGACTCACGCGGCAATAGATTTTTCCAAAGTTGAGATAAAATTGTGAGTATTTAGATCTGCAAAAGTCATGCCGAATTTCCTGCTAATCGAATTACAATTTGATGGAATTTTTCTAGGTTCACGAAGCAGGGAAATCTCAAGGATAAGACTGACTGCTCACCATCCAATGGGTACTACTTCCTGCCTCTGTACGACAAGGGAGAGTATCTGCTGAAGATCTCTCCACCACCCGGATGGAGTTTCGAACCGGAGGAAGTCGAGTTGGACTTCAATGGAGAGACTGACGTGTGCAGCCTAGGACGTGACGTGAACTTTGTCTTCAAGGGCTTCGGAATCAGTGGCAGAGTGACAATACTGGGACACAGGGATGCAGGAGCGGCAGGAGTGAAAGTGGAGCTGCACGACTCGAAGAATGACGATGTCCGGAAGACGGTTTCCGACGTCAGTGGGAATTTCTTTTTCACGCCAGTCATCCCAGGGATGTACAAACTCAAAGTACATCACGAGAAATGGTATTTTGAGAAATCCGAGATCACTGTGGAGGTGAACACAGGGAATACAGAACTGGCTGAGAACTTACTTCAAGTCACTGGCTTCGATGTCTTCGGGAGGGTGTTGAGTGATGGTCAGTCCTTTGGGAATATCGCCGTTGCCTTGCTGCCGGAGAAGGGCGTAAAGCACAGTCCAAAGTGCATAACTTCTCAAGTCAACGATGTCATCAACAGTGAGAGAGGATATTCCGGAATGCCGCTTTGCGTGAGCTCTAGCGACTCCAAGACAGGAACATTCACATTCAATGGAGTGAATCCTGGGAAGTATCTGATCAAGCCCTTCTTCCCGCAGAGTGACATCAAGTATAACATCGAACCGGAGTTCCTCGAAGTGATTGTGGAGAAGGACACTGTGAAATTGGCGCAGCACTTCGAAGTGAAGGGTTTCAGCGTGGCTGGAAGAATTCTGACCAGCAAAAACGGAAAGGGAGTGAAGAATGCTGTGGTGAAGCTGGATGGAATTGAAGTGGCTATCACTGAGGAGGACGGACAGTATAAGTTTGAAAACATCAAGTCTGGAACTCACACAATCCAAGTGACAGCTGATAATGTCCAGTTTACTGACCACACGATCAATATAGCTGCCAATAATCCCAGGATTCCTGACATTGTGGTGTCGGAGTTTAAAGTGTGCGGTCAGGTGGTGTCCAGTGGGAGCCACAGAGTGGCCATTGCGGGCGCCAAGTCGGGTTTCCACGTGGAATTGGAGACTCCTGCTGGTGGCGCTGGAGGATGGTGCACTTACCTCCCAAATGGACAGTACATCGTGCAAGTGGTGCTTTCTGAGGAAGAGAAGAAGACAGGAATGCAGTTCGTGCCTAAAATCCACAATATCGAAGTGAACTCTTCACCTCTATCCGGGATTCACTTCCGGGAGCTTCGTGCCACGATATCAGGAGAGGTGAAGTGCCTCTCAGACGCAGGTTCTGGATGCAAGGATCTCACAATAACTCTCAACTCGGTGGACATGAGTGGCAGCAGCAATGGACAGTATATTAGTGCTGTGCTGAAGAATGGCAAGTTCACCTTCACGGATGTGATGCCAGGAAAGTATGAAGCTAGTGTCCAGGACACTGCTCTTTGTTGGGAGGCGTCTCGCTATGTGTTCACCGTGCAATCAGCTGTGGAGACCATCCCCACGTTTATTCACAATGGCTACAAAGTCACCATGATCGCCAGTCACGTGGTGAGGATGAAGTACGTGAAGAAGGGTGTGGAGAATGCCACGGCCATTGAGCAGGACCTTCAGGTGGGTCTGAATTTCTTCTGTGTGGCCAAGGAGGGAAGCTACAGTGTGGATTTCGAGTGGAATCATCAGTACGATGCCAAGGAGATCCCCAAAATGTTCGATACTGCGGCAACTTCTCCGTATTTCGTCACCTTCTCCAAACATCGAAGCATCCTGGGCAGGATTGAACCGGCTGTTGAGGGTGTTCAGCTGCACTTAAGATTTCCTGGAAACCCAGAGATTATGGACATTGTGGCGGAGAGCAACAAGAAGGGAGAATTTAAATTCACTGCCGTTGACGCTTCTGTGGATATTGAAATAACAGCATCGAAGGAATCTTACGAGTTCTCATCCTTTGACAAGACCACCAATGTTATCCACGCCAAGAAGCTTTGTGAAATCGTGGCCACCGTTCGGGATGAGGCTGGGAATCTCCTATCGGGGGTCTTGCTATCGCTGTCAGGAGGTGAAAGTTACCGGAAGAACCTCGTCACTGGAGATGAGGGTGTGATTAAGTTCCACTCCCTGTCACCTAGTCAGTACTTCCTGAAGCCAATGATGAAGGAGTACAAATTTGATCCAGTCTCCAAGATAATCGATGTGCAGGAAGGAGCTACAATCAATGTAGATTTGACTGGGAAAAGGATTTCGTTCTCAGTTTTTGGCGCTGTGACGTCCCTGAACGGCGATCCTTTCGCCAATGTTCTGGTAGAGGCGATATCCCAACCACCATGTCCTGGACACCAAGAAGAGACAAATTCCGAAGCGAATGGTCAGTTCAGAATTCGTGGTCTGCAGCCTGGATGCACATACGATGTGCAGGTGAAGAAAGAGGGCAATGCTCAAGTGGACAGAACCATCCCTACTAAGCATTCTATCACGATGAAGGACACCGACGTCAAGGATGCCACAATTATCGCTATCAGTCCTCTGGGATTCATCGATGTGTCTGCCAAAGTGATGACAAACAGCAACAATCATTACAAATCTCTCAAGATCTCACTGTACAAGAAGGGCAACATGGATAAGCCTGTCTACTCGCAGCGACTGGACAGTCCGCTGAATCCGAAGAGCAACGTTAATCCCGGAATAATGGTGTTCTTCCCGAGGATACCCTTTGATGGCAAGAGCATCTACTTCGTGGATCTGAAGACGACGCTCTCAGAGAAGAACTTCAAATTCAAGCTGCCCGTTGTGCAGTTCATAGCTAATGAGAGCACAATCTTTGTGGAATTGGACTTCGATGCGGAAGTCAGGACAACAGATGGAGATCTCAATCCCAACTCGATCGCCGCTCTTGTGCTGATATTGCTGGTTGGTATCGGCTTTCTGAAGCAGGATTTGGTGCTTGAGTTGGGCAAGATGGCCTGGGACAAAGTTTATGCAGCTGTTCAGGATGCCATCAACAGGAGGCGGCAGAAGGAAATCAGCAAGTTCGATGAGAGCTTCGACGAGAAGGAGCTGGAGAGGCTGGCCAAGTCAATCAATGCGGTGAAGAAGAGGAAGATCAAAAAGATTAATTGAGCCCGAGAGTGAAACCACCAGAGATTCATTAGTTGCGTTTTTATTTGTTTTGCGGGACGGGAAAAGGGGCTCAATAAATAGAAAAATATCTCTAGACTCGTCGCGTGTCGTGTTGGTGGTCATTAGCATCTCTGGGGCATTTCTCCGCCACGTTTTAACACCCCCGAGAGGTCAGTGGGTCACAGTTGATGTCTCAGTCACGGTCTGTCTTCTCTCTAGAATTTCACTTTCACGCTGTCTTCATCCGCAGCATCGTCATAATCTGGCGACCCGAGGTGTCTGCGTCATCTGTCGATGTAGCGATATCCTCATCCTGGCTTTCTTCCTCAGGCGCTGAACTGGAATTTTCCTGAGCCTTGTCGGCTGGTGAGTAGCACTCCTTGAAGAGCCTGGCACAATCGGCGAGATTATGTGGAATTTCTGGGAAGTTTCTGTACTCAGTCAACATCCCTTGACTCAGATAGTTGTAAGCGAAGCCAAAGAATGGATTGTCTTTGGACTGAACTTCCATTTCGCAGACGAATCTCTTCCTGCAAACCATCGTATCGACTCCCAGGACGGCAAAAGCCATACTTGTCCAGTCAAAAGAGCTAAACATTGCAAAATTTGAACATGATCAATTTTGAGACTACGTGCATTTGGTTTCTTGACTCACTTTTGGCGGGCTGAGCGGCCTCCACTGTTCTGATAAGCGACCCTTCTCTTGGAAGTGACGTCAGGTGCTGAAGCTCCTGAAGCTGCTGTTGTGTCGTGCGAATGATCATGAGAGACGTCATGAGGAGAAGCGTCATGATGGAAATCATGATGAAAGTCGTGACTGAAATCGTGGTGAAAATGATCACTTGAAGACGGTGCTGTCGACAATGTATCCGGATTCCAGGCACTGTAAGGATCTGGGCCGTTGTAGGAAATCCCAGGTCCACTGTGAGACACGAAAGGACCACTGAAAGGAATTGAAAATGGTTAGAAACCAATTCAGGAAATTAGAATGCGATTTTCTAACTGCTCATAAGGAACAATAGCGCCTTCAATTTCTTGTGGACCGTGATTCTTGCACCCAAACAGTGAGGCTCCCGTCCAGATTTTGAATCCGAAAAAGGCTGTAGCCACGATCAGGATGAACACAATGACCAGCTTCAGTTTGATCGCCACGAAGGCAGATATGGCATGAAGACCACCCAATCCAACCAGAGGAACTGCGCGGAAAAGAAATACTCTATCAGGTCATTCGTTCCACTTCTGATCTCATGAAAATTAGAGGTTTATCGCCGGTGACACAGAATTTATGCTTTTCGGACAAAATCCACTGTGACTCTGAATTCTCTTTGATATCCTTACAGAGAGCGTGGTAGAGATGCTTTCGCCTCCTGGGCGTGATTTCCGTTTTATCGTCACTTTTGTCACCGCCCAACCCTTCATCAGCCACAACATAAATCACGAAAGTGATAACTATCACGAGAGTCAATATTTTTCGCAACATTCTAGTTCAGCACAGATAAATCCTCGCACAAAGCAAACACTTCAGAATCAAGATCCAATCTCACTTTTCACCTCTTCACGCCAAAGCATCAACGTAAACTGAAGAGTGAGTTTGAAGATCAGCTACTTTTATATTTGACCAGTGAAACCACGCGGCTGTAATTGATCTAATTTGTATATCATTGCCTCACGAATCTTCACAGAGAGTCAGAATGCAGCAGGAAACGCGTAAATCATATCTTTCTTTTTAATTGATGAAACACATAAGCACGAATCTTGTAGTGTTCTGTGTTGATCTCTTAAATAATGCAATCTCTCAAGATAAGATGTAATACTGAAATTCCTAGAGTTCCTGGAGCAATTTCCCTGACCGTAGAAAGTGGAAATGATCTTTGTCACTACAATTAATTAACACATCTTCATGATATCTATAACACATTTCATTTCGAATGACTAGCCCTAGATTTTTTTCTGGCTCATCATTTGGCGCATTTTTTATCGCTCAATTGCTCGCTTGTTTTGTTTTCCATCTCTCTTACGTTAATTAAGAGATCATGCCGAAGAAGAGTTTTAAAGCATTGTTTTGAAAAAATTCAAGAGTGAAATTCCCTGGAAGTTCATGCTGCGAAGAGCGGTTATTTTTCGAATTCTTTTCCCCTCAACGGTATAACAGACAGTGCGTATAACACCCTTTGGTTATCGCAGCGCCACGAGCGGTGTGTCAAAGTGTCAAAGCGTGAAAAGAAGATTTTTTGGAGGCGTAGTGAAATCGTTTCCTGGTCAAATCTATTGGAATCCAGGCATGGAATCTGTTGAGTTACACAGCAGAGAATAGTGACTGTTGTTTACAAGTGAAATAGACGTGAAAAACTGTGATCATGGGCAGGAAGAAGAAGAAGGCATCGAAGCCCTGGTGCTGGTATCCTTTTCAAAGAAACACCCTACGCGGACGTCTATCGTCCTGGTTGGGAGAGTTGGAGTGTAGTCTCCTTGGGGATTTTCTCATTTTCAGTGACTTCCACTTTGCAAACAAGAGGGTTTGGTGGGAAAAATCAATGATCCTAAAGCCACGTGTTTTCCACTCTGTTTCCCCACACCCCGGCTTCTATTCTACACTTAATCCTATCTCCATCTCACTAGGGAGCCGCAAGACACAGTTTTCCCTGGTTATCTCAGTGTAAATTGGCTCTTTTGTGTCTTTTTCCACTATCATACCTTCCCCATTGTATACAATAATACGTAACAAACATGGCGGCCATTTTGCCCAGAAATGGGATTCTCAGGTGATTTTCCTCAATTGGCACCCCAATAACACAGGTACTGCAACCGGGAGTTTGATGATGACAAGATCTTGGTGCAGCATCAGAAGGCGAAGCACTTCAAGTGCCACATCTGCCATAAGAAACTGTACACTGGCCCCGGACTCTCCATTCACTGCATGCAGGTTCACAAAGAGACAATTGACAAGGTGAGTGGATTTCGCGACGTGTGAGGCTCACTTGACTGAGGGAATTGTCTCCGTAGGTGCCCAACTCGCTGCCAAATCGATCAAACATCGAGATCGAGATCTACGGAATGGAGGGCATCCCGGCTGAAGACATCCGGGAGCACGAGAAGGCAAAGAATGGCAACAAGAGTGACTCAGATGACGACGAGCCGGCCAACAAGAAGGTGAAGGCGGACGCGGCAATGGCACAGGCGATGCCCGTGATGCCAAACATGATGCCACCGCACCTGCTTGGGCAGTATGGCCAGGTGGGGCCGATGCTGGGCCACATGGGCCCCATTCCCACGGCCGCGTACATGAACCATGGCGCCGGGCTGCCAATGATGAATCCCCACATGCTGGGTGCACCAGCTAGACCGCTATTCCCCTCGGCATCGCATCCTGGCAACACGCTAACACCGTCAATGCCTGCCAAGCCAACTTTCCCGGCTTACAGGTAATTTCAGCATAGAATTTAGTGGTTTCTCAAGTAATTATGCCTTGACGTGTTCGTGGGTTTTAGCAATGCCACCATCAGTGCGCCGCCGACGACAAACACGACGGGCAATGTGAGTGCACAGGCGAACTCCGACAGCTACAAACAACCCAATATGATCCCCACGTCGGGCACCACGTCAAAGATTGTGCATCCGCCGGAGGATTTGAGTCTAGAGGAGTTGCGAGCGAGGAGGCCCAAGTACGAGCGGAAGGCGGTAGCGTTGTCGGCTGGCGGCATGGGAAAGATGCCGCCGGCCCACATCAACCTGCCCACAACATCCGTGACTCTGCAAATGAGCAGTTACGCTCCAGCCACGACAAGTGCTCCGGCAATTGTGTCATTTCCCGAGGTATGTTTCAATCAGGGTTTCCTATCTCGCGCTTTCAAGCGGACATCACATCAGTCGAACACCTTCTATTGAGAATTCAGACAGACTTATAAATAACAACCCTTCCAAAGCTTAGAGACAGTGAGCGAAAGACTAGAGTTTTAAACAGAAAAATCCTCCTTCAATCGTACTTTCCGTGAAGTATTCATACTTTATTTGATCCTTTAGAATTCATTTTCAAAAATTATGTCTTACAACACTTTTGTCTACAATGTTTTTTTTTTTTTATTTTCTATTCTGTTTTAAGTTTGACTTTTTTGTACAGTGGAAAAAAATGCTGCGAAATGATTCTCAATATTCTCCATTCCTGCATTTTGCGATTGTTTCTCTCTTGATTTCTCGTTTATATTATTTGTCTTTTTGCAAAATCCTCAACACGCAACACATATAAATATAGAAGTCCTGAGATGACAAAATTGATCTCCTTGTCTCACTGTGTAATATTTTCTTTCTCTTCGCGTGGGGCAAGAAATGAACAGAAAAAAGAGTCATGGCAAAATCTCACATTTTAGCGACTTTAAATTGGATTTTCACACACTCTGATTTATAGAAACATAGGAATGAGTATTCAGGTATTTGCTTTCTTTATTTTTTCTAATTCTCATTATAATTAAGTCATGGCAAATGGAGGAAAAAAATATGCATTTCAATTAGTTTGCTAACAAATACATATATTTTTTTTTAGTAAATTATAGTGAAATACACAAAAAAAATTCAATATTAGTTAGTAAGAGAAGAACGCATAGAATTTGCATAAATTCTGGCTATTTAGAAGAATTTAGCAAAGTAGGTTTAACTCTTTTTTCAATTTGTGAAGAATAAATTTTTGCACTAGAAAACAAGTGAAAAATAACAATTTGTACGCTAAAAGATAAGTAAAGAGTGATTAGACTGTTAATATTTTAGTTTTTTTAAACAAATTTTACTTATTTTTATACCTAATTTTAACAATGCCAGAAGTATTGAATATTCTTGATAAAAGATGTAACATTGCGAGTCGCGATATTGAATTAAGACCAATTAGTATTACTAGAATTCCTAGAGAAAGGATAAGAAAAATAAGAATAAGAATTTTTGTAATCTATATTAAAGAAGAGAAAACGAAGACGATCAATGCCAATGATCTTTTCTTTCTTATCTCTGTGCGAAAATATTTTGACGTAAAAGAGCGCGTTTATTTCCAAGAACATCAATTTTTAAAATTTTATTTCTCTTGACAAAAGAAAGAATACATAGTATTTCTTTTATTTTATATTTATTTTGCACGAGGGTAAGTTCACCTTATAAATTACAACAGAGAACTGACAAGCTTTCTGATTTTGCGGCACTGCGTTGGTTGTTTTTCTTTCTACTTTATTTACATCTTTCCAAATCCTCTGTTTGATTTCTGTCTTTTTTTTTACATATAATTGTTTTTCTTTTATCTCTATTAGATAATATACAAGAGCAATATTTTTGCTGGGCAAATTTTAGTTTCTCTTTCAACATCCCAGAGACAGATTGTCGAGCGAAGACGTTGTAAGATGAGCGGGAGAGAGACTGAAATTGTATTCTTCCTGCACTTTTGCACCTCCTTAAGAAATGAGATTGTTTTTTTTTTCTGGCATTCTATTTGGGCAAAAAGAGAGCGTATATAGAATTTTTGACTAGAAGTTTTTGTGTCTCACGTGGAATCTGGAAGCTTTTCAGTGTCACAATTGAGAATGTTTAATTAATGACTTTATTTTTGTGACTATTTTTACAATTTATTTTGCAAAATTAGCCAAATATAAAATAAAGTTCACTGACAAAGTTTCTCTTAAATGGACAACTTTGGCAAAATGAGATTAATCACAGTAAAATAGTTTTGGTGTGGCGTGAGAGCGAGAGAGTGGGTGAGAGAGCGAGAGAGGACACAGGAGATGCAAGTAAATTGTTGAAAATTCTTTGAAATTAGACACCCCAGAAGTGTTTCTTTTATTTCTGTTTGTTTGGCAAAAATTTTCTATCTTGATTTTGTGTTTCTCAGAATTTTGTATCAATTTATTTTGATTTCCTCTGTGAGATGATTATTATGCTTTTTGATGTCTCAAGAGTTTAAGATTTTTGGCTCATAAGAATCCACTTTCGTCGTAAACTGATCTGTTATTTAGTTACAAAATAAAAAATAAAAAGATTGAGAGTTTGAGACAGAGATTTTAAAAGAAATTTAGAGAGTTGATATAATATATATTCGAAGGTATGTCTTGTGATTTACATTATTATTATTACTATACTATTACTATCATGAATTCACGATATGTGTGTGATTGTTAGCGAATGTCTGTTTTATTTTCTTTTAATTTTTAGTTTAATATCTATATTATTATTTTTTCTTTGTCTTACAAAATGGAAATACTTTTATCTTATATATATATGAGATATTGGATCCTAATTTTGCTCTTGATCTGAATTTTTTACACGCCAATTCTCGTTACCATAATAATTAAGTGTTGATGGTTTATGGGAATATTTAATGTTTGAAGTTTTCTTTTAAGCATGCCGCCGCCGTGGCTGCCCACGCAGCTGCCACGCAGCAAAAACAATTGGAAGACTTGAATAGGGCGGTGATGATGCAGCGGTTCCAGGCGGCACGGCAGCAAGGTCCACCCCTCGGGATGGTGAGTATGAAATTCGCTTAATTGCACTTTTTATCATTTGTCTATGATGGAAATAGTTAGCAACCGAAGCGAGCCCTCTATGCCTGTATACTAATTGCTGAATTTAATTGGCAGGTGCCTGTGGTTTCTAGTCCGATGCCCCTGGTGCCGCCCATGATGAGACCAGGAATGAATTTCCCGCCTCAAACGGCCGCTCTATTGGGAAGCAATATGATGAGATCTCCATCACCCGCTCTTGGACTGCCAACTGCAGGTAGAGTATAGAAGATTTGTGTAGCAAGAAATGGAGAAATGCGGAAATGAGGTTGAGATTGTTTTGTCCGCATTCTGTTCACTTGATTGGTCCTAAAATTAAATATTCTCCCTAAAGGAGGACTTCACTCTTTCTCAACAGCAGCAGGCTTAATTGCGCCAATTCCCGGTATTGTTCCACCGGGAATGGGTGTCATGATTCCGGGGCCGCCGATGCTTCCGATGATGCCACCGAGATTTCGGTGATCTCCCCAGGCTGGGCCGCTGCGCTTGGCTCCCGTAATCCATCTTCCCGTGCCTGTGGTGTATCCTTAAAGTGAGTGTCTTGATCATCAATTGTTTTGCACTTGGCACGCTAATTGAAATATTGCTTTGTGTTTTTTTTCAGTACCTCTGATCAAAAGTGAGACACATTAAGACAAAAAAGACAAGAGAAAGCATCACGTGGAGATGAGAAGACGAAGAAAGTGTTTTGAAGATCAAAGGGGAGACACGGCAAAAGCAAGCAAAAATCTGAGGAAGAGTGCATTGAAAGTGGATGGAAAAGTGGGAAGTCAACAACAGATGATGAGAAAAACCAATTGCAATGAGAAACCTTTAAAAGTAGGAGAGCGCGTTTTGAGTAATGAAAAAAATGCAAGAAAAATCATGAAAAACTCTCACACACACATGAAATGAAAAAAGAAATTTAAAAATCTGTTTGGAGCAAGGTAAGCTCTCAATTATTTCAAATTATATTATCGTATATTATATAATATTACAAGAGATAGATCTTTAGGTAATGTCCCCTCATCTTTAGAATGCGAATGCAGAAGAAAAGAAATGAATATTCTATATTAGTGACTTAAAGCATTAAATTATTTGACATGAAAAGGGAAAAGAAGTCTAAAGGATTTCCCTTTTTCTCCCCCTTTTTCAAGCATAAATTACAATTTACATTTGAGTAAAAATATTGTGGAAAAAATCCGATTTAAGAAACAAAAAGATAAAATGAATGCAAATTAACCATTATATATACCTTATATATGATAGAAATTTTTAGAGAGTTTTGTGGAGAAAAGGAAAATAATATTTTTTAATGTATGTCCAATTGTCTGGATGATGATGACACGATGATAACACACAGAAATATTGTACAAAACTCCGCTGATGATAAATTTTTCATCGCTTTTTCGATTGACGGAGGTCAGTAAATTCAATCAATTCTTATTCTATAACTTAATATCTATATATTTTACTTTAATGGCACCCAAAAAAAAACACACATATAGAACAAAGATTGGAGAATATTTCAAAAGAAATTTTTATCATGTAAGCCAAAGATGGTTTATTTTTTTTATTTTTCGTTTTCGCTTTTGAAGATTAGTTGTTGATTATTGTTTGAAATTTCTTTTGTGTTTTGAAATATTCTCTGTAAGTCTTTTCATCGGTAGAAAACTAACCGTTCGTTAAGTATATGGGCTTTTTTCTTGGAGGTAAAAAACACACTCACACAAGTCACAAAACATTAGGGTTCCATAATTACCCTAGCATTTTGTGCTTTTCCATCAACACTTCATTACAATCCTCTTCTCTGGCTTTTTGAAAAATATTTTTCATGTGAATTAGATTAAACAAAAGATAATTAGAGCATAAAATTAATATTTTCCCAATTTATTCGTCACTTTTGGATGTCGTGAAATGTTAGAAAAAATAATGATGGGAATTTAAAGAATGTTTTTTTCTACTTTATTACAATTTCTTTTATTGAGAGATGCAATTTTAACCTTCTTCGGCTAATAAATTTATAAAAAGTAATTGTAAACTGTTGAAAATCCACGATTTTTTTTCCGTGTTTGGTCAAAATGATGTTAAAAGGAAATATTCTGAACATGTGAAAAAGGAAAATGGTCATCAATTCTTAGATATGGTAATAAGATAGTTCAACATATATTTTACTGTGCTGCAAAATAATTTGTGTGATTTTCTGAAAGGCGAAGAGGATTAAATCTTCATTGCTATTTACATACATTTATTTTCCAATCTCTTGTTATTAAATTTTTGTTTGTCTTTACAACCTAAATGCGTGGTGACGATTTTAGAAGAAAATGAAAGTAAAGCAGAAGAGAAAATGGACAAAAGCAAGTGTGGGAGGAAACACAGACACACACTAAAAGAAAATAGTTAAATAGAGAGTAAAGCATTACCTTATTACTATCTTATATAGACAGTCTTGACAAAATGAACCTTTTTTAACAAATTCAATTGCTAATCTTTCAAACAGCAATCGTGAGTATGAAAATGATATCGAATTGAGTGAGAGAGAGAGAGAGATGATGATGATGATGATGAAAACCAGGTGAACTTACAAATTCATTATTTAATTATCTATATACATATATATATATATTGAAAGTATGTAATTTGTGTCATTGTTTTTTTTCCTTTTGTTCTTTGGACTCTTTAAAAAATGCAAGATGAATCCTGAATTGATGTTGGAATTTCTTCCTTTTCTCTTATCTCAGTGTTTATCACTGGTATGGAGTTTTTCTTTTTACAAATTCTAGGCAATATATGAGAAAAGGTGTTGTTCTTTGTATACAAAATGAGATACTGTGGAAAAAGACAGAAGTTCCCTTGCGATTGAAATGCTTTGAATTTTGATGGTCAGAATGAGTTTAATTCTTTGAAGAAGAGAATGCGCAGCAACAACAAACTATCTTTGGCATTCTTTCCCCTCTCTCGCTCCCCTTTCTCTTCGCACACACTTTCATTTCTTATCATATAAATAGATATTGAATGTCTGGCTGTTGAATTTCCTTCCTTCTCACACGTGGATTCTGGGATCCTCCGCTTTCCACTCCCGGCTCCGGGTCTTTTCCCTCAACTTCTCACCTCCTTTCATCACTGCGTGTTCTCTGTTATGGGCTTTACCACGATGCGAAGGGGAAAAGGGAGAGAGAGAGAGAGAGAGTGGGAATCTTAAGGATTAACAGCACTGAAACATAATTGAAAGCATTTTATTCGCAGGCGACAAAATACACAATGAATTATTTAGTCTGTTTCCCAGAGGCGCAAAACCGCAAAGTCAAAAACTGAAGGAGAAAAAAAAAGTTCAAAAGGGAGGCCAGAAAGTCCCTCCCACGCTTGTTGATTCGTAAAATGCGATAATCCTCGGATAAGCAGACTTAAAGAGTAAGGATTAAGTAATTCATGTTGGAAGTTTGTCACATCAATTCGCCAAAAAAAACATATTCTTTTTAATTGATATTGAGTGTGAGAAAAATGATTGCAAGCACTTTTCCGCAAAGAGAAGCAATCTCGTTTTCTGGACGCAACATCGATAACTATACATAAACTTTATTTTCCCTCTGGAATTTTCACGCCCACGAGGCGTGCGGGAGGTTATTGTGGTTTGTATTTTTCTTGCACACAATATTGTCGTGTATACTTTTGGAGCAGAGAAGACTTGTGTAACTTTTTTCTTTGTACATTGAGAAGGACATGATGGTAGAAAGATGATGGACTTTGAAGCTGAAGTAGATGGAAATAAATGTGAAATTTGCAAAAGATATTAATACTTGTCTTTTGGCGACCCCCGTGGATTTTGGCGACCCAAATTGATCGGATTTCTGGCACGTCATCCCAATGACGATGGCACGAGGCCGATGGAAGGAGTTAAAAGGTTTTACTCATTACAGCACAAGTTGAGCGTGTAATTAGGAGAGGCAATGCATGTTGTGGACTCAGCGTGAGGTAATTTTGCGGTTTCTGGGAAGTGAACATGGTGGGAGGCCTCCAAGGACAGCAGAGTCGTCATTAAGAGGTAAAATTATCATCAACAGCTTCCTTTTCGATTAGATCAATCGTCACGGCTTAAGGGGAGATGTATTCGAGGGAAAAATGACGTCTTGGAGAGGCGATGGAGTGTTTTTAGAACGATACTTCACACTAACTGTAGTTTTTGAGCTCTTTCAGTAAATTAAAAGCTTTCAGTCTGATTCTAGTGTTACTAAAATGATATTGTATTAAAAATCTCTAAAAGGGAAATTTGTGATTTACTCACTTCACCAGTAAAACTTGAATATGGCTGCAAAGCTCTTGCTAAACTACTTTCACACTTCCAATCAAGAGTTTGTCGGATAACAAAGGTTTGTGGTAGCATCTAAATACTATTGTTTAATTTCTTTCTTACAGTCTACGAGTTTTTCTTTAAGCTAAGTAACAGTTTGGTAAAGCTTTGTGTCACCTAATGAGAGATTCTTTATCATTTGGGATTAATTCCTCGCTAAAGTAATGGAAAGTTTACTGACACAAATTGCGTTCTATTTATTTTTCTTACCGACAAGTTTAAAGAAAAACTTGCTTCTTAATATGGTATGTATCTTTTATAGTGACAAATTGAATTAGTCTTTCTTTTTCACCTGTAATCTTATATGTATTTGGCGCAGCATTTGTGGCCAATACAATTGCCTCGTGCCATCAACCACCCACATTGTCGCAGAGCCGCAGAGGAGGAAAAGGAGGCTGAACTGCTCCTCCCAAAAATTCCACCTCGGGATCAAAAGTCTTTCGTCGAAGGGCACAAAGTGGGAAAAGGAGTCGCCTCAGCGGGAAATTACTCACTGACTCCCACTTGGCGACCATTTCGTCTCGTTATGGCTCCTGCGCTCCCACGGCGTCCCGAAGAGTGGCAGAGTGACTCTATAAAAGGCGGACAGCGTCGTGGCGGCGACAGCAGACTCTGTGTAAAGTTTCCCGCGTGAAAATGTGCGATCGCGCGTAAAGCATGCGGCTGGGTCTCTTTACCGTGCTCCTACTGACGGTGGCGAAATTTGCTGAAGCCGATCGGGCGCTCGCGTACAATATGAGGGGCATCTCGCCGGACCAGAACGCCGAGGGCAGCAACTACGACAACTTCCACATCACCTATGACGAGTATCCTGTAAATTGGCCTTGGATTTTGGGTGGTGAAGTGCGATGTGTAACTGAAGGCTCTCTGATTTAGATGATTGTGCCGAAGAGGGCCGCTCTGCTCCTGGACAGGCTCATGGTGGCTCTTCACCACGCCATGGAGAACGGGGGCGAATTGGCGCCTGGTGAGCTGGAGAAGGACAAGGTCTCGAAGATGAATCCGCACCGGAAGATAGTTCAGCAATACTTGATGCAGCACCGGCTACCCAAGGAGGCGGCTTCAGGTAGTTTCTGTGATTGCCATAAAATAACCCACCCACTTGTTGTGTGACTGAAAGTTGTCTCGTGCTTCCCGGGGGCGCAACGAAGCTGAAGATTCCCGGCTATTGGACAAATTGAAGGATTACGACGTGGATCTCAATCCGGAGGATTTGGTAAGTGCACGCGAGCCGAGAGGGCAGGTGAAAGTGTTCCTAAAGACATTCTCTGCTCCGCAGATGGACCTGGAGCGACGGGGCCACAGAGTGGCCCTGGGGCCCAACAAGGGTCGTCAATATTGGCGTTGCTATTTCAATGCAGTCACGTGCTTCTAACGCTCCACGAGCCAGATAAGATTAAAATTAGCTGAAGAAACACCCCTAAATTTTTTTGTCACGACACATCCATAAATACATTTTGAGTGAAGACAGAGAGGGTGTCAAAAATTAAGTCAGACAGCGCGACACGATCTCTTAATCCTTCCCTTCTGCTTCACATATAACATTTTTATGGCCAACACCATCCTAATGCCCTCACCTGATTTATTCCCACGCAAATACGGTGATTCACGCAGGCGAATCAACAGCCCAGAGAAAGATTCTCTCATCCGAAGACGAGGAGAATCCAATTCCGCGTATTTTGCTGACACTCACGCTGGCTTTGTGACGACTTCTAGCCTGGGAAATTAAATTTGGCAGAGATTAGGAAGCGCCTGAGAGAAGTGAGAGATTCTCTACATCGCGTCTTGCGATGGTTAAAAGATTTTCTCGATTTTCTTACAAGGTAGGTTTGAGTGGGTTGTTATACTTTCATACTTAACAACTTTTGCATCAGCAAATTAGGCGAAAAATACTTTTATTTTCCATATGAGTGAGCTGAAATAAATCTACTTGACATCTCCTTTTCACTAACTGAAGAGTTTTCTTTTTTTCCAAACAAACAGACAAATTTTGTTATCCTATTCTTACATTTTTCGCGTCCTGTTCTTTGTATACGAATCCACTTTAATTTTAATCAATATGTATAAAAAAATTCAAAATTTTTTTGCGAGAAATCATGTTCTGTTGAAGGTTTCAAGGTGTAATTTGGAAGGAATGTGAAAAATTTGTGTAAGTTACTTGTAAAAAAATGGTTTACTTTTCCTGTCTCATTCTAGTCATTTTTCTGTACAGAGAAATAATTCATTAAATAAAAATGATACTGTAATGTGTGAAAAAAAAACAATCTATTAAATCCAAAGAAGTCTAAAATGACACTACCTCAATTCTTGCAGTGTTTTAATTACGCAGCCTTGTTAATTTCGGCAATTAATCTCGACAAATCCCATTTATTCCCCTTACGGCCTACTCAGCTTCCCATTGCGTAGACTTTGAGGTTGCACAGTGTCGACAATTCCGAGAGAAAGGAGATCAGAAGCTGGTGTCGCGGCCCAACTCTGGGCGCTGTGATAACAAGGTACTCACACTTCTTAAGCCCAGCCTGTCTCTCTTGCTGGAAAGATTGAGTGCGGATTATAAATTAGGCGAGTAATACAATCTGCACAAAAGCCCTCCTCCGCACCTCCCCAGGAGCACACCCTTTGGCTGGCCAGGGATGAAGGATGGCCAAGTGGTGCAGGGCGAAATGTGAAGCTGCAGCTGGAAATAGTGTGTGGAATTGTGCAGGAGAGGAAATACGAAGCGTTTTACATCTCAAAGGCCACACTTAATAAAGCATTCTCACGTCACAAGATGGGTATAATTTATAATATGTGGGTGACATGTCTCTGTGGTTGCGGGAGACACTCCAACTCGCCTTTTTTCCCCACTGCAGCCGCCCGGAGGTGGCCAGTCGTGAAGAAGCAACTGGAGCTGCCTGAGCTTGCCTCTGCCGCCCAATTTCCGCCCTTTCCCGCCCGCGTTCGCTATAGTGTGTGCGCCAAATTGGGCTCAATTGGATCCACACAACTCGTCTTGCCACCTTAATTGCCTGCACCTCCTCCGCTGGGGACGCGCACGTCTGTCCAGTCCTCACTTCATCGCCGATCCTCGAGGTTTCCCCGCGGGCGAGAGTGGAAAATTTACGCGCGACAGCAGTGCAAAAGGAGAATCGCCGTGCCTTGAGACACTTTCCAGAGTTCATCCTCAATAGGAGTTAATGAAATAATCATTTTAATATAAATAATCTCTATTAGTGCACATTACGCAATCATCCGGGCGTTCTCGGGACATTCTTTTTTTCCTCTCTTTATCGCAAAAACCTCAGTGATTCTAGTGCGCAATTGCGGATCTCGGGAAGGAAGCTAGAGGATCTCTCGGCCCAAGGATGGGCGAAGAAATGGCCACAAATACGGACACCAAGTCCGTGGACACGAGATTCGACAAATTCTGCCAGCGCCATGGCATCAATTCCAATCTCATCATGCTGAAAATCACACTGTTCGTCATGTATGGAGGTGAGTTGCTGCACTTGGCTTTCTCGAGAGTTCGTCTCAGCGAGAATTTTATCAATTAGGCAGCTGTACGGGCAAATATTTGAGGCTGAGATAATCCAGATAGTTGCTGTGAAAACTCTTATCGGCGGAGCGCCTTGAGATCCAAAACTATTATTGTGTCTAATAAGATCCGTGAAGTTCAGTTTATTATGCAGATTGGCTACTAACCAGACTCTCGAGACGCTCAAGATGCGACAGAGAGTTGAGTTTCTTTTTCACCAATTTCATGTACAAAATGTGGGGGCATTTTGGCGAAGAAAACGGAGAATTTCACGTAAATTTATTTAGAAGACAGACGGGTCTGCAGGGAACAATCATTTTACTCTTTAAGAGCGTCAAATTGAAACAGTTGCTCAGATAAAGTTTGACTATACGCGATGTGTATTGAAATATTTTCATTGGCCGTTATAAAAATAGCCTGTGAATATGATTTTATCAGATATAAAATAATTAATGATTTTAATTACAACAAGAATCAGAAACATGTAGAATTTCACAAATAATACAGAAAATTCCAATTTCTCCCTAAATTAATTCAACCCTAATTTTGTAAATTTTAATACGCATAATGAAAATTTAGAGATGAAAGAAACGTTACATTCCTGAGTCAACCCTTGTTAAGCTTCATGATGCTAAAAATAGATGCAAAACCACAAATCTGATTTCAACCAGCCGAGTTTCATTGAGTTTTTCAAATAGCTTCACCACTAAGATCATCCGAAGCCTCTGTTATCATCTCTTATCTGCGTCATAGGACGTAAATTTTGGTTGAGTAAATATTTTCCACGAGTAAGCTGTCTATAGACAACTTTGGCGCCTTTTCTCACCCTCACTCATGCGGAAAAGCCTTTCGACTCGGTAATCTCTTAAGTTAAGAGATGTGCGAATTTTGTGGGAAAATCCTGCCTGTCCGCCTCTGTGGCGCTCAGCGTCTCATACAAATATGTACTCATGTCCAGGATTGATGTGTTTACAGCCACCTCCTCCCTCCTGCCGTACCTCACAATCCACATGCAGAGCATCGGCTTAACTGTGGAGGAGATCGCGATAATTTATCTGGCGCTGCCGTTCACCACCTTCCTCAGTCCGCCCATAACTGGATTCCTCGTGGACAAATTCGGCAAGTACAAGCCCGTGGTGGTGATGAGTCTCCTGCTGAACGCCATCTTCCACCACTCGCTCATGCTCATCCCACAGCAAGAGATTCCTGGCGTCATGCCGGCCGCTTATGTGATGCGCCATCCGCAAACGGGAAACATCGAAGTGTGGTGGTCACCGTGTCCGAGTCGCGAGTGTCCGGAAGAGGAGGAAATCGACATTGTGGTGGATCAGTGCCTCGACCATTGTGTTCTCCTTGAGCAAAATCCCCGCATTGAAATCTTGCCAAGGCCCACAAACTCACCTCTGCGTGATGATGGCGATCCAGTGGACGATCTCAATTTTCATCTGAGCAAGAAGAAGAGCAACGGCGTCAGCACACAGAAATCCTCCACAGTACTTAGCACGGAAGACATTACCACGCCTCAGTACACAAGTGAGTGCAATTATCTTTGGCTTGATGAACCCGATTGAGATGCTTTCTTTCCAGCTCCTCTGCCCACGGGAAGCAGCAATGAATCCCAGGAGAACGATGACTGGGTAACACGTGATAGTTCTGCCTTCTTCCTCTTGGACATGCACCCCGATCTGGGCGACCCAATAGAGCAACTGGGGATGGAAGTGGAGCAGGATGATAACGACACAGTCACTGGCTTCAAGCACCGCTTCGGAGAGAAGCTCTTGTGGGACTCTGGCGTGAATGTGACCGCCCTGGAAGAGGAGGATCTTCGCTGTGGAGGACTTGTGATTGACTCCAACATGTCCAGCACCTATAATCTGCGCCTCAGCGAATTGGCGGCCGATTGTATGGTGCAGAAGTGCAACTTCCGCCATGGAGGACCAGACATTTGTCCGCCCGACTACAAAGAGAGCGACGATAAGATTTTCTGGATCTACTTCCTGCTCCGCTTCCTGGCCACAACCATGCTGTCTGCAGGAGTGACCATTATGGATCCCATTGCCCTCACGATGATTGAGAAGTACGGTGGAGATTTTGGACGTGAGCGGCTCTTCTCCAGCATCGGTATGGCAATCTTCTCTCCCATCACTGGCATCCTCATTGACTACACATCACGTGGACTCGGCTACACCGACTACTCTGCCGCTTTCTACACATACGACCTCCTGCTGATCATCTCCACAATCACAGTTTTGCTGATGCCACTGGGTGAGAAATTGCCAGCTGACAATGTATTCAGGGATCTCTGGAATCTCCTCAAGCTTCCTCACGTTATGATATTCATCGTGTTCCTCTTCATGTTGGGTAACTACTGGGGCTTCATCGAGAGTTTCCTCTTCCTGTATCTGAAAGAACTCGGAGCGCCCAATTATTTGTTGGGAATCACCATCACTGTGGGCACTGTGAGCAGCATCCCATTCCTCTACGGAGCTGAGAAGATCACCAAATGCGTGGGCCATGTGAATCTCATCATCGTAGCGTTCTTTTCTCATGCTTGTCGGCTCGTTGGTTACTCCTTCATAGAGTGAGTCAGCCAAGAAATCTTCATCATCGCTGTATTAATGATTCCTTTTCATTTTCAGGAATGCCTGGTGGTGTTTCCCATTCGAAGCAATGGAGGCTCTCTCTTGCCATCTCATGTGGGTGGCTGCTGCTACATACTGTGCCATCATCTCGCCAAAGAATCTCCTGGCAACGCTGATCGGAGTGCTGGGAATGGCTCACTTTTCTTTGGGACGTGGCAGTGGATCCTTCTTCGGTGGCCTTCTGATAGGCCACGTGGGCACCCGCGATGCTTTCCGCTACATGGGCTTGATGGCAGTGGTTGGAGGAATAATATATGGTCTTCTGCACATGATATGGCTGCGTAAATTCGACCAGGATGCCCAGTTCAAGGATCAGCTGAAATGCGAAGAGAACGGTGAAGGCGAGAGACTGACGGAGCCCAAGACGAAGGATCAGGGCACGACCATGTCCCAGGAGCGTCTCTCCCTCATGATCAAGTTTAACCAGATCGGAAGTCTCACGTCCCTGCCACGTGGCTCTAAGGTGGATCTTCCGGATTCTCTGTCTCATCGCCGAAGCAGTTACAATATTGAGTTCGTGAAGACAACCAAAAGTGGCGGTAGTGCTTCGAAAGTGGATTTACTCAAATCAGCCCTGGAGATCAATCACAGATCGTCTAACACTTCGGTGCCTAGTAGGAAGAACAACACATCCAATCAATCGCTGAATCGGAAGAGAGCCGATAGTGCACCCAAACTTAATCCCAACAACTCCAAATCAACGCCACACAATTCTGGAATCATCGAGACGGTAATTAAGTCATGAATCCAGAGTTTCTGCGGGTACCTTTTGTGATTCTGGATGTCTTATCTGTTCCCAGGAAGCCATCCCGGAGGAGAGTGCCAACCAGCGGAGGAACGTGTACGCACCCGGAGACACCAGCATTGCCGAGGAATCCCTTAGTGAAGTGGTCGTTCCCAATTCCGGCGTGTGTTGTACTTGCAATCGGAAAACTTAACAGCCCATTGAAGTCCCCAGCGACTCAGCCCCCAATTAAGTTATTTAATAGACAATTTATCCTAATGAAAGTTGTGTAAATTTTATCGCTATTCCTACAAATAAACAAGTGGTGAATTTTAGGACTACAAGCAAGGCTTTTGTGCGTCTCAGTCCACCCACGCGAAATTGGGGTTGTCTTTCCCGCCATCAGATGCTGTTGTTGTGAATACACCCCGAGGAGCGACCGTGGTGACTTCACTTTGGGTTCTGCGTCTGAAAATGGGAACTGCTCTGGCCAATTGGGAGAATCTGCGACTGGATTTCTTAGCGCTTGCCTCGCGAACCTTCTCCTCGCCATAATCGCGCCACGATTGGAGCTTCAACTCTGCCATCTTTATGGCATCAATGTAGTTTTCATGACCGGGATTCAAGCCGATTCTGTTCACTTCCTTCACCTCCCCAAGATCTGCTTTCAATGGCGCCAGAGCGGAAAGCGCACGAGAGATTCCTATCTGTCCATGGCGCACGTGATGCTCCATCAAATCAGCGCCCAGGAGCTCTTCATTGGGATCCATTCGGATGGGGACAATTTTGTTGATGAACCAGAGAAGCAAGGTGGTGGACAAAACTCCCCAGATGCACAGGCAGAGCGCTGAGAGACACTGTACACCTAGCAGATACCATCCACCGCCTTTGAACAGTCCTCGCCGACCGTTTGTTGTGCCCAGTGGCTCGGGATTGTCTGCAAAAAAGCCCACAGCAATGACACCCCAAATTCCACACACGCCATGGACAGAGGAAGCGCCCACGGGATCATCCACTGACATCTTGTCGAACAGAGGCATGGTTATGCAGGCGAGGAGTGATCCTATCACTCCGATTACTATCGCTTCCCAGGCGTGGTAGAGAAAACAGCCCGCTGTGATTGAGACCAGGGAGCCCAGGATGCCATTGATGAGATCCACTACATCCACCCGGCCGTCATGTCTGAACATCGAGTACAGGACGCTGAAAGTTCCTCCCCCAAAAGAGCCCATCATTGTTATCACTGCCGCTCGGGCTGCGTACTGCCATTTGGTTCCACTGACGCCGTACGTGCTGCCGGAATTGAAGGCCAACCAGCCCCACCAGAGCACGAAGAGGCCCATGCAAGCGTTGACGGGATTTCCCAGAGGCAGAGGATTAATTCCCTCCTCGTAGCGCCCTAACCGAGGACCCAGCATCAAGGCGGAAGCGAAGGCAGCTGATCCCCCGATGAGATGAACTGGACCACTGCCGGCAATGTCCACGCATCCCAGATTGTGCAGGAATCCATGCTCACCCCACACCCAGCCAGCAGGGATGCAGTAAACCGCCGTGTTGAGGAAGGAGAAGATGCAGTAAGCCTGCACATAGATGGGATGTTAGAATGAGAATGAGAATCAAGTGAGAATCTCACCTTGAAATTGCACCTTTCCGCCATGGCTCCACTCACAATTGTCGTGGCGGTGGTAGAGAACGACAGCTGGAAGAGGAAGGCGGCGAAGATGGGTCCCATGAGAGGATCTCCAACACTGGGATCGATCAGGAAGTCTCCAATGGCGATGAAGGGATTGGTCAGTGGACCACGCCCAAAGGACATACCATAACCGAACAGCCAGTACGTGAATCCACCCAAGACGATGTCGATAACGTTCTTCATCATGATATTGACCTCATTCTTCACGCTCACGCAGCCTGATTCCAGCATCCCAAAACCTGTAGGGTGGAAAGAAGAATTCCAACGTGAAGTCAATAATCCGCTATTAACTGACTGTATAGTTGAGGTAGTGAGCTATAATTAGTCTGAGAAATCAATGTGGAATCCAATTACCAGCTCATGAACGATGCATTTCAGAGGTCAATGCTGATCATCAGCGTAAACAAGTACAATTGTGAGTTGGTGATATCGGCAAATCATGAAAAGTAGATTACGAAAATCATGTGTTTTTGATGTGGCGTTGAATTTCCGGTATTTCTCATCCTCCCACAATTGCCTTTCCTTCACATTTCAAATCACATGATTTTACATTAAGTTCCTTTTGATTGTCGAGTAGGCAGAAGAGATTATTCTCATGATTTTTCTCACTCTTTAGCACAATTTACTCGCATTTTTATCAAGTGATCACTCATTATCGTGGAAAAACCCATAACAAAAGTTCAATCATCAACTGATTTCGATAAATCTTAGGCTTTCGAGAAACATTGCCAAATCTGACTGGATTGATTAGCATAATTTTCTCACCTGTTTGCATCGTGAAGATGATGAAAGAGGACGTGAGCACCCAATTCGTGTCTTCCACACTGAGATCATAAACGCCTGGGATCACATAGCTGCTGTTCCTGGCAAAGGTGAGCTTTAATCCCGACGCCGTGGCGTTGTCCATGGTGGTCAGTTCCTGGTCAGCTCTCAACTGAGTCTCACTGGTGACTATTTTGCATTCCACACAGTGAGGGTGGGACGGAAAATTGGGCAATTTAGTTGTTTTCCTCAGATTGAGCATTAAATTGCTAAATAATTAAGTGTGGTCATGAAATCATGGAATCGCGTGGATTCTCCCTCAGGGCTTCTTTTAGGCGAACGATCTTGACTTTTTGGCGTTCTCACGTTCTTTCTCACACACACAATACAATTCGAACCATCGCGAGTGGTGCACAAAGAAAATACATAGGATTACATGATATAAAATAAGATTTTATTGAGAAAAATCTATCGTCAGTTTTCCGCACTTTGCCGTCAATTACAAGTAGAATTAAAGTAGAGTTAGAAAAGAAAGTGTTAAATCGACAATTTAGTATTGCTGAGAAATTATTCCTAAGACTTCTTTTTGCCATATGAAGAAAGAATTTACAAAAAAGGGACAGCACACAGAATTAAAATCGGTGGTGCTCAGAATGTTTTCTTTGTTTTCCAATTAATCTCATATCTTCCAATTCACTTTCACAATAGCAATTATGTAAAATTTCTTTTGCAATTTTTCTTTTTATATAATAAATTTGATTAACAAACGCGACATTAGCTAATTGTTGCTCTCTTTCGTCATTATCATTCCAACAAGATTATACAGACTCTCCTTATCGCTTCACAATCTCTATCGCGCACTTTCGCGACAATGTAAAAACTCTTGTCCAATCATTTTTGAGAAAATGAATAAGAAAAAAAAAACACTTGATCTCTTAAATTTACCACACAAATCTATATAAGTATGATTTTATGTTTTCTTTTGCTTCTTTTTCCTCATTCGTGATTAATTTATGAACTTTCTCTCTACCATCAGTTCGACAAGTGATCTCCTTTCTGTCTCTATGTTTCATTTCACTTTTCTGTTTTTTTTTTGCTTTTTAAGGTATATAAGGAGGTACATCATACAAATATCTAGTTTATATGCCTGTTTATGTAAAAAAGAGAACATTTTATCTTTTCATTATAGAATAAATAATCCAATTCACTTTTCGCGCAATTTCTTGCCTTAGCCTTAAAACTTATTTTGCATTTTTTCCACAACTTTGCAGTTTTCCATCAACGAATATACAGATTTTACAACTAATCAATTAGTTCTATCAGTAAATTGTATGATTTGATTATCAGCACTTAATATCTAGGAATTATACTTAATCATTTACCGACTTTTTTTTTCTATTTCTTGTGGTCACATAAAATGTATAGTAATATCTTTAGTGGATTTCATCAGTGGTAGCATGAAAATTATCTTTCAAAATGCTCTCATATTTATCGATACACCTCTAATATGATTTTGTATAGATTAAATGGTTTTTTCTTTAATATATATATATAGAAAAAATGGACGTAATATTTATAATAGTTTTCATAACTCTCTCTCCTCATAATTCATCTCAATGACACACGCACACTTACGATTTTTTCACGCTCTTGAATCTCCTTCTTTTTGTAATATTTTTTCTTTACTTTAATAGTATTTTGTAAAGAGAGAAATAAACTAATTCTAAGTCGATTTTAGTATTGTGAAATTTGCATTTTTTTTATCTTTCCTCCTTCTCTTCTTAGATTTTCATATAAAATCGTTCTCACAATATCCCATTAGTTAGATACTGATACCCATCGTACAGTTTTGTCGACAGAGAATTGAGAGAATCCTGAATCAATTGATCTACCTTTCGATCCAGTTCTTGCTCTGTCAGACTCATGTGAAAGCGATTCCGCAGATTTCGAACAGTTCCCGAGCAGCCATTCTTGAAACACGGAAGCTGAGAGCCTGAAAAGCAAAGCACTTAGGTTATTCTACAGCACAAGATGCAAGAAGAAATGATCTCTCTTACAGCTCCTCATAATCTCAACAATATTGATAATTCGATCTTGGTGTTTTCGCGCCGCCAGCAAGCCTTTGAGGAGTAAATGTTTGAACTCCTGCCACAAAGCTGATGAAGCGCCGCCCATGACATCCACAAATTCTGGTGTCATCTTGAATGGTGACTGCTCAAAGCCCAGATTTTTGGGCGAAATGTTCAAAATAAACCCAAAATCGATATGAATAAGATGACCATCCGAATGGAGGAGAATATTGCCATTGTGCCTGTCGAAACAACACCGCAATTATTATTAAAATCTCACTTGACACAATCACATTCAATTCACTCACCGATCCTTGACCTGCAGCAAGTAGGATATTAAGCAATAAGCAGCGCAGGATTGCATGAAATTCCTCTGTGCTCGCTTGAATCGCGCCTCCTCAGGCTCACCGTGTTCATCGATGAAGTAGTCCCGAAGACTCTTGTTGGAATTCTTCTTAATTTGATGGAGAGACACCGTATTGGGAATTGGCTCAATCAGGCCCGAATCATTGGAGAGACAGACAATTTTGTATGGACGCACCCACATGTCCACCTCCTCCTCTTGCCAAATCAGTTTGAACATCTTACAAAACAAAAAGAAATATATACATTTTCAGCTTTAAGATAGCCTAAAGTAGTTGATTTTATACCTGAAGCAATTGTGTGGCCATCAACTCCTGTCGTAGATCATCGCCACACTTCACAATGGCAGACAAGAGGCGCCAATTTGAGAGATGACCATAAGGTGAGGTCTCCCTGATTAACTTCTCCTTCTCATGCCAAGGTTCCTGCGAAGACAATTCATTCATTTTATACTGAAATATCGAATTACGAATACAAGTTATTTGCCTTTACCTTGAGAGCAGCTGCCGAGGGATCTTCAGGATCATTACTGAACGGTTTGGCATTCTCATTATTCAAATTGGCACAGTGTCGCGTCCGGACGTCACCGATGTTGAACAGAGCTGGAACACCTGTCAAAGTAACACATTAGCAACCGATTCACGAAGTGCTGGAATGCACACCCGGTCAACTTACTCTGCTCCCTTGAGTCACACGATTCGAGAGACATTTGCGACAGTGTATCTCTCTCGCTGAGCTTGTGCAAGTTCAAATACTGCGCTGTTATCTCATCATCCTCCTGTGACCACACATCATCCTCCGTTATCTCAATCTTCTCAATGCTCCCCAGATCTGTGGCTGTGGCCACCAGTCCTGAGTCCGCCACATCTGTCGAAGAGGAAGCCGTGGATTCCGACACCTTCTCACCACCGCCCGCGTCTGAGGAGTTGGAGAGCGAGAGTTGATGCACTGTCCTCACTCGCAGTGGCACCTGCAGTTTGGGATTCGTTGAACTCACAGTGTCACCAGACACATGATTACCGGCAGATTCCAAGTGTTCAACACTTCTCGTATGGCGCAGAGTTGGCATCATCTTTGGTATCACTGGGCATGTGTAGATGTCATCGACTTCCATTACCTCCACATAAATAATGTAGGGTGTTTTGTCTTTGGAATTGAGCACAGCAGTCTTGTCCTCCGTGATCCTCACCACATGATGCGGAATCTCCGTGTGCAGTGGAAGCCAAACGCGTGCTGGAAGATTCTTATTCACTGAATTTAGTGACATTCTCAATTGCGTCGTCTTTTCACTCTTCGTGGGTAGACTCGTCAATTGCCGCCCAATCTCAATGAGTGTCTTCATGAATTCGCGCTGAGCCAGGAGCTTTGGCGCCCCACACACACACAGCGTCTTGTGCCCACGCAAATTGTTCACTGTACCGCGGACGCTCTCGAAGCAGATACACCCATTGTCGAACGCTCTGCCCGTGGTCAGATCACCCAACGACAGGTGTGACAGCGAGAAGTTCGCAACAGTGAGTGGGGCGCGCTTGCGACTATCATGAATCAACCCAGTGGCGTCGGATTGCGATCTGTGGTGTGTCTTCTTCGTCGGTGACAAAATCTCCTCATCATACACCACCTCATGAACATCGAATCGCCTCTGTCGCCTCTCTTTCTTCGGATACAACTCCTTCAGCAGGAACAACTGCGACAACTTGGTCGAATTCGCTCCACTCCCATTCGCCGTGTCCACATTGTAGTTGTACGCCTCTAGTAGCCATGAACACTTAATGGAGAAATCTGCACTCTTGCGACATCGGTACACCAAATAGGGATCGAGAACTTCAGCCAGCTCGTCTATTTGGATGTACATCAAGATCAATTGTGGAATGTACAGGTCAACCTACAAAGAAAAAAAAACACAATGCCAAAGTAGAACAATTCTTCGTCTCTTGTGCAATATTTTTTTTTCTGTTTACTACACACGCACAACTTTCCCACTTAAATATCTCAATTATTTATCGTCACTCTTCTTCGCGTCAATGCGAAAGCTGAGAATATTATGGACAAAATTGCACAACAAGTGAGCTTTCATCTCAACATTCTTTCTCTTTTTTTCATTTATGGAATTTCGCAGAAATTTCCATGAGGAATCATTGTGACTAAATTTGCAAATTAAGCATTTTTATCAGAATATCTCTCTTTTTCACTCCCTCTCTCTCTCTTTCTGTCTCTCTCTCTCTCTATCTATACTCAAAACAGCGCCAATAAAGACAATATTAGTGTTTCTTAGAATATCCAGATTTTCTGGTTCTCTATTGCATTTATGATTAACAGATGAGGGAATTTTAAAGAGACACTGACGTTGATAAAAAGTAAATTTACAAGCACAAGAAGTGAAACAAATTTCGCAATTTTTCACTCAACGACTCGCATTCTGACGTATTTTGTAATAGTTGGAATCTTTTAAAGTAACAATTGATCTGCCTTACGAAGCGAAGAATGATTAACATTCATAATTATCTATGTGTGTTGAACAGGGTTAAAAAAGGAATCATTGAATCACGCTGATTACGCTAAAATCACATTCTCCCGAGAAAGCTTGCAAGTGACTAATATTGACTTAATATTCCTTTCTTTGCACTGTTGCTTTAATCTAATCATAGGTCATATCACAATATGTGATTGTCGCAGTGTTTTCGTATTCTTTTCATCTCTCCAATTTCGATCATTTGGCGTCTCAAAAGTGATCTTGAGATTGCGACAGACAACAAGTCCCATGTGGAATGTTCTCTCAATTAAAATCCCCCTGTTTCTAAGGAGAGCGACAGACATCACTGTACCCACTCAATGAATCATGCATTCTTCCCCTCGGCAATTTCGAAAAGAGTGCGGGAAGTCAATAAAGCGAACGCGGGATCACTGGGAAAGAAGAGAGAGAAGGAAACTCCACATCCGGCTTAGCACTATTCCAATTTTATCACCATTCCATTCTTACAAGTGAGGGAGAAAGAGCGTCTAGCCATGAATTCCCATTTGATCTTTTACTTTTTATTATTGTCACCCAACATGTCCAAAAAAGGGGGATAAAAATAGAGAGACACTTCATTACTTGACGAGGAAGAGAAAACATACTCACAATTTGAATGGAATGTTTTGAGTCTTTTTTTTACTGACTTCTTGGACTCAAGATCACTGAGTGTTCTGAGAAAAAAATTATCAGTTGATTCATGTTTAGAATTTTTCTGGATGATCCGCTCAAGTGTTTGCAGAACACGCCTTGCATTCCACTCGGACAGAATCTCAGCTGGCTAATTTGAATAGCCCACGATCAGAGGCGTGCGAGTATGGAGAGGAAATCTTCAAGGCAATTGAGCTGATTCGTCATCTCTGTATCTCTCAATTCTAAACATTCTCCAATTTAATCGTAAAAGGCACAACACTTGCCGCTGCCAACTTTTCGGTGTCATTCGCCCAGAGAAAGTCATGCATTGCGAAAAATGCGAGCAAAGTGATCGAAAAGAGAAAGGAAAACTCACCTCAGTGTCGTTGAAGCTGAATATTTTGTTCCCGATGAAGCTCAACACGCCTGGCTCTTTGGAATAGAACAGATAGTGCACGGCAAAATGAATATTGAAGACAGGAGACTCGAAGAAGCGCAGCAACCCGTTGTGGCCGACTTTCTTCCCCGAGCTGCCGGCCACACACTGGCCAGCCTCCCTTCTCTCCTCGTGCACATAACACTGCGCCACACCGGGCACTTTGCCCTTGCTCTTGGGCCGCAGCGAGAAGATGGAGTTGTGCTGAGATTTCTCCTCCACCTCTGGTGACAGACACTCAGGCGATGTGGTGGCCTTCTTGCGGCTGGACGCGGATTTGAGGAGAAGGAAATCCTTTCGAGCCTTCGGCTGATCCTCCTTGTTCTTCTTCTCGTGATTGTCAATGATACTCTGTGCCGTCCTGAAAATTACATTGCGCGTGGCACCGAAGAAGCTCTTAAAGATCAGCTCATTCTTGAGATTGTCGCCCGGGGATTTGCACTCCGTCTTGCTGTCCACCTCATCGACATCCGTGGGCGCTGAATCGAGATCAATCGCCACGGCGACACTCTTCATCTGATGCTTCTGTCCGTCACCCTTCCTCGTCAGAGTATTTATGAGATAATTCCTCCCACTGCTGCGCTGCGGTTCGGCCGGAGGTGTTGCTGGACTCTTGGCATTCTCATCCACGAGCTCTGCAGCATCGGGAACGCCACCTGAATCGAGACTCTCGTGGCTCTGCCGCGCTGCCTTGCTCAGTGGCGTCTGATCAGGCTCTGATCCACAGATAATTCCCGAATCATCCGACCCCAGACTCGTCAGATCATCCTTCTTCTTCTGACTCTCGCCACTCCCTTTCACTGTGCTCGCGGCTGTCACCGTGAGTTGCTTCTGGCCGGCATCCTCCGCATCCTCAGCTTCCTTTCCCACTGTCGACGGTTTGGCTGCACTCAGCATTGCATGTGCACAGAGAATATTCTCAGATTCTGCACTTGGCGAGGAAACTTCGACCTTCAAGAGAAGTGAAACAGACCCAGTCATTAGTTTGATTTTGTGTGAAAATAACAGGCGATTTCTATGCAAATGTAAATAAACATTAATGGACAAAATTGCATCTCTCTCTTTCATCGACATTCACGCCAATTTGCAATTTAATGACACCCGAAAAAACGTCCATTTCTATGTGGCAACTTTTACCTCAATATCCCAAGGAGAGATTATTATGCCTTACTTTCCACGGCTGATTGATAAAGAACTATTGGTTTTATTGAGCATTAATATTTATGGTTCTCCATTCAACCTTCAAATGCCACGAAATATTTACTATTTTCCCACTATAATTTCCATGCTCTTAATTAAAAAGCGAAATTTCACCAATTATCTTCATCTCCGCAGCTTCTATAGTCTTCTTAGTAAAATAAAACGCACGATTCTTGCCACAAATGAAGGTCAGTTTTCAGATTGGATTCTTTATGAATTGTGTAGCTAAGATTTCTTTATATCCACATCAATGTGTTTTTCAATAACCCGAAAAAACTGTAGAATCTCAAATCCCAGCTAAAGTTGGAATAATTTAATAAACCTCACGTGAATATAAATTATTCATCTGCATTTTTGAGAAGTTTATCCATTCCTTGCCAGCTGTATTGCGTCGAATTGATTGACAAACACTTCTCACGCATAAGAATTGCCCCAATTTCTTACCTCTGGAATTCGCTGGAGAACACTGTCCAGACTCCTGTTGCGGTGATGCTGCGTGACAATCTTCCTGCCGTTGGACTTGGTGACTTGCGACACGGGCGGCAAGAGGATTCCCATGGACCTGAAGTCGAGACTGAGGTTTCTTTGGTGTGTCGACATCCGCGTCCTGCCGCCAGTCTCGGTCGCCTTCTTGCCGTGCACAGCAGGCAAAGAGAATACGTCCCTCCTGGCCGCCTTGGCGTCACTTCCGTCCGCCGAGGCTGTGCTGGAGCGCCCCATGGACACGGGTTGGGGCGGTCGAGCGACCGGAAACACCACAGCGGCGTCCACCTCGTCGTCCGGCATGAGATTGCTCATCTTGCTACTGGCGCTGATCTCTCGGATGCGCCTCAGGCTCTCGTAGTCGCTGTCTCTCTTCTTTGTGGGTGGTTTCGCGCGGGTCTGGTCACATTTGCCGCCACTCTTGAACGCGGACAGCACCGAATTCATCTTTCCGGACACACCATCGGCGCGCCCCCTCGCTGGGTGTGGACAGACTCGCGAGGTGTCCTGAAATTTCAGTATTTCCCCGTCAACATTTGCGAGAGCAACGCCAGTGGTGTGAGTGGGATTTTGTCATTTCACACACGCACTCACACGCGCAGCGATTGTCCCAATTTCTGTACGTCCTCCCGGAGCCCCACCTCGGCTGCCCTCTCAAGAGCACACGCAACTGCTCCGCGGGCGGATTTCCCCGCGAGAAAGTCTCGTCGTGGCGCGCGAGAGTAAAAGCTAACCCGACACACACTGCTGGAATGCGGGCCCCGCGCCGCCCCGCCAGCAACAACACTTCCTGCCCAATGCTCGGGGCGTCCGCCCCGTGCCCCCCAGCGTCCGTGCGTGTGCGAAATAATCAGTACAAGTGAACTTTGGGCCTGTTTTGCGCCTCTCTCGCGCTCTATTTTGATTTTGATTGAGTGCAAGTGAGAGGCAGCAAAAAAAAAGAAAATGGATGGACTCGCACTCGCCTTGGCTGCTGCGATTCTCCCTGGGGCTCCCCACAAGCACCAACTATCCCAATCGATGCACTGACACACTGACTGGACAATTCACATGCACTTTGCCACCATTTCGCATTCCACAGGCATTTTTTCTGCCACAAAAACCAGACACGAATTGCTGAGAAAACGACACTCCCCGTTTGTCAAGACCCACTGCCCGGCTGACTGCTCGTGCGCACACACGCAGTATTCCTACCGTGTGCACACTGCTCACTCAGCCGAGCGCGCGCTGTTTTTGCCCGATTAATACTAATTTTGCTGTGTGTATTACTTTCGCGCTCCCTATTCTTCCTCCATTTCTTCACAGAGTGCTTTCGAGAAGTGAAGATAAACTAACTTATGATCTAATATTGATAAAAATAATACTTTACATATTTAAAATATATGTGAGTTCTAGAAATCAATTCTGTTTTACGTGTTTTACTCATTTTCTGCAATTCTCTAGCAATGATCTGCCAAGTGCTTACATGTAATTGAATGTGAGTCATCCGGTTTGTGGTGTTGAGACCACAGAAAAAGCTGCTAGATGTCGCACTGATCAATAAGAAGCAAATAAACTCAAGATGGCATCAATGAAGTGAGTTTTCCATCTCTGCGGTATTGTGTTTCCCGTGGCTTTTCCGTGGTACTCGCCGGAATACAGAGAGAAAATAGTGTAAATTTGATTGAGGGGGTGTCACTTGAAGGATGTCACAGTGCAACGCCACGGCAGCATCTCTTGGGGCGCCGCCAAGACGCTTCAGGGGTGAGACTGCACCGCCCCAAGTATCTCAAATGCAAGCTCCGGACGCAAATGGACCAATTTCGGGTGGTGGCGTCGGGACTTCGCAGTCTGCCCGCTTTGGGGAAGCGGAATGGGAGACGAAGGAGGTGAGAGAGAGTAGAGAGGTTGTGTAGTTCCGTATTTTTGACTGATGTTCCTTCCGTTCTCTATTGCTCAGTTGCAGAGGCAGCGAGAATTGGAGGAGGCGCGCGCTCGGGCGAGTCAGATGGAGAAGACGATGAAGTGGTGGTCAGACTGCACGGCGAACTGGAGGGAGAAGTGGAGCAAGGTAAAGAGGCAGAAGGGAGCAACAGTTGAACTTATGATTGCGTGTCCTCTGAACTTCCGCCCACACCCTTTTGGGGAAAGAACATGATGAGAAATAGATATTGGGGTATATGAAAACATTCATAAAAGTCATTTTGCAGAAGTACTACATAAATTTTGATGTTCGCGACAGTGATTTTGTATCACGCTACAAATTTTGAAAAGTTGTATCGATATTCAAATTGCGGCTGAATGCTTCCGGAGCGGGGAATTAGCGATCCAGTGTTCTGTAGCTTGTCAAAGTGTTGAGAAGCAAGCATGAAGTCGAGTCTGGAGGCAATTTCTGAAACATTGGAGACAATTCTTGAGTCCATGTCCATAATTCCTGACACTCAGGATGTCATTCCGGATTCCTCGTTTGACTCTGAGTCTCCAGTGGCTAAAGTTGTGTATCACTGGCTAAAGTTCTGGGCGATTTCTTATCCACAGGTGCGCACGGAAAGGAACAAGGCACGGGATGAGGCGAAGCAGTTGCGATCGAGTCTCGAAGCGGCCATTAAGGAGTCCAATTCGTACAAGAGGGAGAAGTCTGAACTCGAGACGCAAATCAGTCAGCTAAAGAAGGAGATGGAGAGGATTCACGCACTCCTTATGAAGCATGCCGGGCAATTTGATAAGAATGGCCTCGAGGCGGTCGACGAACCGGATCGTATTGGCCGTGACAACGACAGTCCGGATGTGTCCTCAGATGGGCTGAAGAATGTGAACAGTGAGGACGGTTTGGTAATCAAAAATGATCGTAGTCAGAGTAGAGACTCAGATATTGAGGGATGTATGTTGCAGGGCGCCGTTTCGAAGCTTGTGGACCAAGGAGAATATGGTGAGAAAGGAAGGGAAGCTTTGCAGAAGTGGAGAGTTATTCTTTTTCTGTGTCTTCCAGATGATCCCAGCAGCACAGAAGAGCGTCGATTGATTCAGCAACTGTCCAAGGAGGAACATGACGAAGAAGAGTATCTTCAACAGAAAGTGTCTGTGCTCAAGATGCGTCTCGATGAAGCATGCAAAACTCTTGATCGTGAAAGAGAGTGAGTTATCTTGTGTATTCTCATGTAAGACGAAATGACTAATGTTAGGGCTTTGCAGTGACAAACTTGGATATCAGAAGAGCATCGAGAGACTCTCACTAGAGATTCAGGATGTGAAGGCAAAGTGTGAGGAATTGCGCATATCGAAGCAGGACGCAGTTAGAGAATTGTTGACGCTTCAGGAACAGCACAGGGCAGAAGTGAGGATATCTCACAATGCTCTGCAAGAGGAGGTGAATGCCAGAGAGTCTCTTGAGAGGCGTTTATGCGAACTTCGTGGCGAACTAGAGCGATTGCAGACGGAGAATGCCGTTGAGTGGGGCAAAAGAGAGCGTCTTGACACGGAGAAATTGATCCTTGAGAGGGACAACAAGAGACTGCGTGGAGAACTGAGAGACTTTCAGGAGCGCGTTGATCGTCGCACAAGACCAGCACTGCCCTCAGGTGATCTCGAAGTGAGAAATTTACAGCAAGAACTTGCAGAGAAGAATAAGGTACGTATTCCTGGCCACTCTTGTATGATTTCTTATTCAATGTATTAAATCGCAACAGGAAATCTCCGAATTAAGGCACTCACACGGGAAATTGAAGAAGTTACTGGCTGAAAGCAACACGGAGCTTGGTCATGCCGGTCGTCGTGCTGAGCAATATGAGGGTGAAGTAAAACGTCTGCGAGCGCGTGTTGAAGAGCTGAAACGCGAATTGTTTGGCGTAGATAAAGTGGGAAAAACCTCTTTGAGGTCATTCCGACCGCTGTCCTTTGGCCTCGGCGACGATGCTGACTGTGAGAGAGGACCAAACGGAGAAGGAGTTCGTCTGGATGATGATCTACACGAGACTTGTAGTCATGTAAAACGACATCAGAGAGGGAATGACGATCAGCATGTTAACAGGTAAGTTGCATGCTTACTTCCACATTCGATCTAATAGATTTATGAGTCTATACACGTATCCTATGTGCACAGAAATTGTGAATTAATTTTCGTTTTTGTCCTTTTTGTAAAATGGACGCGGCTCACTAACCAATATTTCACTACTCATCCATCATTCACTTAATTTTCCATCAATTTTTGCAATATAACATCCTTTGGATTGACGCAATGCGCATACGCAAGACATTCAAGCAGTCCCAAACAGCAATCATACTATGATTCGTCATATAAACCGAATATAAATGACTTGAGGCAACTGTTTGATGATACTAAACGCAAAAGCGATTCGCGTGGGTATTTTCCGGGGAAGAGTCAACCCCATTCGATGTATTATGATGAAGGTGTGTTTGAGGGGCGTCAACAGAGGAGCAATATGTTTGATTTTGAGAGGGCAAAGCAGAAATTCGATAAGAATGAGAAGAAGATGTCAGGAAAGGGTGGTGGGAAGAAGATTACAGAGTCGTGTAGCACGGAATTGGGCATATCTAAGCAAAATTTCAATGAAACGGTTCAATTCTTTGATGAGAACATGCGTAAGAAGGATGCTTACATGAAAACGAGTCTCAATCTCGATGGATTGAAAGTGTCTGACGATGAAGTGAGTAAATTGAACTTGTCTTATTGGTATTCTATCGTTTATGTTGCTACTGTGTGCTCTCGATTCTTCACACAAGACGGTTATTGTGCTTTCGCGTGATGTAATGATGTCTTGATTAAATGTAATGTTTGAGTTTAAGGAATCGATTTTGTGTAACCTCTAGTTTCCTATTAGTTGAGTTTTATTTGTTAATATGTGTTGTCAGTCTGCTTGTTTCCTACGCACTTTGCTTGTCGTTTTTCGCTTGTTTCGCTTACACTTCCCCTTCTAGTTGTTATGGTACTATGGTTTATGGCTAGCATGGATATTAGAAAGGGAATGGGATGGATTACACTGTTCTGAAGTGATATCAAATTATTGCAGACTCCATAGTTGTGAGCAGAGATCAGCTCATCTGACAACTGAGAGGATAGACGATTGATATAGACACCAAATTTTACTCCGTCAACTATAGACTCCTGAAACGTGATTTTACCTATTCTATAAGTTTATCGACATTTTTAATTCTAATATTACATACAATAGGATTATTTATTGTTAATTCCATTTGTCTATCTCTTAGCCACACTCTCTTTGAACCAAGCTAATGGGATAAGTAATTCTAATTTCTCATCAACAAACATTCCTCTATTAATTGTCTTTAGAATTTATTGCATAATTGCGAAAGTCATAGTGATTTTGTAAGTTTTTCTAGAGGACTTTTTTTTATTAATGTTTTCGTGTAGATCTTACAAGTAAAATCGTGCATTTCAATGGGAGATTACGAAATTTAGAAAATATCCGTCACTATATGTATAATCAATTACCTAGAAGATACAAATGAAAATTAGATTGTTCACTTTTCCTAGATGTAGAGATTGAGGACTATATATTCAGATCCTTGAAATTGAGACGTGAAGAAAATTTATTAATAATATTCAAAATGACTACACACCTGTAGTAAGTAGTAATTGAGAAACCAATACGTATTGCTGTCATACACTTTTCAATATCATTTTGCGTGAAATTTTATATAATATGGAGAGGATATTACATATAACATACACATAAATACTATAAAGATGATATAATTAAACATTATTGAATGTGAAGAAACAATATTGGTTTGTTCTTTGAATGGTGGATTTCAACAACAACAACAATGAAATATTTCGTGACTTTTTCTCTCACTTTATTTGACTCAATTAATTGAATGTTACTTTTTAGTGATGCATTGAAGAAGGAATTAGTGTTTTTAATTGTTTATTTTGTTTCAATTTAATTTATTTAGAGAAAATATCTTTCTACCTCACATCAAATGTAGTTCGACATGTTGCTGAATCATCAGCATTTGCCGTTTGTTGTTTCCTTGGGGCGACAGATTTTGCTTCGTCCATTCTTGCCGTAAACAATGTTGCAGGAGAAGGTGAAGTAGCCACAAGTGGAGGATTTGGTGTAATATGTTGATGCAAAGTTCTTCGTCTCTTCTGGGGGTGATTTGGTGTCGTCAATGCTTCCAGTCACAGACTTTGTGACTGTTACATAGCTGTCGGGCTTCTTTTCGCCGTGCTTTCCATTAACCTCGTGATGCTTCGAGGGCAGGAAGCGAGTGGTGAACTTTTTGGGTTCGGGTGTAGAAACAGGTGATGTTGCTTTACGTTGATCCTCAATTTTTCCGTTGAATCCATCGGGAATTTTCTCCGTTGTTGACGATGATGGATAGTACTGTGTTCGACCATTTTGCTTCTGAATCAAGCGGAAGTTGTCGGTTCCCACAACAGTGGCTTGTTGCTTCTGTTCTCCAGAAACTTGACTGAAAGTGTGAGCAGGTTTCGGTGTTGGAACTGCTGACGGTTCAGCCTCGACATCCCCATTTGTTGATTTGTGATCTGTGGTTGCTGACTTTGCTTCAGGAATTGTCTCATAATCTTCATCACTGTATTCGTCCTCGTCTTCGTATTCATCCACTTCGTCTTCAGTAGTTGCACCCGTTGCTGTGCTATTTGGCAGTTGATATGCTAAGATGAAGATGGAATAAAATTAGAGAATATTTTCCTCTGAGTAAATGATGACTAAGTACTTACAAACAGTCTGGTGGGACGCTCTCAATTTAAGATCGGCCGCATTAGGAGCACCATTACTAGTTCCAGGAAGCGATTCCCTGAGAAAATCCAATTGTAAATTCCTTAATAGATTTTTGATTAGCAATTTACCTGTTTGTTCGTTGGAATTGATCAATTGTCTGGAAAACAGCTCGATTCTGTTCCCTGTACTGATTTACTTGTTCCCTGGTTCCGGAAGCGCCCTGAGCGGCTCCATGGTAAGAAATTCCATACCTAATAATACATAATAATATGTGTGTAAAATGCAAATAATTTAATTTCCTTTAAAGTATCTCACTTGAATTGTCCATGTATTTGGGACTGACTCTGTCCTGAGTATGAGGAAGCCTGTGCTGATGCTTGACCACCTCCATTGAATACTGAATGTTGTTCTGTTGCACTGCCTTCAGGTCGGAAACCAATTTGTGCTTGAGAGGATGTTTGTCCAGGTCCGCTTGCTTGTGCGTCGGCTAATCCGCCCTTTTCGTTTGCTTGTACCTAAAGTAACGTACACAAGGCATTTGTTTTTTTAAACTTTATCGTTATAATTAAATATCTCACCTCAGATTGACTCTCATGATTTATTCCACCAGTTTGGGAAGAGGCCGAAGTTCCCCCTGTCTTCTCATTAACTGATACTTGTGATTGAGATTTGGCTGCACCTCCAGTGCCCTGTGCTGAACTCATTGCACCGTCTTTACTGCCCGTCACTTGAGCCTGAGCTGCTCGATCTTTGTCTGATGTTTGAGCATTAGCACTGAAAGATCCGCCAGAGCTGTAGGAACCTGAAACCTGTGTTTGTGCGGTACCACCGTGACGTTTTCCTTGAGCACTAGCAGTGGCTTCACCATCTTTGACTGCTGTTTCAGATTGAGCAAAAGCATCGTCATCTTCCCCAGTGCCAGACCCCACTTGCAGAAGACCTATTAGAGTTCAAAATGACATTTAAAAAAATTGATAAGCTCTGTTCGACACATTAGGAACTTTAGCCAGACAAGGTTTGAACGCGTTATAAGAAGCATTAAAGGAATTTACTTACCACCACCTGGAATGTAACCATAAGGATATGTGCCACCTCCCGGATATGAAATTCCACCGCTTGGGTACGCTCCGCCCTGGGCTCCACCACTTGGGTACGCTCCGCCCTGGGCTCCACCGCTTGGGTACGCTCCGCCCTGGGCTCCCCCGCTTGGGTACGCTCCGCCCTGGGCTCCACCACTTGGATAAGGTCCGCCTTGAGTTCCAGAGCCTGGATAGGCTCCGCCTTGAGTTCCACCACTTGGATAGGGTCCCCCGTGTGTTCCAGACCCTGGGTAAGGTCCGCCTTGTGTACCAGGCCCTGGGAAAACCCCACCACTTGGATAAGGTCCACCTTGGGTTCCAGAGCCTGGGAAAGCTCCGCCTTGTGTTCCAGAGCCTGGGTAAGCTCCGCCTTGGGTTCCAGGCCCTGGGAAAACCCCACCACTTGGATAATGTCCACCTTGGGTTCCAGAGCCTGGGTATGCTCCGCCTTGTGTTCCACCACTTGGATATGGACCGCCTTGGGTTCCAGAGCCTGGGTAAGCTCCGCCTTGGGTTCCAGAGCCTGGGTAAGCTCCGCCTTGGGTTCCAGAGCCTGGGTAAGCTCCGCCTTGTGTACCAGGCCCTGGGTAAGCCCCACTACTTGGATAAGGTCCGCCTTGGGTTCCACCACTTGGATATGGACCGCCTTGGGTTCCAGAGCCTGGGTAAGCTCCGCCTTGGGTTCCAGAGCCTGGGTAAGCTCCGCCTTGGGTTCCAGAGCCTGGGTAAGCTCCGCCTTGGGTTCCACCACTAGGGTAAGGTCCGCCTTGGGTTCCAGAGCCTGGGAAAGCTCCGCCTTGTGTACCAGGCCCTGGGAAAGCCCCACTACTTGGATAAGGTCCGCCTTGGGTTCCAGAACCTGGTAAAGGTCCGCCGTGGGTCCCACCACTAGGATAAGCCCCACCTTGTGTACCACCACTTGGATAAGTCCCACCTTGTGTTCCACCGCTTGGGTATGCTCCGCCTTGGGTTCCAGAGCCTGGGTAAGCTCCCCCTTGGGTTCCACCAGTTGGATAAGTCCCACCTTGTGTTCCACCACTCGGGTAAGGTCCGCCTTGTGTTCCGGGGCCTGGGTAAGCGCCGCCTTGGGTTCCACCACTTGGATATGATCCGCCTTGGGTTCCGGGGCCTGGGAAAGTTCCACCTTGTGTTCCAGAGCCTGGGAAAGCTCCACCTTGTGTTCCAGGACCTGGAAAAGCTCCGCCTTGTGTTCCTCCACTTGGATAGGGTCCCCCTTGTGTTCCAGACCCTGGGGTACCAGGGCCTGGGAAAACTCCGCCTTGTGTTCCAGGGCCTGGGAAAGCTCCACCTTGAGTTCCAGGACCTGGAAAAGCTCCACCTTGTGTTCCACCACTTGGGTAAGGTCCCCCTTGGGTTCCAGAGCCTGGAGTACCAGGGCCTGGAAAAGCTCCGCCTTGTGTTCCAGAGCCTGGGAAAGCTCCACCTTGGGTTCCAGAACCCGGAAAAGCTCCACCTTGTGTTCCTCCACTTGGGAATGCTCCGCCTTGAGTTCCAGGGCTTGCTGTACCATGCAATAATTGCCCGGGCTTAGATGGCAAATATTGAGCCGAAATTTGTGGAGTTCCTCCTCCTGGACAGCTGATAGTTAAGCAGAGAATCGTGGGCGCTCCAGACGGTGTTCCTGTTGGTGTCCACAAAGTAACATCGCCAGATCCAGGAAGCGTTCCAGAAGGGCCAAGGATAACTTCAGCTCCGCCAGTCCCAGGCACTGAAAGATATTTGTATGTATTTCTATTTGAATGTATCATTCAAGGTCATCTTGTTATTTTTTTAATTATAGCTTGCAAAATAATGATAAGAAATGACTTTTCCAACAGCCTTTGATACCTGGTAAAGTGTGCCCATTTTGGACATAGCGATTGTCATGTGCACCTCCTGATGCAGGTCTACCGTTACTTCCTGGTTGATAAGCTTGCTGACTGGTACCTCCATTTCCGGGTTGATATCCATTGCTATGAATTCCATCAGGTCCTCTTCCTGATGGCTGATATGTTGTCCCTGAACCAGTTTGATGTCCCACTCCTGGACCACCTGTCGGGCCTTGCGCACCTGGTACACCTGGCACAGATGAACCTTGACTTGGTCTCGAGTCATACCCAGTTTTCCCATTCGAGCCTGGTCCATAACCACCAGGAGCAACAGTGCTACTTGGTCTGCTATCACCAGGATGTGCAGGACCATATCCTGGACCTCTATCTGTAATGCGGTCACCAGTGGATGGTAAGCCTGGCCTCAGAGATCCCGGACTGGTGTCTCCTGGTAATCTTCCATATCCAGGTCCGCCGGATGATCCTACTCCATTAGAGCCTGATCCACTTGGTGCTCCTCCAGGGCCGTATGCTGGCTGTCCAATCGGTCTACCTGTAGCATCTAAACCTCCGGAAGGGAATCCCCCTGTCGTGCCAGAAGTGCCTGATGTACTCGAAGCTCCCCCAGGACCATATGCTGGCTGCCCAGTTGGTCTACCTGTTGCATCCAATCCCCCACTTGGATAACCCCCCGTCGTGCCACCGGGACCGTAAGCCGGCTGCCCAGTCGGTCTACCTGTTGCATCCAATCCCCCACTTGGATAACCCCCCGTCGTGCCACCGGGACCGTAAGCCGGCTGCCCAGTCGGTCTACCTGTTGCATCCAATCCTCCACTTGGATAACCCCCTGTCGTGCCACCGGGGCCGTATCCTGGCTGTCCAGTCGGTCTACCTGTTGCATCCAATCCTCCACTTGGATAACCCCCTGTCGTGCCACCGGGACCGTATGCTGGTTGTCCAGTCGGTCTACCCGTTGCATCCAATCCTCCACTTGGATAACCCCCTGTCGTGCCACCGGGACCGTATGCTGGTTGTCCAGTCGGTCTACCCGTTGCATCCAATCCTCCACTTGGATAACCCCCTGTCGTGCCACCGGGACCGTATGCTGGCTGCCCGATCGGTCTACCAGTAGCATCTAAACCTCCAGATGGGTATCCCCCTGTTCCAGAAGTTCCACTCCCTGTTCCACTGGAGCCTCCTCCTCCAGGACCGTGAGTTTCACCTGCAACTCCTGGGCGTGTTTCTGGCCAAAGACGTCCATCGGGCAATTGCAGTTTGTCTATAATTGGACGTCCTTGTGAATCTAGTTGAACACTGGTTCTTCCATTGGTGCCAGGATGCAGAATTGGATCTGGTCGATTATCATCCAGAGTTCCACCGGCATAAAGGCCACTACCGGCCGCTCCACCTATGCAATCGCCACAATCTCCTCCAGCGGACTGACTCTGAGCTTGTCCCATGCCATTAGAACCAGCTGCAAAGACGAATTGGCAAGGGTTTTTTGTGATCGTTGGAAGATAGTATTCGTTAATTACACTTACCGACGTAGGCTCGTGTTCCATGTTGTGTAGCTTCCGCCTCGGCTTTTCCTTCATTCTGCGCTGTACCAAAGTTCAAATATTGGGATTGCGTTTGACCACGGTGGCTGAGAATGGCGTATAGCAAAATAAATTGAAAGGAATTTGAGATGTGATTAGTAATGGACGACACTTACTATCCTCTGCCATAGGCATCACGTCTAAATCTGTTGCCGTCTTGAAGAAGCGATGCAATGTGCTCTGGACTTCCCACAACCGCATTTGGGTCAACTTGCTGAGCCTGATGAGAGCATGTGTATTTATTTTATCAGTGCTATGGGATCGTAAAAAGTGTCTGTAGAGCAATATGGATGGAGAAGGGCCGTGGAGTATGTTTCTTTATTTATGTGTTAATTCTCATATTGGGAATTGAGTGAAATATGGAGGCATAACCAGGCAGTCTGGCAAGGATTTTGAAATATCTCACACAATTATTCCACCCAGCCATTGATTTGTATCAATCATTGGTACTTTGTTTTAGTTGTTAAGTGCTCCGAAAGTGTGAAAGATAGTATGTGATTGAAACGACGAGTGGAATTGGAGGAAGAAGGCAAAAAGATTTTATATTTATGATTGGGTTTTAATTTATGAAGACACTCACATATTACTTGTTGTGACTGTTATCACACTCAGTTTATTATTAATGTGTAGGACATGAATTTTGCTCTAGTTTTCTTGTCATTCAATTTTTCTTCTTCATTTCATCAATTCGCGCTTGGTCATTTGGAGATTATCGTGGGTCAAATTAGAAATCTCGCGACAGCATCTTGACATCATCCGTTAAGGATCGCATCTGTTCAGATTTTTATTTACTACAAAGTCGTCGAATATATACCACGGATGGTTGCTAATGTTTCCTATCTGCGATATCTCATTCAATTATATTTTCACATAAACATTCAATCGATACAGAGAAAACAAACGTCACAAACAATTTTTCCTATCTATTATTAGTAAATCCACAGATTAATAAGGAAGTGAAAAAATGTATCGAATACCACACGGTTTTTACTGGACTCTTGAATCGACTATTTCTCATGGCAATTACTAAAATTTTAATTGTCAGATACACACTTGTTACATACTGATCGTTTGAGTAAATTTTAGAACTCCCTTCGGAATTCAAAGTGTTCAGAATTTTTGCGGTCTTCGCTTTACATAAATTAAAATGCGAAATAGCCCCGCTTTACCCTAACTACTATTCTCTTTTTTAGTAGTAAAACATTAGTGGCAGTGATAAGCTGTCTCAGTATAATCGTCATTGACCTCAAGTTATTCTCATTTTCAACATCATATTGCAGTATCTTGTTTTGGGGCATATGTTGTAGATCAAATAGTACATAATGAAGCGGCAAATTGTGAATTATGGAATTTGAATGAATGATTATATAGGAAGATCTCTCGATATGTGTGAAAAGCATATATTCTTAGAACTTTCTTACCGGAACTATCGCACATCTTGCCTGGTGGTATGTTGACGCAATCACAGCAAAGAGCACCAATAAGTGGAATCTCATTGCTTGTCTGCGAAGAGTGAAGAAAGATTTTTGTCATGTGTGCGGAAGTTGAAAAAAATATATTGCTGATAATGTCGGCTTAATGAGGAAGATCGCTTCTTTATTTTATATAATGTATGGTATAATTTTGTTTCAATTTTCGCATAGAAGTTAAACACAAATTTTGCGGGCACAAAGGGGTTATCTGTTCGCCCTCTTATCAATTTGTCTTCCAATTTTTCTATACACGCATTTTTAAAAATTGATCCACTGCGAGCATCACACAATGTATGCGAAGACATATTAAATGATATTTTCTAATAGCAGAAACCCCATTTTTCTGGAGCATTTCAATTGATATATGCTTGGATGGTCACTTGAGTGATGAATTTATTCAGTGAATCGTCATATTGATCACACATATTGATTAAATTCTTTATCACAATTGTTATTACTTGAACTCTCTCTCGAGTTTGCAATAATACAGTTCAATAAACTTTCGCAAATGTATTTCCTTTCTGATCTGAAACTTCCTGAAATCTGTCTTCTTTCCTTACCTGCACTTTTTTCACCCCCTAAAATGTCACAAAACTCCCTTCACAAACACTCAACACACACACTCACTCTAGGGAACAGAATCCTATTCCTCGTAGTGTCCGTTTTTGCACTTTTAGGATGACTGTTGAGCCCTTAAGCACTCAGAGAGAATTTTAGTGAAACATGTAGAAATCCATCTGCTGACTGGTGAGCAGAGAGTAATGCGGAGACGAGAAGATGAAGAGAGACTGCGACTGTTCGAAGGAACAGTTCACTAGCGAGTGACTCGGGTGCGTCTAGTGATGGTTGCAAATACTGCCTGGCGAGCCTGGGTAGCGCGAGATGTCCGACTTCTGACCCATTTCGGTTCGTTAAGTCCCCACTTCTCAACTTTTAATTCATCCATCGTCAATTACCCGCAGACATTCACATACACACTCGATAATTTATTCATGATTTGATCTCTTTTTTTCTTTCTCCTCCATTTCCAATATAACACAGAGATCATTTTCACAGTGTGTCGGATCCTTGCTGACGCGAACGTCGAATATTCACAGCATTTATTATTTATTTGTTTGACTAATGTAATTGAGAAGGTGTTATCCAGGTTTATTTCTCCTTTAATGCCAAATAGTTATTATTAATTTTGTGTTACTAATCATATTTTCTTAATCATGAGATTCCATTGAGAAGATAAACAATTTTCATTTAACATATGAACTCTTTTTATTGATCTTTGAAGGAGGAAGAGAAGAAAAGACGCAACATCTGGACTGGCCATTGGCATTTCACATTGTTTTCTCAATTTAAATTTTTTGCACGAAGAAAATCATATCTTTTGGCTGACAAAGAGAATATTCGCGTAGCTTCTCCAAGATCAATTTCTTATTTACAAGCAAGCTCTGTGAACTGCTGAAACTTTTCACTTCTTTCCCATGTTCTTGTGCGGCAATAACTTACACTGTAAATAAGTGCGTAGATTTGTGGGTGATGCTAAAAGAACCATCACGAGAGTCCCTTCTAATTGTTAACAAGTTTGTTACACGCACAAAATAATTTTTATATGCCTTTATGTTGGGTCATTCTCATTATCAAATAATTGATTTCAATTAAAATCAATTATTGTTATTACATAAATGTTTTTGAAATGAGAAAAAAGTCATAATATTTATTGCACTCTCGTTTGGGATGCACAACAGACTAGATGAAAAATTGAAAAAGAGAAGTGTTGCATTTCTGCATTTATCTCAACAGGCGTGAATAATCTTTGATCATCTTTTTCCTCATAATAATGATAATGACACTGATATTTAGTGTTGCAGTTCATATTGAAATGCATACACTCGCGTATTTCTTTTCTTGAATTTATAGACAGCAAAAATATTAGATGGAATCGTCTAGTTAAGCCTTCACATGTCATTAAAATGAGTACAATAGTCACATTGTTGATTGATAGCTGATCATTTTTGCATATAGAGAATCTTCCAAGTCCAATTAACTTCAACTTCTTGTATTTTTTCTCATTATACCTTCATTCCGTCTAATATGCAAATGCAATGAAATGAAGTTATGAATGCAGAAATCACGAGACTGTTTTTTCTCCTCTGGATCAAACAATTGTGCGTGTGCAATAATTATCAATTAAAAGAATCCCAAAATATGAATTTTATTGTAATAAATAATACAATCCCGAGAGATTTCAATTACAAAAAAATGATACAAAGTATTTTAAATGTTCTCTAAAAGAATACATATTAGATCTAAATATGGATATTGATAGATTGTGACGATTAAGTGAATAATAAAAAATACTTATGTAGATGCTTAGAAAAAAGTAGCAAATTTTAAGATGTATTGAATTTAATATTTTAACTTATACTAATTTCTCCGTAATATTACATATGTGCGCTATTTGAAAGATGCTGCGTATTGATATATCTTTTTTTGTAAATCACAAAAAAATGTTTTTTTTTATTCGTAAACATTCTCTACTTTTGAAGCTCTAGCCTATTTTTAAAATTCGACGTTATATGTAATGTTTATGCTTAGAAATTGCAACTCTCGGCCTTTATTAAGTATATTTACTTGTATGTACATATCATTTTTCTGCATATGCTGAATTGCGGATCTAAAAAGATATGTCTTATTGCTAGACTAGACAATCTCGTCCCTTCAATATTACCTCTAATCGATAAATTGATCCCTAAGTTAATTATAAAAAATGATGTAAGCTGTTTAAAATATTATTTTATAATGTAATTGTAGTCAAACAATTTCACGATATATCCACATCTATCGAATTTTCAATATACTTCATTGCAATTTCGCTATCTTTTTGAATTCATTCATACAAATTGCGATATAAAATTATTCAATATATTTGATTTGAAATACTCTTTAAATCATATTATTAATGCAAATGACGTGAGGAATGCATCTAATTTACATACACTGCAAGATTCACTTCTATTGAATTTTGGCATGAAATATTTTGCATAAAAGAAAATACTACAGTGTGTTTGAGAAATCTAGGCGTGAAAAATTCTTAAAAGATAGCTGTTTTTTTTCGAAAAGACAATATCACACAAACTATGTATTTGCTGCAAAAGGGGCGAAATTTGTGGCCTGTTTGAATTGGTCCTCGTCGAATGTTTATGTGATTTAAAGAATTAATTTTTGCGTGCAGAAAAATCAACAGGCTGCTCTTGGTAATGAGCATCGTCCGAAGTTTTACTCAGTGATTGTATTACACTTATTCGCGAGCAGGAATCTTTGCTCTTTTCACGGGAAAGTGTGGCGTTAGTTTTGGTGACATTGGCAAAGATTTTGGCCCTCTTTTCCTTGTTTTGCTGCTTTTTTTCCAACTTGAAAATAATGATGCTCGATGAGTTGTTTTCTCCATTTTGTCGAACTTTGCTTTTATCGCTCTTCTGATGATTTCGCATGCAGGAAGATTCCTCGTGCTTGTACAAATATGACTTGAGAGCGAAAGATTTTCCACAACGACTACATGAGTGGGGCTTTGTATTGGAGTGCGTTTGGATGTGAGCACGAAGATTGGACTTGTCTGCAAAGGCCTTCGTGCATACAGTGCACTTAAAGGGCTTCTCTCCTAGAAGACAATGATGAGTTATCTGACGAAAATTTGTGGAAATTGTGAGAAATTGCTTGCCTGTGTGAGTGCGAATGTGTCCTTGTAGAAGCCAAGGGCGTGAAAAACACTTTCCACAATGTGGACATTCGCATCCTTGATTGTGGGTTCGCACGTGCATTGAGAAAGCCGGCATGGAGACATAAACCTTGTCGCAATGCGGACATCTTCTTGCTTTCTTGTCCTCCAAGGACCTGAAGGGGTGAAAAATGCATTAATTAATACTTTTAACCCTTAAATGGCAATGTGGTTATGAGCAAGTCATTTGAAATATGTAGATTAATTGGCTTCAATATGTAGTTTACATGGTAAGTTACTATCGTTCCAATTTTGATAAATACTCTGCCGAAGCAATAACAGAATGATATGTGACAAGGTTGTTTTTCCGTGTTTTTATTTCTCTCCAATAAGAGAGCCATGAAAGGGTTAAGGGGATTAAATTTGGACACATGGAAAATGAATGCGCAATGATTCACTTTTCTCAGTGTGAGATTGAGAAAGAGGCGGGACTGTTTCGGCTAGTCAGTGGCAAAAGTCAAAAAGATCTCACACAAAGAAGTGACTTGGATTTACAAATATACAAAGTCATTTCTACTCTGGGGGGGCTAAAAGGAGAGTAAGGCAAGATGGAGCTTATCTTACCTGTGAGTTTGGCGATGTCGAGCCAAATTGGACGACGTTGAGTACTTCTTGCCACATTCGGGACAAACGTGAATATCCTCTGCTTCAGGTTCTTGACATTCGGATTTGATTGTGCCTATAAGATTTCCATCTGTGCTGCCATCGGAACTTTGCGAATTTGTCTCAATATCCGTCCCCACGTGATCTGACAATTTTCTCAATTTTCTCTTGTCGAAGATCTTATGAGAATACTTGTATTGTGAGTGACTGTCGGGATGGGAGGCTGATGGATCAGATTGTGCTCTTGCTTCAGTGGAATGTTGTGTGAAAGGAATTGCACTTGAGTCTATTGATCTGCTCCTCCATTGGTTAATGCCATAGGAATCATCCGAGTCGGTTTGCGAGAAAGATTCCGTGGAGTTGTGACGATATATGGGGAATTTGTATGATGTTGTCTCCTTTCGATTGTCATTCACGTAGAAATTGGCCTGAAGACTTGTCGTACTGAGTTTTCCTGCTGCCAGACTCACTTCCGCTAATTGGGTGAGATTGTAGAGCTCATCGGGAACGATGAGTGGTTCTATCTCATGCACCATGCCTAGAATTGATAGTTGTGGAATCTCTTATTATGTTGCATCGCTTCTATTTCCTAAGTTATTGCAATATAATTTGAAAATATGACTGATGTAAAACCACCAATTTATCGATGGATTTTGTGGGGAAAAGGTGAAACAACCTGCTAAATGCGTCATGAGTGTTTGGCAAATTGCCAGAAAATTTTGTATTTTCGGCTCTTTATCGTATAAACACACTTGCGTGTCCGATTTTCCACACCACACAGGGCATTTACGTTTCCTCGTTCTTCTTCAAAAACACATACAGAATTTTGAGAATTAACCACGAATAATGATGGCATGTATGTGCGCTGCGAGAGAGAGCGTTTTCCAACAGTTTTTGTACTTCATTTTAACCTGTCTCAGTCTATGGAATGTGCTTTCGCTTCAGGAACAATGTTATATGAATTGTAATTCACTATAAAGGATCTTGTGAATTAATTATTTGACTTAATCTTACGATGATTTTTCAATTATGGAAAATGTACCTGCTTTTGGATGAAGATTTCTTTCTTTAGATTATGATGAATATATCGTGGTTGATTCACAATTTCACTGAGAAAGAAAAACTATCACGAAAATTTCACAATATAAGTTAATTGTCCCTAAACGTAATTTTGCTAATCAAGATGTGACTGATTGAATGGAATTGCACGGTGAGAGAAAAGTAGAAAATATTTGCGGCAGAGCACTTTTAGGTGGATAACGAGGATTTTACAGTATAAAGGAAAGTGACTTTCCCGTGAGATAAAAGGGGGTGCGCGTTATGAACTCAAGAAGATGTGGAATTAGACTGCGCGTTGGTAAGATGCCTATGATGATGATGAGAGGAGTTTTCGAAGGAGCTCAGAATGTGTATATGTGTTGCGCTTCAAGTATTTCAATATTTTATTGAAACACTGAGAGGCGCGCGCGATCTATTTTCGTACCCCCAACATTTTCTTTGTACGTGCCTCATGGCTTTTTTCCCTCTCACTTTTGCATTCTCACACATCTTGCCTGAGATTTTCTTTATTTACTCTCTTTTTTCGAATTCTACATAACCGTCATGAGTCGGTGTTCGTTCTTTTTTTCCCTGGATGAGTGAGACTGAAGAATCAGGGGAGAAAATTGATGGGGAAACACGGTGATTGTTTCGTCTATATAAAGGGAAGTGACTGGAATAAGGCAAGGAAATTCGTTTGAGAAGCGTTTTGAGGTGAACAACTTTAGCAAATTTTCGTGATAATTACCTGAAGCATAGAGACATGGATGCCTAGACTTTATGATCAGTATTTTCCACTTTGCACAGTTGTTTAAGTGGAAAATGGAGTAGAAAAGGAAGTCAAAGTGCATTGACATTGGGCGAGAGAGTTAAGTTTAGACCAAAAATAAACCTCTGGCGTGCGTTTGTCGTCAGAAAAACATAACATTCCACGATACAATACAGCACAGGAAGGACTTCATCTGAACATCCACCATATCTACCTATGTGAGATCGCATCCTTTCTTCCCTTGTGTTTCAGGTCTCTCTAAGTCCATTAATTTCTGAGCATGTCTGAGATGTGACTAGGGAGTATATATTTATAAAAATCAGTGGTAAGTGAGTCAGATGTACAGCATTGTTATTTGAGCTGCCGGAGAAGATGAACAAGGCGCTGTGCGCAAAAACACCGCATGTGGTAGGATTTAGAGCCAGCACGCGTGCCAAGCATACTCTTTATCCAAAATAAAGAGTATTGGCGACATTTTCACTTAAATCATCGCCCCTCCTTACACTACAGCATGCCACTTGTCTCACACATTTCTCCATTCTCCACGATTAGACCACCGCATTACAGATCTCTCCAGAATATCGTCTGGGAAATGCTCTCACTTGTGGTTCAATTTTTTTTGTTGTGGATTGGTATTTATATTTGGCGCATGAGCACCATTTATTACACCCATGCAAAGACGCTGTGGAGGGCTCCGAAGGTTTCTGTGAGTCTTCCTAAAGTCTGAATATTCCTCCACAAGTTGGTTTTTGAACCCTCTAACATTTGTTTACAGTAGTTTATTCATGACATCAAGAGATGACAAGGCGCAGAGAAGCGCAAGTCGATGCGGACCGGAGAAAATAAACCTTTACTTCCGTTTGATATAACAGGAGGGTAATGATTTTGTGTAGAAGTGTGTATGTAAGATCTACCACACACGCATTTTTTACTTTCATTTTCCTACTAAATTACCAAAATATATGTATTCCATATGTTCCATTTTGAGAGTCTTCTACAAATTTACCGTAATTATGCTGAGCAGTTTGACATTTTTTCCTTCTTTTGGTACATAAAGAAACATTTTCCTCACCACACGGTACAGACTTTTGTCGATATAAAAATAAAAGTGAATAATTTTATTTTATATTCACAAAGTTTTCAAACAAATAATGTATTTCCTTCTGGATTTTATATACTTTTTAATATGTGCATCACAAATTCAATTGTTCTAAAATAGTTCAGAATTTCTCATATTAGGTTTCGTATTATTTTCTATTAATAATTTTTTTAAGTCCAAAACTGGCGCAATAAAAGAATTATTCAAATTTCAATTTATATTGATCACGGTAGATGGCGCACATTGTTGCGCTTTCCCGATGTCAGCGCCTCTAGCGAATTGTCATGGTATGCAAGAGTTAGTTTTCTTTTGGGTGTGAAAAGAAAAAGCCCGTGTTTATAAGTGAAAAAACTGTGAATATTCGCATTTGAGAACAATATAAGATTTTCCAGAAGAATAATGCGTATGGTGGCGTAAGGGAATTGTTAGTGTTTGGCAGCAAGACGTTCTAAAAAGGCTGTGTAATGCCTCCACAACCACTTCCCCTGGAAGGAGCACCTGTCAATTTTATGCCGTCGTCCGGACAGGAGCCCCGCGGGGGCTCCATCTCTCTGGCCATTCTCATTGACTTCATCATACAGCGAACTTACCATGAGCTCACAGTTCTGGCTGAATTGTAAGTGGAATAAGTGAATTTTGAGCTATAACCTCAATGTTAGAGAGTCTTCTGTTGAAATGATGCTTTTATTTTCAGACTCCCACGCAAAACAGACATGGAGAGAAAAATTGAGATATACAACTTCTCTGCACGAACACGACAACTCTTCATACGACTACTGGCTTTGGTAAAGTGGGCTAATTCGGCGTCAAAAGTGGACAAATCAGCACAAATAATGAGCTTCCTCGACAAGCAGTCAATGCTTTTCGTGGAAACTGCTGATATGTTGGCCCGGATGGCTCGTGAAACTCTCGTTCACGCACGCCTACCCACTTTCCACATCCCAGCAGCTGTGGAGATTCTTACTACAGGGACATACGGACGCCTCCCGGCCTGCATCAGGGAGAAAATAGTCCCTCCGGATCCAATAACCACTGTTGAGAAGCGACAAACTCTGTTGCGACTCAATCAGGTGATCCAACACCGATTAGTGACGGGAAGTCTCATGCCTCAGATGAGGAAATTCAAGATTGACTCCGGCAGAGTCACTTTCCGGATTGAGCATGAGTTTGAAGTGTCTCTGACTGTGATGGGCGACGGGCCAAACGTTCCATGGCGCTTGCTAGACATTGATATCCTGGTTGAGGATAAGGAGACAGGAGATGGAAAGGCATTAGTTCATGTGTTGCAAGTGAATTACATTCATCAACTGATACAGGCGCGTCTTGTGGACAATCTCAATGCCCTGGCGGAAGTGTACAATTGCCTGCACTTCTTCTGCCAATCTCTGCAACTTGAGGTGCTCTACACACAAACACTGCGTCTGATCCGTGACAGACTGCATGACATGATTTACGTGGATGAATACATACCAGGAAGCAAATTGACTGTGTCATATTGGAGAGAATTGACCAGTAAGGATCCAAAATCAGAGTTGGGATATCGACTCACTGTACAAACAGATCCAAACGATACGGCAAGGCCTCTGGCAGTCTTTCACATCCCTTCGATAGGGAACAAGGAATCATCCGAAGTCGCTGATCGTGCAGTTCGCTCAGATCTTCTGTCCATGGAGCGCCTTCTCGTTCACACAGTTTACGTGCGCTCTTTGGCGCGTCTGAATGAGATCAAAGTGGAGTTTCAGACCTTCTTGAAGGATGTGGAGTATCACCTCCAAGGTACTCCCGCTCGATTGTCCGTGCCCATTCTCAATCCTTGTCTGCGTGCTGAACAAATTCACATTACGGTGGACACACACACGGGAATATTTCACTGTCATGTGCCGAAACATCTGGATTGTCCCATTATTCCGGACCTTCAGGCGGCTCTCAACAGTGAGAATGCGAAACTTCCGTATTTAATTTCTGAACTGAGATACTGGATAACTCAGAGGCGCTGTGAAAAAACGCTGCAACATCTCCCGGCAACACCACATGAGCATCTTCCGTTGATTCACGGACCGGAGGATTTGATTGCCAAAATTGGTCGACACAAAGTGTTTGTGAAGCTTCATCGGCATCCCAATGTGATTCTTGTGCTGGAGATGAAAGAGAAAGTTCAGACGCCAAGTGAGATGGAGTATAATTTCTATCTGGTGTATGTGAAACCAGTGGGAATTGAGGGTGTTGAATCCAATGATGACACCACTGAATCTGACGCTCCGAAGATGTTCCTCAAGGTGCTGAACATCATAGAGTTTGATACATTTGTGACAACTCATGGGCCGGGGACATATTTGGATGAGTCAGTGAACAACAAACGGAAGGCACTTCTGATGGATTCAGGACCAGCAGTGAAACAGCAAAAGGCAATTTATCCGGCATATTTTATTCCTGAGTTGGCGCATGTTGTGGCGATGTGTGATGAAAAGCTCCCATTTGTCACATTTGCACAAGAGGTGAGTGATTGAAATTCATGTAATACTATTAGGAGAATAATATTCTTTGTGTTTTTATAGCTCTCAAAACGGAAAATCCCTCATGGAGGACTTCAAGTAGAGGCAAATGCAACTTCACTTGTGCTGAAATTATTGACGCTTCCCAAGCCAGTTCCATCGCAAGCCGACAAGTCTACTTCCACGCCTGTTGTTGACAATGTGGTGTGGAATGCTTTGCTTAAGCGTCTTCTTTCAGTGGCTGTAAGAGCGCAAGTTAATCGTCACACAACGCGTCTCTGGACAGTGGAATTGGTGTTCTACAGTACGCCGTTGTTGAGCACACATCACAAAGAGCAAGGCTTAAGACGGGCAGTTTACTTGCAGTATGATCTCATGCCAGCGGATCAGTTCAGTAAGACAATAGACAGTTTGCTGAACGATTGGTCCAAGATTGTCTACTTGTATGCACTGGTGCATGACTTCGCGGAGAAATACAAAAATGGTAAAATATTGTTTTATATTTCACAGCAATAAGTTTAATTTAGTAATGAATTTCACATTTTCAGACAAATACAATCTACAGAATATTGTCACAATCAAATCTTACACCTACGGTAGTCTTCTGCTGGGCTACGGTCCAAATAAAGAGGTGCTGGTGAATATATTTTGGTGTACAGAATCGAAGGAGTTCAAGATGATCTTCTCTGGCGGTCACTCAGCGGCCAATTCGCATTCAATTATGCGAGAGCAGCTACAATCACATCTCAATCGCAATTATAATCTGACTCAGACGATACATATTCTTCACGAAACGTACCAGCCACTCAGTTCCATCGCGAAATTGCCCACAATTCCGCAACTTGGCATAGTGGTGAGTGATCTTGTGCCCTTTCCTCTCATTATCGTACATTGTTAATTGATTTTAGGTAAATTTACAGCGACCACAAAATCCGGTGCTGACTTTTTGCCTCTTTCCGCAATCGCCGACACTTCTTCGTGTGGAGTACCAAAGCCTGTATTGTCTGGAGATTCGCCTGAGAGGCGGTGGTCTGATATCTATTCGCGATGGCGCGTATAGTCGCTTTGATCGATGCAATGTGCTTCAGGAGTTGATTCCTACACAAGGACTGAAGGCCTTTCTCTCAAAGTATGTCGATGAGTCGACAGTGTATCGTCGTCGATCGCAATCGGAGGACGATAATCCACCATCGCCAATTGCAATGGAAGAGACTCAGGGTGGACCGACATCTGTGGGTGGATCTTCACCATTTCTGGGCTTGAGAGGTCCACAGAGTCCGCGGGATGCGGGATTACGCTTCGCTCCGCCCATAACACCGCCATCGAGCTCAAATCCACACACACCGGCGAGTCCGCACGCATTGGGACACCCGAATTTCAGTATGACATCACCACCGGCCCCGCATTTGCCTCATCCATCACCCAGTGGCATAATGCCGTCGTCGCCACTCAACACACAGCCCAGTCCAATGGCACACTCGCCGGGACCTAATAGCCTGTCGTACATGCAACAGGGTCACACCACGGACGGCAGTCCATTTCCCACTTTGTCTCCAGGAGCATCGAATTGGCCAGGATCGCCTAGTATGCCACGGCCGTCGCCACGCTCAGGCCAGAGTCCTGATCACAAGACTCAGCAGCCAACGACTCATCTGTCTCGAGTTCTACCAGCTCGATCGTGGGCAGGTGCTGTTCCTACACTTCTCACCCACGAAGCTCTCGATACACTCTGTCGGCCATGTCCGCATCCGCAAAAAGAGATTCCAGGCCCAGAACTGAGTCCTATTGAGAGATTCCTGGGATGTGTGTACATGAGACGGCATTTGCAGCGTTTCATTCAGAATGAGGTGAGTTATAAAGCATTACATATATCTGGAGTGACTTAATGTTGTGCACTTGTTTGCAGATGACACAACTGCCAACCAACGAGCCTGGCGTTGTATTCTTTAAGGCTGACGGATTGCAGTGTCAAGTGTTTCTCAATCATGCACACATGCAATCGCTTCACATGAAGGTGAGCCAAATACAAAATGTTGGCTCACCGGAAGTGCATCAATGGAGTCAAGAGGAGCTTCAGGTGATCGAGCAGTTCTTTGAATTGCGCGTAGCGGCTCCTCCGTATCGGCCGAATGCTTTGTGTGCCTTTGCGAGGATGATCAATGTCAATATACCGCGTGTTCTGAAGGACTTCATACAGATCATGCGGCTGGAATTGATGCCGGAACTCGTTCAGGGTCTCAAGTGGAATGTACAGTTTTGTCTACGTGTTCCACCTTCGGCAATGCCAATTGTCCCCACTGGAATGCCGGCTGTTTTGCCATTTAGAGGAAAGATTCTCTTCTTTGTGAGTGTGGTTTTGTTGCTTTTGTGGATGATTTTTTTTTTGACGATCTGGTTTTTTTCTTATCTTTGTAGTTGCAAATCACACGAATTCCGTACATGCAGGGAATGGATTGGAAAGATTGTTTGTCACTGGTTTTGCCAATGGTGTACGATACGAGTACGAATAGTACGCAATTGGCGGAGCGTCGTGAGCAAGTGCAATCCGTGGCGATGGGCGCCGTGAGTCATCAGTTGAAGAGATTTGCGGAATATGCTGTAGTGCAGCCGAATGAGTGCTCACTGTTTCCGGCTGTTCGTGACCTGCTGGCCAATTTGATGCTTCCCACAGAGCCGCAGTTGCCGCCACAGATGCAAAATCAGATTGTACCCTCGCCCGTGGGCCCCGTCGGCACGAGTCCCAGTCAGATGATGCACTCACCCATGCAATCTATGCCTCAAGGTGGACCGCCAGCTGGAGCATACAACATGGTTCCGCCTGGCGGGCCCAACTAGCACATAATGTACCACAATCCCTACAATCCTAATGCGAATTATGGCAGAAATTCTCCTTGGAGAAGCTTTGAGAGGATGTGAGAGATGTAAAGTACACTTCAATGAGCATGTCTAAGCATAAACATAAATTAATGAGTAGAATAAAATACATGGTGTCCAACATTTTTACTCACTTTATTTTCTTCATAATCAATTTCCCATTATAAAGCATATAAAATTCTTTCAATATTGGTTTCAAAATGATAACAAAAAACCCCCCGTGAATATGTATTTACTTAAAGCCAGAATCCAACTACTTATTGGTTAACATGTTACCTGTAAACTTTCACAGATTATCATCTTACGTTTGCTGTACACAAAACTGCACTCACTCTTTAGAAGAATGATCATGGAAGACGAGAAACATCAAATCGTACAGCCTTTGTCTGTAAGTTAATTACTTTACAATCTTCTTTTCATTAATACTACGCCCCTCAAAAAGCACTGCCTAATAATATCAAAAATCTCTCTTCACCGATTATACATGCTCGTCAAACTTTTCTCTCACTATTCATTGGTAGTATTTGGTAAAACATATTTTAAGGTCTTCTTATAAAAGATTTCACAGCGAAGTTTCTTTTTCAAATTATTGATTTCAATCTATCACATCCAGAATGTCAGGTTCGTCCATTGGCTCTGTCAGCATGACCGAATAGCGAATCTTCTTATTCCTCAGGTAACTGTACGTGTTGTCGAACACGACGAAATCTGAGAACGAGTAATTAAGAGAAAAGTAAAATTAGTATGGAAGACAGAGAGAGAGAGTGAAAAAAACGGGTAAATGACGCACATTTACAATTAGGATGGCATGAGATGAAGCCCACTTCATCGAGTTGATGCGACGCGACGCGCTTCAGTGGAACTTCCTCCACAATCTCTCCAGTTTTCTCATTCTTGCACTTTATGCCAAACTTAATATCGTGCTCGTATGTTCGGAATTCCCACTTGAGGAGGCATCCAATATCTTTGCAATCGAACTCCATCTTGAGCTTTCCACCTTTGCGAATTGTCGTTTCGCTGAAGTCATTGTTGTTCTCATCGTCATTTTTACTATAGATCGCTTCTGGTACTTTTCCACCCCACATGATGAATTCCTGGCATTTGGGATCACCCTTGCTGTCCACCATCGTTCCACCGTAGTGTTTCAGTAGGCTTGCTTCGTCTATACGCTCAAGGATCGCGGGTAACCATTTTTGCGGATCTGCCTTGTAGATGTTAATCTTACTCATAGTGTACTCATCAAGAAACTTTCGCACCATATTGAAGACGAAGGCAAAGACTTTTGGTGCATTTATAATGTAGCAGTATTTGAGGATTTCCGGATAATTAGCCTCATACATTTTGATGAGTTGAATAACAGCTTCCTGGAAATAAGAAAGCACCGTGATAGAGACACCTAATGGGGCGGGGCTTTCGAAAGGGCGGAGTTTGCGAAGATACTCACCGCTGCAGGGCGCCACATGTATTGCTTCACATTGAATCCTTCCATATCGAAGAGAACTACCAATTGACGCGCATTGTTGCCATGTTCGAGGCTCTGCTTGTAGGCAAGTTGAAGGTATTTCTCCAGATACTGTATCGTCACCCGAATTAGATCGCCTTGAGAAACTGTGTGAAGAATTCCCCACATGTCCAGAGGTCCGAAAGGCACCACAATGACTGCAAGTGAGAGTCTGTTAGCCAAATTCTTCCAGGACAATTTAATTTAACATACAAGGCGCTCCTTCCTTGTCATATCCTGCCAATCCATGGACGAGATAGTCTAAAAGTGGTTGAGGAGTTTTCCAATTTTCTATTTTATCCACGCCCCATCTTTCGCGCCATTTCACACTCTGTTAAATAAAATAAACACGTGAATGACAAGCAAATTAGAGTCTCTAAAACTGGTTCTTACATTTCTCAGCATTTTTTCCGCTGCATCGGGATTCCAGTTTCTTGCTGAAATTTTTAGGAAAGAAACAAATTTGGCAATTGTGATATGAAATGAAAATGAAAACAAATAGCTATACAAACCTCGAAGCCATCGAAGCAGGTAATAATCGTCGTGTTCTGGTTTCAATACATCCGCCACACTTCGGCGAAACTGAAACGATAGCAAAAAAAAAGGGTAAAAGACAATCAACAAGGGAAAAGTTTATTGTGTGCGAGAAATACTTAATTGAATTGCTCTTTTGAGCACAATGTTGACCAATCTCGAGTTTCATGAGATTGAATTGAGGGAAAAAGTTAATGCTGGAAAAAATGTGATCTACGCTAACATTCTCCAATTTATTGCAATGATCGAGCATTTGAGGTGAAAACTTGAATGAGTTCTATGCAAAATCAGGCGAGGAACGTCGCATTTCACGCAAAAACCTCCCGATTCACTTCAGACAAAGCAACTGATGTACTGTAATTTGGATTCTGCCGGAACTAATTTGCAATATTGAATTGGTTATTAAGTATGACGTTCGTCATATACAGTGTCGCCTTCCTTTGCGCCTTTACCTTTCTATCTTTCTATTCCACACACTAAAAAAGAATGTTTCATAATGGCTTGTTTTTAATTGCGAGTATGTTTTTGCATACATTGTCCTTGAAAGTATTAAGCCTTTGCCATTTCGCCATCCTATCTAGCTTTCACTTTATAGAGACATGCTTTTGTGTGTCTCATGAGCGGGAATGTCAACGTAATTTTTGCTATTGATAGATCTCTCTTTGCTGTGCAAGAAGAATGCTATTGAAGAAGAATGACTAGCGCTAATGCGATCGGCCAGACATTCAAGGGGAGATTATCTACAGAATGTGGTACTTGTCCTGCACATAAATTTGTTAGGGTAGAGGAGGGCACCACAGAATGGATAGCAAATTCTGTATCGTTCAGCTGAGCCATTCTAGGCTTAAAGCTTGATTTTTGTGCTTTTCTGTTACCCAAATTCACTAGTCGATATTGAAATTCTTAAACTACCCTGCCTTCCCCTACATTGTATATAAAAATAATTGAATCACTTGAATTACTTTAGATCATAGAATATTCATATCGCTTTATTTCCTTATAAACAAGTGAATGTATTGCGAATCTCTAATCTAGATATATGCACATATAGAGGCAATAAAATTCTTCGTGTTATTTCCTCCTTGCTTGTGTGTGATTGACTTTCAGTGGAGAAACTTGAACCTCCTCCGCGTCAAACTAATTGAGCTTTCAAAATGTAATTTTTTCGTGTGTCCAAGGATTGTCACATTAATTAATGATCCGTTGAAAAGAAGTGGCAATGAAGCCTTCAAATATATCAAATTTAACATCTAATTTTCTTTATGATTAAAAGTATATCTTTGGCAACCTCACTCTAGTCACGTAAATCACAAAGACTTTAGCATATAATTATGGACTTAATTGAAGAAAATAGGCTAGAGGTGAATAAAAAGCGACAAAATGACTGGAGAAATACTGCTACTGCTAATTAAACTTGACTTTGAAATCCTTTGGAGATAATTTCCATTTTGAGGGCCATCTTTGCTGTCGCTTTTTTTCCCCATGCGCAACGATGCACAAGATATAGATTGTAGAAACTTGAGTGAGAGTAATTAAAAGGTAGAAGTGATATTATTACTATACAATAGCTTAATGGTGTGTGGGATAAAAAGGCACACACTCTGTGCAATCCAATGAATTCACGGAAGCACCACGACCACGAGTCTCGCCTTCATTGCAAATTCTAATGTTTCACCATCTCTGAGTAACTATAGTGATAAATATCTAGCGTAATTATGTGTCGTTTTCTGCAATTTTCTTCAGTTATAGAACGTTTGTGCTTTTTTTTATATTACAATTGATATTTCTCTGCTTTTTTTTCTGCAGTCTGACGTTGAAATACTAATATTTTATATCATGTATTTCTGCATATACACTTTGTGAGCATACACAGCTCATATACATGATGAGTTGTTGTAGATAAAATCATGTGAACAATTACAAGTGAGATGTTTTACAGCAGTGAAACATGAATTTTGTTAGGCAAAAAATTACAGAGACGAATTTTGCTGTAGCGTTTTGTGTGGAAATTCGTGAACAAGTGCTGGACTTTTCGTCATCAAATTTCAACATTTATGTCTTGCCTCTCTTAAGACGAGCAATTAAAGCGGGAAAGCATAGCTGACAGAGGCACATTGCGCCACTGAAAGACCTTGATTGCTGGAGAGATGCGATTTTAGAGGCTATATATTTCTTTCTGCCGCATACTAAAAACCAACACTTGCACAGCAACAAATTGAATGAAAATTTCACAAATGATTTACTCTCTTCGTCTTTGATTGGGATTTTAGCAGCAGCTTTGCACTCAATTGACATTTTGAAGTGATTTTTTGTAATCTTAAAGGGCATTTGCCTGACTTCTTGTTATGCTTCATAATAAAAACATAACACATTTGATTTTCTGTTTGTTGTCCAAAAAGTCACCAGAAAGCGATTTGAAATGATCAAGCTTTCAAAAAATTCGAAATTCATATTTTCATCTTGTGCAAAAAATCCCACTTTCTCAGATTTATTCTCTTGCAACGGTTTATTCGCAGATATTCCAAATTGTTCTCTAAGAAATTGTTAACTTTGTGTGATGCAGAAAGAATGCTGATGCTAATGTGGGAATTTCCATAACGTTTATTAAGTTACTGAGCGACCTTGAGAGGGGATATTAAGAAAAAATTGCCTTTTTGTTCTTACTTAGTAGCTGGAGTATACTTTTTTATAAAACGGTTACAGATCTGTGCACAATGACATTTGATGTTCTCTTTGCTGTATTTGTAATGGCCTCACAGTGATTTTTTAAAGTCCATGATCTAGTTTTTACCTTCATGAGTGCAAATTTTTGATCATCTTGCAGAAGAGATGATCGCGATGCCATGATGATGAGGTGTTGCCGAAAATCTGTTGTTCAGTGTTGTAAATCCGTATGTGTGTTTCGTGAATATTAATCGATTTTTGGTATCACAAAAACTCCACAGACACAATAAAAGACTCAGAAAAGACTGAATTGCTTAATGACTCAGGAAGATCACATAGAGTTAGAAGCACTTTAATTTTATAAGGTGGAACAAAGGGTAAACGAAATATGAGATATTTTGATGATAAAAGCACGCAGAGTGATAAGATGGACACACACTTTCACAAATAGAGAGAGAGAAGAAAGAAACTTTGTGGCACACGGTTTTTTTTTCCTCGGTATATTCGAAAATTTATTGTATACACTCTTTCTCAGATTTGTGTCCAAGTAAGACGAGATGATTTGTTCAACTGAATCACTCACATTGAAATGATCGGCTCGCGCTTCCACCTTCCCACCACCTTTTCCCGAGAACTTTCCGATCAGCTCCCAAGCGCGAACTCTCACGTTGAACTCGCGCTGCGTGGAGGAATATTTGTTTACAAGCAATAACACAACATTACTGAGAAAAGAGTGAAGATGCAAAGAGTATCATTCTGTCTGAGAAATTTCTTACACTTTTCACTACAGCAACTGCTGGAGAGTCTCTTTGTATTTGCACTGCACAACAATTGATTATGCAATTGTGGAGATGAATAATTTGGTGTCTCTCCAACACTGGTAATTTACACACAGTAAAAACAGACAAATTATTAGCAACGCGAATGTAATCATTTTAATTGTGAATCTCACATCTTCAGCACTCATTTGAAATGCGCGATAGGAAAAGTCTTTTAATTGCAAATTAATCACTAATTGATGGGATGTGAAAAATGGTAAAGTAAATAAATAGGCATTTATTTTTATTAATTATATAGCCTTGATCAAAATTTGAAGGAAATGCCCATAGTTCAGTGTTTTATTTTTGAACATTTGCATGAATAAAAGGCCACTTCCATAAATTATCCGCCAGTAAAAGCGAATTTTGATATTAATAAATGAATGTGGCACAAATGCTACTAATATTTCTCGGGAAATTTTAAGTCACTCTTCGCCTTATCTTATCAATCAATGCGAATTCGCCCTTGATAGAGTAGAATATCTTGACCAACAAAGCCAGGCCAAAAAAAACGAATTAAACATCTTTTGCTAAGTAATTTTATTTGATTTTCCAACGCAAACAATAGACTTTATTCAAGTAGTTTCCTCTTGACTCAGAGCTCCAGATTACTGTTAATGGGCTGCTCATGTAATGACAGTGGGTGCATTGCGACCTGTAAATTGGGCCAACTTTGAGATTTGGAGTGCGATCTCGATGAGTGGCTTCAGCATGTCACTGGCGAGACCGAGGACGTTTTCACGTTCGTATGAGTCAATGTACAATCGAACAGTGGCGCCAGAACTTCCTGTTCCGCTCAGTCGCATCACAATGCGACTTCCATCGGCGAAAACCACTCGCAAACCTTGTTTGGTGGCCAGGGATTTATCAATGGGATCGCTGTAGCTGAAATTGTCCGCCACTTTGACCACGTAACTCTTGCTGCCACTCTGAAACTGTTGACCAACAAAGGCAGGATCCGTTATAAGTTTTTCCATCTCCTCCATCATTGTGTTGCACTTTCCGGCATCGCACTCCTCGTAATCATAGCGGGTGAAGTAGTTGCGACCATAAGATGCCCAGTGAGCCTTCAGGATGTCCTCAACACCCTTTCCCGTGTGCTCCATGACTGAGAGCCAGGCCAGGAGGGCCCAAATGCCATCCTTCTCGCGTATATGATTGGATCCTGTCCCGAAACTCTCTTCACCACAGAGACATAGACGATTGGCATCCATAAGATTCCCAAAATACTTCCATCCAGTCGGAACTTCAAAGATTTCCTTATTAAGCTTCTTTGCCACTCTGTACAGGAATAAATAGAGAACATAATAAATCTATATGGTCATTATGGTAAAAATATATAGAGGTTCGACGAGTTAAAGCATTTGAAGTGAATGGTGAGAATTAGTGATTGACATACTCACAAGTCCACTGCTGATGCTGTTGGCATACTTCTGGCCAGACCAGTGACACCATTTTTACGAAAGTATGGAATTGCTTCGAGGTAGTGGGCGATTACTGCCAGAGAATCACTGGGAGTTACAAAAAATGCATTCCTTCCAATTATCATATTTCTGTCCTGCAATGAGAGGAAATGCAAAAGTGAAAAGACAAATGCCAGAGTTAGAGAGAGAGAGAGAGATAAACTTACACCATCGCCATCAAATGCAGCACCAATGTCATAATCTCCACTTCTTACAGTGTCCACCAGATCCTTGGCATAGGTGAGATTGGGATCCGGATGCAAACCACCGAAGTCTTCAAGAGGAGTTGTGTGGACCACACTTTCCGGCGTAGCGCCAAGGCAGTTGAGGAAGATCTCGCGGACGTAGTCTCCAGTCACGCCATTCATTGCGTCAATTCTCATCTTAAGAGGCTTCCCAGTGACTTTCCCAGTCACCAAATTGCGAAGCTTCTCGAAATCAAAGATATCTCGCATTAGAGCGACATAATTGGCCACAGAATCCACAACGTCCACAGTGAAGGTCTTCTCAGCGATTTGGTAAGTGTTTGTAGCAATTTTTGATAGATCAATTTGGAGTTGCTCCACAATTTTGTACGACGAAATGGCAGTGGAGAGCTTGTAAATGGCATTGGTGACACTGTCGGGAGCTGGACCACCGTTCTCACAGTTGAACTTAATGCCGAAATCATTGTCTGGACCACCAGGATTGTGTGAGGCTGTCAGCACAATGCCACCCAGAGCTTTGTTGGAGCGAATGAGACTCGAGACGGCCGGCGTTGAGAGTATTCCATTCTGGCCAACGATGAGGCGAGACACTCCATTAGCGGCACAAATCCTAACGATAATCTCACAGGCTTGCCGACAATAATATCGTCCATCGCCTCCAAGAACGAGTGTTGAGCCTTCAATTGCCTTCCCATTGGCATCCAAAATGCACTGCACGAAGTTTTCAGTGTAGTTTTTCTCAGTGAAGACTTTGACCTGTTGATTCAGGGCATTGTTTCAGTACAATTCCACATGACATCAAGTGTATCTCACCTTCTTCCTCAAGCCACTCGTGCCCGGCTTTTGTCCCTCAAACGGAGTAGTTGCAATTGTAGACAGTGTAAGAGCCATTCTTTTACCCTCTTGAGCACAGTTGCACTTGATGACAAGCAAATTCTCCAGAACAGTGTTCAATGAAAGGCAACTTTACAAAATTCACTGTGGATCTCTTGAAAACCGTTCAGAAAATGATAAAGAGATTATCCCAACACTGAGATAATGTTGAATAGGTCAGTGAAGGTCAAAATAGTCAAACGATGCAACTGAATGGTTATCAATGAAATAGTTGCATGGAAAATATTAGTCTGATGCGATTAACACACTTGAAATTTCGAACTATGTAGTTAGTTTTGCTTATGCTTAACTGGGATTTTGGGGATGAACTTGGAAGTGACTTCCAACGAGATTAGAAGAATTTAGTATCCTTATATTTGGGGAAATTAGAGAACTTTTTGTTGTTTTAATTGTTAACTTTTGAGTGGTCTAACCAGACCTGTACTTTTCTAATTCGTGTTCCCCTCACATCTTTTCCTCTTGCAATGATAATGGATTTCTCGTTCAATCACACAAGGAATGAAAAGCTCAATTTTGCATGTTCGGAAGTGTTGCTTGTGATTTACGGAAGGGGGCGCGCTGGTCGAACAAATCATCAACACGTCATTTGGTGAGTGCCACTTTTTCATTGAAGTACGCACACAAGTGAGGGATTTCTAGGCAACGTGTCACCGGTCTGGCCAAGCAAAATATTCTCTTCTCCTGGAAGTCTTCACAAGGCCTGCTAGATTAAGGAAAAGTATGTATTTACGCTTTGTTGTCCTGTGAGAGATTGTGATTATTTTGTGATTTGCAGATGATCTCCAAAAGTTTGCTAGTTTTTGTGGTCATTGGCATTGCTGCTGCTTTGGCGGAGGAGGACTCGAATGCTCGCCTGCTAGTGTCCAAGCAAATCCTGAACAAATATCTGGTTGAGAACAAGGACGTCGTGGTGAAATACACACTCTTCAATGTTGGCAATGGAGCCGCGGTGAATGTGCAACTCACAGATCATGGATTCCATCCGGAAGCATTCGATATTGCTGGAGGACAGCTCAGGGCACATTTCGATCGCATTGCACCGCAGACGAATGTGACACACATTGTTGTGGTCAGGCCCAAATCCTTTGGATACTACAACTTCACTGCCGCTGAAGTTACGTACAAAATCAACGAGGACTCAAATGTGGTGAGTAAATCGCACTTTTTCTCACTCTCCCTAAGAGGATTCTTCAAGACAAACAATTTCTTTATTGCTCCAGATTCAGGAATCGATCACTTCCGAGCCAGGCGAGGGTGGTATTGTGGCTCTGGTGGACTTCAACAAGAGGTTCTCCTCGCACTTCTTCGACTGGGCAGCTTTTATTGTGATGATTCTGCCTTCACTGGTGATTCCATTCGGATTGTGGCACTCTTCCAAGTCGAAATATGAGAAATTCGCCAAACCATCAAAGAAGGGACACTAAAGAGATTTGGATTTTTCCCAAACATCATTCATCCCACTTACTTTCTTCATCTGAACATCGCGCACTGAGTGAGGAAGAGATTTAAGGAAATCAAATCCTTTTGTGTACCAAGAAGAATGAAGAAAAGGCTGAGATTTCCACAGATGATTTTATTGTTTTATTTGCTTTCTACACCAACACTATTCCGGAAAATCCATGCAAATTAATCACGAAAAGATTGCAATTTTCATATATATACGCTTTTCTAACAAAACCAAGTCTATAAACTGATTTAAAATGAAAACTGAAAAATTTTCATTAGCTAGAAGTTGTCTCTAAAACTTATAACAGACGGTTTACTTTCTTTGGTATAATTAATCAATACACTTGAAATGTGCATAGAGTTCATTATTTCGCTAATCTCGCTACTTTCGATGTGTCTCCATTCCTATTTTCATCAAAGTTTCATGTTCTTATCAATTTACCAAGATTTTCAGCTATTTTATGTACAATTACTTATATAGGAACTCAACAGCATACATAAGCCAGACATTTTGTCCTTTGAGATCAAATGAAATGAGATTTTTGTACGACCAAATTAGATTAGAAATCAGGAAAAATATCCTTTATCACACACATTTGGTGTTGTAACTCTTGACTTTCTCGGGAATAGCGGCTTTCTCCACTGGCACCATTACGCACAGGTCCTCTAGGTTCTTCACATAGATGAGTTTGCGCCAGAACTTGGAGCTTATGAACGGGCGTGACATAAGAACGAGCGATTTAAGCCAGAATGTCGGATGAACCATGTAAAGAGTTTTGAGTCTCTTCCTCAGACGCCTATCGAGGAGTTGGTAGCACCTGTAAAATGAGCAGGACATGCAAGAGGGAAAGACAAGAGGCTGTGCTCAATATACTTACTTTCTCAGCCAATGAAAAGGAGGAACATTGCTTCGGCAAGAACCGCCATGAAGATAGACCATCACGTAATCGTCCGTTATCAGTTGTTCAAGGGTCTGAACCACGTACCTATAAGAACGAGGTGTTAATGCCAGATACACAGAATCCTGGTAGCGACTTACAAGAACAAGCTATCCATGACGTAGTGATAGTCAGTTCTCGATCTATCTGGAAGATAGCAAGCACTGAAGACAATGATGGCATTCTGTCCGGCAGTCTTAAGGTATCCACCGTGCGAAAGGACTCTCTTGTATGGTTCAATTACTTTCATATCAATCTCACGGGTTCTTCCATCTGGAAGGACGATTTTTTGCTTGGAAGGATCAATCGGATCCTCCCTTCCAACGCATTCATCGTCATCGTTGAAGATATTATTGTCAAACAGCGAACTCACGGGACTCCCGGACAGGACATTGGGATCAAAAGCATCGTCAAAGCTGCGATTTGAGAGTGACTCAACGGACGACACATCTGAAAGCAGATCCGATGGCACTAATACTTTTCTCTGGCTTCGCTGGTCATTGGATGTTGTTGCCATCCGCGAGACGAGTGCCACGGACTGAAAGGACGGCGTCACAGAGGCGTGATATTGCGATAAGTCCTGCTCAGATCCACTGCTTGCCATTCTGTCGGGACTCAAGTCCTTAGACACTTTCTTCCGTCCACAGGGATTGTCCACAATGTCGAGGCTGCTCAGTTTTGCTGTTAGCGTGGAGTTGACTTTCCTTTCCCATAAGGAGGCCTTATTTGGAGTAGATGTGTGCGGCGTCTTGAGTCGCTGGGTGGTCTCTTTGGCCGGCACGACGTCCGGGAAAGCAAACTTGGAGGGGGACTTGTGACCATTTTCCGAGTCACTGTCCGTGATGACGGGCGACATCAAAGGATGACTGTTGGTGAGTGTGAGGCCACTTCTAGTGCTAGAGTTCCCCTCACTGACTATTGCTGTACAAGGCTGGTGGAATGTGTTTCCATCATCGTCTGGAGATGTGATCCCTGGAGATTCCTGAGATTGGGATGTCGTCTCTGACGAAATGTCCATTTTCGCTTCCGCGAATCCTGGGCTGTCGAGATTCTGGCTGTAATACAGAAGTATATCACAAGTAGATGCAATGCTAAAATGCATTTGCTGAATTAGGGAAGAATACCTCATAAATATTTTACTGCTGCAAATTGTGTGAAGAATTCATTTCAATGAATTTGGAATATTATTATCACTACAAAACTAGTGAGTGACAGAGTGTTATTGGAAGGAAGGACCAGAAGGATGAAAAAGGACCTAAAATCCCAGCTGGCAAAAACTTCCTTCATCCGAATCTAACATCACATAAAAATAATTATTAACGAATATTGATTAGAGATTAAATCCTACTTTGTCTTTAAAAATATTCTTTGTAAAAAAAAATACATTCCATTAGAAAATTGGGAAATCTTTTACTGCAACTGCTCCGATATATTTTTCACTCAAAATCCTTTGAGAATTACTACTTCTCAGTTGTATGATATTGTTCATGTTCAACTGGGAAAGACATCCAAAAATACACTTGACAGCCAAAAGCGAACTTCGAAATTGTAGAGTCGCACTGATACGTACGAGACGCGTTTTTGGGTGAAGAAAATTTAATTAATACAACAGTTCCTGTTTAGAAATGAACAATTCTGAGGAAAGTGCGTGTAATGCTGAAGAAATAACTAAAACTGTGACGAATATAAAAGACAAGGACGATGAATTAGGGCCAGAACAGCGGTGAGTTTTTGTGGTATGTTTTCATTGTGAATTCATACAGTGGGAGCCAAAAGTGAGTAACTTTTCGATGAATGAAATATAAAAAATATTTTTGCAGGTGCATGACGTTGAGGAACAAGAAACGCTGTATTTCCCCCGATTCATCAGGCAGTGAGGATGACGATAAGGATAGTGACGAGAGAGATGCTCATGACAGGAAGAATAGCAAGAAGACATTGAGTAAGAAGGTGAAATCACACGAGGATGGCCGGAAGAATCCTTCACTTCCTCTGCTGCATTGCTACATTTGCCAGAAATCCTATACGAAAGCCTATCCCCTGTCGAAGCACCTCGATGAGCACTATAGTAATCGAAAGGTGACACACGAAAATCCGTGTCCTTGTTCGCAATGTGGAAAAATATTTACAACCCAGAAATTCTTAGAATGCCACAAAATTTGCCACAAAGTTGAGAAGCTATATGATTGCAGAGTATGCAGCAGAAGATTTTCTACGGCAAAAATACTGCGTCTCCACCGTGAGTATCATGCAAAGGAGAAGAAGTACAATTGTGAGGTTTGCAGTGAGAGCTTTCGCTTTCAAAATGCCTTTATTATCCACGTGGAGAAACACATTGAGAGATTGCCACTGCCTCAGGAACTCCTGGATCTCCATGTAATTCCGGCGATTGATGATAGTTGTCAAGCACCGCCTGGAGTGAATCAGGATCTCATGAATGGTGGAATTCTGTACAAGTGCAGTCAGTGTCCACAAAAGTTTGCCACAGTGAATGAGAGACGCAATCACCAGAGCCGCGAACATCCCAAGATTCACACTTGCGAGTATTGTGGCAAGGAATTGAGAAGCTCTTTCAGCTATCGCCTGCATCTGGTGTCGCATACAAAGGAGAAGACATTCAAGTGCAAATTGTGCGGTGAAGCATTCGCCTATCCGAATCTCCTGGTGGTCCACAGAAGAGTGGCTCACGGAACTGGAGATCCGGAGAAGTTGCTACGTCCCTATCGCTGTGAGCCTTGTGGCAAGGCGTACGTGTTTAAATACGCCTTAACTGAGCACATCAACTTTGTGCACAGGGACTTGAAACTGATATGTGATCTGTGTGGGTATTCTTATGGGACGAAGGCGCGTCTCAGGCGGCACTTTAAGAGGGTGCATCTGCGGACGAAGGTGAATGAGAAGCAGAGAGCGACGTGCGCGAGAATAGTTGGCAGTAAGGCGGAGATAGGCAAGGAACGAAAGTGTCCCGAATGCGACTTTCTGGCCTACAGAATGGCAGAACTGCGGACGCATCGTATTGAGAGTCACTTCAACGGTTTGCACTGTGATGAATGTAATGTCACGATGAACAGCATTTTGACCTACCGTCAGCACGCTGAAGATCACAAGGACGGGGTAAATTGGATCAGTCTAAAATTACCTGAAATTTCTTTAACCACTCATTTTTGTCACAGATTTCGGTGGTACCGGGACCTGGGCGACACGGAAAGATCTTCGGATGCATTAGCTGTGATAAATTCTACACAGACAGGCGTTTTCTGCGCGATCACATAAATGCCCGACACAAATCCATTATATTCAAATGCGATCACTGCGATATGACGTTCCAGACCAAGAGATATTTGGTGAGACATTTATCTTTGCATCATGGCATCACCAATAAGGAGCCAATGCCCAAGAAAGTGGAAGGAATGAAGAAGAAGGCGCCGAAGAAAATGAAAATCAAGAATATTCAATCTCCAGAGATGCAATCTTTACCACCTCATATTTCTCATCAGAGTCTTACATCGTCTGTCCAAGAATACAAAGTGCTAGCTCAGACTTCAGTGCAGTCAATTGAAGGACAGCAACATTTTAAGAGGGAATCCAAAACTGAGTCCATATCTATTCCGAGTCAGACTCATATAGTATCGAGTATAGTATCGCCCGGCCATGAAATGCAGCAATTGAGGATGCTAACGCCTGTCTCAATGCAGCCAACATCGACAGTGTCTCTCGGAGGACAGCAATATTTTAAAGGCGAAGCAAATGAACAAGCACTTCAATATGTGCACTTTGGGAACATTGGTTGACTAAACAATATCAATTCCCATCAGAAATTCCTCCAGGAGCGCGAGGAAATTAAGTATATTTTATTTAAATAGTGCTTCTGGAAGACTAAATGTGCACCTAAAAATTAAATTAGACTACATAGAATGTTTCGAAATTCCATTGAAATGGAATAATAATGTATAATTTAGCAAATGTTCTACCGATTAGACTATTGTAAGAATATAGGAAACCGCGAAGAAATGTTAATTTTCTATTGAAAAATAATACATGAAAGAATTATGAAAGATAAAATATATAACTGATGTTAATGGATGTAATGCATGTTTTTTGCAGTTATCAATAAAACACAGAGAAATATTTAAACCAAAAACTCGTGTATTTCTATAGAAATAACTTGCAAAATATTTCAGTGTCAATATTGCAAGAATTCTCCTTAAATCCCAAATTTTCTTAAATTTATTTTACTAGAAAAAATGAACATTTTTCAATATGCGTAACATTCGTTTTTGGGAGGGGCTTTTTTCCATTTAACCCTCAATCTAGAGACAAGGAGTTCGTTGTGTTTTGTGCATAGCAAATTGTTTGGTTTGTTCGCAACACTTCTAAAAATATCCTCTTGTCAACGCGTTCTTAAATCAAAGGGAAGAGACGAGAGTTAAAACGACTTTTTTATGTGTTCACCTTTTTGTCAGCGTGGATTATTTTAAAGACTCAATTTATCTTTCGATGACGGCGAAATGGTGGGTCTGGCTTTTGTTTGCTGACTACCAATTCATTTTGTGCAAAATACAGGCATTTTCAATGTTATCATTCGCATGAGCTTCTTTCACGTAATCTAATGTTGAATTCCGCAAGATGGTGTCGATTTTACAAAATGCTGGAGTACTTGCGGCTGATGTAGGCCCTCGAATGATAATTGTGTCCCTTAACCGTTGAACTGAGAGTCTGAATCAATTTGCTGTCAGTTTTCTTCGCTGGAGTGTAAATTTCCAATGGCCGATGTTTGCTGAAAAGAAACACGGAATTATATTGAAAAAAAATCTTATGTTGCGAAGCGAGAGTGGAAAGTTAGAGAGGTTAAAAGAAGCAAAAGTAAGCGTAAGAAATTACAAGTTAATTAATAGAGAGAGAGAATTTGTCTTGAGAGCAGAAGAGTTGCAAAAAATTAAATCTGAGTTATTCACCTCCTAAAGTCGGACATGTATTTGTATACGTCATCAATTCTGTAAATAATGGATATTTTTTAACTAATGAGTGAGAAATCAAAGTGTTCTTAGAAGTGTTATAAACACGAAAATTACAGTGGCGCCAGAAATAATTGTACTGCTTGTTCAGATATTTATTCACATGACTAGTTATTTAAGTTAAGACATGTTTTTGAATGCCTAGTTCATAGTGAGCAAGAAATGAGAAAACATCTTTTTCCTCTCAGAACCCTCTGAGTATTGAATATTAATTCTAGTAGAGGATTTATGTATGCAGATATGTGGAAAAATCTTTCCTCATAATAAACTCGCGGAAGATATTAATCTGTTCTTTCTTTGTGGCACTCCTATTATTTCTGGCCCCACTGTTGATAAGAGAAATGTGATGTCTCTTAAATTACCACACTTAAACCAACATCTCTGTCACGAGAATGATATTCTTCTTCACGGCTGTGCCGATGATTGAGGAAATTGAGGAATGGGAGTCTAGAATTTAAGGAACAATGAGAAATGGTTGTCTGGCAGAGTGACAAAATGACTCTCAAAAGATAATAACAGCTCGAATGAGCAGCATTCTTTTCACATCTCACATTATGTAATTTTATTCTCTTGCGATTCTTGAGTTCACTATTTTTGAGTTTTCTTGTATTTTTTTTGTCGCTTTCAAGAACACCACAAAGGTGTGAGTCTCGCACTCTCGGGCAATTTATTACTTGCTTCATTGCCTGTCGTGACATTTTTCGTAATTTAATTACCAATTACGATGCGTACTTGAAAGATTTTTTTCTTCTTCTCGATCTCGCTCGTATCTTCATGGGTCGAAGTTGTTTATAATACAGTATTTTCGAGGTAAATCTATGATTTTTATACACAACTAATGTACCTCGTGTGTGTCCTGAGCACTCTTTCTGCCCACGTCTGCGGCCGTGGAACTGCTGGTTTGAGTCCTCTGTTCTTCTTGTCCAAATACTCTATTACGTCATCGTAATAGTTGGTTCGGTAGTCATACATGTAATTATACTGTAGAAACTGCGGCCTGGGGAAATCAAAGAGTGGCGCTGATTAAACAGGAAGGGGGACAGCAGTGAGAGCGGAGAAGAACACACCTAACCCAGTGCTTGTACAGCGTCACGGGCTTTCGATAATTAGCGTCATCGCCAGGCTGAGGGACTTCCGCTTCGGGTCGTGCAGTTGCTTCCGCGGCTCCTGCCTCGCCCACGGCCGGCGCTGGCGCTGCTGGCTCAGGCTGCAGGTCGCCCTCGTCGAATGCCCATGGATCCTCCTCAGCCATTTCTCACAGTCTCGTCTCGTGCCTTTGGTTCCTGAACTGTTGCCTGTTCACAAAATCCGATTCGCGCGGTGGAAAGAGTGGAAATTCATATTATACTTTATTAATTTGTTTCTTGGTTTTTGCGGTGGTGGCTTTTGCAAAGGAAAAACAGTCATAAATATTACATTATGTTTTAAATAAAAAGTAAGAAATCGCACGCGCACTAAAATAGAATCTCGCACGTAAATTTACGCATGTAAAACTGGCGCGGAAAATCAGTCCTTGGTGATATCGTTCGATAATAATCCTATTCAATATTTTGGAAATCTTCTGAAAGTAATGTTGAAAAATCTTATATGGTTGCGAGCAATTCCTTCGCCACGCAGGAAGTAAATTGATCAAGTTTCACTTTCGATCTTATTTATATATTACACATGAAGATTGAGCGAAGTGGTAAACTAAATTGAAATAGCATCCTAATAATATCTCTTCATGCACAAAAACAAGGCAAGTGTGTTGTCGATTCAACACACTTGATCGATTTCTTCGTGACCCTAAATGCGGGTTCCCTTTATGACTAATTCGCATTTCGTAAAGTGTGACTTCAGACAGAACTCTCCCTTTCATTGGCACCTTCACGAATTCACCAAAAAGCACTCACTTTCGCAAAGGAAATTCGCTGGTATTTTAATAGTTTTAATCCTCTTTCACAAAAAACAAGGTGAAACTTGATATGTGCGCCAAGTAGAATGAAATTATATAACAATTTTGCAACTTCTCATTTCAAATTGATGATGAAAGTTGACAATTTTCCATCGTTGACTGATCCTTAAATTGCGCGTGTGTCCGGAGAAAAAATAGTCTAACTTCGTATTAAAGCACAGCTATTAAAGGCACCCAATCACACACTGAAGAATACCTCTTGCCGAGCGATCGACTTGTGTTTCCTGAGGACGATGAGAAAAGACTGACTTTATTTATGAGACTCTACCGAGTGATTAGCAAGTATCACAAAGTGGAAATGCGCACACGATCCTAACAGATCATTATATTGTATTTCTAATGCTGTGAACTCAGTCTGCTGTCCAATCTCTACCCTCAATTCATGGCGATGTAGAGGTATTGGTCTCAATTCGAGCGCACATAACTAATAACAGGGTGGCGATATTGATCTAATTGTGACTGTGTAAGAGCCTAATTTACGTACCTAATTGATTATAATGATAATAATATCGTGCCAATGTACCATGTGCAAATGTTATATAATGTACATATGAACATATGTATGCTGGCAATGGGGTGCCATGTACATGATACACATAACAAGATTATATCGATACTTTATATGCATACATAAAAATGTATTTTATATATATATAGCTCCACCTGGCGAGTAATTTTTTATTTATTTTTCAATCAGTAGGAATTATACTATTTATATATGTATATAAATATACATATGTACAGTGCAGTTCATAATAATATCACAGTATTGCACGTTTGGCAAAAGATACAAATTCATTCATTTATCCAGCCAAGAAATCTGTTTAAATTAGTTTCGCTTGAAAGTCATGAGACAATGAGTTCTGTGAGAGTTCACAATAGGACGAATCAGCGATTAAATTAACAACATGATCATTATGTTAGCAATTCTATTACATTTTTCGAATCTCACTGTATGTGTTTATTTATATTTTGAAACATGGATGTATCGAATTTTAATTCGATATGTTTAGGTAAGTTTCTTTTCCATCGTTTCACACACAGAGAGAAAAAATATTCTCTGTTTTTCCCTCAGCTTTTTGAGTGGGAAAATTTTCTTAGCGTCTTCATCTTTTTTTTTAGTCAATGTTTGAAAGAAACAAGAAAAAAGTCTTATCTCATGATTTGACGATAGTCCAATATATCTTAGTCTAGGAATATTTATACAATGGTGCGTGAGAACTCAGTTGATGAAGCCTTCCCCAGCCGTTGTGCGCGCTGATTGATAAGTGTTATATTCTGCTCACTGCATTTTCACGGGGGCTTTAATTGAGAAAGCACCTTCGTGGGGCAGACGGAGAAGATCAGCAGATAGAAATAGATTCAATTAATCGATATCTTGCACTGCTCGGAAAGAGTCCTTGAAACAAAATGCTGATCTCAATTTCAGCATGATCATGAGTAATGCGTCTGATCCGATGGTTTAAAAGAAGCACAACAGGGAGGATGATCTGTTGCCAAGGAGGTGTTTCGAATTAATAAGCTTACCTATAAATTAATCAACGCTGACATCCTTATAAGCGCATGCAGTGAAATGATTGGAAGAGACTGAAACTCGCTGAACATGTATTTATTCGTGATAACCGTTATTTTGACAGAGTCACATAAGAGACATTTTATTTTATAATTTCCGGAAGGCCGATATTGCGAGAGGATGAAGCGAAATTACAATATGCATATGTTTCTTCTTTGCAAGTTCACGGCTTGACCTAGAAAGTGACTTTCTTCTCTGCTCGCATCGATGAACTCGTCAGAGCTTTCGCTGTGAATGAGCTTTCGTCGTCTGTATCGGCGAGAATCTTCTTCAGATTGGCTACCCTCCGTTCGCGGGCCGCTTGCTTCTCTGAGCGATCGAGCATCTCCGACTCGAGGTTGGCGAGACGAGCTTTCGTGGCTTTGGCGCGCTGAGCCGCGGCTGAATTGGTGGATTCTACATCTGTGATTGCGGACCATTTCGTCAAACCGCCCACATTGACGCTATCGTCTACCGAGCGTGAGACCATCTGAAATAATGCGCGTGTCCATGAATTCTAGCCACTCAATCCTGAAGGTTAATGGGATTTACCTTAAGCGCCCTACGCCTAACAGCACCGCCCACAACCTCATCATCTCCGGCCACGTCCAAGAGCTTCTCGCCCAAATCGAGCCTTCCACGACGCTTCACTGTGCTCAGTGTATCCTCGAGATCATCGTCCACGGTGGAAATGAGCTTCTTGCTCGCACGAAGTCGATTGAGTGTCGATTGAACCTGCCATAAAGGAGAAATGAGAGGATCAATGTAACAGTCTAGAACTGAATTGACTGTAAAGCCGTCTAATCTATTTTTATTCGCACAACTGCCGATTTTCTTGAGTCTTTCATCCCACATAGCTGTGGTGGCTCTATCATAAGATTATACCTCCTCGTCGAATTCATCATTGGCAGTAGGAAGTGGCCTTCCCAGCTTCAAGTCCTTAGAATCGAAAATGCCATCCTCAGCAATCACTTTCTCCGCACGACGACGTGCAGTCTTGAGATCCTCATCAAAGAAGTCGTCAATGTTGACACGGGGCTTTACATAGCGATCCGCAGATTCTGGCCTGCGAACACATAGCAAAACAAGGAAGAATTGTGAAGACTTGTGTGAATTTTCTCGCGATGAATGTCGCATTTGACTAGCTCACACCCTTTCCACACACCAAAAAATCTTTAAATAAATCCAATGACGCAAATTTGCGCCGAACACTTTCGTGATCTAAGCAGTATAGTTTACAAGCTAACACATTGGACTTCCTTGCACACACTTTCTTCTGTGCGTTTCTGTTTTTGTGAAGCATCCATTTATTTTCTAGGCTTCACGCCAGTGTCGAACGGGGTGCATTTTTCACATTCATTTCGCTCACCTTCCAAATCTTTTATTGTCCAATTTGTCAATTGTAGGCCGATAATAGCTCTGGCCAATATTGTAGTTGCAATCATAGAGACGAGTTCTCCTAGGACGTCCTGCCATTATCTCCGTGTTCGCTCCTGATTCGAAATGTAAAACAAAAACAGGATTAGTCTTCTTTCACAAATCTATATGAGAATTTTGTGGATCATATGCAAGAAATCCCCATTTTTTGTACATAGTTTTAGAAAACATTATCATGTAATATAATATGTGATGAGTTTATTTACTTACAAATTTGGTGCGAACTTGGGAAATATGAATTTAAGTATATTTGCAAGAGAGTATTTAAAAATCAGGTGGAAAACACCTGAAAGTCAGCTTGAAAGTAAAAAGAGTTTTGCACGAAAGTATTTGAGAAAACATTATTCGAAATATGAATACCAATTACTACACAATCATAAATCACGTGTTAATTAATCTAATTACAAAATCATTTAAAAATGTTTTCATAAAATCATAGCGTGTATTTCCGACGATAAATTCAGTTAAGAAATATTACAGTCACAATCTAATATTAACTTTCTTATATCAATCGTGTGTACGAAATGATGGTGAGTAATAATATGAAGACGTGTGTGTTAAGAAAGTTCTACGAAAAACTGAAATTTAAATCCTTTTATCCTTCTTTATGAAATCATTGTACAGAAAATAAACTGGTTTTATCATTCAAATACCACAGTCACAGTGAAGACAGCAATAATAATGCGAGACGTATATTTACTTAAACAGATTAAAATTGGATGGATGGCACGAGGACACTAGAAACATTTTTAGTTGCTTTAAAGAATTACATATACAATCTATTAAAATAAGGCACACGTTTTTTTGTGGCTATTTATTCACTGGCTAACCTTGCGGAAAATGATGGTTCATTCGCTTGAGTTTCTATAAAATAATGTTCAGGGTTTTATCATAATTCTGTCCGTTTTTTCAACAATTATATTTGAGCGTATTTTTTTCTGTGAAACTCTGTTATTTATTCGTGTCCAGTCCAAGAGATAATTCATTGGTTTTAGTCGCCGTATTGACGGACCGAAGAAAGCCAAAATACAGTAGAAATCTTTCGAAGAAAGAAATGATATGATGAAAATAGAAATGCATTCATTGAACCATATATGCACATATGTAATGTGGCATTGTACATAATCTACAGGTACATAATATCTCCTTACAGCCACACGCTGAAGAAAATGAAGACGAAAACACAGATATTCTGCACAAAAGCTCTGCGCATAATTCTAAATCACTTTGCAATGACTTTCACTCGTGATAAACCACTATTGCTAAATGGGAATTCATGTGGTTAATTGCTGATTCTCAAGGTGGCCCCGCGATTTTTTTTTAAACGCTCTTCATGCGCCACTGTAATCACTGTTCATGAGATTCCACGACAAATTTTCTGGCATATTTTATATCCCATCTCAATCGGTACACGTTGTATTTATACATAAGTATGAAGAAATGAGGAGTCTTTTGTGCTCGCGAACACCATTACTGCAAGAACTATTTCTAGCTTGCCACACAGTGATTCACATAAGAAAATCTAGATCACACTGTCTATATAAATAAGATAGAAGAATTAGTGATCTAATCGATAATTGAAATTGCGTCACAGGAAGTTTGATTGCCAAGTGAGGTGTAAAAGAATGAGGAAAAAAATATCGACGGGGATCAGAAATAGTTTCAATGAATCTGCTTCAGTTATATAATTTCAGCCATTGGCGATTTCTCGAATCACTCACCTAGAGAATGGTTGTACTTTATTGGTTGAGAAGAAGGGTGACTTCTTCGATTAATATTCCACACAAATGACGACTCGTTCTCTCTTCACTTGATCACACTGATTTTTCCTCAATTGTAACAAGGCGACTTTACTTGTGTGCTCGTTGAGCCAATCCTCCGGAGGAACAAAAGGAAATGCGACCTGAGTTGTTTCTCCACACACATACGACAGGCCAAAAATGAGCTTTCCCCAATTTTCACTCACGCACGAGTGCGCAAGAGATTTTCTACATTTTCCCTGCGCAAACGCAAACACTTCTAATGCGTGAGAGAGTGAGAAACATATAGAGTTGAGGATTGAAGAAGTGGTCAAAATAAAAGTGATAATAGGGCATCTATTCTGGCATATCTTCAAATCTCGATGACGATATCAGAGATGCATAAATTGTGAGAACTTGTTTGTGCTCTTCCTGCTACCAAAATTGGCAATTTTCTCTATTATAACATTGTTTATTGGCATGAAAAGCATGAAAATTATAAATATATATGAATAAATTTATTCAGAAAGATCTTCCAAATTGATCACAAAAAGATTATGAATGAATGAATGAATGTATATTTTTAAATAAAATGAAAATGCTGACTTCGAATTCTACTTGCGAAGTAGATGCAAACTTGGAGATATTTCCTCCTTTGGAAGTTCTTAGCTGTCAAAGTAGTGAGAGTTTTCGGTGTTTATGTTTTCCCAGAGTGTGTTTTTTGTCTTAAATATCTGTGAAAATGAATCCAGAAATGAGCAGTTCTGTGCAATCGCGGAAAACAGGTCCTCACGGAACACCAGAGAGTGAATTCAGCATTGAGTGCTTCCAGAACTACTTGGCTCCGGAGGTTTTCGTGCAAGGCTTGGCGGGCATCGTCAACCAGGGCGAAGTGGAGAGGATTATCTACAACCAGAAGCAGATGTGAGTCTCTGGGGATTGTGTAAATTCCATGAAATGATTTGTGGCTTTCCCATCCAGGCTTCAGCGCTTCGAGAAGACCAATGAAATGACTCTGAATTGCAATATTCTGAGTGCGAGTCGACTGAAGAAAGCCAATGAGGACTTCAAAGAACACACAAAGCTGCTGCACGAGATGAAGAAGGATCTGGATTACATCTTCAAGAAGATCAGAACCATCAGGGGAAAGTTGACGGCTCAATATCCTCAGGCTTTTGCTGAATTAGAGCCGCAGCGAAGCAGTTTCGCCGAAGAGGCTGAAGATGAGACTGAAGGAGCGGCTGCAAAGGCAGTGGACGCAGTGGAACAGAGCTCCAAAGCTCCAGAGAAGAAGTTGTTTAGCAAGAAGTCACAGGAAGTGGAATACGTCCAGATGGAGGGATCGGATAACAATGCCAGCGGCAGTAATTTATCCACTCGCACAAGTTCTACAGATAATTCCAATGATTCCTTGTCCGACACGGGCTGAAGGATGTTGTGAGGCTTCAGCTTGCTCATTGAAGATCGCCTGTTATTCCTAGTTGTTCATTAAATTATTTATTGAAAATTTTCGCTTACGAAAAAGTATTTATATTTCTCATTTGACCTAATTGTCAAAGCTTGACAGCCCGTGCCCAGAATCTGACAGCTCAGTTTGTCTTCATTGTCAAACACGCAGCGGCACGTGGGATTGTTTTTTTGAGAATTTTCCGGGTGAAACGTGCTGAAAAATGGGTAGAAAAGTGTCCTTTAGGGAGAAACAGCCAGCTGGTCCCGGAAGAAAGGCGAAGAAGCAGGGCGATCCCGAGTTCTCGAAAGCATTTCTTGGTGAGTCAGAATTCGCTCGGTAGGCGACTTTGGATGACGCTTATTCGCTTGTTTTCTTGTCCAGGAGCCAATGATGGACCCAAAAAAGTCTCCCACAAGCAGAGGAAGAGAGCAGCAAAGCGTTTGCAGAAGGAGCAAAAGTTCCAGGGAAAGAAGGAGAAGGTTAAGGCGAAATTGAAGGAGAAGAAGATGCAATTGCTGGGCGATTCCTCGGATGAGGAAGAGAATCCAAAAGCGCTGAATGGCAAGAAGAAGCCAAATTTTGTGTCTCTGAAGCCGCCATCGTCTGATCCAGAGTCTGAGGATGAGATGGACAGTGATGAGAATGAAGATGCTGTGAAGATTGGAAATTTGGACGATGTTTCAGGGGATTCAGACTCTGAGAGAGATGACTTTGATGGTGACGACGATGAGGATCTGCTGCCAATTGAGAAGGCTACCAAGAAACTCAAGAAGAAGGCAAAGGAGGACAAGAAACTCGCTGAGGAGGAGTTGAAGCTGAACATTGCTGATCAGGAGATGGATTTTCAGCTTCCCGAAGAGGGAGCCGAAGAGGCAAAGTCACTGGATGAGGTTCAGGCGAGGATAAAGGACATCATTCGCGTGCTGGCAAACTTCAAGACACACAGACAAGAGGGAAAGTCCCGGCAGGATTATCTGGATGTGTTGAAGCGAGATTTGTGTCTGTATTACAGCTACAATGACTTTCTCATGTCCACACTCATGAACACTTTTCCCATGGCGGAACTGGTGGAGTTCCTGGAAGCCTCAGAAACGGAACGACCGCTGACCATTAGGACGAACAACCTGAAGACGCGCAGGAGGGATTTGGCGACGAAGTTGATTGATCGGGGAGTTAATCTCGATCCCATCGGGCCTTGGTCGAAGGTGGGACTCGTTATCTACTCCGCCCAAGTGCCCTTGGGCGCAACACCAGAGTACCTGGCTGGTCACTACACTATTCAGGGCGCTTCGAGTATGTTGCCCGTGATGGCTTTGGCGCCACAGGAGAATGAGAGGATCCTGGACATGTGCGCCGCTCCCGGTGGCAAAAGTTCCCACATAGCCTCATTGATGAAGAACACAGGTGTTCTGGTGGCCAACGATGCCAACAGTGAGCGCATAAAGGCAGTGATTGGAAACTTCCACCGTCTCGGCGTGGTGAATGCCATCGTGAGTTGTGAAGATGGGATAAAGTTTCCCAAGATCATGACTGGATTTGACAGAGTGCTGCTGGACGCTCCGTGCACGGGAACTGGTGTGATTGCGAAGGATGCCAGCGTGAAGGCATCGAAGTCCGAAGTGGATGTGCAGCGATGCTACAACGTCCAGCGAAAGCTCATTCTCAGCGCCATTGATTGCCTCAGTGCGAAATCCTCAAGCGGAGGCTATCTTGTCTATTCCACGTGTTCCATTCTGCCTGAGGAGAACGAGTGGGTGATTGACTACGCGCTGAAAAAGAGGAATGTGAAGCTGGTGCCGACAGGACTGGATTTCGGGGTGGAGGGATTTGTAAACTATCGCCAGCACAGATTTCATCCCTCCTTGAACCTCACGAGGCGCTACTATCCGCACACCCACAACATGGATGGCTTTTTCGTGGCGAAATTGAAGAAGTTCTCAGACACGCTTCCTTCTGCTGCGGATAGCACTGAAGTGGACGAGGAGCCCTTTGAGAATACCCTGTCAAAGGAGGATAGAAAAGAGTTGGAGAGACAGACAAAGAAGGACACTTTCGATGGGAAACATGCCAAGAAAGTCAAGAAGAAGGAAAAGAAGCACATCGTGAAAGACTTCAGCAAGGCAAATGGCAAACCTAAAAGCTTCAATGTTGCAAAAGCCGAAGTCAAAGATGTGAAAACATCCAGCAAAGGAGATGAAAAAGTGGCTCAGAAGCTAGGAAAGGCGCTGAAGAAGGGCCAGGAGAAGAACAAGGCGGCCTTCAAGAGAGATCAGATGAAATCGTTCAAGGGCCAGAAAAAGGGATTCCCCACCCGGGAAAAGCAGAAGGGCAGAAAATTTTGAATTTGATAATAAATTGTTGAATGAAACGAATCTTCCGTTTTTTAAAGTAACAATTTATTTTCTATTAAATAGGTTAATAAATTTAAAATGGTAATATTTACAAAATATAGTTCTCTCTAATATATCCATCTGTTTAAAACTCCAATTACTAGATAAAATTACTGTGCAAGTTATGCATTCAATTGTAACATCTATGTTTTTTTCTTCAAGTTTCTCAAAATAATACCCATCAATGGAGTACGCAATTTTTTCCCATCCAATGAAACATCTACACGCACTTTTTATCCCCCTATTTTTTTTTCTTCTTCTTCTTTATCCCAGTAATAATGCAGAAAATGGTAATGCTAGAGAAATAAACATATCGGGAACAAACACATTTGCTTACCCTTATCTCTTAGTTCTTCGGGGAGACGCTGATGAGCTTGTGGGATGCGACTGGGGTGATCTGTGACGATGAGAAGGAGGATTAGGGAGGTAATTTGAGAAGATAAGCGTTTGTCTACTCACCCAGAGAGAATGAGAGGTGGCCAGGATGGCGCCCTCGTCTTCCAGGGCGGGATGACTCTGTTGATCAATGTAGAGAAGTGTGTCCTTGCTGCAGGGACCCGTGCTCCTGCGCAGGGAGTCACATTTGGCAGCCGATGAGAGGAATCCAGTCGAACTGAGGCTCCGCCGCCTCTCGTAATTATCATCGAAGGCTTTCAGCCAGTTGATTCGAGACTCAGGAACTGAATTGTAAAATTTCTCCTCATCCTCCTTCACCAGGCCAACATCAGGATCGTCCAGACCTTTCAAACTCTCCACGGAGTCTTCCTTCTTCACAGCAGCACTATCCTCCTGTACTGGTGACTCTTTCTGCTCCTCCAGTGGCTTTTCCTCAATGTCCTTAGCCTCTTCCTGGACAGTATCCATTTCCTGCCTCTCAGCATCTTCCGTCACTTCAGCCTCTGTGACCAAAACTGTGCTCTCCTCTGAACTTTCCTGTGGCTTCATCTGCTCCTCCTTCACAGTTTCACTTTCTACTGGCTTCTTCACCTCAGCAGACTCCACAGATTTCTCCGCAATCTTCTTGCTCTCCTCCGCCACTGTCGACGGAGCCGTTGTGGCTGTTATGCGCGACACCCAGTGATCTCCTGACGATGAACTGCCACCTGAACACTCGGCCAGATCGATTTTTCTGCGCTGATAAAACAATATGTACGCCTCGTTGTTGATGATCTCCTCCTCGATCGCCTCGGAATTCACACGCGCCACATTCTGGTCGTCAAACATATACCACTGCTGATCGTAGGGATTCCGACAGGCAGCCGTGTAGTGGCCAGTCTCGAGAGTATCACCCTGCAAGAGAGATTAAGACAACATGTAACGGCACTTGTAACTCCACAGAGAGATAATCTCTTATCACTCTCTTTCTCTCCCCCCAAAAATGCCACTCAGATTGCGGTGCATCCAATCTGAGAGAGCAGTTCTCATCGATCCACTGACGAGGATTCCTCAGTGAAAACAAGATGGAAACGGGAAAATTTTTCGTGATTTTGGGCGGAATTATCTGTCTCTTCTTTATTGTGCCCCTCCGCAGGAGTCCACCATACTCAATACAGGGACAATTTGAACGTTTTGTGTCCGACTTTGATCGTCCTTATCGCTACCATCCGGAAGCTTATGAGAATCGCTTCTTGGTCTTTGAGGTAAGAAATCTACACATCAAGAAAAATCACTTAATCTCCGTCTCTTTCTTTCACTCGTCTTTGTTCCCTGCCAGAAATCAATGGTGAGATTGAAAACAATGAATGAAAGCCACTGGAAAAATCCCAATTTAGCCAAATACGGCGTAACAAACTTCACTGATCTCACAATTGAGGAGTTTCAAAGGAATCACTTGGGCTACCGCAGACAAAAACTCATCAATCTCTCGGAAAAATCCTCATTTGGCACTCAACGCGAAAATCTACCCAAGTCCATCGATTGGCGATCGAAGAATTATGTGACTAAAGTTAAAAATCAGGGCGCTTGTGGAGCATGTTGGGCTTACAGTGTCCTCGGCGTTGTGGAGACAATGGTGGCCAAGCGTAGGCAGAGGAGAGCTCAAGATTTGAGTATTCAGCAAATCTTTGACTGCTTCGACACCCAATACTTCGGATGTCACGGTGGGGATTTTGTGGAGCTTCTTCAGTGGACAATCGACGAAAAAATTCCCCTTATTAGGCAAGACACATACAACAGTAAATCTTCCCAAAATTGCACTTTCTCAACAATAAAAGGAGTGAAAATAAAGGATTTCACCTGCCGAAAGTGAGTAACAGGCGAATCACTTGTCTGTGAAACGAAGTAACGCATACATTTTCAGTTTCCTAGACAATGAGGATGAGATCCTCTACTTATTGGCCACTCACGGACCTCTCGTGGCCGCCATCAATGGACTCACATGGCAAAACTACCTTGGCGGCATCATTCAGCACAATTGCGACGGAGATCTCCTTCATCTCAACCACGTAGTTGAGATTGTGGGCTATAATCTCTCTCATGACACACCTCACTATATCGTACGCAATTCCTGGGGTAGGAATTTCGGCGAAGACGGCTACGTTAGAATAGCAATTGGGAAGAATTTGTGCGGCATTGCCCAACGAGTGGCAGCAATTGACATTGAGAATAGCGATGAATAAAGTGATTTCCGGGACTCACCTGATGATAGCACACAGCATAGAGATCGTATTTAGTGTCTTTTTGGCTGCCATTGATGTTCTGATCGCGGCGCTTCATCAGCTTCCACGGACTCCAGTTGTCGCCGTCATTGGGATCCAGGGAACCACTCTCGGTGGGCGATCTCGCCAGATGTGGTGACATATCAAAGCCATTCAGTGGGAACTTCACCATAGTAGTCAGCTTGGCAGCTTGTGGCTCTCTCAGCTGCTGCTGGCGGAATCTTTTGAAGTGAATCACAAGGATATCAGGCAAGGACCACAAGCCCAGCGTCTTCACCACCGGCAAGTACTTTTGACAGTGAGGGCATCGCCAGGCATCCTCAGCACTCAGCGTCTCTGCTTTTGTGTAGTGATCGAGGCACTGCTCCAGCGTCAGCATTGCACACTCCGATGATCTCTCTTTCACTTGCGCAACACTCGCGTGCTCCACAATCGGATCCGTCATGTCGCTGAAGTGTTCCTCTGGCGTCTCCCACTCCAGCATCAGCCTCACATTGGCCGGACCCGTGTCTGGCGGCACCACGGACAGCATCAGTTCAATGTTCTCCGTGAACAGTGGGTGCTCCACAGTGGACTCCAAGTACGTGTCTGGATCCACAAGAGGATCCTGCAGGCGAATCCTAAACACTCCCTCAATATTGCCATCCTTCAGTACTGGCTGCATCTCGCGAATTAGCGCTCGCTGCAGCTCCACGTGCGTGATATCTCTCTTCACGCGTACACACATAGGCGCTCCAAAGCGCTGCGCCTCCTTCTGATCCGCCTTCCTTGTGCCATTCACTGCACACAGCAACACCGTGACATCCTTCTCCTCCGCTGCCGACGCCTCTGGCATCTCAATACAGTACACCATGTCGCTGTCCGCCACCACAGAGATCGGATCGGAGTCACAGAAGACACGCGAGAAGCCTTGCTCGTTGATTTCCATCAATACCATTCGTTCCGACGCAATGCCCGTGTCCAGATGCAATTGCTCACGCAGTGTCACGAAGGGTGATCCCGGTGGAATGCCCAGACCCAGCTTCACCTGGCGCGGATGCTGCGTGGCATACAGCACCGTCACAATTACATTCTGCTGAACAATCTGTGGTAGTTGCACGGAAATGCAGTGAAAGGGATCAAAGGTGTTGCTCTGCTTGTGGCATCGTGGACATGTGAGAGAGGAGCGAAATTGAGCCTGGAACACGGCCTGCACGAAGGAATTGTTGCAGCGAATGTGATTGGCAAGCGTCTCGGCGGCTATTATCTCATCTGGTCGCCCATATGTGTTCTGCAAATAGAGTGTGGAAGACATGATTAGAAAGACCTTCAGACTGACACACTTCCGTAAGGCCACACTCGAAAATTTCATGACCTTATCTCTCAGACATAAACAAGGGTGAGATTTTATCTGACTAGGTGTACGTAAATTGCCATACAGCCTATGAAGACTATTATAATATTATTTTGTATTGATTAAGCCCCGCCCACAACTAATTTTGGGTCAAAATCGCGCTCTTTCACGAAAACATTCATCAATTAATCACCTTAATGGCCTTGTATTTCCGCTTGGTGGCCGTATTGAGATCCTCGTGCACTTTGTCCAGCAGCCAAAAGAGGAACTCCTGGGCATCATGTTGCGTTGAACTGCGAAATTGCGATCCATGACGATCGACGGCCGCCTTGAAGCTGGTGCTGTGATGAGGACTGTATCGACACGTCCACAGGGCCTTCAGAATGAGTGCCAATTGCTCGGTGAGTTCACCTTTGGTACCGAACTTTCGTGAATTGATCTTATTGCGGCGCTTTAAGTCCACCTAAGAGAGACAGTACAGAGTGAATTCACCATTTCACGCTCCATTCCCTAAACTCACCTTGTACTGATCCAGCACGAAATACTCAGCCAGCAGATCAGTGTGGCTGAGGCATTGGAGAACGGCATTCATGAAGCATGTGTTGCCATGGTTCTTCAGCCCCGTGACGCCTGGCGTCTGGTCCGGAGGCCACTGGTAGCCACCGAGGGGCGGAACACGATCGCCCACGCTGGGTTTCACCTGGAAAATCAGCCAGAAAGCCATTAATTCTCAGATATCTGGACGAGTTTCGCGTGTATTCATCGTCCAATGAAGACACTGGTGATACAATCCACCTCAATTAGCGCTAATTAAGTGAAATATGCGATATAGAAGGAATAAATAGTGCCACAACTCTATCTTAATTACACTCAATTCAAGCCAGGCCGCGAGGGCAGGAATTGCACACATACCCCAGCGATGTTCAATGAGGTGATCTGCTGAGCAATTCGAGAGATGAATTTCCGCACCGAAGACGTCCGGAAGAGCTTCCGCTTGTCGCCAGATGGTTCCCTCTCGCCCACGTCCGGACACTTCTCCACATCGTCCGACGTGGCTGGGTGCTGTCCACCAATCAGGGGGAACTTCCGCATGGCTACGCGCAAGGATTTCCGTTGACCAGACAACGAGAACACCCTCCGAAGCCTACCACTGGTGGCCTTGTCCGGGCGCTCGTGGCCCTGCGATGGAGCCTCGCTTTTGCCCCCGTAACCCGCCATATCCGCATCGTTTTTCACCATTTCGTGACCAACGCCGCATATCACGGACTCTAGGGCGATGCTTTGTGACATTTCTCGCGGGTTTTGCACACAAAATCACACCCAAATCACGAAAATTCCTCTCCAATTCACGGCAAAACACCTCAATTACAAGTAAACACGTCCAATTGACATCTTATCTGACAGTGCGGTGGCGCTGCTGGCGCGAAGAAGGAGCGTTGTGGAGTTTTTCCAGGTCGCGCGCCGCGTTGTGAAATTCCAGAATGGAGCAGAAGTCGGAAAAGCCGGAGAAGCAAAAGAGAACTAGACGGACAGAAGATGAAGACAATGGATTTGCACAATTTGTACGTGACGCAGCTGAATTTTATTGGCGTTATTGATATTTGTTCTTTCCTAGGGCGGTTATATGGATGCTAAAATTTCCAAACTGGAGCAGCAGTTTCTGGACAATGCCAAGCATTCCGGTGTTCAGAAGTCTAGTCTCTTCTCTGGCATCTCTATTTATGTCAATGGTCACACAAATCCTTCTGCAGAAGCGCTGAAGATGATCATGATGGAACATGGAGGAGTTTATCACACTTATGAGAGATCGCACACGACTTTTATTGTGGCCAGTAATCTTCCGGACGTGAAGGTGAGAAAGATGCAGCCTAGCAAGACCATCATCAAGCCTGAATGGATTGTGGATTGCCTCAAAGAGAACAAGATCCTGGACCATAAGAAATATCTCTATGAATTCAATCATAAAGTCTCACAGCCAAAGTTGTCCTTCTCCCGGACTGCTGTGAATCCCAACTTCTTGTCGGAGTTCTACAGCAATTCTCGCCTCCATCACATCTCAACCCTGGGATTGGCATTGAAAGACTATGTGAATGACTTGAGAGAGAAACACAAGGGAGATTTTCCCGCGAGGAGTGAAATTAATGTGGCCAAAAGAGAGGAGACTGGTAACCACAAGGCTGTAATGCACATTGATATGGATTGCTTCTTCGTCTCTGTTGGATTACGGTCCAGACCAAATCTCAGAGGTATTCCGGTGGCTGTGACTCATTCAAAGGGCGGAAGAAAACCTGAATCATCTGATAAATCGTGGTCAGAGATCGCTTCTTGCAGCTATGAGGCCCGCCAGAAGGGCATAAAGAATGGAATGTTCATGGGAAATGCCCTGAAGCTTTGCCCGGATCTGCAGACCATCCCGTATGATTTTGACCAATACAAGGAAGTTTCCTACACTCTCTATGACTCCATCGCCCGGTATACTCTGGATATTGAAGCTGTGAGTTGCGATGAGATGTTTGTAGATCTAACAGATCTGCTGGCCAGCACAGGAATTTCATGTGAAGGCTTTGTCACACACATCCGGCATGAGATTAGGCAAAAGACAAACTGTCCTTGCTCAGTGGGAATAGGAGAGAATCGCCTCTTGGCCAGATTGGCGACCAGGAAGGCCAAACCAGATGGACAGTATTTCTTCCCTTCAGACAACATCCTTGAGAATATGCAGGAAGTCTCCTTAAGAGATTTACCAGGCGTTGGATGGTCCACTTGTGAGAAGTTGAGTGAGAATGGATGGAAGATCTGCGGAGATCTCCAAAATGTCCCACTAAATCGTCTTCAAAAAGATTTTGGTAGCAAAGCAGGAGAGAACCTCTATAATCTCTGTCGTGGTCAGGACAATAGGCCACTAAACTTCTCCCGACAGAGGAAATCTGTCTCCACGGAGGTCAATTATGGTATCAGATTCACAAAAAAATCCGAATTGGAAATATTCCTACGGCAATTGAGTGAAGAGACCAGCAAAAGGCTGCACGAAGTTGGTCTCAAGGGTAAAAGTGTCACTTTGAAGCTCATGATCCGTGCACAGGACGCTCCTGTGGAGACTGCCAAATTCATGGGACACGGAATGTGTGATCATATGACGAAATCCTCAGCTTTTCCAACTTTAACTGATGATCCGGAAACAATTTTCCGCGCCGTTTGGCGAATTTCTGAAGATCTACAAATTCCTCCTGAGGAACTGCGTGGGATTGGGGTTCAAGTGACTAAATTATGCAAAGCAGATGCTCAGTCTTCATCCCTGGTTAATCTGTTCAAGCAAATGAAGTCGAAAGCAAAAACTGCGCCTCTTCCTCAAACTAAGACAGAGGAACCACAATCCGAAGCGCCCGATCTCGATTTGGATGTGTTGCAGGCTCTTCCGGAAGAGATGCGAGAGGAAATTTTACAGGATTACTCTGAATGGAAAAAGACCCAAATTACGCAAATTGATAAACCGTCGCCAGTAATTTGCATGAAGTTGAAGAATGTGATAAGTAGCAGCAATATTTTGGCCAAGAGCAATTGGATGACAATCTTGAGCCAGTGGATCAACTCCAGTGACGCCCCAAAACTTTGTGATGTTGAGCATTTTGCAAAGAACGCCTGCGAATTCATAAAGAACAAGAATATCTGCGATTTGTACTCGCAATTGGAGTATTTGCTTATGTAAGTTGCATCATTATTATATCTTTCACTGCTCCTGATTTGCCTATTAAAAGACCTCTTATTGTAGGTTGATCAACCAGACAGAGTCTTGTTCCTGGCACAAGAGTTACAGATTTCTCGCTGAAGAGATCCAGAAGGAAATGGTGCTTACTTATGGGACGAAGTTAAAGATCAATGGCCATCCGGACTGCTTCAGGTGCAAATAAAGCACATTTTGTCAATTTATACCTTTTTTTATTGGCATACCACGTTGTCTAGGGTACATCAGGTCCTCCTTAGTAGAGACGCTGGGGTGGTCCCATGGTGGATTTGATGTGCAAAGAGCGCACATTCTGCCAGTGCTTCTTCAGCAGCGACACCAGGAAGTTGATGGACAAATGGATGTTCTGCACCAGTTCATCAGTGGGCATGTTCACGTGTCCAACGGCCACGGAGAGACACAGAACCTTCTTCATCTGGAACTTGATGGTGGCCTTCACTTCGTCGATTTTCTGCGTCATGGACTCCGTGTGGGACAGGAGACCAGGGAACTTGCCGGCCTTGTTGAGGCCAGGACCCAGCAGACGTGGAATTTGCTTGATGAGAGACTCAGAGGCCAGGAAAGCGTCGTACTTCTTGGCCAACTTCTTCACCAGCTTCTTGTTCTTGTTCAGCTTCTTCAGTGCCTCAGCGTCCATGAAGGGCACCTCATTAGCCTTAGCCTCGTCACAGTGCTGCTGATCACCCAGAATGCACACCTGCATCTTCGGCCTGGGGATGTGCTTCAGCCTGGAAGATGAATGCCCCAGTTAGTCGTGGTGTCATTTCATCTGGAAGAGATAACTATCGATGGCAGGCCACTTACCAGCCTCGAATCAATAGTTTTACATTGCAAAGATTCTTATAAACTATTGCGGGAATCGAAATTCCCTACTCAATTGTTTAGAGACCCTGAGTAGGGGTCCACCAACTTATCCGGGCGACACGTACTTGACTGTGCCGGAGAAACGCTTGTCCTTCTGGGGATCATAGTTCTTCAGGCCAATCTGCAGCTCCACTGTCTCCAGGAAGCCACGCTTCTTGTCCTTAGAAGCCGCCAGCACGCCATTCACGCACTCATAGAGCGTATCACGAGATACTTTAGTCCTGAAATATCATGATTGGTTATTATTGCACAGTACTGTAACACGCATTGCCAATGAGGAAATCCCGTGCAAATTGAAACTCAAATATCTCGTCATAAATATATCCCACCAAGAACATAACTACATGATGACATGGAGCGATGCCTGATTTACAAATTGGCATTGGTTTGGGAGTGGTATCACCAAAGATGATGAGGATATTTCATGATAATTTACTCACGTCATTGCAAAACGATGTCTCCGCGACTCGAGCAACTGCACGAAAGACCGACTTGTCAATTCGTGCGGAAAATTAGGGCAAAACGGCGCTGCCGTGCAGTTAGAGGATGTTCGACAATTGAAGGGTTTCCAGCGTTGCTTTCAATACCACTCACAGAGTGTCGCTATTGTCAGGCAAATGGCGACGATATTATGCTATGGGTGAAAATTGATTATGAAAATCATCAATATTTGCTATAAAAACTGTGCTTTTAATGTTAAAAATAAGTGCAGTGCATAGGGTAAATGTTGGAGAAGCATGTTTAGTAGAAATTGAGGCCAGCTTTTAGGTGTAAGAGTGAGAAATCTTGAGTGAAATCGAGGTGCTCCGCCTTTGTATTGATTTTTTCCACTGAGGATTTGAGGGCAGAATTTGGAGCGCCATGGGCAATTCCGATGATATGCTGTCCATGAATAATCTCTACGAGCATGATCTCCATGATGTGAGTTCATCTACTGATTCAATTTGTGCGGAAAGACTAATTTTCTCAGTGGCAATTCCAGAGTGTGGGAAATCAGGATTGTCCGGACATTGCCTTTACCTATGACGACACAGATGGTCACATGGCGGAAATCGCGGAGCTGTACAGCTACACGGAGCATCCCGAGTTCTCCCGGAACGTGAAGGCGTTCGAGGATCAGATGGAAGCGTACAATCTACCGCCAAGTTGGCAGAAGCTCTCTGAGGAGCAGAAGAAGTCAATCGTGCTGAAGCTGATGGATCAATTGGATCTCTCCACCAAGAGCGTACGGATGAAGGCCGCCCGCTGCATCCTGTACCTGGCACAGGGATGTTGGGCAGAGGTGCAATCCGACAGTGAACAGCAACAGCTGGCCAGGGTGAATGTGATGCTTCTGTACGAACAGGGCATCTTTTCCATGTTTGTTGAACTGCTGAGTCTTGAAATTGAGTAAGTTTGTCTGCATGAAATCGGGTGTTCTGATCCTAAAGCTCTGCATTGTATCTGATCAGGAATGCGACGACAGCGAATGTGGCTATGCGCAAAGTGGCAGTTTCTCTGGCGGATTCAGTGGATCTTCGTGTGATTCTTTCAGTTCTTTACATCATCACTGAGGTTATTCGCAATGAAATGATCAACGAACAGGAGGAGTACAAAAGCATAATTGAAAATTTCAAACAAGAGCTCCGTAAGTTACCAGCAATGGCAAAAAATGTTAATGTAAATTTCCTTAATTTGACTGTTGTTTTGCAGTAAATCCAATTGGAGATGAGATTTTGATTGTGAAACTCTTAGTGATGATCACGAGATTTTGCAGTGGATCCGCTCCACACTTTCCCATGAAGAAGGTCCTGCTTCTTCTCTGGAAAATCTCGCTTGTGAGCCTCGGAGGTATGGAGACACTAAAGAAGTTGAAAAGTGAGTCTCTGTGTTTTTGTGTGCGCATTGGCCTTTGACTCATGATGTCTTTTGTCTCTTTGCAGATGAATACCGTGCAAAAGCGGACTTGCCGCCAATGACCGATGACACCCTCGAGGTGGGCAAGTCAATGCGCGCAAGTTCTCCGCCTGCACTGGCTTCTGATATGATAGACAATCAGAATCCAAAACGCAATCGTCCTTTCAGACGAGTACGTACGAACGATATGTTGCAAGAGGTAGAGAGATGCTTTCTTAGTTTTTCCTATTCTATCCATTTACACTTCTCTTAATCAACTTTTTCTCTATATATTCTCACAATTGCGCTGAAGAACAAATTTCTTATTTGTTTCTGTTACCTTTTGTCGGTCTTGAAAGGACAAGATAGAAAGAAAAAAAAGAGAAATGAACACAGCAAAATTTATTGGACGAAATAATTGATTGTTTTTCAGTTCTTATTTTGAAATGTTTTATTATTGGATATTTTCATAGCAAATCTTTTTCAACTGCAGTTTTCGGATTGAAATGAGCGATGAGATGTCACAGAGTCGTGTTTTCTTTCAATTTCTGTTCTGTTTGTTTAGCTGAAATTCAAAATATTTCTTCTCTTTCAATTCGCAATTTTAGCTCAAATTCTCCTTTGGCGAATGGCAAAAATCACATCAGAAAGTCATAGTACCGTAAATAAGACAAAGAATATTAATGAATGAAATTTCATTAATAAAACTCCTTCCCCATCGATATATTTTACAACCAAAATACCAAACAAAAAAGCCTCCATTCATGTGTTTTTTTCCCAATCAGTGTTTTCGTGGCCGTTGAGAGTAAATATGACAATCATATGCAGTTTTTTTTGGAAGATTTTTTGAAGAGCATCCACCAAGTATTTTATACACCACACCTTTTTTGATTTGCCCTCAATTTCTTCATTTAACTTTGAAGTATTAATGTGCATATTTTTGTGGATTTTTTCATTTTGTTGGTCTCAATCCCAAGGATAATCACACTCTTCTGTGCTGTAGTTTTTCCACACCCTCACCACCTTAATTCACATGTTCATCCGCTCTAGTGCATTTTACTCACGTCTGTAACTCTGAATTGAGAGACTCGTGGTACTTATTCTGTTGGACTTTATCCTCCTAAGACACGTGAGAATATTTTGAGAAAAGACCTCTCTCCTGTTTCTGATGAATCACACTGAGAACATGACACTGTAGTGGCTCTTAGAACCTATGTTACTCTCCTCAAGAAATCACGAACACATCTTCACACAATTTCTTATGTCTAAAAATATATATTTACTGTCGTGAATGGGAAGATTTTCAATCTGGGCGGAGCATTCGAGTGGGCGTGGCTTCAGCTTAAATATTGTATTGTGTAAATCATGCTTGCGATGATAAAATCTTCCCTTTTACTTCAGATTCACATTCATTGCGATAAAGTAAACAGAAAACAGTTTTTTTTACAATTGAAATTCTTTATAGAAATGCCTTGGCATGACGTGCCTGTCAATTTATCTTAATAATAATATAACATTAAACTTTTTGCAATATCACACTTTACGTCTATTTCTTTTTTGATACTCTAATTACACTGAAAGTGCTCATAGAATTGCGCAAACTTGTAGTGCGTTGAAGAGAATTTCAGAGCGAAATTGTATTGTTATTCTGTACTTACTTAATCTAAGTTTGTGCACTTCTTCGAACTCGTTCAGGTTGACTTTTCAAAGTTATAATTGTAGTAAAATTTTTAGAGTTTTTATATAATATCTTGAACAAGCAATTTTATCTGAATGTTCACGATCTCTAGATGTCACCAAATCAAAGATTTATATAAAAGAGTAACTTTTATACTTTGCAAAAAGTTGTTGCCAAAATATTTTTATAGGTGGTAGAGTTTGAGTCACTCTTGGTTGCCTTGCAGAGCATTTTTCATGCTACTATTGACAAATATGCCTTTTGATTGGAATTAAGAGCTTCAGCTTCTTGTAATTTTTGACCTTAGAACATTCACATTATATTATAATATACGAATATGAATATATCTATATATATATATATATTGACTATAGTAATTTTTGGCATAATTTAGTTAGATTTCCAGTAAATTGATTTAGTGTAAAAATCATAGATTTTTCGGCACAATTTCTTCTATGTCCAAAATGTATACACAGGCAAAATCGTGCGTGGAGCAAAGGTAAAGATGTGAGGGACATAGAAGAAATATAGTGACTAAAAGAGTTAAATTGGTACCAACTTAGCTACAGATTTAGACAAACAATATTCACTGCCTTGCAATTGGTCTCTTTGAGATTGTCTTACACATTTTGTCTTGGTGTATTTTTCCGGATGACTGCGCAACGACAGAGTTTGATGAAGCAGAGCTCACTGGATGAGCAGGAGCAGATCAATATGGAAGTGGACACGCCACAGTCGGAGAGTGAGGAGGAGATTTCGGAATACTACAGGACCTACGATGATCCAACGACACTCAATTCTGACACAAGTGGCACTGGCAATGGCGCCGACACGAAGATGAGCACATCTGGGAAGCCTGATTGGATGTTCAGTCCGGAGCCACAGTTGCGCATCATCAGTCGATTGCCGTGGACGCCAAAGGTTCGCCAGAAGGATATTGATATGTTTCTGGATGTGTCAAGAACAAAGTTCATTGGCTACACTTTGCCGGACGACAGAGAAACACTGGCCGGGCTGCCACAGCCGATTCATGAGAGTGTGAAGACATTGAAAAATCACATGTACGTGAGTTTGGCGGATGTGCAGATCAAGAAGGAGGAGGAAATCGCGAGGAATCCTGTGTCGACGAGTGAAGGAGAGGTTGAAATGACTCCTGCTGAGATCCTCTATCAGGCAATTCTGCCCAATTTGCCGCAGTGCATGATAGCTCTGCTGAAGATCCTTCTGGCTGCAGCGCCGACGTCAAAGGCCAAAACTGAGAGCATCAACATTATGGCCGATGTGTTGCCGGAAACGATGCCGTAAGTTCAACTCGATTAAGTAGTTAGCAGAGAGTACATAGAATTATTTCTTCCAGGATCACCGTGACGCAGTCTACAAAGCTGGGAATTGATGTTAATCGCCACAAGGAGATAATTGTGAAAGCGGTGTCGGCAATTCTGTTGCTCTACTTGAAGCACCTCAAGATCAACCATATTTATCAGTTTGAATTCATGTCGCAACATCTTGTGTTCGCCAATTGCATTCCGCTAGTGCTGAAGTTTTTCAATCAGGATATCATGGGATATGTGGGCTCCAAGAACACCATTCCCATCATGGACTTTCCGGCGTGTGTGATTGGCGAGCAGCCAGAATTGAATTCTGACAGCATGGTGATTGGGGATTCGGCGCCCTATTCGTGGCGCAATATCTTCTCCTGCATCAACTTATTGCGCATCCTCAACAAGTTGATCAAGTGGAAGCACTCGAGGATTATGATGCTGGTTGTGTTCAAATCAGCACCGATACTCAAGAGAACGCTGAAGGTGCGCCATGGACTGATGCAGCTGTACGTGCTGAAGTTGTTGAAGATACAGACAAAGTATCTGGGAAGGCAGTGGCGGAAGGTGAACATGAAGACAATTAGTGCGATTTACTCCAAGGTGCGCCATCGACTCAACGACGACTGGGCATTTGGAAATGGTGGGTGGACTTTATTGATACGCCAATGTTTCACAATCATGGTAAATTGACATTCGATTGCTTGCAGATCTCGACGCTCGTCCCTGGGACTTCCAGGCGGAGGAGTGCACACTGCGGGCGTGCGTGGACAGATTCAACAATCGTCGCTATCTCTCACCCAATGCCAATGTTGGCAATCGCGTCGCCTCTGGACAGGGCGAGATGATCGATCTTGATGGTGTGATTGACTTCTGCTCGAGCAGTTTGTACGGGAATCAGGGCAGGTGTCTTCAGAATGCTGCCACGTACAGCATTGAGGATGTGGAGCTGAGCGAGGAGTTCAAGGAGCACTACCACCTCTGGCTGGAGGAGGAGGTGTACAGCATGGAGATCAATTGGGATGCACTGATGGTGAAGGTTGAGTGAAGATGCGTCTGTCTGATTTGTAGTGCAGATTGCCGTCGAGCAAATACAGAAAAGATACTAGTGTTTCCCCAAAGAGTTCATTTCCTGGGACACTGTCGAGATCTCTGTGGCGCTGCTCTGAGGATCCGGTGGCTTTCTTGTACGTCTCTTCCGTCTCACGTGAATGAAGAAATAAATTCCAACGCCGAGCAGTGTTATGAATATAATGGCGATGGATATTGAGACTTTGAGGGAACTTTCAAGACTCCAATGCGTGAAACTCACGTCTTCATCGTCCGAGGGCATTTTGGAAGGAAATTCACTGCCACATTAAACTAATATGAAGCTGATTTGACTTGAACTGGCTGTGGAATGTTTCTTTTGGGACAGATAAAATCACGTTTACTCACTATTTCTGAGACAATAGAGTGAGAAATAGACTGAGTAAATTTTCGACACACCTTCAAACTTACCATGAGTCGCTCTCAGTGTCGTAGAATTCAAAGTCTTGTATTTGATAAATTCTCTAGAAATCAACTCAAGTCTTCCCTACGCCACTGAGTTGATATCACTATAATAAAAGCAGTCAATATGAGTGACTTTATCAGAGGTGACACGAAGAGGGAAAGTTTATCATGGAATTTTCAAACAATAGACGTGCTTTAAAAAGAATTTTTAATGATATGGTGGTTTATCCAATCTTGCTGATAGAAATCATATATATTTAAATACTTTTGAGACATATCGCATAAGAAACACTCCAAGAAACACTCACACAATTTTAGGAAATCACAATTTAGGTCAATACAAGACGAATACTCTCTTCTAGAGACTCTTCAGACTGGTCTCAATCCAATTTACAGCTGAGGAAAAGTTGTCCAGAGTTGCCGTTGGTTTCGGTTCACACTTTGTATCCGGTAAGTATTTGCCAGTCTTCACGAGAAGTCCCCGCATTCCGAGACTCATGGCGCCCTGGATGTCATCCACGGCGTCATCGCCGATCATCACACATTCCTCCGGAGGGAGATTCTCAGGAATCGCAGACTGGAAGAAGTACTTGTTGGGCTTTCCCACGACCACAGCCTCAGTGGAGGCGGCAAACTCCAGGCCCTTGACGAAACATCCCGGGCCGAGAGCCAAGCCGTCAGATCTCTTGTAGTAGCGTCCTTCGTGAATTGCAATCAGGGGTTTCCCCACACCCGGTCGCAGGAGATTGAAAGCTCTGTTCAGTTGCTCGTAGTGAAACTCCTCAGGAGCCAATCCTACCACCACAGAGTCCAATTTCTCTTTGTCCACCGGCGGGAAGTCCTTCTGGGCGTCCTGAGAGAGGAGATACAGGGGATTCAGCTGATTTTTCTTCACATAATCCGAAGCTGCGCTGAGAGAGCTGTAAATCTCTTCGGGATCCAATTCGAAGCCAATCCTCACAAGTCGACGATGCAGCGTCTGTCCCGACTCTTTTGTGGTGTTTGTCACGAATCTAATCTTCACCGGAAGCGTGCGGAGTCTGCAAGGATCAGCAAATTTGTGTGTTTTGTAAAAAATGATAAATCAACTCACTTCTTGAGCGCTTCCACTGCGTTTTCAGTCGGATCATCCTCCACATGAAGAGTTCCACTTAAGTCAATCAATACTGCACTTATCGGTGACATTTTCTGGGCGGTTGTAATACTTATTTTATTGACGATCAGGGAGGGAAGATTCTTCAATGACAGGAACATAACCTTACTTCCAATTGCGCCAAAATCACCTGACACCCCTATAAAAATTCTATACCATCAGCTGTTGGAATCCTTCCAAATGTCCTCTCGAGTGTTTTTACGGAATTCTTTGTAGGGTTGTTCCGAAAAGCCGAAAAGTAAACAAGCTTCTCACGCGTGTGTTTAAATTGTAAATTGTATAAATGCTACCTTTTTGGCTGTTTTGCGGTTAAAATGAGAATGAGATTGAGAAGAAATAAAGTTAGAGTCTTCTTCAATTCCATTGTAGACACCGAAGAGTATTCCATTCAAGGAGATCGGCAAGTTGAACATGAAAAGTACACAAACAGTAAGCTTGTCATTCTAAGAAATGCTGAAATAACAAATTTTGTTTTCTAGATTTCCTGTTTTATCGCGCGAAGTTCACTTTGATGTCATTGAAGTGGACGAGCAGACGCCGGAGAAGGAAAACCAGGAAAACGTAGAAGCAAATCAAGTGGTGATGTCTAAGAAAAAGTACGATAAGGGCGAGAGGAAATTCCCATGCTCTTATTGTGAAAAAGCCTTTCGCTGCAAAGCCAGTCGTGAAGAACATATTGTCACTCACACGAAGGAAAGCAATTTCCACTGTCCCTACTGTATAAAATCATTCAGGCATAAGACTAATCTGCGACGGCATATGCGGATTAATCACTCCGAAATGGAGTCTCAAGAACATTCCCAAAGGAGCTTGGAAAAGAAAATTTCCGAAATTTTTTACATTCACAATCCAACAAAAGACTCCTTGTAAGAATTGTCCTCAGATTACTATAAGACACCTCGACTACCATAATGCCCAAAATAAAACCATATCAAAGACCACAGATAGTTTTAAATGAAAATAAAACGTTAATGGAAAATGCTCGAATTTATTTTACTTTTAAATCCTTTAAAATACTGCCAATGCTTGTACTGTTTGTGATGTTCAACGCAAAATCCTTGGACATCCTAACCATGTCAAGGAATTCTCTTATAGGGCTTCAAACGTCTAGTTCTGTAGTAAACAAATGTCCTCTAGTGAATCCTCGTGCCTGAAATAAAAGGAAACAATCTCAGCCCAAGATAGAATGAGATTCAGAAGACATGGAAGAAATAGAGTGAAAGTTTACTTCAATTCTATTGTTGTGAAGGAGGAATATTTAGTCCAAGGAGAACCTCAAACTGATTATGAGTGAGTTCAAGGATTAAATGCTCATTTCTAGAAATGCAGTATTGAAATTACAATTGCAGCAGAGATCCAGAGAACCCAGGCTATTCGCAAGAGATTCACTTCGACATCATTGAACTGGAAGTGGCAGAGAAGGAGAACAGCCAAGAAAACAGGAGCACACCTGAGACAGTTGTGGCTGAGGAGAAGAACTTTCCTTGTCGATACTGTGGAAAACTTTTCCGGTCGATTTACAGTCGCGATGAGCACGTTGTCGTTCACACGGAAGAGCGAAACTTTCCGTGCTCCATCTGTACCAAAACGTTTAGGCACAAGAGTAACCTTAGAAGACACGTTCGCGGCCACTATGCCTTCAACGAGGCCTGCCCGATTTGCGAAAAAGTATTCCACAACTACGAGAGCTTGAAGGAGCACAAGAAGCGGCACACGGAGAAGCGCTTTCAGTGTGACCTGTGCCATCATAGGTTCGTCTACCAATGCCACTTGACTAAACACATGCAGAACTCTCACCAGAATCACATATAAATATCTACCTTAATTATATAAAGTGCTTGTGAATCCACTGTATATATATAACAATAAAACAGTTTAGCATCACTTCGAGAATAAGAACTCTCAAAGCAATAAACCAGAAGACATTCTCACCTTTTTATTGATTTCGCATCTTGCGAATGACTTTCGCGAGGGGAAGGAGTCTTCTTGAACTCAATGCTCTATTTCTGATTGAGAGGATTTCTTTTGAACAAACTGGAAGCATAATTCGGAGCTTAACCTGTACAAGAAGAAGGGATTCTCAGTTCAACAATGATGATCTTAATCCTTTGATGTTCTTTTAAAATACTAGCGGAATGATTGAATTAATATACAAGTCAGCTTTTCCGCAATCTCATAGCTCAAATATTAATTTCTCCAGCCATAGAATAATTCAATGTATTTCGCATTTCTTTGGAAGAAGTATCATTTATTCAGAAGAGGAAGATCAGTCGATGTTGAGATGTCTATAGAAATATTCAAAGATCTTATTGATTAGGTGAATACTTTAAACAAAAACTTCGATAACTCTCAGAAACCAATGCAAACACAGCAAATACCAATGCTGATAAGACAAACTCAGCATTGATAACAGAAATATTTGCAGAAAACAAGGCAGAAAGTATCTCAAATCCAGACTCACTGTGGCTGTGAAATGAGGAGCCTTTTCCGCTCTTTTCTGACCACTTTCTCCGGAACGTGTTTGCAACTCCGTGGTCTCATCGCGCACGCGTCTCAGTCGCCAGTCGCGAGCTCTCGTGCACAATCTCCACCGCGTCGGCCGGCGTCAGATGACCTTGCCGCGTCCTTGGCTTGACACCGTCAAGAGACACTGTCGCAGAGTCAAAGCGAGTTGCTGTCGGCGGAGGCAGAGAAAGAGACCTCAAGAAGTCCAACAGTGTTGTGTGTTGCCTGTGGCCAAAACAAGTGTGTGGACGCTTCGTGAATCTCACCAGCAGAACAGTGAAGTGCCTCGCGAGTGACTCTAGCTTTGGATGCAGTGAAGATCTACTGGAATCTGGAAGAAGGCCAGAAATCAGTGCTGTACGTTTCACAAAGAATCCCCCGGGAGCGCCTCATCTCACACTCAAGCGCCCGCGATCCGCCTCTGGCCATGAAAGTGAACTGATGAGCTGTAAATTATGCACACAAATTCAACTTTCATGTGTCCTATCGAAGGTTATAGGCAATTGCCCTGAAAAAGTGCATCAGAGCGGGGACAAAACTACTCCAATTCGTATTTTTGCCCGCTATGCCCATCCTAAATTCTTATCTTTCTTCTTGTCTTTTTATTCCTTCCTCACACGCATACACGCAACAAGAAAAATTTATTTGCCTTCTCAATTGTTGCACTCATCGCGAATGAGAATCAACACGAGAACGATGGCTATTTTTACCCAAAAAATCTTCTGCGTACTGTGGACAATGTTTATGACGAAAAGAAAAAGTGGCAAAGCACATGATTAAGAGATTTATATTCGGTCTGCATTTAGATTTAGCGCAACAATTTCTCCACCCCCGAAAAATTTCCTTTCTTTCTTCTCTGACGCGCGACTCAGCCAGAAGTCAGTCACAAGATGTTTTTCTTTCCTGTACAATTGTGTTGAACATTCGAAAATCCACCCAGGGGAAAATTAGGGACACAACATGCGCCACTCCAGGTATTGTAAGAATCACATGTAATTGCACATAACCAAAGTCAAGGGTCAGTGACTATTATTCAACAATCTATAGGTTCAATAATATTGCTTATCTAAATCTGTGCAGTACTCATGAAATAGTAAAGTAACATTCCATGCTAGACACTTCAACAACTCGTGCAGGAGATCTTTGTTTTTAGATTACAGATTTCGATGATCTGATCATGTTTGGTCTATCTAATGACAGAATAGTCAAGCAATTTATTGCTTTAAATTAGAAGAGAGTGCATACATTAGGCCACTCCATGTGAAAAGTTTTACGATAAAATATACACTTCACAATCACTTTATCAAATGGATGGCCATAAGTGTGCTAGCCAATTTTTATATAATTTAGAGACATACACCCGGATATGCATGTAGGAATAAATCAAGTTAATTTTATCCAACTTGACCATACAAAAGTTAGAACTTGTGAGCTCATCAAGGCATGATCATTCTGAGTTTGACCACAATGTTGGGAATTTTGTGAAAAATTTAGAATGCAGTGACAAATTTTTGCCTTATTCGTAATTCAAGCAGGAATTTCATGTGTATTTTTTCACGAATTCTTCTAATTTCAGATATTTAAATTCACGCTCCACAGTGATCTTTTTCCTTTGAACAAATGCAAAAGCATTTCTCTCAATTCACAACGGGCTCCCAAGTAGGGATGCCAGGCAAATATAGCCAAAGAGAGATTATTACGTGGTTTGCTTGTTAGCAGCAATTACTCATTAGATAACACTGTGGCACAAAAGTCCGCTTGGACTGTTTATCGAGTGGGTGATGACACGGAGTTCAAGTCGGAGTGCCGATAAGGGGTCAAATTTGCGCACCAACCAAAATATTTACACTTTGTCACTGTATTGGGGCTATTTTCAACCTCTCTGGCGCCTTATCACTGGCGGTGGATTACTGAAAAAATTCATCTGGCTGAGTGTCTTATCGGGACGCGCGCGCGAGTGAGATGAGGGCCTTGAAAAAAGTGCATTGTTTCTGACCTCCCGGCGCGCTCAATGCGAATACATTTCTCAATGATTTGTGTGTCTCTTCTGTACTCACCAGAGCTCCGGACGACAAAAGTGATGCTAGTTGTCCCGCAGACGTGATTCCGGTTATCCAGTCGAATGAGTGCACCTGAAGAAACGCGGGAGAACATCGACAAACCCTGCGGGCTGCTCTCGCTCATTCCCCTAGGGATGTCCTGTCGCGGTCGGGCGGAGGCTTTCGCGAGACGCCTCCAGTCAAGGCTCAGGACTCTGGGTTCCAATGTGAGTAGCAATAATGGAAACATCAATGGGCAGGGCTTCTCAATATGCAATACATTCCAAAAACTTACCCCACAGGGCCTCGACGACACAATAAATCACACAGATACTTCCTGGCTGGTTGGTCAGAGCAGCGATGAGGTGATATCCAGCCTGCCTGATGGCTTGGACGACACCTTCGGAAATGCCACAGAGCTACCGATGGAACCTGAAAGTCCCGGGAGTCCGGCTGAAGAGTGCGAGTACACCAGACTGGTTGAGACGCCGCAGGACGGCGCTGCCGAGTCAGGCTTCGTGTGCGCCTCACCAATGTCACCTGAAGACAGCGTGAGTAGCTTCAGTTCCTCCGAAGGCACCTTTTTTGATCCCGACAGCGACTACTTCGATTGTACGGATTCGCAGAAGGATTCCTCACCGACACTCTTCAATGGCCACGAAACGACAGAGAGTCCCTCAGATTCTCTGCCACCGTCGCAGACTGACTCTAATTCCACCCTGACTGAGTGTCACACATCTGCATCCAACAGCACATTGCAGGAAATGATGGAAATCCCGTCGCTGGCAGAGCTGGCTGAGCCACCAGACGACGAACTACCCCAGGAGGTTCCAGAAGAACCTTCCACAAACGGTCTGGACACCGAGCTACAGAGGGAGGCCAGCCCAGAAGGGCGCCCACAGCGCATTCAGCGGAGTTCATCTCTCAAGTCCGGCAAAACACCACCGGGAACGCCTGGCAGGAAGAAATTTGTTCGCTTCGCCGATGTGTTGGGTTTGGATCTTGCTGATGTGCGCACATTTCTCGATGATGTCCCACGGATACCCACGTCAGCATTCGACGATCTTGACGTCGGCACGTGCGCAGAGGATATCCACCTCTCACTGGAGCCTCGGGTGGACAAGGTCCTCGTGCCGTTGTTCCAGCAGCCGAGCAGCCTGCCCAAGTTCCTGGACTTGGTGCGCGAACACAACGTCTTCCTGGAGAATGCCGCCGTCACAGATCCCAGCACACTCACAATCACGGGCTGTGTGCGTGTCCGCAATCTGGATTTTCACAAATCCGTCCATGTGCGCTACAGCACAGACGCCTGGCGCAGTTATGCCGACCTGCAGGCCAACTATGTGGAGAACTCCTGCGACGGCTTCTCAGACAAATTCTCCTTCACTCTCTTCGGCAATGCCCTGCAGGTGGGGCAGCGCCTGGAGCTGGCACTGCGCTTCCAGTGTCACGGTCAGCAGTTCTGGGACAACAATCACGGGTCCAACTACTGCTTTCAGTGCCTCCCCGCCACGACACTCACCCCACGGACACCACGGCGAGAGCCTGAGTCTGAGGAGTCCTGGGACGTGTCGTTCTACTGAATCAATGTGGCCAGCCAGATTGTTTCTCTGTCTGGCCTTATAATCGCCATCGAATTGAGATTGCAGAGTGTCCCTATATGTTTCTGACAACGATTAGGCTAATTGGGCACGGCCTTCGAATGAGAGGAGCCTAATAAGATTTCCCTTTTTCCTAATATACAAAACCAATTATACTGTCCAGAGATTTCTATATCCTTATGATGGTTGTGAGGAAGCCAATTTGGACTACAGAAATCAAGGCTTACATTGTTTTCAGGCTGATTTTAAAGCCTCAAATTCTATGGATCAAAATTATCCTCACCAACCGTTTCAGGATTGAAAAACTCTCTAATCTCTGTAGTGTTAAATCTAAGTAACAGTTAAAAGAATGATTATCATATTAACAAGGGACATAATTTAGAAGAATTCTGCAATCTCAAGCGTAGTTTGAGGAAATCCTGTCTTAAATCAGTCAAGAGACCTTAGCAAGTGGCCAAAAAATGCAATGAAACACTGAGAATAGGGACAACAGTGAATGGCTTGGGAATTGCACTCAATTCTTCGATCTACCCACGCTTTAGAGATGAATCTCCCAAATCAATTTCGATGCCAACAGCCTCGAAATAGACGTGGTGGAGCGTGAATGAGTTTGATCCACGAGGAAGCCCGTCAAGCTTGAGCTTCAACTGTGCAACAAATAAAAATGTGATAAATTTCTGACTGAAGGGAAGGTGTGTCCTTATTGCTCGACGGGCGTCCTCGATGGCTTCATGCAAGACGATGTGGCAATAACTGTTAAATTGTAAGATAATATATCCTGAGATGTGAAAAAAATGATGAGGTGAATCAAAAGAGGAATACAAAATATCGGTAGATGTTGAAAATGTTTTCTAAGAAAATACACACAGTCTTTTTTGTGAAGAAAATTGATTTAAGAAACTTGTTGGCAGATCTGTTTTCAACAAATAAAGAGACATTGTAGAGAATGTCGATAGGAATGCTTCATTTCAGCTTATGTGAGAGCTCACAGAGCCTGGCCAGGAGGCCAGACATCTGCACCAGTGAGTTGTTCCCATCGACAATCTTCATGTGCGTTTCTCCGATTTCACGGATAAAATACAATTTCATTTTCTCATCCAGATTCAGACGTTTACTCACGCGGAAGATGTTCCCGATGATGTCCTCAGCTGAGTAACCCAGTCGCCAGAGCTTCGCCATGATCTTGTATGCGTGGTGAATGTCTCCCTTAGCGCAGTGCTCTAGCATCTCTTGCACGAGAAGTGGATGAGGCTCATCGCACACCTTGAACACATTGTCTCCGGAAATCTTTCCGAATCCATTTGCTGTGCTCTGAAGATTGTTCAGCGCTTGCCTCATATCACCTTGAGCGGTGAATACAATCGCTTCCAAGCCCTCCTCAGTGTAGTCTAGCCCCTCCGCCTGACACACCTCAATCAGCTTGGCCAGAACCTGGGCATCTGAGAGTTTTGTGAATCGCAGCATCGCACATCTCGACTGAATGGGCTCAATTATCTTCTCACTGGTGTTGCACGCTAATGCAAAACGTGTGGTACTGCTGTAGATCTCCATAGTGCGTCGTAGGGCTTGTTGAGCGCCCTCCGTCATGCTGTCTGCCTCATCCAGAATGACTATTTTCTGACGGGAAGGCGGCAGGGTAACCTTTTGTTGGGCGAACATCTTAATCTTGTTCCGCACCACGTCAATTCCTCTCTCATTTGATGCATTCAACTCCAATACTGCCTCCTTGAAGCTCGCTCCCAGGAGGATTCTCGCCAGGCAGAGGATTGTGGTAGTTTTTCCCACTCCTGGAGGCCCCTGAAAGAAAACAGTTGTTAAAGCACATATTCTTTTCTGTTTAGCAGTTTCTTACGGCTATTATGATGTTGGGGACATTTCCTTGGGTTGCAAATATTCCCAGGCGACTCACAGTATCCTCATTTCCCACAATTTCCTCGAATTTCGTGGGGCGATACTTCTCAATCCTGCAAAAAAGTGAGAATGAGGTTAGATAACTGCCGGCTGGGCAATTTCATTCCCATTTCTTACCAGGGCAGATGTTTCTTCTGTGAAGGCTTAACCGGTACACCCTTGGATGTTGACGGAGCACACTCTACCTCCTGTGTAGGCATTTTTCCAGCTATAAAAGCCCTTTCTGCAGGACAAGCAAATGCTTTCTAGTGCGCCTTTCTACAAACTTATCGACACATGGCGCATTTGTGTTGACATCTGATCGACAGTGAAAGTTAATGAATGAGAATTTTGCCCAATAAAATTTCCCATTTTGGCTGTATTTTGATTATAAAATCTTTAAACGCAATAAAATATTAATATATGGAGAGAAACTTTAAAATTTCACATGTTTGAAACTTTCACCGTGAAACTTTCGAATTTGTCGATCATCTCAGAACTGAAGTGATTCACGTCGATGTTTTTGGTGTGAAAACCCCCGTGAATTTTCTGGCATTTCACCCATTTTTCTGCACATTTGTGCAATTTTGCAATAGTTGGTGACTCCGTGAGATGCTGTTGCTGGTTGCGGAATGTCCAGCAAGGTGAAATCCTGTCTGTGAATGCGAGAAAGGAATGACATCAGTCGCGTGGGTTTTTGCCAAAAAAATCACACCAATTTTCACACGGAAATTTCATGTTCACTTCAGTGCTGATAAGTGGTGAGGTGTCCAGATAAGAGAGTCCAGCCATTGGCAACGGGGGTGAGTGGAATTTGAGTCGCGGGACGCTTCCAAGGAGCGAGAAACAATGGAGGCGGAGGATCGCACAAACTATCGCCGGACGGATGTAGATTGGTCGAGGTGAGGAGGACCGGGAGGGAATATGTGAGCGGGACTTCTCATGTCCCTTTGTGTCTTGAAGGTATGGCCTGGGCAATGAGGAGCCCCATCACTACAACAGAGCCCGACCCAGGGGGAATTCTGGTGGGTTTGTGGACTTTGGGGATGAGTATCAGTACGCAGCTGGAGGTCATCAAGCGTCCGGAGCCAATGAGATCTTCGCTGAGGAGCAGGGAGACAAGCCCTGGTGAGTGATTAAGTTGTTTACACTTCGCACAGTTCAGGCAGAGTTTGACGCATTGATTGATTTTAGGTGGCGCACAAATTTCTTCATATCACAGCCGGTTCTGTTCGGCACCTGGGACGGAGTTTTCACGTCCTGCCTCATCAACATTTTCGGCGTGATTGTGTTCCTCCGTTCGGGCTGGATCGTCGCCCAGGCGGGCATCATCAACGCCGTGCTGATTATCATTGCTTCCGTGTCCATCGCGCTCATCTCTGTCCTTTCGGCTGTCGGGATTTGCGAGCGATGCCGCGTGGAATCTGGCGGAGTTTACTTTCTCATCGCCCACACGCTAGGCTCCCGCTTCGGCGGCTCCCTGGGCTTACTGTACTGCTTCGGCCAGGCTGTGGGCTGCGCTCTTAACGTTCTAGGCTTCGGCGAATCCATGGCAAATCTCATTGGCCACCCTGGCAACGCCCTCGCCATCCGAGGCTTCGCTGCCGGCGCTGTGCTGCTCCTGGGCATAATCAATGTGGCTGGCGTAAAATGGGTGGTGAAGCTGCAATTTGCCCTGCTCGTGGTGCTTCTGCTCTCGGCGCTGGACTTCATCATTGGCTCCTTCGTGGCCTATGAGCCGGACATGGGTATCGAGGGATGGCTCAGTGGTAACTTCAAGCTCAATCTCTGGTCAGACTACCAGGATGGCTACACGTGGTTCCGCGTCTTTGGCGTCTTCTTCCCCACGATCACAGGCATTCTCTCGGGAATCAACATGAGTGGAGATTTGAGGGCGCCCTCGACGGACATCCCCAACGGGACTCTCGCTGCCTTCAGCACGTCGTGAGTATTTACTCAGCATTGTATCAATATTTGATATTTATTACCCACAGTGTGTTATTTTAAGGCTTTACAATAACATTCTGGCTGAATGAAAATACTGGGGCGCAAGTGTTGAACATTCTCAAAGTCGGAATCTATATTAATGATATCGAACGGAAACACGTGACAAGGTTTTGAAGTGTTTGGATGAGTCAGAATAATCTTAGAGTGATTTTTAGTCAAACTTTGTATAAGTGGCGGTTTTCATCCTGATAATATTTGCAGCTGAGGAATTACTCTTTGAATAATCATTAAATTTAGATCTTGACAGCTGAAAGAACATAGTTTCTCAGTGCGTTTTTCAAGCATAAATCGAATAGAGAAGCTCAATTATGCAAGCTTCATTCCTAATTTCATATATGAAAGGAATTACATGTGAAAAATACTCGGATTTGACTATTACAAAAGAGCAAAGAGCGAAAAGAGAGTATTTTTGATGAAATTCAGCGAAGTAGATTCAAACAATTAACCTGTTTGTCTTTCAGAACGGTTCTCTACTTGATCTTTGCGCTCTTCTTGGGTGCCATTGTGAAGCGGGATTTTCTGCTGAAGGACTTTATGATTGTGGTAAGAGTTTCGGCTGTACAGATGCTCCTCTTGGCGGGCATTTACGTGAGCAGCATGTCCTCCTGTCTGGGCGCCATGTATGGAACACCACGCGTGCTGCAGAGTATTGCCAATGAGAGCGTGATTCCCGGAATCGGGGTGCTGGGCAAGGGTCGAGGGCCGAATAAAGTGCCACTGTACGCGATGGCTGTAGTGGCGACTGTGACAATAACATTCATCATTGTTGGAGACATCAACACTCTCGCTCCCATTGTCACGATGCCCTTCCTGCTCACGTACGCGTGCATCGATTACTCCTATTTTGCTCTGGCGCAGACCTTCGATATCCAGAATCGCCGCGAGGAGCGATTCCGCATCCAGGCACAGAGTCCGTCGTATGAGTCACGACGCTACGGCGCCACGATGGAGGAGAGCAATGATCTGGATCATCTGTTTCCCGAGCGTACGAGGCACAAGAACCTCTCATCGCCGTCCAATTCTCAGGTCAACTCGCCCAGTCACAATCACACAAACCATCTGCCCAACTCCTCAACCACGCAGTCCATCAACTCCGACGTGATCTTCCGCGGGGTGAACAGTACAAATGCAACTACTGACGAGAATGTCGACGAAGATGAGCCCATCGCCGCTGCCCGGCCGCACATCCACTCGAAGACGAAGAACTGGTACTCGGGCTTCTGCAACCGGTGGGCATCTCTCATGGGGGCGGCTATTAAGATCCTGATCATGATGCTGGTGCACTGGATTTACGCGCTCGTGTGCTTCGTCATGGTGTTCATCGTGTGGTTCTACGTGGGAACGGCCAATCCAGCCGTAAAACCTGGCCTGGCGCATGAGTTTCGCTTCTTTGTCTGGCTCAAAGGAGTGATTTTCCGGTGCTTTGGGTAAGAAGACATGCTGGAAGAAATGTTCTGGAACGTTATTAATGTTTTTTGTCTGTCTTTCTTCGCAGAAAGCGCGTAAATGAGTATGAACAGATTGTTGTGACGCCTTCTTGTCCGGGTGTGGAAGTGACTCAGGCGCAGCTGAATGAGGAGAATGAGGACTTTTCTTCGAGACGTCGCTACCATCAATCATCCGTCGTTCAGGGACAATATGTTGATATTTAGGGTACGAATTATTGCAATATCTATTGAGAGATTACCGCGCAAAAATTGGAGATTATTTGGATTTATTTTGAAGAGTGGATTTTTGAGGAATTGTCACAAGTTTTCACGTGGGTGTTTTGTTTGTAAAGTGCCTTTGACGATCCAGAGATTTATTTTCTTTATTTTCACCCACGTGAAGGATTAAATAAAACGTAAACGGATTGGAGAAAGAGAAACAATTGAAATTCCCTGAAGAGATTTGCGCACGGCTGGGAGGATATCTTGAGCATTCTATTGTGTAGAGATCATGATGTTTTTATATTAACTATTTATTAATTGAATGTAATATCAGTAATTTTATTGAGATAGATAGAGCACAATTTTATCATTTATTTTTATATGTAATACTTATTTGATCTTTTTACTAGTTTAGCATGTATTTTAACAGTTTCTATCATTAAGTGTAAATATTAACGTATACTATGGACAAAAACATTCTGTATTTATCGCATATTTTAGGATATAATCACAAATTGATGTAATTCCTATTGACTATATTTAGTGTTTGTAAACGACAAGGAAAAATTTGCTATTTGTGATTGTAAAATGTGTTTTTTACTTGATTTGATTACTCGCGCCTGTTTTTCGATTTTTCGATATATCGTGGAGAGGTGAATTTCGAGTGTCGATGCGAGACGCCATTGTCGGCTTGACGTTTGGAGAGTGTTCGAGGTTTGTTGTACTCCCGGAAAAGTGTGAAAACGCTTTGAAAAAGTATACGCGTCTGTTTGAAAATATCTACATTTCATCCCCCAGACATGGCTCTAGTGTGTGCTAGTGAGTATTTATCTGAAAACCTCGTAAAATTCTTATAATGCACATTTTCTTCAAAGTGAGGTTAATAACAAATTTTCTCCGGCAGTAACAAATGAAGTCCCGGATCAGCCGGTTGTTTCCCCACATTCGGGGGCAATATTTGAGAGGCGTATCATTGAGAAGTACATTGTGGAGAACGGATGTGATCCCATTGATGGCAAGGAGTTGAAAGTGGAGGATCTGATTGAGATCAAGACACCGCCTATCGTGAAGCCGAAGCCTCCGAGTGCCACCAGTATTCCGGCAACGCTGAAAACTATGCAAGATGAGTGGGATTCGCTGATGCTGCACACTTTCACGCAGCGACAGCAACTGCAAACAGCTCGCCAGGAGCTCAGCCATGCTCTCTATCAGCACGATGCGGCGTGCAGAGTGATCGCGCGTCTCAATAAGGAAGTCACGGCTGCCAGGGAGGCTTTGGCCACGCTGAAGCCGCAAGCGGGCATCAATATTACATCTGGAGTTCCGCAACCGGTGAGATTATTGAATTTCACAGCCTTCAAAACGGTTTTGCATGTCTTTCGGGTGTTTCTTTGCAGTCTATCGGTGCAGAGGCGGCTGGAATTGCTACACAGCCGGTGGAGCAAGTGGGCATGAGTGCTGAGATTATCCAGAAGTTGCAGGAGAAGGCAACAGTGCTCACGCAGGAGCGTAAGAAGCGCGGAAGATCCGTTCCGGAGGAACTTATCGGACAGGAAACTATTCGCGGATTCCACACTCTGGCCTCTCATCCGGGTCTCCATTCGGCCAGTGTGCCCGGAATACTGGCCCTGGACATTAGTGTATCAGATCATAACAAGATCATCACTGGTGGAAATGATAAGAATGCCGCTGTGTTCAATAAGGACACCGAGCAGGTGATTTCCATCCTCAAGGGTCACACAAAGAAGGTGTCGAAGGTGATCTATCATCCTGAGGAGGATTATGTGATCACTGCATCTCCTGACACGACAATTCGCATCTGGAACGTCCCGACATCCCAGACAACTCTGCTTCTTCGTTGCCACGATCAGCCCGTCACTGGATTGTCTCTGCATCCCACGAGTGATTACATCCTCTCCACATCTTCTGACAAACACTGGGCTTTCTCTGACATTCGCACTGGCCGTTTGCTGACGAAGGTCATCGATACATCCGAAATGGGTCTCACAACAGCACAGTTCCATCCTGACGGATTGATTTTCGGCACTGGCACGGAGGATTCTCAAGTGAAGATCTGGGATTTGAAGGAGCAGAGCAACGTGGCGAACTTCCCCGGTCACACTGGCCCCATCACAGCGATTTCCTTCTCTGAGAACGGATATTATCTGGCCACGGCGGCTGATGACTCGTGTGTGAAGTTGTGGGATTTGCGTAAATTGAAGAATTTCAAGACCATCCAACTGGAAGATGGACAGGAGGTGAAGGATCTCTGCTTCGACCAGAGCGGAACGTACTTGGCGATCGCAGGGACGGACATTAGGTGAGTTCCTCACATTGTGACTAAGATTGTGCCTACAATTGTGTGTTTCTCCGCAGAATTTACCTCTGCAAGCAGTGGCAGGAACTGAAAGTATTTCAGGATCACACAGCCATGGCCACCGGTGTGCGATTTGGTAAGCATGCCCAATACTTGGCGTCCACGAGCATGGATCGAACCCTCAAGCTCTACGGCTTCGAATAGAATATCTGCAAACTCCAAAAACAAACAATTATTCAATATCTCTGATTTCGTGGTATTTTAATGAATAAACTGATTGTAGAAGTAAATTTTAGATGTCATATTGCCATTATTATATTCTGCAGTTAGGAGGAAAGTTCCTAGAGTTGTTAGGATCTGCGTAGCGTAGATAGGATTTCGTACTAACCGTAATAACTTTCAATGAATTCAACGAATATTCTATGTATTTCTTATTGCGTAAAATTTTTATTTTGAAGTATTTTTAATTGTAGCTTACGAATACAATTAGTGGAAATTAAAATCGGTGTAAAAACGTAACAGAATGGATAGTCTTCACTCTAAAGTGCTCAAATCCTTCTTTTAATTCTGTCGGATGTCTTCTTCCATCATGAGACCAAAGTGTTTTCCACTCAGGTAAGGAAAATCCATATTTCTTCGTTGAATGTTGGTCAGTGGCGGGAAATTTGGGTAGCGCCCTCACGCGAATGGTGACTGCACAAGGCGCGAGAGGGAAAATGAGAGCGCAAGTGGTGAATTCGTCGCTCTCGCACGCGAGAGAGTCCTTGCGAGAGCCAAGAAGAGCAGAAGACGCCATATTTTGATTTCGTTAAGTTTAGTGAAATTTGTAGTGTGTAAAATTGTTAATTGTAAGAGTAGAGAAATTGTGTTAATTTATGTTTAATCACACGTCAATAGTTCCTGATGGTGGGCAGCACGGGAACGGTGCTGGAGTTTGCAGAAAACGTGAGTTTGCAGCAGTTTGGTGGTTTTTCTCAGTCGGGTGACCCTCGAGTGGCTGCCCTGAAGTGTGTGTGCGGGGGTGGGGGAGCGCTGCTTAGTGTAAAAGTGGGTGGCATTTCACGTTCAATGTTATTATTGAGTATTTTGCCCGCGAGGCCGCGGGATGGGGGCCGCAGTGGGGCGCATCCTTGGGTCGGCGGGGGGCGCATCGCGTCGGCGGGGTGTTGCATAATGACTCCGAGGGAAAAGTTGTCAGTGCGCGGGCGGAAGTGGGAAGACGCGCGGCCGATTGTGTGGGCCAAGGAAGGCAGATTGCGAGGGCTCCTGCCTGGGGGCGGCGAATTAATCAATTTTCCACCGTTGCGCCGTATTTTCCGGCGGTGCTGCACTTTAATGGAATTTATAATATCCACAGTCGCCGGTTGTGTGGTGGAAAATTAACGTGTTTTCATCGGAACAGAAAGCGGGGGTACAAAAATACTCCTTGTTAAATATTTAACTGAAAATCAGTGACTTTATTTTCACGAGGATTATTACGATCATTACTCAATTACACAGCATAAAGGCAAGTGGGAGTCCGGATGGCAGTGGAAAGTGGGCATGAAAATTTGATTAAGAGTGAGCCAGGGTCAAAATTGGGAATTTGTGATTTGGCCTATGCTATAAATAGGTCTTTTGACCACATAAGATTAATTAGTTTCTTGCCACGAAATGAAATTGAGCTGTTGAATATTTTAAGGTAAACAGTGAGATACAGTTTTGCAAGTGAATTTTTGAGCTTAGAGTTAATATTAACCGGAATCGCAAGGTAATTATTTAATAATTTGTGATGAAGGATACGATGGCGCAAATAAATTCCGTCTTAATGTCTTAAGGGAATGAACACAGTATGAAAAGGATGAAAAGCTAGTTGTATAGCTATGTAGCAGTGGAAATAAATTATTCTCATTGTGTTACATGCAAATTTGACAATTTCTGGAGGTACAATAACAGCCTATTATTGTCCCTTGGTTTTCTATAATCCTGGATATTAAATCATCCGGGCAAGTGAAACATTCGCTTAAGGGTTATTTGGATTCAAAGTTCTGTCCACCTTAAAGTCCCACCCACAAGAGTTACGTCAAATCCCTCTAAAACACTACCAATTTCTTCATGAGCAACGAACCATGTGAATTTTAAAGTGAATTAAAAACTTGACTAGAAATTGCAGATCAATTCACGTCAATAGTGGAAAAGTGTATAATTTTGAAAGGCTTAAGCAATGTATAACAATAATAGAACAGCTCAAATCCAACAAAATTCTTTAAAAAGATCAGTATCTGTACGTAATGGTTATTGGCATTAGATAACAATACTACTAATGGAATTTTAATGCAATAAAATCATATGAAAATAACCGAAATAATTATTCTATCAGCGGAATTGCAGTAAATATTAAAGAGGTTTAATCTAATGGATAGAAATTAGGGATTATTTTCAGCACTTTCCCTATTAGAGCAATTGTGAATTCCACAAACTCATTTATAATGAAATTGACACTAATCGGAAGCGCCTTCTTGCATGGTTCTATGTAATCCCAGAAGTTCACGCTTCTCTTCCTTCTCGTACGGGTTGATTTTCTTGGAAAACAAGCAAAACAAGACAAGGGAATATCCTCGGATAATCTTGGATAATTCAGCTCATCCTCATTCAGAGATAGGATGAAATAATTGTAATTGATAAGCGATGATGTGGAGATTATTTGCCTAAGGCTTTAATTTTTCGACAAAATGATTTTCTACGAAATCTTGGCATCACACTTGTCACCACAAATGTCGAAATGCTTTCATTGATGACCTCAAAATCACACACCAATGTAGTGTTCAAAAATACGCGTTTTTTATCTAACCACGCATGCACAGTCTCGTGTTGAATCTCAGTCGAGTATAGTTGAATTCTAGTTGGAGAATACAGGGAAAGTGTATTTGAACGAAATCCAATTAATATTGTAAATAGGAACACATCAAAAGCACACACATATCGCGCATTTCCTCCTACGGTTGACGATCAAAAGGAAGGTTACATGATGAGAGTCTGAATTCCAGCAGAGCTTCTAGGAAAACGGCAATTATTTTCATTTGATTTGATTTTCTGCAAGATTTGACTGAGTGAAAGGGAGCTTTTCCGCATGTCTATTTATAGATTTTCGTGCTGTCTCAGGGTGAAAGGTAACGAATTCAAAGCTCATTACAAGATGAAATTGCTTGTGAAATTATCTGTGCGGTTGAAAAGTGCATGCAATCCGTAAGGATTTCCTTTGCTCACGGCAAGATGGGTAAAGTGGTTTACCGGAATGTTTTTCTTTCTGAAATTGCTGTCGAGTGGAATTTGAGACATTTTTCCCAACTTTTGGCGGAAGTTTGTTAAAATTCCCTTCTTTCGTGTCGCGGTTTGAAGAAGTAAAAAAGTCCCTCGAGAAGATTCACTCTGCAGACACTTAGCAAATTGTTGCGATTCACAGCCTTGTGTTGTTAAAGTGTTAATTAAAGTAATTAAAGAATTGAGTGTGTGTCACAGAAATATCCATGTGACTCTTGCTTGTTCATTTTCCTCTGCGCGTTTCTGCACGCGAGACTGAACAATGTCCAGGAGAAGGGTGCGAAGGATGGAAAGATGATGGTGGAGAATTTATTGAAGATTTTCATGTAAAAGTGTTTTATTCATTTTTTCCACACTTTCTCCAGTCTTTCGCTCTCCTTCACACTTTCACCGCGCGTCTCACGAGACTTGGTAAGCTGAGGGCATGGGTGAGATTGAAGGGACGAAAGGAGAAAAATCCATTTCCATATCTTCACACTCCACCTCGTGTGTGGTGGCCTTTCTGCCATGCCTCTGCACATACATTTACTGAGTGGTGTATGGTGCAAAAAAGAATTGAGGGGTGGCCCAAGGCGGGTTGGGACGGATATTCAAAGTGGGTGAGTAATGTTTCCTTTTACTCATTAAATAATTTATCATCCCACTTTGGTGTGGGCGCCCTGAATGGAATGGTAAATCACTGGCCCCACCATCGCATTCCGCTCAGACAGTCAATGCCATAGGTCGTGGTATCAATTACGAATTCATTCTGCGATTGTCAATCAATTCCAACCCTATGTCGTCCAGGCTGTGCTGATACGCTTCGACCTTCGACCACTTTTCACCGCTCGAAAAAGCGCTGGGGAAAGTGTGTCGATGGCTGTGATATATGAATTTGAAATATGTTCTAAAGTATTCCAGGCATTTTCCCACCTTATCGTGTTTCGAGACAATTTTCTGTCGCCCTTTCTTCGGACACACCAGAAGCACGAATGTGTCAAAATAGCGAGATTTTTACATTCTTACAAGTGGCTGATAAAAAAGGAGTAAAAAATTTGCAAAAACCTGAGGAAAATATCCGTGACGAGGGATGGGAAGCGCTTTTAGCAATATATTCTCCACGACGGTTATTGTTCTTTGACACTTTTTGTCGGGTGGGGCGGCTTCCAGAGGATTTGCCATCCATTTGTGTAAAACGGGGTGGATAACTTGCAATATTCACGTTGAGGTCGTAAAATTTTATTTCCCCTACATTCATGAAAATGCTAAAGTTTCTAAGCAAAGGCATGAACTTCGTTACAGTTCTCTCTCGGCTTTTTAATGGTGAGCACGTCAATAAATTTGATTGTGCAGGCAAAGTGTAATTTTTTTTCTTCTTTTTGAAATCCATATGGCTTTAAGAGCGCTCATTTCAAGGGATTTGGCTTTACACAGCTTGAAATTGATGTATTTTTTGATGAATGTTCTCACAGGATTTCTTTACATTAAACCCCTTTAAATGGAGTTTTAGACTTTAACTATAGTCCCGCCCAATTATGCATTATTAATTACTGGTCTCAATTGATCTGAAAATCTTGAATCTTTGAAATGAAAATGGGAAAGTCATTTGGAATATATTTGTCGATTGACGAAGCAGAAAACTTGATTTCCTGTCATACTTGTTGTTTGGAAAAAATCTTAAGACGCCACTCTTCTTATGTCCGGTAGTTGCAAAGTGTTTGGAATAACTTTGCCAAGCATAAAACACTAAAGATGGAGCAGAATTTATGTTTTTTGTTTAACTTAATACACTTGAAGTTAGTAGAAATATGTACTTTATTAAAGACATAAACAAATAGTAGAATAAAAAATAATAAATAAAATTTGCGAAGCTTCCTCAGATAATTATAAAGCTACAAGCAGAATTTTAAGGAAGATTAAATGTCTTGTGAGTTTATTTTAACCGTTTTATTACGACAAGAGCTACAATGTGTTCTTCAACAGCCTTTTGGCATAATTTATCAGCTCCATCATGAAAGCGACTGAAAATCCCTTTTGAATTTTACACTAAAATTGAGAAAATGAGTTAAAAGAGACTTCCTGACTCACACCTTGGGTTCGCAATTAAAATGTTCAATGGAATGTGGGAAATACGGCCTTTTGTGATGTGAATGAACGGAGGGATACGTAGTATAGAACTATGTACGTATTTCTTCCCTCGGCCGAAATATCTACTGAAACGGATAAAATATTCTATTCTTGCTATTCTCTCTCAAATATTTGATCTTCACGTCCCTTAAATTGACAGTGGGAGTGTACTTGAGAGCGTCGCTTGGTGTGAAAAAGCTTAAGAATATCACTTTGGCTGTTTAGATACATAATTGATGGTGTTCTGAGTGCGACGAGGCGTGATGGCTGGTGAGGGAAAATGAGAATTGCACAACAATTCTAATCATTGAATGGGGTGGAAACCATATCGAACCTTTGGGGATGCGGAAACTTGAGCAATTTCGAGCTGTGAAAACACTCTGTTTTGGGTTGAGTTTCCCAAGAGAGTGTTTCTGAAGGTTTGTTTGCGGAATATTTGCAAATTGTATAGAAATTTCATTTTATTACATTGAAATTGGACACACACACAGCGTTTTAGTTGGAATATTGATTTTCCTTCACTCAAACTCACCATATCACAGTGTGAAGAGATGAGAAAAAGTTTCTATGTCAGTGAGTTTCAATACTTAATTAAGAGGGATGCAATGGTGGCACTGATGTACTGCATTGAATTGAGTGTGGGTGAGAAGTTTGCTAAGTGACATGCTCAAAGTTTTTCCGATTCAATACCAATGACTCTTCGTGTGCAAATGCTGAGGAGATTGCCAATGTGTGCTCAAAGAAAAGTCAATAAATTTAATATTTATTGAATTTTCAATGTGTGAATAAATCGTATGGAATGGTTGAGCATTGCGACATTTGACCTTTCTATTAACCCGACGATTTCAGATTGATTTCCAATGATAGTAAATCTTTATCTGCTAAAAGATTGCTGACCTTTCATTAGCTTCTGCAGTTGCACAGAAGATAACACTATTGCTAGTGGGATGAATACAATAAGAGAGAATTCGAACTATGAACAATATGAGTGTTAGAAGATGAAATTGTCTTCGGAATTCTCTTTTCGCTCATAAGCTACACCTTGAGGGATGCACTAGGGGATCATTGCTCATTGAAAGGAACGCTTATCTTGAATTCTTGAATGCATATTTATTTTTAGTAGACCAAGATGGTGTGTTTGCTTAGTGATGTCCTTTCTCTATTTTCCCAGGAATCAAGTAATTGAAGCATTTTACATGCGACGAAGGACTTTCTCCCACACAATAAATGCAATCGGCTGCCGAAGTGGATGGTGCTTCAGATGTGAAGAAAGGTACACACAGGAATCCAAATGCCAATGGGAAAACTCCGTCGTGGTGACCAGACAAGAGATTGTTCTTTGAAATTTCCCTTGGATATTCTGTAAGTGCGTCAGTTTTTGTAACTTTGTTGGTGAATTGCATTCTTATCGATTTGCTGTAAAATTTAATGATAATGATTTCCGCAAATTACTACTCAAAATCACATGTCAGCCAGCAGTCTATTGGTTTATGATAATAATGTGACACCATCGAGGATATGCATTGAAATGCGACAAGTGATAGTGGGAAGAGTCATGTTGAAAATTTAAACTATATACAAACCACAGAATAAAATCTGTGTCAAGTGTTTTGCACATTTGCAGTTGTATTTCTCACCCTCTCTCGACGATGTGAGGATGAATAGTGTGAATCTCTAAGGAATTTGTGATGCATTTCCATTTCAGATGGCTCCCTAAATCTGCTATCATGAAGCCTGTCGGGCCAGATATTTCATATTCCGAGTATATTCTCGTGGTTGGAATTTCCAGACCAAAATTGGCGGCTCTCTTTCTCTCTGTCATGATTATTTCGCTTTTTTTCACCTTCCACGTCTTATATGATCGCGCTGTATTCAGTATGCAGGTACATCATATTTCACTTCTACATATTTTAAAAACCATGTGCGATTTAATAGAGCTGTGAGATGATATTTGGTACATTTTCCAGGTAACACCAACAACGGATGGCGGATATTCAATGGGAAATCGCCGCAATGTTTTCGACGATGCTGGTATTGTCATCAATCATCCCATTGTTGTGCCGAATCGTGTTCACTTCCCCAAAACGGGTCGTCGCCTTCCCCAGGCGCTGATAATTGGGGTGAGGAAGTGCGGCACTCGAGCCTTGCTAGAGATGCTGTATCTGCATCCGCGCGTCCAGAAGGCCGCCGGTGAGGTGCACTTCTTTGATCGGGACGAGAACTATCTGAAAGGCCTCGAGTGGTATCGGAAGAAGATGCCGCACTCCTTTCGCGGGCAGATCACCATTGAGAAGAGTCCAAGTTATTTTGTCACACCTGAAGTGAGTTGTGTGATAAATTGTGTTGATATCTGGTGGACCCTTCTGGCTAATGCGTGTCTCCCCTTTTTCTGTCTCTCCTGAAGGTACCTGAACGTGTTAGAGCGATGAATGCTAGTGTTAAACTATTATTAATTGTTAGAGAGCCAGTCACAAGAGCAATATCGGACTACACCCAGCTGAGAAGTCACTCAGCCACGGCAACACTCCCCCAGCAGAGCACCACGAGTGGCGGTGTTGCTCCATCGACACAGGTGTCTCGGTAAGTCCCCCATTTTTCACACATTTTCCACTTAAGCCAAATTGTCGATTCACTCACCAATTAACGTATGCCCGACAGACATTTGGGGATTTAGGCATTAGATGGGAGGATTGTGTGGCTATATTTTGCTGGAATTACTCTGCTTAGGGTGGGATATACTCTAAATTTATGCTAAAGTATCAAATATCGTACTTTATGGAAAGTACATGAATACCTTTAGAAGCAACGAACTTGATATGGTTTCAGGAATTCAGAGCTGAACACCACACAGAATAATTGAATAATAAGTCGATTGTACAATGTGTCAGTGAATGTCTATAATCACATTAAATCATCTTATAGCTTCACATTTAAAATATATTGCTATATTTTGGTTTTATCAAGAAATGAGCACAATTAAAAAATCATGATATGATAGAGACCTTCAGAAATTTGAATGAAAAAATGAACGTTTGTTTATGTTTTTGGTACGATACTTGGTTTGTGAATCGACCAACTTTCCATGCATCCGTGCTTATGAGATATTTATTTCCTCCGCATGTCCCTCCCATTTTTCCCTACTGCATTTTAATTTTACGAAATCACACGTGACTTCTCTCTTGATCCACTCCATTCATTCGGAATATCCTCTTGTCGGCTTCTCTTGGCTTCTTTTCCATCTGATTTGAGCACTTTTGCTTTTTATGGCACATCCGCAAGCTTTCGTTATTATGGTTTGTGTTGCTGTGAAAATTTTATATGCGACTGCAGTGTTTAGTGATTTTCCATGTTCTTATTTGTATGAGTAAATCTCTTCTCCCAACACTTAATATGATTTCTGTGGTGTTTGATAATGTGTCGATCTAGAGAGAGGGTTAATTGGGTTTCATCAATTCAATTCAAATCGATACTTAGTTTGTCAGCAAATCAACGTGATTTTCGCACCTTCGGACTCCAAATCTCCTGAGAATTGTTAATTTGGACTTATGTGTCTTCTTATTTCTGACCCTCCTCAATCATCGTGAATAATTCAATTAGGCGTGTGTCACTTTGTGCTGGCAGTGATTGATTAATTATTTCGTCGGTGGTTCAATTTCTAGTGACGGAAACAATTCTTCCTTTTATTCCTCCCTCCCTCTTTCCTCCCAAATGTTCTTTTGTGGCACGGCTGCTTTTTGTGAATGAGTGAATTCATTTGGTAGTAAAGTTTCCATGTTGTCGCGCAGACTAAAAATATGCCCAATTTTACCCCAATTCACACTTAATTATTCAAATCTCCTGAGGAGCTTGTCTTACTAATTTGTGGTACAGTTTCTTGTGGGGAATATTGTGGCCTTCCAAGTGTTTAAAATTAGGCATGAAGTAGCTGAATAAGTGGACGATACACTTACCCTTTACCTACGTCAATCAATAGTTCGGGGGCATGATAAAATGTTAATTTAAATTTATGGGGCAAGGGCATAAATCAAGATGAAATTTGAAATTGGCTTTTGAGACATAAATTCTCTTATCGTGGACGTGATTTCTTAGAAAGAATGTCGTGCAAAAATGCCAGACATCGAAACTTAAGTTCCATGCACTTTGTGTCAGTGTTACATAAATTGTGGGTGGATAAGAGAGGAAATAAAGTTCTGTAGTTGTCACTAATTTATCTTGGATGAGCTTTCGAGGTTTTCTTTCTCAGTCTTTATTGATAATTTTATCGGAAATTTACAGTAGTTCAATCCATGCTCGAATGTTTTCTTTTTGCAATCATCGATTTAATTTAAAATAAACTATATCTTCTTCACTTTTAACTCTTGAGTATTACGTTGTTCATTTTGCTAAATAAAGAATGCACGAAGAATTGACACAATGTTGTTGCATAAGTTTGCGCTTTGCTTCAATTTATTTCACCATTGAATGAGTGACTCAGTGAATTGATTCATTGCTTGTCTGTAGTTTGTACACTTTTATGTGATATTGTGCGCTTCCACAATGCTCCATTTGCAATGTTTTTATTTTAAGTATTACAACAAAGTGTCTTTGACTAACTTTGATGTCTACCTTTGATTGTGCAGAAATTTCGAGGAACTGGCTCTCTATCCCAACGGATCCGTCAATGAGTCCTATCGTCCGTTGGTCATATCAATGTACCACTTGCACTTGCATCGATGGCTCGAGGTATTTCCGCGTGAACAGATGCTGATAGTGAATGGTGATCAGTTGATTGACGATCCACTGTCGCAGTTGACAAGAATTGAGACCTTCTTGGGCATTCAGCACAGGATAAAGAGTCAAAACTTCTACTTCAATGCCACCAAAGGATTCTTCTGCCTGCGAAATGAGACGGGCGACAAGTGTTTGCGGGAGACAAAGGGGCGAAAGCATCCCCACGTGGATCCGGCCGTTATCAGTAAATTGCGTCGATTCTTCGCTGATCACAATCAAAAGTTTTACGAGTTGATCGGTGAGGACTTGGGGTGGCCTGAAGAGTGAGAAGCATACTCAAAAAATCAGTTTTCTTCCTTTAATCATGATAGTAATGCCATACATTTGTATATGGTTTCAGCCATATTTCATTCTTTATAACGTTAGATGTGACAAAGAGAGTCGCAAGAAGGGCCATGTGAATCATATCTTTTGTTATTTCACATCAAAGTAAAGTCACAATAAGAACAAAAAATCGTAGTGAAAATGATATCGTAGCGGAAAATTGCGATAAAGTTTAGAAGAAAAAAAAAGGTAAAAGAGATAAGAATAATATATATATTTTTTGAATAATTTTTAATCTATCTCTACAATTCAATTCATCAATTGCTAAGAGATTTATCGAATGCAATCAAACATTCCTCCTTGTAGTGTGAGAATAATAAGATCCATTTTGTTTAGTGAGAAGAACCAAAGTAATTAGAGAAAAGAAATAGATGAAAAGGTGACACGTTGATGAAAGTAATTTCAGTGCTTCTAATAGGAATGTTTCATATGGCTCTCTCAATCAAATAATAGCAAAGGCAAGAGAATTGTAGTGAGGGGAAAAGGTATTTTATTAATCCACCTTTGTTACACTGAAACGCACTAGAAGAAATCCTTCCAAAATATTCTTTCCATTCCACTATCATTATAGAGTTGTGACAAGATGAGTAAACCATGCTAGGATATCATGACAAGAAGATAAAAGAAACGAGATAAGAGAACAAAACAGGGAACGGATTATAATTTTTTTTAGAAAAATTAATGAAATCCAACCAAGAGAATATATTACGAAATATTCGTGGCAAAAATATGGTATCTCAAATATCAATATACATATCATAGTTTAAGTATAAACTGAAATATTTAGTGAAAGTGAATTATTTTGTATGTAAAAGAGGGATTATGTTGTAAAGTGCAAGATTACCTTAAAAATCATATACATATCAAATCCAAAAAGGTTAATAAATAAGCGAAAACAAATAGATAAAGTTTGTGGGAAGAAAAAACCTAAACGAAATGCAAATATTTTTTAATTATTGCCGCAAAGATGATGAGAAAGGAGTTAAGATATGGAAAAAAGCACGAGGATGAATTAAAAGCAATATAATTTTTTCTAACGCGCGCTAAAGAGGTAAAAGAACAAATAGTAAATTCAACATGCATTTTCATTTATTGTAGACGAAGAAAATATCGATCGAATGATGCGATTTTAGTGAAAGAGGAAGTCATGTAATTTGAAAAATGAAAGAGTTAATGCTAAGCATATCAAAAGCATATCAAATTAAACATATCAGATTTTAATGATATTTAAATGTAAGCTGATTCATCGTCAATGTGATTTTTTAGCGACTTTAAGAGAATTTAATATTAAAAAAATGGTATATATAACGAGAAGATGAGATGTTAGATTAAATGAAATCACATACATATCACTTCTAGGTAATACAATTGATAGACGAAAGTAATTATATAGTGAAAAGGAAATCTATTACATATCACAAGTTTACAGTGATACATTTTCTGTGGCGAAAATATAACTAAACTTAAACTAAAGTGAGACAAAAAGCTAGATTCTAGATAAACTAAATATTCCTTGCCTCCTTTGGACCTTCTATAGGCAAAAAGAAAGAGAAGAACAGAAATATTTAAAGTCATGTTGAGCATAAAGGATGATCATTGTTCGAAAAGGGGTATCGTTAATGTTTCACATATATCAAATAGCTTTGGGTAACAGTATAAGAGGAAAATATGTTTTGAGTGAAAAGAAAACAAGTAACATTGCTCGGTATTAAGTTTCACGACATAAAGACGCTTTTTGCGTGTTCCGTACATGATAAAATAAGGTAACAAGATCAATTGTAGTGCATTTTGATGTGTAGCGAGGCAAAATCACCATTTATCCGCCACGTCTTCCTTTTTAGTCTATCTCTTCATTCGTTGATTTGTCCATCGCGCATAGGGTTTACCTTTTATTTTTATAAAATACTCATACGAATATTGCAAATGAAGAAGCATGTCAAAAGCAAAAAAAAATAGGCATACTGAAAAGACATACATAGTAACAATCCCGAATGGAACAAGGAAAATCTTAATTAAGACTATAGTGTTTATCTTTAGGTGAGAAAAACTTGAGATAAGATACAAAGAAACCAAAAAGTGTGTATAAACTTAAATGTAAAATCTCTATAGAAACAACCCAGACATATTTCCTTTTGATATTTCAGTGTTTTTCCATTTAAGATATGAAAAAAAATTCTTCTCCATATCTGAGTAAACGTTTTTTCGTGGAAAAGAAGGTAATATGCGAATCATTGTGCAAAGTAAGACAAAGTCGATACAATTTTATGTTGATTGAAATAAAAATTGTTTAATGAAGAGAGACATTTTTTGCTGTCTGACAATCCAACCTCTTTTGGTTTTGTCTTTAATTGCAGACACTATAAAAGACCAGAATCACTTTATCACTTGCAGTTTTGTATAACTTGCCATTATTTATTTTGAAAATTATTTCCTTATTGCATGCGTCTCGTTGCCTTGAAGGTGATCCGAGGTGAAAAATAAAGCTGTTAAGATGTACAAATACATGGTGAATTGAGTCGAAGTCAGAGGAATCATGTCTAGAGATTGAGTTATTATAATTTGATTGCAACTACTGATGAATGACTTGGCTTAGGAGAGATGTGATTAAATAACTACGGCTTTTGACTGACAATTTCTCTCAAATTCTAACTCGCACGTTTTAAGTCACATGGGAAATTTTCAACGATAGTACAAATTTCTTATAAATTTTCATTAATATTGGTCCTTTTATTAAAAAGTGATATTGAAGACCAGAAGTTTCATGTTTTATTGCACAACGCTCTCTCATTATGTACGTATTTACAAGTGTATTTATATAAATTTCAATTTTTCATCTCCATCAAACTCTTGTACTTTATTTCACCATAAACAAATAATCGCATAGCGAATAATGTCACCTGATTTTTTTTTATTTCCCATAGTTTTGGTCTTTTGCGCCTCTTTTACTCGTGCCTTTTTTGTCACTGTGCGCTAAAACACACTTCTTGTCCACAATTCAACAGGCAAAAGTCGTAAAAATGAAACAATTTGTTTTGTAGCATTGTCCATTTTGTCGACATTTAATTTCTCGTTTGTTTTATATCGTGCGTCACTATTGTTGGGCAAAAAGGTATTCGAAAAAATGGGGGAAAAGAAGAAGAAGCGAAAGACTGTAAAAAGAATTTTCGTAGAATTCTTTATAATGTCGAAAGGTTACTTTGATGGTGAGATCAGTGCAATTGACACGTTGTTGATGCCTTCCTTGAAATTCACTTCTATGTGAAAATTGTCCAATTTTCTGCTTTATTACATTCCAAGAAGGCAAGGTGAAAAGTAGTGCGATGAAGCTAAGCGTGTGTCATTTGCAGGAATTGCAAAATATCATAAACTATTCTTTGGGATGTTGTGTTTTGCAAAGTCGACCCGGTAGTTTTTGTGCGGAAAAGATGTCAGGAAAGTCACAACAATAGACAGATTTTTTTCGCTGATTTCTCAAGCCCATAAAAAGTCTTGCTTAATTAAGAAAATCTATTGAGATTATGGTCATTGATAAAATGCCAAAGTGAGACTTGATTTATTGCTTTTTGATTACAATAATGGGAAGACTATTAGTGAAATATATTTCACGTCCCAATTCGCCTCGTAAATCGCCATACAATTTTTCTAGATCGGAAGTTTCAGTAGTTTGTCTTGCCAAAATCATTATCATCAGAATAGTGGAATTATTCAGCATGTTTAACAGTTAAGCATTAATTTGGTCACTCGATGGGAATTCTTTGTGATTTAATTATTATGTACATACAAAAATTCCAATGATACTGAAACATGTGTAAATCCGAACACGGTGAAAAATTGACATAGGGAGAAAAAAAATGCTTCATAATTGTCGACTCGTTGTCGTTGTCCATAAATGAGGGGCGAAAGGGAGACTCTGGGGGATCAACGGAGGGAAAAAAGAGCAATACGGTTAATTGTATTTTTCCCAGAAGCGTTGTCTTGTTGTCCAAAGAGAGAGCAAGCACGAGACGTGAAACTTTAAGGTAGAATGAACGACGACGCATTGATGACCATAAGGTTGATTGAAATGTGAGTTAAATGTGAATCACAGACAGAGTTGAGAGTCAGTGATAAAGTGATTTATAGATGAGTTTGAGATTAATAACAGGTTCAGGGCAACGCCCAATTATTCGCCCCGCCCATTTGCATGCTTCATCCTTGAACTATTGTGCTATTGAACTTTACTTTCAGTGAATCCCGATCAAAATCTGGTTGGTCTGCGGTGAGAACAACTTTGGGACAGATTGAGCGAGTATGAGGGAATGAGGGAATGTGAAACAGAAGGAGAGAGGATGATGATGAGGAAAAAATTAACATTACAGATCATTAATTGGAAATGTCTTATTATTGGGTTTTCTTTGCTCATCAGTACACCCAATGACAAGAACAACACAACGACATTATGCTATGGAGGAATCCACCAGTCGCTGAGCGACGAGGTACATTCATGCATTTATAAATTGCACCCATGACCATCATCAGCATTATCGATGGCGATGGGTGGAGTAAAAAAGGGGGGCAGTAAAGGAGAGTTTTATTATTGTATAACATTAAAACACTGGCTGGCGAGTCAGTTGTTGATTTTTCATTTGACAAAAATATTTCACCTCATCATCTCCTCACTTGTTGACTGTGGATGATCATTTGTCCCAGGAAAGGGCAGAAACGGGAGAAAAACTGGCGCATTCCTACGTGCAAAATACCATCCCATTGGAGGGAATGCAAGTATAAACTTCTGTTGCATTGCACGCACTCTCCTGAGATGATTGAATCAATTTTTCATTGTTTAAATGCATTGAATTGTGTGTTATCCGCGATGCCTTGTGCGCGCAATGGTGCAAGAAAAAGAGTCCCGGGCGAGCGAAGGCAAAAATTAAAAGACCGTCAATAAAAGATTCACCTCGAGTTGTGTGCAACCATTGTAAATTATTGCAAAAATTCCTGAGCAGATGGATATGGGGCTGTATATGTATTATACATATTGCTGAATGGGGCGTTCGCATATTCCTTGTCAATGTTTTTCGGCATCCCAATTACATGAAATTCTCATTAAATACCATGCGAAACCTTTCATATTATTTGTCTCCCCTCGCTTTAAATTTATTTCCTCGTTTGCACAGTGGCCAAAAAATTGAAATATGATGTGAAAGATTATCATTATTGCTCGTTTTTCTCACCACCAATTTTCGATTTACACGCAGTCCCTTGAGGTGTTTCCACAACTCCTTTTACTGTCATTTTAAATTTCTCTCAACTCCGAAAGATTGTGAGAATTACGCGATGTGTCTCGATTTTTTGTTTTTCGTTCGGCATTTCCAGTCATTTGTTAATTAAATTTCCATTGTGCAGATAAACAGAGAAAATTGAAATTCCTGCAGCAATAAAATTCCTGAAGCCGCATATTATGATGGTCAATTGATGTGCTTCCTGCCCTCTCAATCTCCTTTACTTGCCGACTATTACAATTCGCAGTTATTCCGTTAGAGCGCGATTTAGATCTCAACTTTCGATAGAGAGATTCAATGGGGAGAGAATCAGTGTTGTTTATTTTTCACCCGAACAGAGTTGAAGGGAAGCT